GAGGAACAAAATGGCTGCTGGTTTGTCGGCGAGTGGTATCACAAAGGGTGGCATCACCCTAGCAAAGCGCACATGAAGGCTCCCTAGGTTTCAGACGTCGGTGTCACGGTGCTCGAAGGATTCTGCAAAGTGGTAGTTATGCCAAATTTGTGAGTTGTAGATGGCTGTTCAAACGGTCGACGGAAGATCAGTATTCGTTCGGGCGACGCTAGTTTTCACGTGTTGGTTGCTGTTCTTGTTCTTTGACGACGAAAAAAGAGGACGTCCGACTTTGGTGAAAACCAAAAATGGTGCTGTTTATTTTCTCCTTATTGAGGAACGTCCCCTGCGGAGGAACCGGTTCCCGGAACGGCTTGGTGGCTGCCGCTTTCCCCTCGGCATCTCCCTGTCCTTCAGCAACGCGCGCCGCTTTCGTTGCCGGCTGGGCGGTCTCCGTCGGGTGATGGCGGAGGCCGCCACACACATACTCCCGTTCCGTTGGTGTTAGGTCACTGAACGGAAGCTCGAACTCGCTCGCGAGAGCGGCATTGTCGTCCTTATTGACAGATTCGACGAAACGTAACGAAACGACCGCGCTGCTATAACCCACTGCGGTAACCAGTCTTGATCTCCTAAATATTACCGATACCGACTATTCACACTTGACGTCACTCCCTACGTCACCTCCGATTTCGGAGGCCCAGAAATGAGATTGAAGATAGTTCAGTTTCGCTTTCTTCAGTTCTTTCGTTGGCGCAGAAATACGCGTCACAAATGTCTACAAAAAAATGTGCAGCATGCTAGGTTCCCAAAAAACCTGAAAACACAATTAAAAAAAAAAATAATAAAATAAAATTGTCTTCATTGTCCCTTTAAGGGAAGGAAAGATGTAATATTTTAATTTTTCGTTAAAACATCTACAGTAGCCAAATGGCGCCACCAACCACCACTGGCGCCCGTGGGCTCAGGCCAACGTTCAGGCAGGAAACGGAGTACGGCTTGAGGAACCTTCCGTGTCGAATGTGTCTTACTTCCCGGGGCTCTTCCCGCCCCCGGGCTCCACTGCGGTCAACACCTCATTGGAATGCGAGACGCTTTTCAGTTCTGCAGGCCCGTGTGGGCTCTGCTACTCTTTATTTAGGACTCCTATGTTGATTATATATTATGTAAGGAGCGAAGTAGTCATTCTGCACTGGCTAAAGTTCTGATCTATGATGGGTATCAATGCCACTGTAACCTGGCGGCCTAAACGCCCACTGCATAAACGACTAAACTCCCGCTGCATAAATGCCATGGCACTTCATTCACTGTTAACGTAACTTCTAGAAAAACGCTTCATATTAGTCTTCACTTTCCTGCCAATTTGGTGCACGGCAAGACGGGAGGGACAATTGGTGGCCCGCGTGCTGACAACCATAGCTTGGAGCACGTGGAGCTTTTGCCCACATGCTCTGGGGATGGGTTAAGCCCAGGGATCCCAGGGCCCTACCCATTTCGATCTAAATGAGCTTCGTGAAGGTGTGCAGTCAAGTATTGCTACTGCGTGATGCACAATAAAGAGATACTGAGATGAAAATTGAAATACACCTTTCAGGTTCAGAAATAAGTTAAACGTCATCAACAAAATCTGCTAATGACAATTGCACGTTTTCATTTTGAACGGATAGCTATATTTTTCGTTACAAACGGTCGATCCCAGCGGGCGCTCGAAGAGCAGCCAGTGGAGAGCGCAACACGTCTCAGGAGGTCCAGTACCTCCAGTGCGCTCGGGACATCATGTTTAACTTCATGTGCAAGGCAAAAGAAAGGCTGTAGTTGTGAGCTTCGCCACTTTGTAGCGATAACACGTTGCAACATGGCTGTTTGAGATGCCCGATGACTGGTCAGCAGAGGCGACAGAGACTTGCCTCCGCTTCAAACTCTCCTCTCCCTGGAGGTGGTGAGTCGGTGCGAAAGAGAAGAGAAATCCGGTTCGGCCGAGTTCGACAGTGCTCGCACGCACGCAGCTTGCCACCATACTTCCGCAAAGAGGCGCTGCTTTTACAGGAGGTTTGATGTAAGAACATTTGGGAACATCCACCAGGTGCAATATGGTAATTGGTTTATTAAGGCGAAAGCCTTGTACGTCTCATCGTTCAGTCGACCTTCAAAGTCCTTGAGTGAAAACACGTCGGCAACAGGAAAAGTATGTAACACGTCAGTGACACAAAAGGTACCAATGAAACGGTGCCAAAAGTGCGTCGTTAGAGAGCGCGCCGTCATTGGAGGTTTGCTATCACCGGGACCACAGCCGACGCCACGTTCCGAGTGACCCAATGAGACGGTGCCAGAAGTGTGTTGTCAGAGAGCGTGCTGTCTTCGGAGGTCCGCTATCACGTTTACATAGGCACTTGGGTTTTCGCCTTCAAGTCGTTTTAGGGATAAAATAAGAGACACTGTGAATTTTTGTTTCAAATTATGTTTTGGAGTCGTTTCGAACAAAATAACGGTGTCTCTGTGGTATGGCCAGAACGTGATTGGACATTTAGAGAAAATATAGGTGCAAGAATTTTGTCGCAGTACCCATTTAAAGACACCAGGCCAGCATCGATATTGCACTAGTTAAATTTCTTATCTGCAGCAAGGACACCAGACACCCATTGGTGCTGACAAAGTTTTTGCCGTCGGAACATGCGATCTGTCGCCATTCTGGTCCAAGCCGATCCTGGCATTTGAGACATGGGGAAAGGCAGTCAGTATCCCACAAGCGTTGCATACCATGTGTTCACCCGTGCTTGATACCATGTACTGATCTACATTTATTCTACAATTTTTTTCCAGTTCAAATGAACCTGAAGCATGAGTGCATGGGTTATAAATAGGATTCCGTTTTCAGAGTTTATTTTTTTGTAATTCGGAAGGTTTATTAATATTTATTCTTTTTTAATTTTTTATTCTCAGTCATTCGGAGTTTATTTGCGCTCTCTTCGCAATTTTTTAAAAGTTCCGGCCTAAATTCGTAAGAACTGTCCACTATCAGCTGGCATCCCTTCAGCGGAATTCGGCGTCGGTGACAAAACCTGAAAACAAATCGTGCTTCATTGGACGTTGACAATTTAAAATCTAGAAACTCGCAGACGTAGTCGGTGGGAAACTAGATTTTTGTGAAATTATTTCATCTCTCTATCTCATTCTTGTACGAAAGTGGCAAAGCAAGGAATGTAGAAATTTCACCTGTCCTCCCCCCACTCTTATAAAATCTAAGGGTTCATAGCCTTCACTGTTATAACAGAACCCCTGTTCCCCCTAAGAAACAAAAAAATACTTGGTATGGTTCATATTGAAAACCCAGACCCCCGAACAGTGACTTATCGTGACCCAGAAAAAGAACGACCCGTTGTCATGACCGAACTCCGAGTTAAGCGGTACAACTTATTTTGTCAATGATGTGGTATTTAGAAAGCTAGCAACCAGTGATTCTGTGTTCTGAAAAAAACATATTTGCAGAATACCGTTTTCCTTTTCCAACTTTTTGGTTCTGGAATTTGGAATTTATCAGAGATAAATCCAAGTTAACAATAATATTAAAGGCGAGCGTTTTCTCAGATTTCTCCAAAAACACAAAACCCTAGTTATAAAACAGATTCTAGGAACCCATGCGGGTTCACTGAGCATCCACGTTCCTGTACCCAAGAATCAGTTTCCTAGTTCACACCCTGAAGGATCACAATAAAGCAAACGCTTCATTTCTGCCTAAACTGCATTCTGGCAATGGACCAAGTCGGCTGGCTGGCGAACTGCTCTCTTAAATGCAGTTTCTAGCAGTCTTTTAAGGGGGGACATGGCCTGGGAGGGTCAACTTTTGAACAATTGCCTCAAAGTGATTCAAACTTTCAGGGTGAATTGAACCCCATTAGGATTGATGACATCTAAAGTTTCAGCCTTATAGGCCAATTCTACAACATACTATGCTTAACAAGCTCCAGAAAAAAGTTACTTTATTAGGAAATGTATTTAAGAAAAATAATATTTGAAATCCACAAAATGTTTAGTTTAATGTGAAGTAGAATACCCATAGTGCAAGTTAAGGTAAAAATTAATTGTAGAAAATGTCATTCTAGAGAAAAACAATAGTACCCAAAAAGAGCAAACGATTTTAACAACTTTCTGCGTTTTCAAATATTCAGTTTCTGTCATAAAGAATTTAGCTTTTTCAGATTATGAGTACCTTAGGTTGTTCCTCGGGAAATTTCAGTTGAGGACACCGCTGAATGAAATCTTCACACTTTCAAAATGTCCAATGATACATTTCCTCATACCACATTTCCTGTCAAAAAGGGAAACTGAGAAAAATGCATTTGAAATTTCAACCTTAGGTTTCTTTATTTTCTATGAGCCCGAGGCAGGCAAAATTCACCTGGCGCATTGCTAGCTTTTCTAGCAGGCATTCCCCGACAGATAAACTGGCAAGAACTATAAGGTAAATCACACTAAGGAAAAGCAGCAAAGCAGGAATAGGATCTGAAGTTGAAGACACTGTGAAAGGGTGTTACTGAAGATGACATAATTTCACGTCACCGGGAAGGACCAATCGTAAACCCTGTTTCAGGTCTCAACTAATAATATTGCTCATACCAAATTTTCAGAATTTTTTCTGTTTGGGTGTATTGCATCCTCCTGGTCATTGATACATGTAAACTTGGAAAGCTTCTACAGGCTAAATCTAGAGTAAATGGCACTTCCAATAAGGGCGAGATATTCTGGCTATGTTAAATGAGTATGAAGCAGCGCTAAACAAAACACGTAAAAAACGTGCTCTCTGCTGACTCGGAGGGCTGCCGACATGTCGAAAATAATTTATTGCGAGATATATTGTGCATGTTTATAGATGAAAGTTTCTGAAACCATTCTTTGGAAGTTAATAAACATAAACATGTCAATTTTGAAAAAATGTTTTTTTCTGAAAAATTTGAATTTCGAAGCCATGTCCCCCTTAAAGCGATCAGGGGAAACCTCGACACGGTAAAGAAAGAAAAAGCTTCTTTCTGGAAACAACAATTTATTTTCATCAAAACTGCACAAAAAGCGGGAACAGAACTGCGTTGCAGGCACATGGAGAGTAATACACCATGCTTTCTACACACACCTCGTCCGGCTTACTAGAAATGATGTCTCAGCCAAAGCCACATGGAAGAAAAGACCGCGAAAGCTAATAATGCAAGCACAGATTGGCATGTCAAAGTCTCAAGTGCTCGTGCGCACCAGACTTGGTAGGCTTTCCTTCACAATCTTGGCTGGAACACAGTTTCTAGCAAGCTGGTCCCGACGTTCTCAGCACAGATTGCTCTCCGACATGTGCTGGGACGACTACTGAAGTGTTGACGCTAGAAAGCATGCCCTCACCGAAGCCTTTGTCCGAGAGGTAAACGTCTAAAAACACTCGCCTTCAGGAGCCCTCCCGTCCTGAAGCACAAACAGTAGACTAGAGTGCAGTCATTGTCACAAGCACATGATAATTGACGGCTCTTTCCGAGACCGTAGATAAATGCAGATACATATTTGATCGTTTGCCCAAGCCTCCAGACCGTTTGTTTCGGGAAGGCCCTTGGTCGGGATGCAAAAATAAAGGTCGCTCCTTTAAAACGAAAAGAAAACGAAGTGGCTTACTACCTTCTGTCCAAAAAATCGCTACCTTTGCCTTAAAACGCATAAAAGATTTTACCGCCTCAACGACTTGTGTACAGAATAGAAATTAAAGTATAATGGGTCCCATAATGGGGTTTGTCCCATCTGACACAAAAGGAACCAGGAGAAGCTTGAAATCTGGCTTGACATTACAGTTTGAAAAGTGTGACTTCGAATGAAATTGCAGCACGCTGCCTCACATCGTTTTCTTCCGCGAACTGTTCTAGAGGGCAAACTTTTTCTTTAGACACCTTGTCGTACAAACAAAACTGGTTCGACAGTACGAGACACAACTCATTGGCCGAGCACCGGTCAACGAAACACAACAATAAATACAGCGCACAAACCTTCCTGGATGCGGACGACAAACTCGAGCATCAACAGGCGCCGCCGAACAGGAATGGTCAAATGCCAGGATGAAAAGAAAAATTTGATCCAGCAATGCACCAAATACAATCAAAGCCGATTGAGTTTTTCTCTTGAATGTAGCAACAGAATTAAATAAATTTTGATAGCCAGATTGTCCGTGCAAGGCAAGGTCGTTGCCAGACGTGTCTGTCACTTGCGGCTGCTACTGGATCTGCTGGCAGCGCCACGGCTGCGCCCCGAGATATGTGTAGTCACCATTATTCCCCTGCTTCCCAGAGGCCGCAAAGGGGGAGTCTTGGGTCGCGAAGTTGCAGGCCGCGGTGCGGGAGGCCTGCTTTCCTTCTTTGCCTTCTTGGCAGCTGGGCACACCCTACAAGAGATAATGTAACCAATTTGTCCACACATCGATCAATGTACAGAGTGCGACACCACTGAAGGGAACTAAAGTCACTAGATTCTTGGAAAGCAAAGCCAAGCTCCGTATGGCCAATTGCCTTGCGAGGTTTTGATTGTCCGTATGTTAGTATTTCGTTGCATCTGGCTAGCTGACAGGGAAGAGACAAGGGCACAATTCCAGGATCCAGAGACATCAGTGCAAAGCAGGGAATGCCGCTTTTAAATGTGTCGGCAGTTATCGCCCTTGTGCGTGCAACCAGCCCTTTCGTTTGAATAAAGTCGTGGGTTGGACTGGACGGCACTGTGTTCGTGAGGCCACGGTGGCACGGTTCCCACTGTGCTCCTTTGCTCTGTTCGATCGCTCATTACATCCACTTCCTTTTGCTCTTGCAGGGGACGTGACGGGTGCTCTGGCACAAGACGCAGTTTAAAGTCCACGTAACTACACATTTCTAAGCAGCGCACACAATGTCGAAAGGATCAGAAAGCTTCCTGCTCATCACACTTCGGCGCAAGGTCGACATTTTGCAAATGCAGAGCTAACAGTATGCGGATTGTAGGCGGCGATCAAGGAAGCTCTGGTGGTTGCATCCGAAGCTGCTGACGCCCACGAGAACAGACTGGCTCTCCGAAGAATGCAGTATGCGGATGTAACAAAATATAATGAACAGTTGAAGTTAGCGCATTGTGTTGTCCTCTTCTACCTTCTCGTCAGTGTCTAAAGGTGCTACCATGTTCTCAAAGTTCAAGCACAAACTTGCCTAAAAAGCAGTTTTGCCTCGCTATTATGCGGCGGAATCGCAACATTTCGACGAAAGGAGGTGTGTTTTCTGTCGACAAGGTGAATATCAAAAGCAGAAGATGCCAATTCTTTCAATGTTAAAATTGTTGCACAGCTCCTTCAAAAAAAATCCAGCTGAACTCGCCAACATTATTTCCAACCTTTTGTTTGTCTACCACCATCCTGCAGTTTAAGAATCACATTCCTAGCACATTAAATGTTATGTTGTTCTTGACAAATCTAAATGGTTGAGCTGGCTGCTCTCAATGTTGACACATCCACAGCAAGCAATAGCAGCTTGCTGCTGGGACAAAAGGATCTCCCACTCCTGTCATCCAGATGCAGATTTACTAGCAAAAGCAGCTGCTTGGCAACGTATTGCAAGTGTTTCACGACACTAATCTAAACTCGATATCGAAAAGGTGATGCGTTATGCAAGATGCCGGACACCTTTTGAAACCCAATTTCTCAGAAACCATTCACACTTTGACAAGACAATCAACACACAGTACAATTGGTCCTCAGTACAATAAGTAGCTTGGGGGGAAAGAATGGCTTTGCACCTCACAATGTAAACACCTTCGAATGCTTCGTAAACGCACCCCTTGAATTTTAATGAATGATTTCCTTGCAGAGGAATTTAGACTTGCTGCCCTTCAGACTTGGCGAACTTCAGCATGTTGGCACGAAACCCTAAAAAACTCGGACAGACCCCAAGCAACTTTGGGGCTGCCTAGAAAACAAAAAGTAATTGTCTTGGAAAAAATAAAAAATAAAGGAACCCTTTTTTTTTTTATAAAGCCCAAAGGTGCTCTATACACATAGCATTTATAGGTCTTCTGGTGTCATGTGGCTACCAGAAAAGCTTATGGTCATGTGACTTTACGTCACGTCACGATGTCAGTGTTGCCATGCTGTCACGTGATGAGACACCACAATGTCATGTCATCACGTCACCAAATACCACGGTGCCACAAGATGTCAATGTCGCATAAAAGAAAAAAAATAAAGACCCAGGGACCTGCTCTCTTAGAGCTACCACTTTTCCGGCCCTGATGGTCAGACACCAACCGTTGTAAACACATTGACACCATCGGCGTGACGTTACCTTAGAGGCCACAAGCCAGGAACAAACCCGAAAACCTTAACAGTCAACCTCATAAAAGCCATGCATTTAAAATACTGTTAGGTCTGAAGGATGGCAAAGGCCACATACGTCTCATGCTGTTCTTGTTCCCATGTCCACATCTCTTGGGAGCACCTCTTGTGCTTGCACTCCACGACCCCGACCATCCGCATCAGTTGTCTGGTGGATTCGGGGATAAAAGGCCTGGAAGAGGACAGCAAACGTCGCACATGCATCTAGATCTGTCTTGCGCCAAACGAAGGCATCGCACTCCTTGTCCGTAAATAACCCCAAAATGTATCATCTATAAAGGGCTTCAAATGTCTCCGCCACACAGGTGAAAAAATAAGAATCCCGTTCCAAAAATATAGTGAAACAGTAAAAATAATGTTTAAATCCAAATCATAACGAAACAACCCAATGGTTCCCAACTCCTTCCTTATCACACCCATGAGCCAGATTATACATATAATTAACGGTTTCCATGTATTGCCAAAATTTTTATTTGGCCCACCGGAACAAGTTGTGCCATCTTGTGAATAGCCGAAAAACAACAGTTGTGGTTTCAATGCAGTGTTGTGCTTTCTCGCAAGGTGCTGAGCTACCAGAAATAAATCTATGCACAGCAATGGAACTTGCCAAACATACCATCCTGCCTGCTTCGGGCATCAATACAAAGGAGGTGTCAATTGTGCAGTTTGACTAGGTTTGCTGCTTGCTTTTAGGACGACAGCAGCAGGAAAGACGATGTTGGATCATGAAACTGGAGCTGACGGCGACGTTTCATATCAGAGGCTTGGAAGATCGAAAGGTGCTCATTGGCAAGCGTAACTGCAATGCATATATAGAATGAGTGCCACAAGTCATAAAGACGCGAGGTAGAAGAGGAGAAACTACAAGCCGCGCTATTGCAGAACCAAGGTCTAGCGTGAAATAGACGTGTGCTGCAGGACATGCATCGCTGCATGCAACCACCTGTCCGAATGGAACACTTGTGTCACACAAACACCACCCAAGGAAGCAGTGTCAGCTAGTGTGCTCGAATTTACGGAAGTGATAGCACTGGGTGCAGGGCACCCTTTACAAATCCTGGATTTTTAAACATTTCCAGTATGCATTGATATAGCTGCAAATGCTTTAATAATTTGTCTCTTTTGTAAGTAAATTCAAAGTTCAACAATTAAATATTGGACTTTTTTTTTTTTTTTGACAGACTATGGTAATCTTAGTTCCTTTCCAAGGAGCAGCTAATTTTCTCAATTATAAAGTATGATAATGATCCACACAGGGTAATCAATTCTAAAAGTACAAAAAAATTTAACTGGAAAAAGAAAATATTTTTATTTCTTTTTTGGTTACTAGTACAGCCTATTCAGCAGGCGTTCCTGCCGTGGGGTACTCTCAGCAACTAGCTTATTGTCCTTGGGTACTGGTCTGCGTGCTACTGATTGTGATTGTCCAAATGCAGGGGTGGAACTCGTGAAATATACTTGGGAGCAGCCACGGGAGCAGCTGAAACAGCTGTTTTGGAGCAGGTTGGGAGCAGCTAAAACTACATTCTGGAGCAGTCTAGGAGCAGATCAGATCAGTTTTCATTGCACTTCAGATAGTGTCTTAGACAAGCACGGGAGCAATTTCAATTGTGCTCAGCAGCACAGACGAACATGAGTGGTTAGGGACCTAGGTAGATGGGAAAACAGTAACACATGCGAAAACCAAAATTTATGTTTTATTCTTTGAAAGGAGATTTATTACGGTTCAGGAGACTACCCAATCAATATTTTGCTACAGCGTCACAAACATTTTTAATAAAGTAAAAAAAAAAAAAAAATAACTGCTCGACTGGGGAGGAAGAAGAAATACAGGGAAGAGAGGTGGCGAAAGTCACGTGGCTGTGATACTTCCTTTTCCCCAAACAACGCATTTGCAGCTTTTTAGAAGCCACAAAAAATGGGTACCATATTTCTTTTTTTTTTTTTTTTTAAATATTGTGTGTGTGCCCTTGATGACCTACAACTGATTATATTTGGTGGTTGTGTTTAAACCAAAGAAAAAGGGCACACGGCCACAGAGAAGAGTGAGCGTGACTCAAACCGGTCACTTCTCGATCGGCTGTTTTCGGTCGGAAAGAAAGTGAATTTTAAACCACGACCTGTTTTCTGGGTGGTTGGGCTCTCACGTGTAATGTACACAGAAAAACCTTGGCGAGCCTAAATACCCTGTCAGTGTCCCTTTAATAAAAACCAAAAAGCAAGTAGCACATATGTTTCTGAAGATAGTGCCCTTGGTATTTTATAAATGCCTTTCAGCTGCTCAAATTGCAAAGCAGCACTGCTTATCGCACAACCCACACGTGCTCGACATAGTAATTATACGTGCAAACCACGTGATGTGCATAAGCAACGGACGTGCAGTTGCGTGAAGGAACAGGGCAACGAATTTCAAGTTTATCCTATTGTGCAACTCAATATAGAAGCAGCAGACTATGATTAACGTAGTTATCGTATTCGACGCGATAAGCAGGAGCAAGGTTAAAGTATGCCGAGCAGATCTACCACTCGCATGAGAGCTGCTGGCCAGCAAGGTTTCGGATCGGACTGCGTTTCAGTTTTACCAAATCGTGATTTATCTTGCGGGAATGTGGTTCCAACTTCTAACGATAAAGTACTAAAAGGAATCTTTTGCTCATTTGTTTTCAACTGGCTGACGTCCAGATCCTGGGCCGCAGAGCCTCGGGCAATCTAACGCTTAACGACTCGACCTCACCTCGGCCGACTTGCTTAACCGCTTATGGTTGAAGAATAACAATCTAGTCACAGGTGGTGTAACGCTTGAAATCCGACCCCCCCCCACACCCCCCCCCCCCCCCCCCCCCCGAGTTTTTTTCGCACACTTCCCACTTGGGGTCCACAGGGAGAATAAACAGAACAAAGGATTGCAAGGCCGACCAAGCTAAATGGGCTCATTGTCGCCAGTCGAGTCGATAGAAACCAAAACCAAGACAAAATACCCTTTTTTTTGGCGCACGTTTTGCCATTCGGTGCATAACGGCACGAGGCATTGGCTGTGGCGCAGTTTCTGCAACATGGCGTAGACAAATTCGCCTGGCACAAGATGGCACAGCCATTCTACCCCTGAAATGTTTAAGAGCTCAATGAAGGGAGTGTGTGCAAGGGAGTGAAGGTTGTCCATATGAGCTAACCCAGATATCTTTGGTTGTCTTAACGGGCCGAAGCACCTGCAACGAACGTCAGAAAATGGAGCGAGACTCACGACGCTGAGCTAAAGTTAGGGTTAAGGGCCTTCCACGCAGGATACAATCCACTCCAACTTCAGTTGTGCATAGCTTTTGCCCGACTGAAGTGTATAGGTCTTCGTCTGCTCCTGGTCCTCCTTGAACCCCGACTATGCAACACTAAGGTTGATGTCTACGCCGAAATACTCCAAACAGGCTGTGTCGCCAACCATTTTTGAAAAATCGCCAAATTTTTTGTTATGCGTGTGACAAAATGATGTTGCCTCTTGACATCCCCACAGCGAGAACATTAATTATCTAGGTTGCTGGAAATCTACCAAAAAACAACAGGGCCCTGCAAACCGCTTTTCCTGTGTCCCAAACGGGGAGCTCGTTCTACTGATCTTGACAGAAACAAGCGTCCTTTCTTGGGACCCGTGGAAGTTGGCTATGAAAAGGGGAGGTCAGGGTTCAAGGAGGAGGACGATGGACTGAGTGCTCAACAGGGAGGTCGGCGTTAAGCTTATACTTGGCCACGAGACCACACCGGCAGATTGCCGAAAGTGTAATCCAGGCGTCTCGTGTCTTTCCTTCTGACCACTCAAAAAGTAGTCGCGACAGCCCTTTAGTTAGAATTGAAAACGACCTCATGCATGACACGAATTTAATCATGTGCCGGCAGCACCCTACCGGTAGCCATTCTCGTTCCCGATCGTAGGATCAAAACAACAAATACTGCATGTCAATTGCACTCACACTGCATCACGAAAACATATTTAGGTGATGCCCCTCGCCGCCCTCACCGGGGAGGAGGTGCGGATGGAATGCGTTCGGACCTAGCCTCAAACCAGAACTTGTTCACTTCATGCCGACACAGAGAGCACTCCGACCAAGAGGCCCAAAGCAAAATAGAAGAGGAAGAAGAGGTCCACATTCGTGAACAGTGAGGTAATGCCACGAAGGTGAGCAGACCTCCGAAAAAAGAATCCTCCCTGCCGATATAACGGGGAAGGAGCGTGCTGATTCGGGCACCATCTATCCACCTTTTAGAGAAGCGCCAGGCGCGCCAAACATAATCTGGACGCTCCAGCAGATCAGGTGACATCACCTAAATGTTTCTTGAATCGTGCACTGCACACACAGTACAAAATATTAAGCAGTGATAAGCATGGACTAGCAAATTGACGTCTGAAATGGTACGGTCAAGCTCCATAAGGTGCAGTGCAATTTTGAACACGTACCTACCGCATCTACGGCATACTCTGGAATCATTATCATAAAAACTAATAAAGTGATAACCCACAAGCCATCTGTCAGAAAGCAGTGACTTCGAAACACTGATTCTTTCGTGTCCATCGGCACCGCCCGACGGATCTGTCAGGGCTACTCGGCGAACTGACTGGGCGATATGTTAAAGATATACTACAACGAAATTTCTGTGCTTATTTTATGGTCTATTTGTGTTCAAAGGAGCAGTATCACATAGAACACACCAATATCTTGCTAAAAAAGTCACGAAAAGGAATTTTGAAACGAATTAAACGATTAGCAAAGAGCACCTGGTGGATGTCACTAACGCCTCGTTTGTAATGACCATCTAGGAACCTTGGCACCTAGTGACGGTGAGTGTCGCCTCCGGCCACGACGAGAGAAGAGGGGAAGGAGAAATGTCCCCCTACAAGATTATAGAAGATTAACCCGTCACTCAAAATTTGTACAAAAGCAGCCGCTTCGGTGGCTGGAACGACTAGGCCATCCCCTCGATGTCAGCCTCGCCGTAGCTTTGCTCGTCCCGAGACGACCTACGTCACGATTGCGTCAGATGTCACGTGCTCTATGCTGGGCCTTCTCCGAGCGCTTGCTAGAGTGGGCCGTTTATAACAAAAAATACAGCCACCAGGCTCAAAAATACAAACGTGCGATTGTCATTTACTGATATTGTGGATCATATTCAACCCATTTTTGAACACGACGGATATATTTCAAATTTCGTTGAAGTATCCCTTTAATAAGTTTTCTTCTGCCGATTACGTATGGCATACAGTACGAAACGAACGTTTTTTTTTTTTTTTTCAAATGCTGTCTCTGTCATCTTGTTTCTTTTCGCACCGACCACGGAGAAGTAACAATACACATCTACCTCAAATATCGTGGCTTTGGACAGACCTCTGGCGGTCAGAGGAGATTTTCCTCCTCGTCGCACGGTGTGACTGAAACATCACGCCTGCCGACAGAAGCACGGCACCTGCGCAGATGCTTCACCGCACGAGATCTGTGATACATATCTCAACACTGACTCATTTTCGCTTGTGGTCATGCTCGATGTAGTAACTTATAAAACGACCGTCCTCCTCGTTTACTGACGACGGGCGGCTGTAGTGTTTACCTGGTCGAGCATAATCCCGCAGAATGCGGCCAAAACGAGGGCCATTCGCCGAGACGCGCCTACGACTGTTCGACGAAATATTGTTTTTTCACATTTCATTCGGCGAGTTTCAAGTGAATTTGGCGCGTCTGAATTATGCTGCTCGTAGGCCACGCAGTGTTCTTTAGATAAGCATCAACATGACAAGTAAAGTGAATGCGCAAAATTGCCACCTTGAAGGGGGGAACGCGTTCGGCCGTTTGCAGATGGGGCACTTCGACAAGGTGGATCTGAGGCTGTCGTCCACGTCGTCGTACAAGCACTGGCTGCAGGCGTAGTGCTGGCAGCTTCCGAAAACGATGTTGATGCTCGGACAGAAGCATATCGGGCAGCTGAAGCTGCACGAAGAGAACACATTAGCATGCGACGAACGCAGCTATTACTCTTCGTGAAATGTATATAGAGGTACAAAAAGAGGCAGTTGAACTTACGTCAAATCGAAGTCTGTCCGTTCCATTTCGAATTTGACTCTCGTGCCCTCAGAGACGGGATACGCCAAACAGAGCAGCCGCGAGCCTCGTAAAAGCTCGTATTCGTACTTCCTCGCTTCGTCGGCTTCGTGCCGTTCGTGCTGTCAACCGGCTGGCTCCCGTGATTCTCGCAGACAACAATCAGCATTTGGCGCCAAGTGTTGTGATTGGTCAATGGTATATCACGTGATCAAACGTTAGTAGTTTAGACGACTCGATGCTGGAGCTATTGGTTGGACAGCTGAATGGAGCCTTCGTAGCAGCTGGCATGCACGCAGCATGCATGCACAAGGCGGCTGGATTGTTTTGACGGCTAAATAGACAAAACAAATTTGCCTCCGAAACGTGCTTTGCATCCACTTGATCTCCATCTGCGTGACACTTTTGTTAGTTTTTTTTTTGCTATAGCACCTTGTTGATTCTGGCTGGGAGATAAGGTATGCTTCTAAATTCAAAGGTGGTATCGCGATGATCGCGATAAAGCTATTCTTATCTGGCGCTCGCTTATGTGCGACCGATTCCCTAAAATTTCGTCAGGGACTGTTATGAGTGTTTTGTATTCGTACCAGCAAAGATGTTCCCCTGGCCCGGCTTATTTCAGATGCACCACGAACCGAAGAAGATGAGCGAGGCTCACTTTTCGGGCTTGCCGTCGCAGAGCAACATCTACGGAATGACAACTTTGAACATCGGCGATGTCAACAAAGTCCTGGTATCGTGCCTACAGAGGAACGTGTTTTGCGTCGAGTACACCAGGAACAAGAAGAACATGCTCACGCCGTCGTCGAGGGAGATACATTTCACGTATCTGCCGGGTAAGATCCGTTCGTAAGGTTCTCGCTGTTAAAAGGGCCGAACGACGGAACACTGTCAAACGAGCCGGAAAAATCGGCGCTCACATGTAAACCTCAAACTTTTGCCGAATGTGTATTCAAGTGGTGAATTTTATCTGGTGAACTTCCAGGGCTCTTTAAACAGGACACCTCAAAAACGCGTGAAGCTACACGTCGCCGTATCAAGTGCGGCGATCGCTTCCGTCTGTTTTCTTTTGGCCCGGGGGAAAGCTTTCCTCCGCCAAAGTCCGCTTGTGTCCTTCACGATGCTCATCATGCGGGTCCGGACATCACACGCTCTGTTGGAACTCGGTTGTGCCTTCAAGTCCCGAAAACGGGAAAGCGAAGTCTAGGAGGGCGCGGCAGTACAGATGGGTAGGCAATAACAGGCACACCATTGGCTGGAGACGTGTGACGTCAAGTCTAACGAACGCAGACGTCAAAGAAAAGCAGAGCAGCTGAGGAGAGGAAAAATTGTATGTCATGTGACCTATGCACCACTTCAGTTTCCCGGGCAAATTTGGCGACAATGTGACGATCGTCATCGTCATATTGTTGAATAAGCAGCACAGCTACTGCTGCTTAAACGCACCACGCTGCACGATCGTCCCCCCAATTTTTTAGTACACAAAATACACTGGCTACGAGGAGCTCTGTAGTAATTAAATCGCAGAGCACTGCATTGACAAACCGATGTTTGCGGTTCACTTCATCTAAAGTAGATGGTACCACTATAGTGACAAAAAAAAAATTGGGTCATGCAGTAGAAAAAAAGTTAGTAATTGTCTTTGCACACATCCCTTTCAAATGAGGTATAAATAGTTTTTCCTCTAATGCATATTTATCCCCCAACCTTTTTTCTCGTTCTGACAGAGGGAGCGGACGTGATTGCTATCGACGCTTTCAGCAAATCTGTGCCTGACAACTTGGACATCATCATCGGAATCGCCTTCATAAGGGTAAAATCCCCACCTTTTCTAAAACATGCTGTACATTAATGCTCTGTTTACAAACAAGCAGCAATAATGTGGACACTGGGGCATGATCAGCAGCTGCTCCGACCCAGTATAAGGTCATTGCAAATGCTCACGCCCAAGCCGTGTCGTATATAGGGCATCATTCTATGTAGTGCAGTGTCGTGACTTGTCACTCGCGACGGAGACGAAACGGCGAGGAGCGGCATAATTTTACGCCTCGTTTACGTCCCACGGCAAACGCAGTGACATGTGCAGCAAAAAAAGAAACAAAAAACACCAAAGTGGCAGACAGTGCAATGCATGTGTGTTGCACCGTCTGCCTTTCACATACCTACCAGACATGTTATTGTCATGGGCTTTCTGGGCATAAACCTCGATGCATTCACCTCTGGGCTGACAGTGACCGTCGCGGCATCAGGAGAAGCTCTTCGGTGCCACTGCCGCTACCACTACTTCAAAAGGATTCGCGTCAAATCTTTCAGCCGGGCGAAAACCAGCTGCAGAGGCACTACCTGAACATCTACTCCCAGTCCGAGCCTGGGTGTGGCCTCGATCTGGACAGGATCGCACGTGAGGCTATGCTTTTCTTATTGTAACGCGGCGTGCGTTATGTGACTGGCACCTAACAGTTTCCTGTAGCGCAGATTTTTGCAAGAAAGAGAATTGCACGCCCGCTGCATCAGCAGACGGCTAGAACCCGATTCCTTGCCAATTAAGCATGGGTTGCAACCAAATGCGTCAAATCTGTGTGCGACACGGGCCTTCGCTAGGCCGGTACTACGGTGCTACAGTCTTGTTGTATTGATCGGGGGTCTCCAAACCCCGCCCCTTGGGCCATGACCGCCCTGCGGACATCCACAATCTTTCCAGTTAAGGCCCGTTCACACTCTTGCGACCGAGTACAACTGAGAGAGACGAGATCTCTTACAACTTCTTAAATGTCTCTAGAATGAGGGGACACACTGACATTGTGGCGCCATCTATGCGGTGACCCTAGAACTGCATTTCACAAAAGCGAAGGTTTTGCGGGATTTCCAAGGTCAAATGTGCGTAATACCCATAGAAAGGCTCGTTTATAACATTGACAAAAGTTTTTCGAGCCAAAAAAGAAAGGATATTGCTCGAGAAATAAAAAAAAAATATGCCGGACCGCCGAGTTTACACTGCTTCCCAATAGATGGCGCCAGTGTGTTCTCTGGTTTAAGAAGTTTTAAGGAACCCAGGTTTAAGAGGTCGCAAGCAGTCGCAAGAGTGTGAACGGGCCTTTACACCCGGCCAGCTGCTACCAATGGAGAAATAAACCCAAGCTAAAAAAGAAAAGAAAAAAAGAAACATTGTTGGAATGCACATTAAAAGTGCAAAGAAAGACATCAACGAGCACGGGAGACAACTGCTCCGAAACGCGGGTTCTCTCGCCACATTCTTTATCGTACGTTGTTGTCACCGGCATTACTGTTTGTAGTCCTTCGTTTCCGTCAGTGTAATTTTCTTCAAATTCCTTTGCATTCTCGTGTATATATCATGCTGAGTGCCCCATGTCCTAACTTGCATTTCATCATCATAAGATTACTATTCTCACCCCCCTATGATTGTGTAAAAGTGCCCCGAGTGCTTTATAATTGGTTGATGCCTGGCGAGTTTTCTGGGTTAGAATTAATTTTTGAAATGTCATTATTAGCACCATATTGAATTCAAAAATACAGTATTTACTGGCATAATGAACGCACTTGCATAATAAATGCACACCCCACAACGGGTACCGATATTTGGACTTTTAGCTTCCCTCACGTAGTGAACGCACCTCCGATTTTCGGCTCCGTGAGTCTCATATTGCATCCAAGTTAGCAAGCCACCAAGCCCACCAATCCAATTTTCTTTTGCTGCCAAGTTGTCCGGCCAACTCAAGCCAAGCCAAGCTGCTCTCGTAGTGGCTGCAAGTGCCTAGGTGCGGAAGTGATCAACCGTGAAACCGAGCAGCGCACACACTTGACAAAGCTTGGGTCGAGGAATTTCCCTGCCCAGGACAATCTTTGCCTCTCGGATGCATTGATGTTGACAAACACGCCGTCGTCTGTGGCCTGTTTTTGGACAGTGAAATCGTGAAAGTGGTTAGGCCTAAGAACGGTCGCGTTTCTCTCCGTACTGAGTTAGCTTCGTAGGGCGCTTTTCCTTTGGCACAAGGCACAGACGCGCCTTCATCAGTGAAGACGTGCCACAGTACTATCTTGCCGTGTCACATTAGTAACTACTATGTCATTTGCACAAAGTGTGTAAATGCAAAAATTTTACACTGTGTAATGAAGGCACGGGGAAAAAAGAGTGTTCATTATGCGAGTAAATACGGCATACATGTATTCATCCAACTTACATATTTTAAATCTTTATTCTTGTTTAGATTTCTGTATTTCAATGCTTATTTAGGTTTAATTATTCACTATTTCCTCATTTATATATTCTCCTTTTTATTTTCCAGCCCCCTAGCTAAGACGTTTGGAGACCCCCTATATAGGTTTTGAGCAAGCGTGCTCTCGTATACGGCGGGAGAGTATGCAGGAGGAGGCGGAAAAAGAGAACGGCATAGGCTTTGGAGGAAATGGCAGAGGCATAAAACAGCAACGTTAAAGCTGGCGTGTGCGACCGCAAGAGATGCAAACTTTGCGATCCTCTCCCGCCAGAGTGCTAGCTTTGGCGGGACCTTTCAAGATACTACACATGACAATGTGTGTCATCGAGGTACAAAATGCGTATAGAGTTCATCTGTGGAACAACAAATATGATCTGCGTTTATATCACTGCTTTTGCCACGATAGTGTGGGAAAGGGGTGCATTTCTTTTTTCTTTTATTGAGTTATCTAGTTCGTTTCCTAAAAAAGCAATGTAACCGACTTAACATGGCTAAAGACGTACACTCAAGTAAAGATTTGTCATAGCTTGAAATGGCAGGACCTCACCTATCGCCCAATGTTGTGTCTGATGACTACTTTTTTGCTTCGACAGAGGGCTGTCAGAGTTTGGAGCTGAACTTCATTCCGTATCAGCTGACCCACGCATTGTAAGTACCCAGGGGGTGTGGACCAACATGGTGCTTTAGGCGAGCTATCAATCTATACTATAAAGAAACTTTGACTTAAGTCAACTATGGGAGGATGATTAACAGGGGAATATTCATTCTTGTTGGTCATGCACAAATGGTTGAATGCCTTCTTTCCGTCTCCAGGTTGTTTCCAAATCGAACCAACCGAAAGAACGGAGAGTTTGTGTTTTTGCTCTGTGGGAGCGACTCCAGGATCCATCTATACCAGGAGGTTTGTGTGCCGCCTTTATTATCCTAGATTCACAATATCGTCTCAAATAAAAACGAGGTGCCATTGCAAAGGTGCATTGTCAGTACCGGCGATAAACACATTTAGCCTTAATCCTTTTGTCTTGTAGTTCTATGCTCTCTCTTTACGGCTCTGGTTCAGCTTGCAGAGCCACATATAGTAGTGGACTGAATTTACAAAAAAATTGTTGCCGAAACTGCTGCGCAGATTGTCGTTGAAATGCGATGGCGTTCTGTACCGTCTTGTACTGTGTAAACTTATCTTCTTTAAACTGCATAGGATAGGAACTGCTGTGGAAATTCTAGGAATATTATTCGTCGACGATCATAATGGAGGTGGTGCACCCGAAGCTTCTTCCTGCCGTTCTCACCTCTTTAATGACGATAGTGATCCTAGTTCTCTTTGCACAAAAGAGTGGGAGGATGCCGAAATTTTATTGGCTGCACGTCGACTTCCTCCAATTCTCACTTTCTTTTTTTAAATCTCTATTTGATGCCGAGCATTTAAAATTTTTGCCTTCAGGATGTTCATCAAAGCTACACCGAAGTGCCTGTCAACATCCATTTTCCGGAGTTTGCTGATGTGCAGGACATGTGAGTGATATCTCAATAATACATGTTTGCAATAAAAAAAGGCTGCATTTGCACGGTACTTTGCCGCAAACTATGTTTAAATGCGACGGAACTTCAACGTTTCTTCTGTGAGAGCCATATATGGTCCACCGATTAAAGGAGCTGTGCAACAATTTCAGGGCTTTGCTTAAATTATTGTGGAAGTTGATGCCTGACACTTCTGAAGTGAACTACAGAAAACAGATTTTGCCTGGATACCCTAGCTTTTATTTAAAGAAATGAAAAAGATCCAGATTTTGCCGCCTTTCAACTCGTACGTCGTCTTCCGGGTCACGTGCGCAGTGACGTTGAGGGGGTAGGCGCAGGGATCCAGAAAAATTCTCTCTTTAGACTCTAGAGCCATCCCTGAGCAGCGAGAACTCATCCGCTCGCAACCGCGTGACCACGTTCTGGCGGGTGCCGCGCGAACAATATGGTGAAAGGAGGAAAGTCTCACCCGGATCCGGCCATAGCCCGTCTGGCCCTGTCCCCCTTCCCCTCCGGTTTCTGGCGGCTGTTCGCGGTAGCAGAGAGAGCTGACGGTTTTGTGAACCTTGGATAGATGGCGCCACTAAAACTCCGTATACTAAAAGTTTTGTCGGTGATACCAGGTTTTTGACGCATTTATATATATGTTGGAACGACAAGATTTATAGAAAAGTTACCTTTTATCGAGCAGGTATTCGCACAACTTGCTATCCTTCTACAAGATTCCCCTTTGACGTCAAGCCGCGTGTTTCTCATGGCCGCCGCTCGCGGCTGCAGGTCGGGGAATATTCTAAGTTTTGCCTCGCTATTACGCGGCGGAATCGCAACATTTCGATAAAAGGAGGTTTGTTTTCTGTCATTTGTGACAAGGTGAACAATATCAAAAGCAGAAGATGCTGATTCTTTCAACGTTAAAATCGTTGCACAGCTCCTTTAAGTTGAGATGGACCTCTTTCTCTCGCTCGGCGCCAGGTAGTGGTAGGACAGGCCTTGCTTGCTTCTCTGAAAACAGGGAACAGCCAAACGCTGTTCTCTCTTTTCCAATGTCTCGTCGGCACTAGGGATGCCCCGAACCACCCATGGTTCGAATTCGAACTGAGGTTCAAATTCGAAAGATTTCGATATTGTAGACCGTACCGAGGTTCGAATTCGAAAAGTTCGCAACTTCAAAACACCGTGGAGTTTCGAATTTGAAAAGTTTGAAGCTTTTGCAGTTTCTAAAAGTTCAGGTTGGATTATTTCGAATATTTTTTTACTTGAGGTTCGAGAAATTCAAAGATTTCGATCTTTCCTAACTTGAAATTCGAGAGATTCAAAAGTTTTTAATTTTTTTGGGATCTAAAGTTCGAAGGTTTCTAATTTCTTTGTATCTGATGTTCGAAAAATTCAAAGATATTGAATTTTTTTGGATCTTAAATTGTAAAAATTCGAACGTTTCGAATTTTCATAGACAAAGTTTGATAAATTCGAAGATTTCCAATTTTTTTCTGCATAAAGTTTGAAAAGTTTGAAGGTTTCAATTCTTTTTTTGGGGCTAAATTTGAAAAAAAAAAAACTTCGAAGGTTTCGGATTTCTTTTAAGTCCAAGTGTGCAAACTTTGCAGTTCAGCTTTCATGTTCCTCCACAGTTTCAGTTTCAAATAACATTTTCATGCCTCACTGGTTTTCACGAAATCAGGTTTAGAAAAGTATGGGTGTGATATTTAGTCAGTGCGAAGTTAGTCAGGCAATTAAATGAGACGACGAGTGTCCCAGATATGCTGGAATATTTGCCAGTGTAGAGTGACATGTGACCATAGATCAGTACTTGTGACCGCCAGCCCGGGGGCGAATCTTTAACGTGCATCACACAGTAGTGATCACACAAATGCACTGTTTAACGATACTCATCCTGTTCGAAACAGCCAGGGGCAGGCAGGTGGTTAAGGCTCAGATAGACCTTAAAGCTATCTGGCAAACTGCCTCCCTACCCCCTTGCACGCTGGTAGTAATCCGATTGAACGCCGCACGAGTGACGCTGACATATAGTAAGTTTAGTTTGTACATTATGCAAAATCCTAAGACTGGGAATGAAATTTGAAAGAAAAAGTGTAAGAAGACAGAAAAAAAAAGGGGACAAGACAGCGTCTCAAACTCAGCTCAGGGCAACGTCTCATACTCAGCTCAGCTGAAAACTCAGTTCAGTACAACGTCTCGAACTCAACTGAGCTGAGTTTGAGACGTTGTCCTGTCCCCTTTTTTTCTGTTTTCTCACACTTTTTCTTTCAAATTTCATTCCCAGTCTCAGGATTTTACATCGTGATCAACATACACAAGCTCGCCCACACCTTGACAATTTTTTAGTTTGTAATTGCTTTGGAGGTTTATTTTCTGGGACGGAAGAAACGCCGAGCAAAAAGCACAGAAGCCTACACAACTCGAGGTCGAGGAGCGTTCTACCATACAAGTGGCGTCGGAAGAGGCAAAACGGAAGGGGGGGGCTCCAGTTCCCCCCTTCCCCCCTAGATATTTCGGACTGTTAAAGAAAACAATACGGGGAAAGGGGGCGTGTTCGAGCTTATTTTAATCTGGAATTATTAATGCATATGTATGGCTACTGTCACTCTTCACTGCATAAAAGATTGCGTAGATCAGTGGTCTCAAACTCATTTGAGCGTGGGGGCCAGATAGCCCACACTGGGAAGGCCGAGGGCCAACGTTGACCGGGGAGTGGGGGGGGGGGGGGGGGGGGCGACGGTGTCAAACGATTTGAAAGAGAAGAGACCTCGTGCTCTATGCTTTTTGTAAACTCGATTTTGTTAGTGACGTTTTTAGATTTGATTTGTTCATATGGCTACTTTGGGCCCTGACCTGATGTGATAACAATAATGGAAATGACACCGCCCCGCTACTGTGCTGGCATATTTAATAGAACAAGAGAGCATTTACATTGTCTTTCATGTTGCTCAATTCACTCTTGAATTAACCAAGCTCAATATGTCTCTAAAAAACAATAAGTTAATTTGGCAGTTCTTGCTTTCCTGAAGATTTCTATTACAACACCCATACATGTTTTTAATGGTGATATTTTTTAAGAAGAGAATTCCGAGCTCGTAGCTTTATCTTCGGCAGTTGCTTCTGCTGGAATGGAAAGTTGGGCTAGTTGGTAAGAATCCATGTTGAAAAACAGTGTGAATAACACACGGACAAGGAGAAGGTGGAGCGCCTTGTCCTGTGTGTTCTCTTTCCCTTGTCCGTGTGTTATTCGCGCTGTTTTTCAATATGCTCCTGCTGATTGAGAGTTTGCGCAGCCGAGAAGCATCCTTCAACAAAGAGCTCGCGCCTGTGGCCTAATAGCGGAATTGTTGTACATTATAAAAGCTGGGAAGCAAAACATAAAGCGAAACAAAGGGCAAATGAACACTGATAGGTAAAAACTATGTGAATATGTTAAAAGAGAGGAACTACTTTTCGAGCGAAAATGAATCGGCGATATGAGATCACGATGGCGCATGCTAGCGCTCGAGACCTGACAACCGGGACTCCTAGCCGGTTGCCTGCGGGCTGCATCCCAGCGAGGCGCGGGCCGCGTGTTCGAGACCCCTGGCATAGATGGACATTGTTAGAAACTCATTGTCAGAAGGCACTACTCATCACATGCTTGGTGGTTCGGAAGTTCAAAGCTATGTCTTTTCAGCTGTGCCATTAATAAAAAAAATTAAAAAACAGTAAATGTGGGAAGAAAAGCTGGAGAAACAAAAAATATCAAGAACCCGCCGGAAGTGTTGTATTCTTGCATATTCCGAGGCACAGAACTTTGAAACAAGTTTTTCCTACCAAAAACTTATACAGGCTGAAAGAAACATGCCCCAAAAACATAAAATAAGAAAAAAAAAAATTTTTTTTAATGACATGCTGAACTTGAACAATATTAGAAATCTTCCCCCATGAGTTAATTTATTCCTCAACGTGAAAAAAAACCAATAAATACATTATATTGTATTCTGCAGATGGCAATGATATGTACTGTCTGTGGTGTTAATTTAAATGCGATACCTCAAACAATATAGACGAAAAAAATTACCAACTTTAGGGCGTAATTGCCCGTAGATACATGTTTGGACATTTCTTCGAAACTCGTCTTGAACAACAATAATCATATCTTAGGATGACAATTACCTAGGATTTACATAGATCATTCCTAAAAAGTTTAACATCTCTAGCATAAATAGCTTCGGCTATGACGCGCTTCAGATATAGCACAAACGACAACTGTCGGAAACCCGTCGTCCTTCCTGGCTCCTTCGGGAATTCATTTTTTTAAAACTAAGCATGCCAGAACATTGGAATAAACGGCATTGCACTTCGTTAGGAATGCAATACCGCATGTAAAAATTCGAAAAAAAGAATTACGAATGTACCTCACTGCTTGAATCCAAATGAAACGCCCTGCCCGTCTTTCGAAGTTCGACGAACTTCGAGCTGTTACCCTAAAATTTCGAAGTTCGTCGAACTTTTGACTTTTCAGAATTTGAAAATTCGAAAAATTTCTAAATCTTTAGAGCAATAAGTTTTAAAGTTCAACAATTATCGAATTTCTTAGCAAAAAGAGTTCCAAAGTTCGAAAAGCTTCGAACTTTTTAGTGGAAGAAGTTCAAAAGTTTGAAAATCATCGAAATTTAGTGTATCACAATTCGAAAGTTCGACAAGCATCAAATTTTGCTCCTTAAAAACTAGAAAAGGATCAAACTTTTTAGTGTAATAAGTTTGAAGGTTAGAAAAACATTGCATTTCTGAACGTGCAAAGTTCGAAATTTCAAAAAGCGTCAAACTTCTTAGTTTAACAAGTTCGAAAATTCGACTTCGGTCGAATTTCTCGAAAAGGAAAGTTAGAAAATTCTAAATATTTCGAACCTTTCGAACCGCTTCATTCGATCATCGAACCTTCGGTTCGAAAAAAGACAGACACGCTGGACTTCCGTGGGTCGCTGCTCCTGTTCGGCGATGTGTTCTTTGGTCCGTTCCTTTCTTTCGCGAGACATTCTGACGAAGACTGGAGCATTTCCGGCGAGCATCTCACTCTTGTGAATTATTGTAAAGAAGAGCGGAGCTCTTCTAGGCTAGCACCTCACTTCCATCATAGAATGGGAGCCCACTGCAACCTGTGCGTATTCGCCAAGACATTTGTGTATCATGCCACTTGTAGTCCAATGACCCACATACGAAGCAACCTACGACTGGTGCGTGCGCGTGTACTTTTGATGACCCATGACTTTGATTATCTTAGGTAGTTGTGTCTAAACCATAGAAAACGGCACGTGACCACGGAGAAGAGAGTGACCAGTTCCGACCAGTTCTCGATCGATGGTTTTCGGGTGGAAAGAAAACGAATTTCGAGCCACAAATTGTGTTCTGGGTAGTTGGGCTTTGATATGTCATGCACAAATAAAAACCTTGGCGAGCATAAATACCCTGTCAGTGTAACTTTAAGCTCATTGCCTCCACTAGGAGAGTATTCGGGGCTGGTGGTTGAGCAAGTGCTGTCAATCAACACGCTCGAGGTCCTTGAAACAATCTTGGCCCATGACATGCCCTTATTTTCGCCTTTTCTTAGTAGTTAATGACCAAACTCTCTACACATACGGCTCTGAATGAGATACAGTGCAAAGCAAGCTATTCAAAAAGACAGATGCTCAAACATCACTGGAGGGCTTGTACGTCTGGCTTTTATGTATAAAATTTTAGTGACATAGTTTACCTCCTATTTGTTTTTACACCCATTTCTATCTCCAGCGTTCTCATGATGTCGCTGAAATACGTTGAAAACGAGACTAGCCGCCTGTCGGCCATTGGCTGCGAGAGCGGCCTCGTCCAAGTCTCTGTAACGACATTGAATGGAAACGGTCAGTATGCCCTCTGAGCCATTTGCTTGTCTTAAATCGGAAAATATTGATTGGTCGTGGAACTTTTTACTTCACTCGTTTTACTTTTTGCTAGGGGTGTGCAATTATGAAAAGTTTTATTGAGCATCCAATATAAATATAAAAATTTGACTGTAAATAAAATTTTAATATTTTCAAATACAAATATTTGACGTATAATGTGAATTGAGTGTGGATACTTTTAAGAAATCGTAACTGGAAATCTTTTCTAGGAAGGATATGTATCAAAAGAAACAGTTTTATTACACAAAATACACTTCGTATTCTTGTATTAAAAAAAAAAAAAAAGAAAAAAAGCCTTGATGATTGGGGTGAAATGCGCGAGAGGATGAGCAAATGAACGACTACCATAATTATTTCGGTATTAGTCCGAGGTTTATTTTTCCGGCACTCTCCTTTAAAAATCTGGGGTTAGACTCTAATTATCACTAAAGAAGGCCGATTTACAACCTTCGGCAAAATCTCCGAAAGAGCCCACCGGGATGCTTTGACAAGTCGGCCGTTTCTCCTAGCACGCCGGCGCAGTGCAAGGAAGCTCAATGCCAGAGCACAGGTGTGAAGCCGTGAAGCTTGACGCAAGAATTCGGAGGACTCCAAAGACTTTTGTAATTTCCGAATGTTCCAAAATCTTTGTACCGTGATTAGCGTTTGCTGTTTAATTTAGTTTGCAGCACGCTTTCTCCAGGTAGATATTTGAGATTTTAAATATTAGAAAATTACAAATATAGCATTTTCGAAATTTTCCCGTTTCTCATGTCAAGCTTCGCTGTTTCATAGTAGAGCTGCGGTGCCTCGAACGCGACTCTGTCTGGTGTGTTTAGCGTCCTATTCCGCCCACGCATAAAATGTGGTCCCAAAGTGGCAACAAAATGACATCGCCATAACAATGTCCATGACTTGGGGCGTGGACATTGTCCACGCCTCAAGTCATGGCGAGGACCTCAGCCTCCCCGCCGAAAAATTCCTGGCTATGCCATGGACCTCGCGCTGGAGGCAGGACAACCGAAACGTCTCTTTGTCGTTCCATTCTCGCATCCCATCGGCAACCGCAGTAGTGGTGTCCGAGCCAAATAACTGTTTTGTGGTCCCCTAACGAAAGAAATCCAGGTGGTGTCATCTTGGAAGGTGGACCTCGACTCTCCTGTCTCCGCCGTGCAGTTCTTCGAGGACGGCGTTTTCCTGCCGATCCCCGAGTTTCTCGAAAACGGTGAGCCGCTGCGCGGCGCCGGCGTGTGGTATGCGACTTCGCATGGTGTGATCTGCACATGGGTCGCTGCAATGCAGTGTGCACTGACACACCGGTTTTGCGCTCGACACGACGGTGGCCGATTTGCGAATTTACGTTTGAGTGTTGTTGGGTGCGTTGAACCCACTTGTAGCGGTTCATGGTGAGAGGACACGATGGTGCCTTTTACCGGGGAGCTTTAAAACGCTTCCGATTGATGTATATTTCAACATCTGGCCACACTGAAACCTGTCATTTCCTTTTTGGAGAAGACAAGAGGCATCGGCAAAACCTCCCAACTACCCCCTCGCCCTAAAAGGGCCATGGCATCAGCAGAACCTCCCAGCCACCCTCCCTTAGCTGGCTTCGATAGACGTTCATCCGTTTGTCCATATTTTCTTTATCTTTTATGCAACATACTATCATGATGCGTAAAAGCATCATGATAGTATGATGCTTTTACGCATCATGCATCATACATACATTTTATGCATCATGCATCATACATACACTTTACGCATCATACATACTTCTGACAATGCGAAAAGTTCCTCATAGGTAGTGCGTAGATAAGATCTAGCAAATGCTTAAAAAATTATCCAAAAAAATGTATAGTTTTTTTTTTTTTACAAATATAAACTATGCATCCCCGGGCGCTCATTCTCGGCCCGGATGTATTACCAGCAATCCGAATCAGACGCCAAAGTTTCATAACAAACTATTATCTCTCTTGAAAGTTATGTTATTTTCTGTAACTTTCAATGGAAAAGTGGCGGCCAACGGAGCTCTCGAATACGCGGAGCTGAATGGCGCCGGTTACCAAAAACAGGCAAAAGCGTGCCCCATTTTTCCGGTTGAAATTTTCAACCGGGAATGGTTAGTTCTGAAGCTTGGCCACCTGGTTCCAACCGCTAGTGCTACATTTGGGCGGAGAACGAGCATACGGCGATGCATAGTTTACTTATGCAATGAAAATAACTGTACTTTTAACGCTCCTGGTTGCAAACGGAAATATGTGAACCAAGCTTTAGACTAAACATCAACGCAATAAAAACAGCTACCTGCTCGACTCTCTTACAAGAAGGATGTGCTTTTGATTTTTAAGGTCACTGTACAGTTAGAATGTCTGTCTTTTTTCATTTTTTGAACAAGCATAGTTATTGCATCAGTCACCTTTAATTCATTGGCCCTAATACTAACTTGTTTACTTTTATTATTGTTCATTGGACAGCCATGCATGCAAGTGTCTTTTTAGTGGTGTTAGCGAAAGTCCAGTGAAAAAGTGTTTTTATTTCCACACAAGTTGTTTGTTCATGAAACATTTACGAAGACATTTGTTGGGGCAGGGGTCCCAAAGTTTGAAATTGGAACGCGATTATCGACGCTTTATTTTTTGCCCAGCTGGCATCAAGAAAATTCAAGATGACTCCACTGAAAGCTCCAGAACTCATCTTTTGGTTGGGACCACTCTGGGAACGTCATTCATTTACCGGTAAGTGGGGTCCCTAATTTCGTCAGCCTGCGATTCGTGGATGTTTACGTTCATGGATAAAGAATGTCCTTCCCGAAGGAAAGCTATCCTTTAAAAACCTCTTTAAGAAAGCATTTACACGTCCTACATTCTCTTCCAAAAAAGAAAAAGTTATAGAAATATCTAATCCTTGCTACTGTTTTTATATAATACTTTTCTGCCATAAGTTTTGTGTGGACCAAAAGAAGATATGCCGACCAGTTCTTTTTTTTTTTTTTTAATGATTCATAGTGTAGTAGCTTGCAAGAACAAACAAGCCTTTATTTTGGCAGCACAATAAGTAGACTCCCTTTAAGACAAACGCGAAGGGACCCTGAAAATCCGTTCGGCTTATCAGATGTTCGTCTTAACAGAAGTGCCCTAATTATCATACTGGGCATGTCTGAATTGCTGTTGACCAATAAACACAGAATGAAAAGGCCTACAATGAAGAGAAACTTAGAAAGAGACATTTATTTGGCTTACCATGTTTGTACCTGCTGCTCCTGTGCACCCCGACCACGCGTATCCCTCGCTACTCCGGCGCCGTCCTCCTCCCCCCCTCCCCGAACACTGCCGTGGCACCGCCGTCGGTGCAGTGCCATTGCAAAAGGGACGTATTGAAGTTCAAATTAACCAAAATGCATGCGCAAAGTGGTTTGTGTTAGATGATTTTTTTTTCATTGCGTCTATGGGAAATTAATTAAATGTTCTTACTTTGATCGGCATATCCGAGAATTCAACGTGAGCAAGTTCGCCTTAACGGGAGTCTGCTGTATAAGCACTTAATTAATTGCCATCATCATCACAATAATAAATTATGATGATGACTATATACCCACCCTGTCAGCCTAATCTGGAATGAAAATTGGAATCGACAATTGGCACCCAGCGCCTGTGTCTTGCCGCATGCCAATTTATGATAGAAATTTTATTTATTTTTCTTGCCACGTCTTGCATTCTACAGAAAGAGACACATTTCCCCAGGAAATTGTGTCTAGCATGTAAACAGCTTTCAGAAGGTCAAAAGGTATGTGCATCTGTAGGCGCTTTGGTCATGCTTCGAGTCACCATTACACACTGCCTTTCCTGTGCTTCACCAAGACTGCGAGCCACTGAAGCTGATTACGACAAACGTGTGCAGAGCGTACGTTCGTGATGACACTGCGGCTTTTTGAAGACACTAATAATTTGTACGAGCACGGCAATCGAATGAAGCGACCAGGACAAAAAGCGAAGGGCACCCAAGCAGCACAGATTTGGCCAATCATTGGCCAATGCCTGGGAATAGTCATTTGGCCAGTGGCCAGACAATAACCAGCCATTGGCCGACGAATGCCTTTCTGTGGCCATTGTCGACTGGCCACTGGCCATCGGCCTAGCATTGGCCGATGAATGGCCACTCTTTGGCCATTGGCCAAAAAACCATTGTCAGCAAATGGCCAATGCTTGGCCAAAATTCGTGCTGCTTGGGCAGTTACGGTTCCCACAGCTGCTTAATAACTTTACTCAAACAGACATCCTCGAAGGTGCTTTCGAGATCAACAGACGAATACTGACGGGCGTCCTTCATCATCTCCTCAGAGACATTCTTTCAAGAGGTTTCGACGCATACGCCACACTCCCGTGCAGTGACCAGTTCGACTCCGTCACCTGCGGATGCATCGCAGACATTGACATGGATGGGGAGAACGAGGTTATCCTTGGCACTTACGGCCAGGTACGTCCTGTGTTGCGTTTTCAACTTCGGAGAGAAAGAAATCTGCGGTTGAGACGTTCGGCTGAAGGGACAATGAAACAATTTTTGGTTCGTTATGCTCATCAATCTCGTTTTGTCCGCCAAAGTAGTACTAGTACGGCATAGCTGTTCTCAAGAAAAATGCCACAATTGGGAGCATTGTGTTGAAGAGAAAAATCTAAAATGATTAGAAAGTTACGGGCACTCCGAGGTTGTGATATGTCAGCAGAAAGTGGATTTTTGAGAGTCAAATTCATTAAAACGTTTATATTGAATTACCCGCTATATCGAACTGGTAGATGTTTTTTCGCGAGTTCAATATAAACGGGTTTGACTGTATGGCAAAGAGGAGCTGTAATGCAGTCCGCTGAAGACTGCAGTAGCAGCTTTGCATGTCATCTTTTGCTTTTGTGAACGAGAGACATGTCGTAGAGGTACAGAAACAAGCAACTTTGTTTGGCACAAGAGAATGACGCTGCTCTACCGCATTATTAAAAAGGCCATGAAATGGTGGCTGGAGGTCACAACCAATTGACCCTTCTTCCTCTTTCAGAAACAATCATAAGGTAATCTCACCCAGATGAATTATTAATTCAGCCAGGCTCCCACAAAGTGGAAAAACAAAGGTACCGTATTTACTCGCATAATGAATGCACTTTTTTTCCCGAAAAATTGACACGTAATTGGGGGGGGGGGGGGGGGGGGGGGCGTTCATTACACGGAGTAAAATTTTTGCATTTACACACTTCGTACAAATGTCATATTAGGTGCCAATATGACACGGCAAGGTACTGTGGCACGTCTCCAGTGATGGAGGCGCAACCGGGGCTGGTCGGGGGTGCGCCACAATAACCATGCTTTATAAATTGCAAACCTTTTTAGGGCGCTTTCGGGGTGCCTTTTGCCGAAGGAAAAGCGCCCTATGAAGCTCACTCAGCACGAAAAGCAACGCTACCGTCCTTAGGCGATATATATTGCTAGTATCCGGCGTGCAGGCACACTCGGGTATAATCCGTACGAAGTCCAACCGCCGAAGCCCGCTTGCATAGATCAAGTTTCGTTCACGGAGACAAGAACTCGTACGAAGTCCAACCGCCGAAGCCCGCTCGCATGGATCAAGTTTCGTTCACGGAGAGGTTACCAGACACTCTCAGCCTACAGCGCAGCGTGCGCCTCGCCATGTCGTTCTGTTGCGGATTAAATAAGCGCATTTACCTGGAGTATGTGAAACTAGGCCTAACCACTTTCACGATTTCACTGTCCGAAAGCGGACCACAGATGACGGCTTGTTCGTTGACATCAATGCATCCGATAGGCGAAGAATGTTCGGGGCTCGGCAATTCCGCGACCCAAGCTTCGTCAAGTGTGCGCGACACTCGGTTTCACGGTTGATCACTTCCGTAACTACCGCAACTACCCATTTGCGGCCATTACGAGAGCAGCCTGGCTTGGTTTGACTTGACTTGGCCTGACCGCTTGGCAGCAAAAGAAAACTGGCTTTGTGGCTTGCTAAATTGGACGCTGTTCGAGACTTGCGGATCCGAAAATTGGAGGGGCATTGAATACGGGAGGGAAAAAAAGAAAGTCAAAATATTCATGCCGGTTGTGGGGAGTGCGTTTATTATGCGAGTAAATACGGTACTTCATGGAGCCAAGTTAACAAGGTCCACTGTGCTACTATGTCATTCACTATGACATTGTCACGAGACCTTTATACGAGCATTAAATGGCTACTGGCTACAGGAGTAGAGCTCCTTTATTTCCATCTTATGGTCGACTTCTTTAAAGCACCTCCTCCATTGCCTCAGCTTTCCGGGGGCCTTGGTGAATGTATAACCTAACCTGAAGAGATTATCCCATTCCCATCGGTTTCCGAGAGAAGCGATTAATTACACCCGTTTCCTTTGGAAGACAAAAAAGCTAGAAATAAAAAGCAACACTTCCACATTTTTGAAAAACCGGAGACGACGGACGAAAAAGGGGACAACACAGAAGACGTCTCAACATTCAGACATCTTGTGTGTTGTCCCCTTCTTCGTCCGTCGACTCTGGTTTTTCAAAAATGTCTAACATCAACCAGCTCGCCTGCCTGCTCCCTCTATCTTCAAAACATTTTTTTTTTACAAATGAATTGATTAACTTACGAACACACACTACAGTTGTGAGCGTCACAGGCCCATGCAAATCTCTCGACACATCCTCTTTGTTGCTGGCATCACCCAATCGTCACCGTCATCTTTCGCACCTTGTTTGATGCAGGAAGTACTCGTGTACAAGTTGGAGCGCTTTCCATCGGGCAAGGAAGCTTACGCCCTCTTGTGGCAGCAGACGGTGTCGCACCCCATCCTCTCGCTGCACTACCTGGACATCATGGGAGACGGTGCCTGCGAGCTTCTCGTCCTTTCCACCAAGGGGCTCCACATACTGCAGGTGGGCTACCTTGGTTTGTTACAGGTGAAGAAAAGTGGGATACGCTCTGCCCACAAAGCCCTTCACTCTCTCCACTTTAGCAGAGCAAACACTGGAGGAAACTACCAATCAGAGAGCTTTGTGGTGGGGGCTTGCCCCTCTTTTCTTAACCTGCAACAGACTATGCTATTAATGCAGAGTTGCATTTGAATGGAAGCCAACTTAGATTTTATGTTCGTTCGTGGTGTGCGTGGCACGTCACAACTTGTAGTTCAAAGTCGTGCCATCATGAGACGCCGCTGTACCCACAGTATTATTAGACGTGGCTGAAAGGGAAGCTGAAGCGGTCTTGAATTGGATTAAAAACGCTCGATTCTTTTTAATCCGACTTCAGGCATCACAAATATCACGAAAAATAGGCTATTTCATGCCCGCATTTATCTAAAACGCCTTTGAAGTTGTGTCAAAATCTCGCCCCTCAGCGGGAGAGGGGAGTACATAAAAGGAGAAGGGATGACGTGATGTCACGAAAGGACCCTTGTGCATGCTCCTAGTGTCTAACCTAGTGTCGAATTTTCTCCAAACTTTTCCCTACCATGCACCATGCTTAACTGAAAATTCACCTGAACAAGTGAATATTGTTCCCAACCCTCCACTTGTCCACTTAAAAGCTCAGTTAATTTTAATAAACTTAATTATTGAACTGTGGCGTGTGCACGACAAGGTTGTCGTAGATCCCAATCAAGGAGATTATAAATCTGCTTGCTCTATGCAAATTTCTCTATAATTTAATATTTAACAAAAAAAGAAAAAAAAAACAAAAACAACATGAATGATGAATGCGGATTGTTAAGAGAGATAAAACTTTATTAGGCCCAGAGAATGAGCAGGGGCCTTAGCCCAGGCACCCCCTCTGGTGGCATACTCCAGAGAGGACTGGATGTATGCAGCAAGGTCAGGGGTGGAACTCATGAAATGTATTTGGGAGCAGCCACGGGAGCAGCTGAAACCGCTGTTTTGGAGCAGGTTGGGAGCAGCTAAAACTACATTCTGGAGCAGGCTAGGAGCAGCTCAGATCAGTTTTCACTGCACTTCAGCTTGTGTCTTAGACGAGCACGGGAGCAATTTCAATTGTGCTTAGCAGCACAGATGAACATGAGTGGTTAGGGACCTAGGTAATGGGATAACAATGTAACAAATGCCAAAACTTGAAACTTTGTAAGCCTTAATGAGAATCAAAAAGCAAGTACCATATGTTTCTGAAGATGGTGTCCTTGATATTTTCTGAGTGGCTTTCAGCTGCTCAAAATGCAAATCAGCACTGCTTATCGCACAACCCCCACGTGCTCGACATAGTAAATATATGTGCGAACCACATGACGTGCATAAGCAACGGACGTGCAGTTGCGTGGGGGAACAGGGCAACAAATTTCGAGTTTATCCCATTATGCAACTCAATATCGAAGCAGCAGACTACAATTAACGGAGTTATCGTATTCAAAGCGATTAGCGGGAGCAAGGTTGAAGTACGCCGAGCAGATCTACCGCTCGCGTGACAGCAGCTGGCAGGCAAGGTTCCGGATCGGACCGCGTTTCAGTTCTATCAAATCGCAATTATCTTGCGGGAATGCGGTTTCAACTTCTAACGATCAAGTACTAAAAGGAGTATTTTGCTCATTTGTTTTCAATTGGCTGACGTCCGGATCCCGGGCTGCAGAGCCTCAGGCAATCTGACGCTTAACGAATCGACCTCACCTCGGTCGACTTGCTTAACAGCTTATGGTTGAAGAATAACAGTCCAGTCGCAGGTGTAGCGATTTGAATCCGATCCCCGAGTTTTTTCGCGCGCTTCCGACTCGGGATACACAGGGAGAATAAACAGAACAAAGGATTGCAAGGCCGACCAAGCTAAACGGGCTAATTGTTGCCAATCGAGTCGATAGGAACCGAAACCAAGACAAAATACTCTTTTGTTTTTGGCGCACATTGTGCGATTTGGTGCATAATGGCGCAAGGTATTGGCTGTGGCGCAGTTTCCGTGAAATGGCGCAGGATGGCGCAGACAAATGCGTCTGGCGCTAAATGGCGCAAATGGCGCAGCCGTTCCACCCCTGAAGGTAGACTTGATCTACGAGTGTGGTAACCATAGTTGGTCACTCGGGGTTGGGGAGGAAGGACAGGCAGCTGGGGTTAGGGACGGGAGGGGGATGCAGGGGTGGAACTCATGAAATGTACTTGGGTGCAGCCACGGGAGCAGCTGAAACTGTTGTTTTGGAGCAGGCTGGGAGCAGCTAAAACTACATTCTGGAGCAGGCTAGGAGCAGCTCAGATCAGTTTTCATTGCACTTCAGCTTGTGTCTTAGACAAGCACGGGAGCAGTTTCAATTGTGCTTAGCAGCACAGATGAGTATGAGTGGTTAGGAAGTTATGTAGATGGGATAACAGAGTAACAGGTGCAAAAACGTGGCCTTAGTGAAAACCAAAAAGCAAGTACCATATGTTTCCGAAGATAGTGTCCTTGATATTTTCTGAGTGGCTTTCAGCTGCTCAAGATGCAAACCAGCACTGTTTATAGCACGACCCACACCTGCTCGACATAGTAATTATATGTGCGATCTACGTGACGTGCGTAAGCAACGGGCGTGCAGTTGCGCGGAGGAACAGGGCAACAAATTTTGAGTCTATCCTGTTGTACAACTCACTATCGAAGCATCATACTACGATTAACGGAGTTATCACATTCGAAGCGATGAGCCAGAGCAAGATTAAAGTACGCCGAGGAGATCTACCGCTCGCGTGAGAGCTCCTGGCCGGCAATGATTCGGATCGGACAGCGTTTCAGTTCAATCAAGTCCGGATTTATATTGCAGGAATGTGGTTATAACTTCTAACGATGAAACACTAAAAGGAATCTTTTAGTGCTTCATCGTTAGGGCTGCATACCCTCAAGCTATCTGACGCTTAACGACTCGACCTCACCTTGGCCGACTTGCTTAACCACTTATGGTTGAAAAATAACAATCCAGTCGCAGGTGGTGTAGCGCTTGGAATCCGACCCCCGAGTTTTTTCGCGTGCTTCCGACTCGGGATACACAGGGAAAATAAACGGAGCAAAAAATTGCAAGGCCGACCAAGCTAAACGCGCTCATTGTTGTCATTCGAGTCGACAAAAACCGAAACCAAGACAAAATAGAACTATTTTGGCGCACGTTGTGCGATTTGGAGCACAATGGCGCGAAGTATTGGCTGTGGCACAGTTTTCGCAAAATGGTGCAGGATGGCGCAGACAAATGTGTCTGGCGCAAAATGGCGCAGCCGTTCCACCCCTGGGGATGGCAGATCCAGAAGATGCGATGGGTACTTGGGAGGTTGCCGCAGTGGATGCAGGGGGGAGGACGCTCGGGGAGTAGACCTCGTAGGGCGGGTTGTGAAGACATGGCTGCATAACATATACTTTTGCATAACTGCGGCAGGTTAGCCCCGTTCAGTGCGTTTCTCACCGAGCACCTATGCACTGCGGGAAAACAATACCGGCAGGGCCCGGGAGCTCCGCGGGCATTGCTTGCCCACAGTGCACGGGTGCTCGGTGAGAAGCGCACTCAACGGAGCTCACCCGCCACATTCATCTCCAAGCAAATATTGAATTCGGAACTACTATTCAGAATTCAAATATTCGCTCAACACTACATTTAAGTTTACTGAGATGCATTTTCTATTTTTAATTACTATGTATTTTGATTTGTCTTAAATCCTTCCCATAATCCTTGCAAATTTAACTTTTTATATTCACAGAAGAGGCAGATAAGCTATGTACATTTCATTGAATTGTATCACAAGCTATATATATAAAAAAAGACTTTAGAAGCAGTGTTCTTCCTTAGGGGGGGACAGTACTCAGATAAAAAAATTTTCTGAAAAAAAAAAATAAGTTGATTTTGAAATATGACTATACATCCACCAATATCTAGAGAGTATTCCAAGAAAGCTTAATTAGTTTACACTGCATAGTTATAAATTATTTTCTGTCCACCAAAGATAAAGAAAAGGTAGGGTTTGTAGCATTTCGAACACATTTTTCTCTGTTCCACCTTTTGGCATAAATCCCATTTTAGGCATGCTATCAATTGATAATGGCAATACAGGGAAGGCTCGTTCTTCACTTTTCCTGACTGAAGCTTAATAAGGAATGCGGCTATGAAATTTGTCACTTTACGGATGTCTTTTATAAAAAATGTTGACATTTTGTTGAAGACACAGAAGACCAAAAAGTTGACCAATTTTGCAGAAGAGAAAGTTCATAGAAATAAATGATTTTTTACAAAAATCTTCATAGCCACACCCCCCTCTAGGCATTCTGCTACATATCTAGCGAACAAATATCTTGAATATTGTGATAGTTTTCCGACGATATATTAGCTAAACAATGTAGGCGTGTTGCTGATAGAAGCTCGTCTAATTTCCTTCCCATTAACCGACAGACCTGAAATTTTGTTATGCACCCTCTAGCATGACCACCAACCTACCCTGCAAATTTTATTAATTTTAAGCCTAGGGTTCAAAAATTGACCCACCCAGGAAGTGTGTCCCCTTAACATACAGAAGTAGATAATGATAATAATAATAAGGCAACCATAATGGCAATATGAACTTTACAGTCGTGAAGACATTGTGTTGCTTGCTTGCAGCATGACCTGCAGGAAACTGCTCGAATCTGCGTCGACAGGATTAACAGGATACTGGAACTGATGACCAACAAGCCCCAGGCGGATACCGAAGAAGAGCGCCCAGATCCCCCAGTTTAAAAAATGTAAGTTTAATGTCGTGCAAAACTATGTTACAAGATGTCAAAACGAAAAATAAAATAAAATCCTTCCGTAAGAAGGGAAAGTGCCAAGTGTCATTCACTTGAGGCGATAGAGCATCTTTCGCTGCATACGATGTTGGATCTCGCCCCGTCGAATCATGTAGTGGAGCACCTTGTGAATGGCACGTTCTGGATATTTCTGGTGGAAAGAAAAAAAAAAGGGCAGCATGTTTGCAAGGTATTTTGCCTCTAATGTACACAGCACCACTTTAGTGCCCACAAGCAATTGCTTTTCTTTTAAAGCCAAAAGGTTTCATCAAAACTACCTACGATGTGGTGAGAAGCACCCATTTATTGTGCAAACTTCAACCTTAAAACTTAGCGCACGCTACTAGCCCTTTGAAATAAAATGCAAAAATGTGCCGACATATGTTGCGTATATGCTAACACTGTCATGAAATATATATATATGTGTGTGCGTGTTTGTTTGTTGTACACCCGCCGGTGATATGAAGGTGAATGCCGGACTGTCGACCGATCCGTGCTATCAGCGCCATGACGCGGCTGCCGTGGCAACTCGCTTTCTTATCGCGTGCTTTGCCGAGATTGAGCGCTTGGATCGAGCGCTGTTCTCAGTTCTGCAGCTGCTCCCTGCGGAAAGCGTAGAAGTGGGTTTCGATTTCAGCGTTGCTTTTTGTGAGCGCCAAGCCCACGTCATTGCCGGCAAATGATTCGCACATTGCACGTGAATTAGAGCGGACGTTGTTCAGCATGGCTTATCAGTGACTCAACCGCTTTCTTCATTCATGAGCGAATGTTAATAACTGTTCTTTTTAAGAAGTGGAAAATGTAAGTTACTTTTTGATTTGTTCCACAACCTTCCGGTTTAGCACATATCACAAAAAAAAAAAACTACTAAATCACATTGTCTACCGATAGCGTCTGGAAGGCTCATTACCCAACCCCACGCTTTCTGCGGGGAGTAGCAGCAAAGTTGAGAACAGCGCTCAATCCAAGCGCCTAATCTCGGCGAAGCGCGCGTTAAGAAAGCGAGCCACCTTGGCAGCCGCGTCATGGCGCTGATAGCACAAACCGCCAGACGGTCCGGCGTTCACCTTCATATCGCCGTCAAACCAAGCCAATCCATGTGCAGCCAACATAGATATCAAAATGGCCCTTCTTGGTGGTGTTTCCCGTAGGGGTGTGCGAATACTCGAATATACGAATTCGAATCGAATAGAAAGATCCCGAATAATTCGATTCGCGAATCGAATTCCTAGTATTCGGTCACTCGAATATTCGATATATTCGGCCAAAGACGCGCGGTCGGCGCGGAGCTGACAAAAAAGCCGTTTTTTCTCCCGATGTAAGCGCCGTGATATTAGACAGACCATGCGAGAAACACCTCTTGGTCCTACCATTCCACAAAAATCTAACGCACAGGTTAGAAAAAAGAAAAGTAACGAACGCCACGAACTTTATAGCACGCAGATTTACTCACGATCGTGACACAATCTTCCATTGAATCACAACCGAAACAGAAAAGCCGGAATTCCGCGCCATGCCTAATTCTTTTGACGAGTAAAGCCCCTCGTTTCAAATTGAAGCGCCGATGTAGAACACACTTGCCGCATTCACAGAAATCGGCGACTGCACGATCACACAAAGAAAACTACGTTAACCACGCCGATGAAACCAGCCGAGTTATCGTCGTCGTTCTTTTGGAACCGCAAGCGCCGAAAGCCGCAAATTCTGATTCGGAACGAAACGGAACGGAAAAATAGTGTGCCTAGATTTGAGAGGGTTTCCGACCGTTCAATAGCCGCGCTTGAATTTTGAACTGCGAGAAGGTGACGAAAAGACGAAAGCGTCGATCGGGATCGGGATCGGGCAGGCAGGGCAGGCGTCGTCGCTCTTTTGTTTGCTCGCCTTCTTTCCACGCGACAACACAACACATGCGCACTTGCGACTAATCTGCGCTGGAGCCGTCTCCGTAATTTCAGTTTCGCTTGCTTCCTCTTTTAAATCAAGGCTCTCTAAAACAGGAGAGATACGACGGAAAAATGGATGCATAGAGGCAGTCGGACGGTGACTTGCTCCACCTAACCACGTTTTATTTTCTTGCTTCAGATTATATTGGCCTGTTTACTCAGATTTAACACTTATATGTTTATTTATGGGAAATAAAATCCCCGGTGTCCTTTTTCTTCCTTAAAATGAAGACCAAATATCGCAAAATGCCCCTTTTCTGAGATACACAAATATATATAAAAAAAAAGTCGCGGTGTTAAATTGTGCTTTTAACGAGAAAAACAAAAAGGCACGCGTGGCTGTAACTTTTCTTGTTTTTCTTTTCTGTGTGTGACGTTTAGGGTAGATAGATTATGTTTGCGCCATAAAATTGGATCTTTAGTGCCCAACGTCCAACAGCAACTGCTTTTTTTTTTTTTTTTTCACCAGAACTTTTTTACATTTTTGCTATTGTTCTGTACAAGATGCATATTCTACACCAGGCGCATACTCTGCACATATATAGTCTCATTCGCAGCACACTTTGAGAAATTCCTACAAATAAAATCACTATTCGATATTCGATTCGATATTCGGCTTTTTTTTCTTGATTCGATTCGGTATTCGATTCGAGAACTACTATTCAGTATTCGCACACCCCTAGTTTCCCGCTGATCGCTCCTGACGATTTTGTCAGAAAAATCTAACTTTCGGACTGCAATCTGTCCGAAACATTGGTTGTGAACATATATTAACTCTATCAGGTAGGTCACGGTCCCTCCCTTAGGTCCAAATTATCGGCGTTTGAAAAATCAGCTGGTGACTGTAGTACCAAGAGAGATGAAAGAGTCGCTACTTTTTCTTTCGGTATACTTGAATTCTTTTTATTAGACCAATCTCACGTCTGTTCTCAATAGGTCGTTGCCCACGTATATGACACCAACAAGCGACGTGAAAAACCCGCATCACTATGGCCTTGTTATGTAAAAAGTGCTGCCCAGAGCTGCCCCCTGCAGAAAGGAGGAGAGTTTTCCTCTTTTTTGGACAGAAAGTAGTAATTGAGGCGTTGTTACCCCTTCCCGATTGTTCGTTCAGCTTCAACTGACCCCTCGAGTAGCGTACGAAAAAGAAAACAAATCCCGGTTCCTCACTGTGTTCTGCACATAAACTTAAAGGGACCATGAAATGATTCTTCAACTCCTTCCTCTTTAGCTTTAATCCTCAACTCAAAAGTGAAATGAGAAATCATGTGGTTGTGACGTGCTTGAGCACCGGATGCGGTGATTCGAAGCTTCCACTGTGCTTTTCAAGCACCCCATGGTACCTCGCATTCTCAACTCCAAGTGATGGTAAGCACCGTCACGGCACTCATTGGCTGCGAACGCGAATCAAAATATTCGTTGACGGATCGATTGTTGACAAGCGCATACGTCCGAGTGACACGGTCCTCGTGTGCAATGCGTGAGCTTGGTTCAGTTGACGTGTTTCGGCAGTGCGGATGCATCACAGTGAAAAAGTGGAAAGCGAGTAAGAAATAGTCTGCCATATTTTTAAGTTTTCGCACTGAAAAGCAATCTTTTGGCTTTCTACCCTCATGCACTAGTTCTCTTTTGACCCAATGACACGCGATTAGTAAAATTCCAATCTAAAATTATTTACCCCAGCCCAAAATTCATTTCGTGGCCCCTTAATGCAACGGCTCAGGCACTCCACATCGTGATGAACAGACAAACTACACACAATTGTTCACCACGTTACGTCACTGTTACGAAATTCCCCACCACGTCTAGCAAAGAAGTCCCGCCAATAACGGCTTTTGTCGTATTGTCTTGATCGTGCGCCCGTACGTGCTCTGTTCTTTCTGTTCTTGAGGTCCGTTCACACATTCGCGTTTGTTTACGGCCAAGTTCTTGCGATCTCTTACTACGAGAGGACACGCTGGCGCAGACTAAGGGGCGACCCTGGAATTGCGTATTCACCAAGACGAAAGACTCGCAATATTTGCGCGATCAGGCGTTTATACTAGGTATCTATGAGAATTGGTCCCTTATAACACTCTCAAAAGTTTTACAATCCAAAAAAAATAAACAAAAAAGGAATGATGCAAGAAAAAAAAAAGGGGGGGAATGTTCCAAAGCTACTTGATTGATAAGGCTACCGTGTTTTTCCGCCTTTTAAAGGGGCACTAAAGTGTGTTTTGAGAGCTTCGTTTTATGGTCATAACTCAATCTACGAGCTCTAAGCATCCTAAGAAACCCGAAATTATGTTCACGCACGGCCGGCTTGTGTAGTAAAAAAGCGATCAAAGGTCCCGACACTTGCTGTCGACGCAGAATGACAGACGGCACTACCGAACCCTGCCAAATACGGTCAAATGACAAACAGCACTTGTCGGCCACTGGAAAGCGATGGGTTCCTGCCTGGGTGAGCGGCCGATCGATCCCGCTCGTCCGCGCAGGAACCCATTGCTTGCAAGTGGCCGGCGAGCGCCATCTGTCGTTCTGCCCCGATGGCAAGTGTATGGATCTTTGATCACTTTTTGAATGCGCAAATCGGCCAAGAATAAATGTAATGTCAGGTTTTTTTACGATGCTTAGAGCTCGTAGATAGAGTTGGGACAATAAAACTAAGATCTCAGAAAGCACTTTAGTGCCCCTTTATAGGGATGCTGAACCAAAAATCGAATTTCAGAAAACAATGCAGAATTGATAGGCAGGACGCTGCAAATTCCAATACGTCACTCATAAAGCGGTAAATCCAGCGGATTGTCATATTTTTGTAAAAGAAGAGCGCGCTCAAACAAGGCCGAAAAGATGCACAACCCCGCTATTCTCATTTCGTCCTCTTTTCGCTTTTACTCCATGAGGGCGCGGAGAGGAAAGGGAGCGAGGCCATTTCTCCTCCTTCTCAACTCTTCTGCGATAAGATGACGTCAACATTGTCCCTCATTTACTCCTTTATTTTCCAGAAATACGGTTATCCGCTCGAGATATGGCTACATGAGTGGTGTTTCGTGGTTTATGGCGCCCTGTTGAACACTTCTGCAAGCTTATTTTGTGAAATCCAAATTTCAGTTCAGCATTTTTTTTTGAGACCATAAGAGACTTGGTCGAAAGCAGGCGGAAGTGTGTGAACCAACCTCTACCATTTATGTTATAATTTTACTGAATTTTTGCATATTATCGAAACCCTTTCTTGTGTAATACACAGAAAGGGATCTTCAAGGTGTATAAATATATAAATAAATAAATAATCCGGTTTGGGAACCGACCTGCTTGAGGAAGTCCTGCACAATGTTGTGCTCGGAGACCTGCGATCCGACGGCGAAGCGCCGCTTCAGCTGCCCCTCGATGCGCAGCAGCAGCTCGTGTTCTTCCTGGGTTCCGAAGCCTTCGGCCCCAGAAAGCTTGCCCGTCATGGCCGCCTCCAGGGTGGAAACCTGGAACAGCCGCAGCGCCTCGTCCACGTGCCGCTCCGTCGCAAACGCCGCCAGTTCCATCTTGGCCAGGGACTCCGCAATGCGCACGATGGCCTCCAGTTGCCTGGGCAGGAGATGCAGACGCAGCCGTTCAATGGAAAGCTTATAGTGCAGCATTAACTGAGGCTAATACTTCGAGCAAACAGTTGGAGGAAAGGGTAAACCGGTGCCATCTATTAGGTAGTTCTCAGAAGAGAGACATCCTGCAGAGAGTGCAGAATGTCCTAAGGCACCTGTTTTTGTAGATGAAATTTGCAGGGGAGATTTAACGTCAGATAAATGTGTATTGGGGAAACTTCAAGCTCTCTAGGACAATTTAATATATACTTGCATAAGAAGATGTGTCACTCTTCAATAAGAAATCTATGATATGCAAATGAAGCTATTAAGTGCCATTTTGACTGCTTATATATAAAGTGGGGGATGTGGAACTTCGGGTTATCTAGTATTAATAACTCAAATGTAATCATTCAGGAAGAGTAATTACCTCAAAATACGAGATGCATTTCTGCCCTACGTGAATTTTTGAAAGGAAGTTTTTTTCTCAATGAGGATTTCAGCTTAAAACAAAGGAAAGTAGATAGCCCATTCCCCAGTAAATTTCAGTTCAGGAACATCTTGATTGTGGTATCGGAATACTTCTACCTTCGAACAAAAGATTCCTTCGTATGAAATTTGCAGCAAAAAGCGGAACTGAGAAAAATGCATTCAAACATTGAACTCCTTTACTTTGTTACTGCCTCACAATGTGCTGAAAATATTTTATAAAAAGGTAACTATTTGTCATATGGTTATCAAGTTTAGTGTCAGGGTGTACAATTAGTTTCTAGAACCCAAACCCTCAAAATTAATTTTTTTTTTTTTAATTTAAATTTAGGTTTATGTCGCCCCTTAACTGCATTATTAATTTCTTACAACACATCTCAACAATACGCAAACAGGACGGTTCAATCAAAACACTATGCTCGACGCTAAATGAAAAAAAGAAAAGCTAAGCGCACCAATATCACGATTCTCTACAAGTAATGCACAAACTAAAAAAAAAAGCATATAGTATGTAGAGATGTTTTTCCTGCCTTTGCCCCTTCCATCTATTTTTACTGGTACAATCCCCTTTTGAGAACATGCAAGCATACACTCAAAGTTGGTTCTTTTTAAGGCGCTGTCAAGGCCATACAATAACAAAGTCGCCATTCAGCATGCCGTAAACTTACCGTACATGCTTTCATACCTACTACATATATATTCTATCTCCGAGTTCCAACATGGACACCCTCACCTGATGGTGATGGGGATGCTAGACTTCTTGACGTTTTCCTGGTCGTGTTCCCGAGTCCCGTTGCGCATCAGCACATACCGGTTCTTCAGCTTCTCAGCGGCAGCCGCCGAAAGCCTGGGACCACATTTGCTGCGAGAAAAGGACATCAACCAGTTGGAGCAATTCTGCACTTGCATTCTTGAAGGTGTGCTCTGCAGATATTTTTATCTAAACCAAACGAAGTACACCAAAGGTTCTATGTGGCAAAATTATCTATCCAATGTTTAATCATCTTGATAAATGGACTACTGTATTTATATCATAGCATTTCTCAAGAGATTATGTTATGAATTCATGCGAGATTGCTTGCAACAATATACATCTAGCAGTGGCTCTCAACCACTGATGTTTCCATCAGAGAGTCTGTGCGTGTGCACAATTCAGTGACAAAAGAACAAATGAGGAAAACCAAATTGCATGAAAACCAACTGTGAAGCTTTGAAGTGAAAAATAATCACCTTCCTCACTTGGTGCATATGGTTTGGTCTATTTAGCTTTGTAAAACAGCCATCACAAATAAAAAAATATATAAAAAACTTTAATGCACAACTTTATTGGTGTTTGAGCTCTTTGCGGACCTTAAAATTACCCCAAAAGGCCCGTGGACTAATGGTGCAATCCTATCGACAGTACTATCGATAGTACCAATAGTCGCCAAAAACCTGACTATCGATAGTAAAACAACTATCAATAGCACTATCAATAGTTGACTATTGAAAAACAATTGAAAAGCTATGGATTACTGTTGATAGTCGACTATCGGAAAATAATCATTAATCGAAAAACTATCGAGAGTCGACTGTCGTAAACCTATAGACAGTACTGTCGACAGTTTACTATTGATAGTTTTGTGACACTAGCAGTTTGCGTCGCTCACTCTTCTCCTTTTCTTGCTTTATTTTTTTCAAATGGGACACCAACTAGCGCAAGCACTTACAATCCCAACTTTGGTTCAGCTCTCAGTGATGACGAAGATGGGAGTTTGGGCGAATAGAGGAGGAAGGGAGGCGAGCAGTGGTACGGCAACTGTGTTTGCTCTAGTGGTGCAAAACTATCGATAGTACTATTGATAGTCGACTATCGAATAGCTATCGATAGTTTTGCATCACTACCGTGGACCCCTATTTCAAAACTGCTCGTCCAACACATGCAACCATCTTCAGATTCCGAATCGGAACTTTCACGAGCAATAACGTTAACAATAAACCCGAACCAAGGACTCCGGTTTTAATGTGTACAGGTTTGATTCACTCACTCGCTTATTTCAGCGCTCGACTTTGATTAGCTCTCCCTAGAGTGTTAACACTTCGCTCATTTGTTGATTTTCTTCATGTTTTACATGCTGAAGATATCAGCTGAACAGGGCCTTTTCCAAGCACCAATGTATTTCATTAGGGATCTGCTCAAACCGCTTGTTCAGAGCATCAAAATGTCGCATCAGTCAGCTTTTCTGCAACTCGAACCAACAAAGAACTTTAGTTCGACTCACTCCTTGCAGAAGGCGATGTACTTCTTGAGCACACTCAAACTCAACTCCCCTTCAACCGCAGCTTGCTCGTTCGTCTGCCCGGCATTCATGTGGAGGTTGATGACGTGCTTTGCCATTGTCTGCAAACCAACACGCAAAAAAACAAAAAACTGTGAAGGTTTTTTTCGGTTTACACTGTTTTAAAGCATAATACGTTCACATACTGGTTTGCTATCTAGAGTGCCACAGCACCCTCAGCACCTGCCTGGTGTCTACAAAAACAAACGCCCATCTCAAAATTTAGAAGCGCCAAAAAGTCTAATGCTAAGACATGCACAACGCGTTCTGTGTCTCTTAATTTTACCTGAAGAATTGAGGTATATTGCAAACTTTTATGTGTATACAGTAGAAATCTGTTGACAGGTTCTCAGATGACACAGTTTCTTGTCTGTTACGCACAGAAATTCCAGTCACATTGAGCATTCACAAGTACTGGTTATAATCACGTTTACAAATCTCTCAACTGATCTGTAACATCTGCTTATGAAGTCTTAGTGCCCTCTTGATTGGTGAAAAGGAAAGGTTAAAACACTTGTCATTTGAGGGCACCAAAAAAAGAAAAAGCAAGAGGTGCATTAGGTTGTGCAGAAACAAAATGTAGATATTTTTAACCTTATTTTATTTCTTCTTTAAATATGCAGTTTTTATTTTCGAATCCTTAGGGTGATGTATTGGGATGGTTCACAGTTGTTCACGGCAATACGAAAACAAGTATTTGGGTGTCCAAACCAGTTTTAAAAAACATGGCGCAGGCATTCCTGAGCCATGCCTGCGGTCTCACCAAGTCTCGCTTCTCGTCGTGTACATCCTTGACGATGAAGATCATGTCAAAGCGGGACAAGATGGTGGGCATGAAGTCAATGTTCTCGTCCGCCTTTGTGTCGTCCCAGCGACCGAAGACGCTGTTGGCTGCCGCAAGCACCGAGCACCTCGAGTTGAGGGTCGTCGTTATCCCGGCCTTGAATGACAATGATAAAAGAAAAGGGATAGAAAGGCAGGAGGGCGTCAATGCCATATACTAATCCGTTCAAACCAGTAAAGAGGCCACAAAACAATTCTGAGGTGCAGTTTTTAAAGCGATAGCTTCACGGCCGACGCTTTGCAGGGATTTCATGGTAGGCGTTTGTAGTTGTCTTTCGTTGCAGCGGAAATGGAAAAACCCTTCTCTCCTGTCGTGACGCAAGAAGTCGGGTGTTCCCACTGCCCGTGCCGCACGACGAGAGGAAAGCCCTGACGACCCGCCAATAACGGCGCGACGACGAGGAAACGTCGGCGGAGCTTCTTCCCCCGTCTGCTAACGATAACTTCAAAACAGGTGTTTTCAAACATTACTCACATTATACAAAATCCACACTTTGACAGTATACAGTTGCTACGCGTAATCTTAAAAGGTTTTCGAAACTTCCGCCACTTGCGACTTCACTATGACATCTCCACTTCTCTAACTAAACTCGAAAAGTAAAATGAATGACAATTTATGAGGTGACGATGGACTGTGGAAACTAAACGTTTGATTGGGGTGAACTTATACCTAAAACACAATAGGAAAAGGCTAGCATCACAGGCGTCGATGGCGACGTAACAGCAGGATCGAGCGCTGGGGCGAGACTGACTTTGCTGTGCAACGCGGATCCCTTTATGTAGATGCGTGGGGTTCTAGAACAACCGGCGTAGAAGGTTCGGCGCGCAGAACATTTTACCTCGAGTAAGCAACAGGGTTCTTGAATTTACCAGAATGCGACATTACAGCTGCATGCGCAGCAATAAGTTCTGCTAAAACTTGTTGCCTTGCGCCTGCCTTCGGAGCTTTGCCTCAATTACCCGCATATGTCCCACTCTCCGCTTTTTGCCGTGAATGTCGACGTTATTCCCTCTCTTCATTGCTGAGTAGCACTGGGAAAACGCGCATCTCTGCTTGTTTTGTCACTGCCGCACACCCTCCCTAACGATGCTGCCACCCCAAGGCCATGCTCTGTCCCAGGAGCGAGCGCGGAGGGAACGGCTGGCTTCTGCGGCTCGCGGCCGGCGTCCCGCCCACACTGACCACCAACGAGAGGCCGCTTGTATCGCGCGTAGACAACAATGTGAGGGTCCCGAGGTGTGCAAATGTGCTACAGTTATTGCTTTTACTTCTTCATACATTATGGGTGAAAAGGACACCTTTCTTCTGGCAAATTTTGTGCAACACGACAAAGCAGTTTCCTCCTCTCCAAAGTTTACCCTGCTAAAGTGGAACTAGAGCCACTAAATAAGCTACGCTTCAGAGTAACAACACTACCCACTGTGGGGCTTGAGGTCATGGTTGTTAGTTATCTGAAGCTTTATCTGAAATCACAGGGAAAGCTTTTCAGTCCTAAACAAATGTTTAAACAGTTTACGACAGAGCAAAGCAATATGACATGAGCTTCCTAACACTGAATCTAATGCTGAGGAAGTTGCACTTTTGAATTAGTATGAAGAAGCAGCTGACGTGGAGGAACGTCTTGGTTAGCTAGAAGTGGTCGGAAGCCTGGGGTGGGCACCTGATAAGCCCTCTACTTGTTTTTCAAATGTTTCGAAAGTAGTGGGTGGGCATTTACTGAGACTCGAGTGCGTGTTCAGTGTTTTACGGTAATGTTGGGAACAATGAAGTGTGATGCCCACCGGAAGTATCGGGGCCATTGAGTGCAGGATATAAAGAAGTTCATAATCATGTCTACACGGTCGAATCTCATTAATTCAAACTCGAGGGGGATTGAAAATTTGTTTGAATAAAGCAAAGCTTGAATTACCGGGAGTTTTTTTTCCCCATAGAGACGCATAGGATGGGACCTTCAGGATAGTTTGAATTATCCGCAAGTTTGAATTATGAGAGTTTGAATTAAAGACAGTCTACCGTAACATTATTTTCATGTTCTGACTAAGAAGTTCTTCAGCTAGTAGAGGTACTCGTAACTTTCTCTGAATGTGCAAAGCAGTCATGTCAGCTAAAACAATACAACAGTCAAACCTAGTCTTCTAAAACGGTCCTGAGGTTGGAGCTACGTTTAAAAACGTAGCTTAAACCTCAGGAGCCACGTAAGCATGAAATCTGTAGGTTGGCCAGTTCCGTAACTGCTAAACGATCTTGAAAAAACCCAGTCACCGGCATGAAAGTCGAGTGCACATTTCTGTCCTACGGACCGAGCACGTAGGAGTGCGAGGAGCAGAAGCAGGTGGTGTGAGAAAGTGTTCGGAACAAAGTGGAAAGAGAAAGAAAGAGGAATGGAAAGGCGGGATAGAGCGCTTCCCCTCTCTTGGTGATCCAGAAAAGTCAGCGCAAAGGCTTTGTATCGGGGTGGTGCTGAAGGGAAGTGCACGCAGAGCTGCAAGGAGACAATGGTGTGATGCAATCTGTTTCCTTACGAAACGCTACCCTGGGCACCATCTGAACCAAGAGCACCACCCACCCCAGGCCCTGAAAGACTAAGGGTGATCCTGCCCTAGGCACCACCAAACTAAAAGCCCCACCCACCCTATAAAGTTATCACATTTAAATGCATTTGGCAGAATGACCCAACACGCGGTCAAGCTTTTTAACACAGAATGTGCTGTATAGCTGGAACCTAACCATAGCCGGTTAGGTGCCAGAAACGAAAATCGAGAGGCCAAATGCCAGCCGACCACCAACGCTGCGCTCATACCCTCGCTGATTGGACACCGGTGCGTCTTCCCGAGGGCCGTCCTCACCTTGGCAATGGAGATGGTCTGCTGCTCCATGGCCTCGTGGATGGCAACCCTGTCATCTTCTCGCATCTTGTCAAACTCGTCGATGCACACGACGCCGCCGTCTGCCAACACCATGGCTCCGCCCTCCATCACAAAGTTGCGCTACGGGGAATTGGAGGAACCACGACAGAGTTTTTAAACACTAAAAGGCACTTGCCGTCAGCAAAAAGGTGACCACAACAAATCAAGTACACTAGGTGCCTGCGTCTCGTCCCACACAATGGCTCTGCTTTCCACCGTAAACTTGCACGGCAGAGTTGAACAGATTAAAAGTCATTCCTCAATAATTTCGAGGTATCTACAACAAACTGAAGCACACATGACACCGAAAGGGCTAGCCATCATCTTCTTCACAACTAGCCATAATAAAAACATAGGACATTCAAGGTTGCAGTACTACTACTGTCGTCTGAAAATTGTTAAAAAATCCTCAAACCAACACGTTTTGATATTTATGGACGTGTGAAAGGAAAGAAATAATTCTCAGAATGCAGTTTCAGGGTGTCTACCAACCGGGAAAACCGGGAATTCTGAGGGATTTTGAATAGTCTGGAAAATCTCGGGGAATTTGTGCTTCTATCAGGGAACTTTTTTTTATTATTTTTTTTTTTTTTAGAAGTGTTACAAATGGACTTTCACAGTCCAAAATTCTTCAGATATCAATGGAATGGGCTAAACGTACAGTCAAGCCCGGTTATATCACACCCGTGTATTTCGAATTATTGTTTATATGAAAGAGTCCAAACATCCCCTAGAAAATCACATTATTTTTCTGTATCGAATGTCCATAACTCCCGTGGTGGGGACACTTGATGTAGCGAACAAAGACGAAGCACCGCCAAGCGCGGCCGTCCTTCGCTTCTGGGGGTCGGATTGCGCCGGCCGGGAGCACATAGCTTGGGTTGCGGGGCTGGCAGACCACCAAGCCAGCATACGCGCACGCGGGGATACGCAGCGAAAAAGCGGTTGTATGAAAAATTAAAAAAACCCAAGAAAAACAAAAAAGTGGAGGATGGCAAAAGCAAAGGGAAGGGCGCCCGCGCGCGTAGGGAGGGCAGGGAGTGCCCGCTGTTGGAACGGTCGCGTGCGCTCTTTTCCCTGAACCATAGCCCGAACACCGCTGTCGCTTGAGCGGCATCGCCGTCGGCATAACCGTAAGGTCACGTAGCCTTCCCCTTCCCCCCCCTCCCCCCGAGGTTACGTGACCTCACGGGTTTTGGGGGGGGGGGGGGGGGGGTTTGAATCTAATAAAAGTTACTCATTACCATTAAAACTGTATTATGTTTTTTTTTTATTATAACATGCTTTTTAGAGAGTAACAGCATCTGGCGACATGGTGTCAGCCCATCTTGACCTAAAACGAAGTTCTGTGTTACTCAGGGAATTTCACAAAAGTACCCAGGGAAAACCTGGAAAACTCAAGGAATTTGAAAATGTCAACTTGATAGACACCCTGAGTTTTCAATCTGAAACATACTGCAATATAGTAATGCCCTCTCCCTAGCCGTACCTTTCAGGTTGGTCTCGGACCACCCGGAAGGCACGTTGCAAAATAGTGTTGGGTGATGACTACAACGCGTCGGACTTGCGCATATTCAGTGAGAAGCGAACAAAACAAATTCAAGGCTCTCACCGTCGACGGATCCCTCATGACGGACGCAGTCAGCCCAGCAGCACTGCTGCCTTTTCCGGACGTGTAGACCTGCAAGTTTAGGGCCAAAACGTTAAGGCTCACAAAACAAAATATTCATTCAGTGTCACTGACATGCCTCGTTAATTCATGGTATGGTGGCTGTAAGGAGAGGTGTGCTGAACAGAAAATCAAAAGCATACCACTTGTTCATGACGCCAATGGCACCGGTACCCTGCGCCTGGTGCCATCAAGCTGTGCACAATGGCACCACACGTAGAAGTGCGTCCCGCATGAGCATGAGGAGTACGAGACGCTTTCATGACCCGCGCACAACGCTTCAGACGCTTCACGCCACGCCCCTTCAAGCAGAAATGCACCGGTATCCTGGCTACAGCACCACCTTTCGTTATGAAGCAGCGGCATGTGGAACTAACCAAGAATGCAAAGAGCTCGGTACACCTACCCTTATAGCGTCAAATTCATGGGTAGATGCTCTGCACCCTTTTTGTCATACAGCTGCAATAGGAAGCAGTTAGCAGTAATCCCAGCAAATGTGAGCAATGAGGCTTGCACTAAGTGTTATACTTGCCACCAAAAGAAAAAAAAAAAGAGCCGTGTGCATAGTTGATAGGCTGCACAAAGCAGTTCTTGTAGGATTTATTCATCCGAGGAAGAAACAATGCTTTTTGCGTATGATGCGTGCACATTCTGATAAATTAACGAGCAACTGTTCTTAAGCACACCTACGAGTATCTTGTCTAATTTGCCAGATAAGAGGAAATTAGCAACCTAACGTCCCACGAGGAGCCAGACTTTTTTTTTTTTATTGCAGTTCTTGAGGAGAGTAAGAAACCGTTCGAGTTCAAGGTTCTTGTAGGCTTCAGAACAACCTGAAGCCAAACCGAGCTTTTCATGGCACAAAAACTAAGAAGACAATGCTATATTAGCCAAGGATTAGTTTACCTGAAGCAAAGCAGGATGGTGGTCAGTTTGCAGCAAGAACTCAAACTTGTTGAATCCTGGAAACATCAATCCTGCCTCTTCTGTTTTCTATCTTTATTTTATTTTTTCTTTCCGTGGTTTGCAGAGCTCGCGGCGCAGGTTTTAGGCAGGCGGCCAACTACGTAGGCCAACTTTCTTCAACTGCGACACGCTTCACTTTTTGAGACTGAATCCAAGTTTAGCTTCAGCAAGGATGCATTTCTGTATTAAAAAAAATCTCCTGAGAGTCAGAGTGGCTATCAATGTTTCACTAAAAGACTAAGCTGCCCCCCGAAGGAGCTATAGTCAATAAATTACTCCGAATATGTAATTTCATTACAATTATACACCCGCTCTGTTCCAAGAGACACATATTATGGCTTTCGCGGATTCACTTACGGCAATGGGAGCCACTCTTTCCACAAACTTGAGCATTTGACTCTTGGCAGTTCCGGGATCACCGAGCAGCAGGATGTTGATGTCCCCGCGACGTCTTAGGCCGTCGGGAAGCCTGGAGAAAAGTATGGCCCATCATTGATCTCACCATCATAATTGTAAGTCTCAGGTCTCACGGACACCGCTCTCATCTGGCGTCAACGTACCGAGCGTTTCAACAAAGGCTTTAAAAAAAGTTCCTACTAATAGGGCGTTTACGCAAAAACACGAATGATAGGAATAGCATTTGCATTTTGGCATCGCCAGCCTTGCGCCTGTTCCACAACTGGTACCTTTAACACACCCCTTTTTCTTTGAGTCCTTTTATTATTGACCGATTTTAATATTCCGACGATGCACAGCAAGTTTCTAATTGGAACCACACATTCATTTTCACAAATTAAAAAGTTTACTTGTAAATGTTCCAATTATTTAGCTAATTGGTATGTTTTTTTGCAGTCCTTGACGTTCGCTGTGGCCGGCAGTTTGTTCCCAAGAAAAGTTTCTTCTTTTTTTTCTTAACCACCCTATTGGCGGAAATTTCTGGAAGTCTACACGGAAACACCTGGTATATATTTACTCGCACAATGAACACACCCCCCACAACGGGTACCAATATTTTGACTTTTTTTTCCCCCTTGCGAAATGAACACACCTCCAATTTTCGGCTCCGCGAGTTGGCAATTGCGTCCAACTTAGCTAGCCACCGAGCCCACCAAGCCAGTTTTCTTTTGCCGCCATGCGGTCAGGTCAAGCCAAGCCAAGCCGCTCTTGTAATGGCTGCTAGTGCTATGTTGCCTGGAACGCATCTCCGACTGGTGTGTTTACCGCCTCCAAAAAAGTGGTCCCTCGATTTCCACCTGATGACGTCAAAGAAGTGTCATGCTGTCACCAATCGCGATCCTAGCGGCGTCTCAACAGTTCTGGTGTTTAATATGGCAGACGTCTGTTCTGCTGTAGGTCGCTTTCCACTGTGACAGTCCACGGAAGTTAAAGCAGACAGAAGTTGGGACGCCGTGACGACGGCGACACTCGCATTCGCTCGTGCTTTTCACCAGCATTTCTACAACCAACCGCCAGGATCGCGACAGGCAACAGCATGACACTCCAGCTTCTGTGACGTCATTTGTTGCCACTTTGGGACCACTTTTCATGCATGGGCGGGATAGGACGCTAAACACACCAGTCGAAGACACGCTCCAGGCACCATACTAGTGCGTAGTTGCGGAAGTGATCAACCGTGACACCAAGCAATGCGCACACTTGACGAAGCTTGGGTCGAGGAATTGCCCAGCCCCAGACACTCTTCACCTATTGGATGCATTGATGTCAACAAACACGCTGTCGTCTGTGGTTTGCATTCGAACAGTGAAATCAAGAAAATGGTTAGGCCTAAGAACGGTCGCATTGCTCCGTGCCGAGTGAGATTCGTAGGGCACTTTCCCTTCGGCAAAAGGCACGACGAAAATGCCCTAAAAAGGTTACCAATTTATAAAGCATGGTTACTGTGGCATGCCCCCGACCAGCCGTGGGTGCTCCTCTATCAGTGGAGACGTGCCACAGTACCTTGCGATGTCATATTGGCATTTAATATGACATTTGCACGAAGTGCGTAAATGTAAACATGTTACCTCGTGTAATTAACGCTCCCCTCAAATATGTGTCAATTTTTCGGGGAAAAACTGTGCTCATTATGCGAGTAAATACGGTAAAATGTATGGTGGTTTCATGAAATGCCTTTTCACTTCTGGCAAGCCCATACCTGCCAACTCTTCCGAATTTTTCGTAAAATGTACGAATTGGGACTAATTTTACGATTTTACGAATCTTGCTTCAAATCTTACGAAAAATATATTTCTTAATTTTTTTTTATTTTATTTATTTATTTATTTTTTGTTGATTTTGTAACTCCGTTGTTGGCGGTATCTTCCACCGCCACAAGAGGACGATAGGTACCGTCCACAGCAGCTTCGTGGTTTTTACTATCCATCTATCCGGTGGCCACGGATCGAAAACCAATCCAAAGCTCAAAGCCTTTGTTCGTGTGTTCGGCGGTGCACGGGTGCACGTTGGTTCGGCGTGTTCAGACGTTGTTGGGCCTCGCTGTTTCGGCCAGTTTCGAGGCGAGAAGTACGGCGTCTGTGTTTGTTGCACATGTAACTGTAGCATTCTCCTGGTCACTGGCTTCGCGGCGCAACGCCAAACTCCAAACCTTAAAAGAGGTACTTTCAGGTGTTCCTGAAGTCCTACACGTCGAAATTTCCATGCTTCGTGCCGCCCAAAAAGCGAGAGAAGTTTGTATTGTGTAGCACCTACACGTATGATGTAAGCGTTTCGCACACTGGACAGGCTGACATTACGCTGCACATCTCTTCGCGTAACCCCCCCCCTCCCCCCTCCCCCCCACCCCCACCCGCCGCGGCCGCGGGGCTTTTACGAATTTGAAAGTCCACAGGTTGGCAGGTATGCAAGCCACATTCTGCAAAGTTCACAAACGGTGTCTGCCACATTCCCCATTTGCTTGCACGCAGACAATTAGTCATTGGCGTCGTTTTTGCCGTTGGTGAAATTCAGAATTATGACGAGTGACTCTGTCAACTACAAAACTTGCTAAGTACGGTTGGGGACTTATTTGAACTACTTAAATCCATGCTCATTCGACTTATCGTTCTCTTTTCAAAGTCGCCCTGACAGCACCTGCCGGAACCATTTTGGCAGCTGACGGGTCGACTACACGATTCACTATACTTGTGCACTACTCGTATGTATTTGTATGATGACTATACTTGTAGCATTGGTACATGCATTCGGAAAACCAAAACATCATGAAATGTTGCACGTTGTTCCTGAAAATGCTGACCTTATATTAGAAAGGTTCTACTACTGTAAACGAGTTAACTTTTGCGGGCTCGCATTTTGGAGCGATATTTTATGTTTTCATTACCTTGGGGCGATGTGCGATAAGTGGGAGGCAAACAGGAGTTCCTTACGTGGATGGCATAACACAAAGCTTGCAGTGCTCGATAAGTGTCGACTGGTTTTTTTTCTGTTTTGTCAACCGATTTTTTGCCAGGTGACATCGTAAATGTGGCTCGTGTTAAATTGTCCCATTCTTAGTGGTAGCTCTCAGAACCGTTGGAGCGTCAGGTAACAAAATAGAGTATGAGACGTGTCTCTTTGACTGCAATGGGGCTGCCCACCTGCCAAACGACCGACAACCACCGAACTCTCCATGAGGCTGCCGCACTTTTTGGAAACCACACCCCTTACCTCGTTCCCTTCTGTTATTGGGACGTCTGTCATGCATTCGGGTCATGCACAGATTTACCCTGGGGGTTGGAGAAACCCATCCCTGTGTCTCGTTTTCTCCAATGTATAAACCCGATAAACGCCGATTTCTTTTGCTAACTCATTAAAGGGACTAAAAATAAAATGCTGAAGCTGTGGGGAAAACTTAACCAGAAAACAACCCCACATTCTAAAAAAATAAGCAACGAATTTATGAAGCCCTAATTACGGTATTTAGTGAAATCGAGGAAAAAGAAGCGTCTCGTGGCCCCCTATACCGCATTGCGGAAGTGGTGGTGCTTTGCGTGAAATGACGTTGGGACACCCCACCTTTTGGCAGAGCCACTGAAGAGGAGGCAGGCAATGGCCTTCTTGATGTCGGCAAAGCCGTAGATGGAGGGCGCGATGCTCTTGGCAATACGCTCATAGATGTCCGGGCTGCTTGCCAGGTGGCGGAAGGTCTCCTCTTCGTCGGGGGTGAGCATGGTGCCGCCCACCCTGCCAGCACCCTCCGTGTTCACCGAGATCCCCACGATGCGCAGGTACGGGGCTCGGATCCCAATGTTGGACTTCTCCTGTGGGCGGCCCTGCAATCGCCGTCGATTCGTTTTATGGCGGCAGCTGTTAGTGCTCCTTTCTGGCAAAATACGGCGGCGCTCGCAAGCAAAAACCTATGCAATTGCGGAGGGAGTAATGGCACTGCCGTGCTATTGCTTTCTCTCCATCGCCGTTGCACAACCGTGCCACCTATGGCTGGGCCAGTCTTGTTCACATTGCTCAAAATTACAATTACTATTACTCTTGGTTAAAATTATTCGATTAGACCACTTAAGACGAAAAGTAATTGACCATTACTTCAAAAAATTAATCACTTTTTTGATTACATCAAATTTCTACAAAGGCATATATCTTTCTGCCGGTTAGCAAATGAGCCTTTTTGTGCTGTCCATTATTGAATTCGATTAACCACATTACTGAGTACTCATGTTTGTAATCCACCACTTTCAGTGTACAGCCAAAACCACTTATAACGATCCCACATATAACGACCTATCAGTTATAAGAACCAGCTTTCAGGAAATGTATGAATTTAAGGCCCTACCCATTAAAATTGGTCCAAACAAAACAAAACCGTTTTTCAAAGCACCATACAGTTGCAAATAACACTCAAAGTCCGCTTTCAGAAAAAAAAAATGACCGCATTTCTATGTGGTGAATGATGTTGATTGGGGCGAAGCTCTGGTGGTGCTGATGATACTGATTTTATTGTTCATAGGTAGTGCTGAAGGTGCTGACTTTTTAAAATTTTTATTGCTCATAGGTAGTGCTGAGTTCTGGGTTGCGTTTCGACTTCATTAGCCAATGCATGCAAAGTTTAACACAATTATATACAGATTTGACCGCAGCGCCCTCTCCTGTATAGACGTTGAGCGACTACATGCAACGATTCATCAATGATATCCCCAGCTCTTGAGTTACTACCACATCTCAGAGCCCCCTACTCGTCTCGCAGTTGTGGCCGAGTGGTTAAGGCGATGGACTAGAGATCCATTGGGGTCTCCCCGCACAGGTTCGAATCCTGTCGACTGCACAAACATTTTTTCTTTCTTTAAGAAGACATGGGATGGCAATCAATGTGAGCACGGACGCCGGACAGACAAGGCTAGACCCTAAGGAGCTTCGCTCCTAAAACTCTTGCGCACGGAAAGAAAAGAAAAAAAAAAAAAAGATTAGGAGTTACACTCCGGGTGTGGCACTTCCGGAGACGCTCAAGGTCATTTCCACGGACGCGCGGCATACAGTTGAACCTTGATCTAACGAAGTCACCAGGACCCGCTAATCATTTCGTTAAATTGGGAACTTCATAAAATCGAGGAAGGGATAGCTTGCACATAGGCTGTGCGGGGAATCCGTATTTGTTTGTTAAATCAGAAAATTCGTAAAATCAAGTTTTGTTAAATCGAGGTTCAACTGTATATCCCCGAGGAAACAAAACTACAAAAGCAAAAACGCCCTCTCGAGTCGTGTAGTTCGCTGATTCACTACCGTGTTTGCATGATTCTAACGCACACTTTTTTCCGCCAAAATCGGTGCTCAAAACTACATGCGCGTTACAATCGAAACTGAAGACTGAAACTAAACGAAAACTCAATGCTCGGTAAAAGGTGGCTAGCACCGTTGTCATTGTGACAGTTTGTTTACGTTTGCCGTTTTGATATCCGTATCATGCACATTCTTTCGCATCTACGGACTCGTAACTGCCGTTTTAAGATAGAAAAATTTTTTTTAAAATCTACTAGGACGTTTTATTTAAACGAAAGGGCATCCTGCTAGCGGAAAAAATATAACAACGAAGCAGCACTGCGTGGCCTCGCAATCCCAGCCACCCGACGAGCTCGCAAAGTGTTGTTTGAAAGACGACACCGCCAGAGGCGACGGCCGCGCACTCGTACATGCGCAACAAGCGCGGCACTTAAAACACTCTAGACCTCCGTGGACAGCGAAGAACCATCGCCGGAGTAGTGCATGGCATTTATTTTTGTGTTGGCGTGCGTTTCATAAAATCTGTTATATGAGGTATGCGGTCAATCATTATTTTACTTGTGCAATTGGATCGGCAGCAATTTACTTTTTGATTATCTGGAAGCTAAATCTGCTTGCACATTAGAATTGGGGGCGCACTAGAATTGTGAAAACAGTTTCTTTAAATAAAGAGCTGGCAGAGTGAAACTACCAATACCAGCTTCATTTATAGCACGTTTTCAAGGTAAGTCTGGATATAATAAAAAAAATGATTAAACAACCATTTTTAGTGCAACTATCGCGTTCGTTATAAGAGGGTTTGACTGAACCGTTGCCCTGTCAGAGAATTGGCTTGAGGATTCCCCGGTAGGGAGGTTGCGGAAATGAAGGGCACCATTAGGAAGGGGCGGGGTAAACAGTAACGGTTACGAGTAATTTCATTACTTAAAAAGTAATCAGACTACTACCCCGACCACTCCCTAATAAAAGTAATCAAATGATCATAAAAATTACTACAAAAAGTACTTGATTACAAGTATTCTGATTGCTTGTAATGAGTAGCACAGAAGTCTGGGCTAGACGCGCTGTCGCTCCATCTCTGTCTCCACAGCCGTAATATCTATGAGCGATCTTGCAAAGCTGTTCGGTTCACACACACGCGACTGCTTGCGACCGTATGCCTTGAAACCTCTGGCAATTTCTTACAACGAGTGAACACACTGGCCCCATCTATTGCGTAAAACACTTGCAATGTCCGTACGTCTCCCTTTTCGCATATCAGTTTGTCTTTGTTGGCTTGAATCAAAATACAAAACAGACAAACCCATGTGACGTTCTATAAATGAATGCTGGATTTAGTCAGTTTTGTGTTCAATCAGGGTAAGCTTTTTGATTCTTGGCCATATGGATAGCCTCTTTTACGTGAAAGCTGAACTTCTATGGTGTTCTTGCCCGAATAAAGTTTACTCTCGAGCAAAGATATTTAATGTACTGAAACTTTGAAGAAATGCTCTTTCCAACGAGAGTATGATCACCATTCTAGGACATACCGGCGCAAAGCTACAGCAGTTTGAAAATAGGAAACAGAAGTTTCACATTTCAAAAACACGTGATTTTGCATCGTCGGCTGCCCGAAAATGTTTTATTTCTTCGAAAATACTTCAGATATTGCAATAAGAGTTTGCAGGAGTATACACTATTAGTTGTGGAACCACAATACACAAAAATAGGAAAATCTGTTTTTTTCTGAAAAATTGCAATTTTAAGGTGGTGTCCTCACTTAAGACTCTCGGTTGAAAGTTCTAATGCAAATGTTTGCAACTTGGCAAGCTATAATTTAACACCCAAAGTTTTACTGAATGTTACGCTACGTGTGCCTGAATCAAAAGATTATCTTTGCATATCACTTCAAGTATGCGATAGCTTTTTTTTTTTTACCTTTTATTGCTATGGTTTGATCCGTCCCCACCCCCATCTCCATTTCTCTGTCCGGCCCGCTCCGTCTCCACTTTGTGGCAATTTGAGCCACTGCAGCAAAAGGTTGTCGACTCCTGCTCTAAACTATCATTTCTCATTGATAGTGCGCTCACACATACTGCACAGCCTTTGCTCTTGTGAAATGCAGTTCCTGGGCCACCTCATGGATGGCAACAGTGTGCTAGAGTGTTCTCTAGAGAGCCTGTATTAGAGAATTTCCAACTGCTCAATCGGGGTCAAGTGGTTTATGGGCCGCATTAGCAATACGAGCAGCGAGGAGGTGACGAACGCGTCAATCGTCTGCTAACGTCTCCGCCTTTCCGCTAGCTTTTCTCACCACCACGCGACAATGGAATGCATGCACACTTGCAACCAATCTCCGCGGGAGGCGTCTGCCGTTAAATTGCAAATGCCCCGGTGATCCGAGATGAATTCTCTTTTCAATCTAGGCCCTCTAGTGCTCTCGTCGTGAGACATCGCAAAAGCTCAGTCCTAAACAGACACAACCGTATGAGCGGGTCTTTAGGATGGTCCAGAAATGACATTGTAGGTCTTTTTGTAAGAGAGCACACATGTTCCCATATCATGTTGATGTGAAAGGATGCATGCCACGCCCAATGTATTGCGAAGCAATACCCTGGAACGTCCGGTCCCCTGCTTCTTGATGGAGTAGACACCAATGGCAGTGATCCTGTTGCCGGGAACCACACGCTCGCAGAGGTACCTGTGAACAAACCAGAACTTTCGGTCGACTCGGTTGAAATCTGCGACAGCAGCTCCCGTACTGTGTTTACTCAAACCTAAGTACAACCTCATATCTAACTCGACCCCCTCCAGTAACAACAATTATCTAATATTTAAATTTTGTTTATAGTTGAACAGAAACAGGTTTGGTTACACCGGGGTTTGTATCATCTAGGACCCCCCTCCCCCTTCCCCCCCTCAAAAGACTGCTAATCAAGTTTTTTGTGTGAACCACTAAGATATGGTGTTAAGGCACCTTCCAGTTAATTTCTCGCCACAGTCGCATATTTGTTAAGAAAAAAAAAAGCAAGCTCAGTACTAGTCATAAAAGCTATCCCTACTATCCATATGCTAATAAATGTCTGTCTCAGGTGGCTTATTACTTCACAAATATAAGTGTCAAATTCGCGAGAGCTAGAAAAAAAAGGCAGGGGAAGTCGTGAGGGGCCAACCAACGACCAGCTGCTTTCTTGCAAAAAAAAAAACCACTAAAATTTAAGATTAAAAAAATGTTTTTTTTTTGGTTACTGGGTTTTTAGTTGTTGTGTAACAAGTGGATGGTCTACCGTAGTTGCACCGCTAATTACTCTCACATTTGCAGCCATTTGAAGTGACGCGGCAGGAAACGTTTTGGGTGACTCACCGTTCGCAGTAAAGCTGGAGGTGACGAGGCATCTCGCCGTACGGAACTTCTTCGGGAACCTCCTGGAGTTTGAGCACCTGGAAGTCGACGCACTTGCACTTGTCTGGCACAATGAAGAATGGATCTTGGGGGCACCGCGGCTGACCAGCGCGGTCGCTGAAAACGCCGGTCGGCACAGTCTTTTCGTCACAACAGCTGTGTAAGCGCTGTGCAATGTAATCGCACAGTGTACAACGACAAGCTGTCTTCATGGCTTTCTTTGCTAGGGAGACCACAAGATTGTATGTGTTGGCAAAGAAACTTTAAATCATGCAATGGCCATTGCAACAGGTTCTCACTCCCAATCACAGTAGTACAATAGAATCTCACTAATTTGAACTTGAGGGAGAACAGAACTTTGTATGAATAATGCAAAGTTTGAATTACCGGGAGTTTTTTTTCTAGAAACACATAGGATGGGACCTGCGTTTTAGTTTAAATTATCTGCGAGTTTGCATTAAAAAAGTTTGTATTGACAAGATTCCAGTGTATATCGTACGGCGACTGTCGCAGCAGTAGGTCAGTCACCGTGCACATGAACATGTCACGCGTCATCACAAAAGTCTTTCACTCCCAGTCACGTTGTCCATCCTCTCCCCTGCAATAATGCCCCTGCCACTGCGAGGTAATCTGGAATACACAAATTAGATGGAGAGTGCGATCACTTCAGATCACAATCACTGTGCCATGCGTCTACGCAATGTGGGAGGTGCCTCAACACACACTCGTTTTCTGCCGCTATCTGTTCGTGAAAAAACACCCAAAGATATTCTAGGCAACTTCTGCAGAAATCGACGGCACGTAGCAGCTAGATTGCAAAGCTGTCACGGCAGGTTCGCTTGCCAGCTTTCTCGAGTAAATCGGATTCTCACAGCGCCTGGCAGTCTAAACAAGGGGTTGTGAACGTAGGTGCAGAAACATACAATGAAAATCGCCTATTATGACGTTGGGCCCTTACCTGTTGCATCGTCTTGGCAATGCGTATCCTTCAAGGCCGGGCTTGACCGGAATGTTTGGGACGGTTTCCCGGCACGAGCGACACTGGAGCGTAAGGCTCGTAGCCTTGGCCTTGATCCCCGAGGCGGCTATGACAATGCCCGGCACCTTGACCAGCTTTGACACTTGATCCGACTGGACACGAGAAAGCAAAGCAAGACATGAAGGTCAGTCAGTCAGTATTCCTCTTAAAGAAAAAGCTTGAAAAAAATGTAAGAGGAAACCTCTCTGACAGGGAGTTTCAGACCTTTTCGACACTCAGTCTGGCAACTTTAATCACTATCGTCGTACAAGTGTATGGAATCTGAGCAAAATTAATGATGGCCTTCTTGAGGCTGATGAAGGAAAAAGTTGAAGATAATACCAAGCGGAAGATAAGTTTGGCTCTAAAGCCTTTTGATGGCGGAAATTCAATCGAGGGGCTTATGGGTCGCCGCTTTGTACTGGTCTCCACTGAAACTGAAGTAAATCAAGAAAGAATGAGGAGATGATCGAAGACCCAATTCTTATCTGCCATCAATATACGAAAGTGACAATGCTTGATGAAATAAAGTTTTATGACCGCCATTAATTTGTCAAAGGTGAAACTGCTTTGTGAGTCACCAGACGGCACTGAATTCTGAAAGCCATCTATTGCCATTCAAGTGGTTTCTGCAAAACAAGTTGTTCACACCATACCTGCACATGGCACGGCTCTATTAGATATTACATGTTCCAAGTGAGCGTGAGGCTTTACATTTGGATATTACAAACTCTAGGCTACAAGTTAGGAAGTCCGTACATGCTTAAATGTTAAATGACACAACAGCGAACATAGGCAACAAGAGTTCTAGTTGACTAGAAACAAAAGGGGAGAGAATGTCACAAGTGCTTATGTACTTTGCAAGATATAGTACGAGATGATACGGTAAATTTGCAATGGGAGAACCTTTTCTTTTTTAATCAGCAAGGGTTTTTAAAGTGAAGCAAAGAGACTCACCTTGATGTCCCGCATGGGAATGGGGTGAGCATCGGACTTGAGCAGCACTTGGATGTCGGCAACGTCCTCCTCACCCTCCGGCCGAGGTCTGGTGATTTCGTCTACTACCTCTTTTGCTGCCTCTTCAAGCTTTCAGTCATTTAAAAGAAGAAAAAAAAACTTAACAACCGAGAAACCAGTTTGGCTTACTATATAACTGAGCAAGCACCCATGCACAAGTAGTAGATAATCGTGGATAAGTGAGGACATGCACTTGGTTAGTTCAAAGAGCAGAAGGGGCACACGGTACGGTATGCGGAGCGCAAGTTTGTCTGATTCTTTTGCAGGGGTTGTAGTGACGTCCGAATGCCGAGCTCTGATTGAAGGATACAGTGGGAGACCTCAAGGCAGCTTGCTTTGAGGTTTACCCATTATTCTTCAATCACAGCCAATCGGAGCTTGTCATTCTTGTCAACTTGTCATCGAAGCAGCTTTCCGCTGGGCATGTAAGTCTTCTTTCGAAAGGTCTTGATTTCGCTCTAGCCCCACGCGTAGTTCCCAAAAGAGACTTTATAATTGAAATTGAGGAGGCACTTCGTCACTTACAGGATACGAACGGGATTAATCTGGCCCGCAGCCACATATCGACTATGCTTAACAATGCTAAAGTAACGCCATCAAATCTGAGCAAGGTGGAGCAGTCGGCACTACGGGATCTTAAATCGGATCAATCAATTATTATTCTTACAGCTGATAAGGGGAAAGGCACTGTAATACTCTATAAAGAAATTTGCTACGTAAAAATGCAGGTAATTCTTGACGACACAGCGCATTTTGTGACGTTACCACGGGGCCCCACTCCTAAATCTGAGAGATCCCTTGTTGGTCACCTCCGCAATCTAAAAAAGAAGAAACGCCTAGACGATGCCACATACCGTCGTCTTTTTTTCTTCTGACGGATCTACACCTAAATTGTATGGTCTCCCCAAAATTCACAAACCCGAGTGCCCGTTGCGTCCTATTGTTTTATTTATTGGGTCTCCGACGTACAATCTGTCAAAATATCGGGTCGAACTCATCACTCTGGTCACAGGAAAAAATGGCTTAACAGTACGGAATTCCCAAGAACTCGTGGGCCTGGTTCGGGATCACGTCCTAGACGAAGAGGACATAATGGTTTCCTTTGATGTTGTGTCTTTGTTTACAAATGTCCCCACCTCTCGGGCTGTTGAGATAGCCGAAACACGCCTACGCAGGGATGACAGCCTCCCCTCACGCACATTGTTAACAGTGGAAGACATTTTACATTTTGCGGACAAATTTATCACCAAATTAAAGGATATCCAGTGGGTAGTCCAATTTCTGTTACAATGGCAAATCTTGTTATGGAGTATGTGGAGGAGACTGTCCTTGAGCAGAATGCGCATCCGATAAGGTTTTACAAACGTTATGCGGACGACACCTTTGTAATTTTAAACAAGGACCATGTGGCTGACTTTCATTTAGCTTTAAACAGCATTGAATCATCAATCCAATTCACACATGAAGTTGAACAGAACTGTGCACTGCCTTTTCTGGATGTTAATGTGTTCCGAAATAGTACCGGTCGCTTAGATACAAGTGTACCGCAAAGCTTGCGATACAGGCAACCTCTTAAGCTTTAACTCACATCATTCTGTCGAACACAAAAGGGCTGTCGTAAAAACCCTACTACATCGGTCCTCAATTGCACGCTTCTGAGGATGCTGTTATCGTTGACCTCTTGATGAAGCCGAATTATCCGAAACGTTTTATTGATAACACGCGCAAACAGATGGGACAAAGAAGAAGTCAGGATAATGAAAGACTTAGGACAGGGCAAGTAACAATACCCTACTTGAAAGGTGTTTCTGAGTCTATTTGCAGGGCCCTCGCCCCTTTGAATATCTGCACAGCTTTCAAACCCCATCAAAAAACTATGCGACATCATTTCTAAACCTAAAGATTACACCCCCCCCAGAGTCCCAGTGTGGTGTTGTGTATAAAGTGAATTGTCTAGACTGTGACGCATCCTACATTGAGGAGACAGGCCGGAGGCGCTACACTCGCCTAAACGAACACAAAAGGGACGTGGCGAAGGCCACGCATGCGACAAGAGCGAAGACGGAACTCATAGACCATTGTTGGAATACGGGTCACAGTTTCGACTTTGAGGATGCGTCCAATCTGGCGCGTAAACAAAGGTGGGGTCCACGCAGGTTCGTGGAATCATGGTTCATCCGAAGTGACTCATCGGCTTGCAACTCCAGCCGCGGCCCCCTCCTTGATGTGTTACGCAAACTTGCTTAAATAGCACTGTTGAAGTTTTTTCGCTCATTCCTGCTTGAAGGTTACATTGATGATGTTTCCCGCATGGGAGACGAAATGTCTGATTAAATTGTTCGTCTTGTTAAGTCGACGCAGTTTTTTTTTATCATTACGATTCCCGGCTTTTGGACTATTTTTGCATTCACCACAACCCCTGCAAAAGAAGCAGACAAACTTCTGCTGCGCATTTCCTTGTTTGATCTGACGAAGTTGTATAGGCCTGTTTCTCTAGGCCAGACAAAAGAGGCGCCTCCGCTAGTGTCCGTGAGACGCGACCACTTAATGTTGACGTGGTGCGGCATTCTAGCGTACCGTCATCATGCGCGATACACGGGCGCAAAAGTAGCGTCTGTCTACGAGGAATGACGGAGCATTTGAAAGGACACAACATGACAGAAACGCGACCCAAAGATATCCGATTTTGCTCGAAAGGGGCGCTGCTCAAAACTTGAGAGCTACAGATCTATAGAGCAGAGCAGAGGTCTCACGGAACAAGTAATATTCATGAAAGGATGGATGGATGCTAATGGCTGTACCCTTTACATCAGGTGGTAGCTTGTGTCACCTAGTTTAGAGATTAAAGGGGTAGGGAAACGAAATTCCAGCGCTCATTTTCTAGCTTGAATGTGTTGCATGTTGCACCCTAACCTCAAAAACACCAGACTTCCGTTGAAAGGCATAAGAAAACTAATTTTAAAGCTAAATAAACAATCATTCAATGTGCACCTGGTGGATGCATGCAGAGCCTATTTGGGAGGTAGTCTAGCAACGTTGTGGAATCTGCTACGTAGTCGTGATGTAGCAGATTCCTTCGAAGCAGCGCCGCTCTTTGGCATTTTAACATCTTCCCTCTTAGCTTTCCTCCTCAACTCACAAGTCGCGCATTGTACCAAACGGTCCAAGAAGACGGAAAGGAAGGACTCCCCTCTTTCTTGGACCCTCGTTCGTGCAACCGGACACAGCCATTCTCCCCCTAGAAGATTAGCCCGTCGCTCAAAACTCTAACAAAAGTTGCTTTCCCCACCGTGTTCAGCCCTAAGCTGACAGTGTTGTGGAAGCTACGTGCTCTTTGGGCCAGCCACACGCTTGTCACCCCACGAGTACTTCGAACGGCTCGGTTGTAACGCGCTGACGCTATTGACAGCACCACAATGCTGACAACACCACCAAGGGCAAAGCTCATAACCACGCCTGCCTTGCTACTCCACGAACGAGGGAAATCTTTTCTTTCTGTTTTTGTTTGCGCAGGATATCCCATGACGCATCGCGCTCTCCGTTCGCTTCTCTTCGAGCGCTTGCTCGAGTGCACCGTTTGGAATGAAAAATATAGCCAGTCGTTCAAAATACAAACGTGCGATTATCATTTACGGTTATTATCCGTCATGCTTAACTCATTTACGTATGAAATTCGAATACTTCAATTTTTGTTTCCATAGCCCTTTAAAATTAAAAGTATGATTCCTCCCTTCGCCCTCCTAAGTCAAATTGCTTCTTCTATAAAATTTTGTAACTATCCCCATGCGATGTGGGATATCATCAGGGGCCCTATGCTACATGAAGGGACCAAGGGATTGGAACAACGTCGTCTGCTGCAATTGGTCAGCGGCACGGCGCTGACCGATCGCAGGGCGCTGTCCTAGTTCCCTGGTCCCCAGCATAGGGCCCCAGGATGAGGCCCTATGCTGGGGCAACGAAAAGAAAACTCGTAGAAGCCTACTTCATTAAAAAGAAAGGTCACGACTGCATAAGCATGCAATCTGTTTCACTATCAGACAAGGAATTCTCTTTTTTGGACGGTCATGTTTAAACCTTATTTAACCGCAAACTGATTGCTGCTGTCATATATACTGTTGTGTCTGCGCCAAATAAACAGTTGGAAGTCTGCGCTCTGTGTGTCGTACTCATTTCTACCTCTGTCCTCGTCCTTTACGCAGTTCATTTATTTCTAAAACCCCAGGATGACCTTTGGGGGATCAAGCAAAAAACCTAAAAACATCACCCTCCACTGTTCCCCCAGGCGAAGGCGTCGCCAATTTTCCTCTGGTCAAACCTAGTCGGCGTAACCCCAGCACCGAGCCAGTAGGAGACAGGATTGAGACTGTGGGCCAGAGCCACGTCGGAGGGAGTCCCAATTCTCCTCTGTCCCCAGCTGTGTTAGTTGTACGTCCTTCAGTCTCCCTAGATAATTTCCACCAGTCTTCTAATCCCCTCTTCATTATTAAAATGCACTTATCATGTCTGAAAACCCCAGTGCTCCGGCTAAATCCATTGCCCCCTCTGGGAGGGCAGGAGCAAGGCCCGTGCACCTCAACATCACATGTTTTATTGACTCGTCTTCCCTTTGGTATACGGCACATCGCGTATCTAGCTATTCATGCGTACAGTAATTTCCGGTCAAGTTGCACGAGCTCGTGCGTATAGCTTTACTGTTTTTCGATAACAAAGACAATTCCATTTTCTCGCGGATCAACAGGCGTCTAGCTAATGTATTAATTGGCTTACCAAAGGCAGATGTTCGGTCGGCTGCTTCGAAAGCTTGTCAGCCAAGACCTCATCGAAGCTGGATATGTCTTCCATGGACACTTCCAGCCAGTACTGGCCCATGTTGTAGTGTTGTTTAAGTTGGTCTCTGCAATTGAGGGACAAAAGGATCATCCATTTAGTAACATCAAGTGAAGTATTAAGGAAACCACTCTAAGTATACAAATAAAATACTCAAACAACAGGCGAGTTGGTGACAATTCACATGATACTGATTGATAGGGTGTTGGGCCTCGTGCTGATGTAATGTGGTACGCGATGGTATCTCGCTAGTTCACTGCACGGTTTTATTATAATATCGCTTAGTAGCCAGAGTCTCAAATATATTTATATTTAGAATTCGGAGGTAATCTCGCTGCCACGCAGCGAAAGGTAAGAATCGCACAACCAGCCCTTCAACGAGCTTGCAATGAGGTCAAAGGGCGGGAAAGGTACCTGTATCGGTAGTTAAAGTTTCCCTCGTGAAACTGGCGAAAAAAATCTCGGAATCGGCGCTTGATGGCCTGAAGGTTGATCTGGCTCTCGTCCTGCGTGTTTTCCGAGCCGAAATTATCGCTGAAGAATACACCACCATCGTCAAAACCAGCCATCGTGAAGCGGTCACTGCAAAAACGGCGCACAATGCAAAATTTGGCGGGAAACGGAGGATCTTTAATCGATTCTGGCGCCGCCTAGCGCCGCTTCATGATGAAAAAATATCACGTGACCTTTTATGTTATTTTACTTTGAAAGTTGTAGCTTTAAAAATCTGCACGACTGCAATTGAACTGTTAAAATAATGTTTATTCTGGTGAACCTATTTTTCTTTTAATAATTGAACAGGTAATAAAATGTTTGATTTTGGACCAATCACAGACGCCGTCGCCTTCTCTCGGCTGTCGCCGCCGTCGTCGCATCCATCGCTCGTCGTCTGCGTCTGCAGGCGCGCTGAAAATACCAAAATTCTCGTGCAGGGAGCGAGCGCGGGATAATATTTGCCGGCTTGCTTCCCACAGGTTGACGGCGTAGCATTGCTCGGAAGCGCCTTCGCATAGCATTCCACGCATTGTTGCTCTGTTGCGCTGCCATCCTGCATAAGTCCCGCTGTTGCATGCAGGAAGAAGCTTCGAGCATGAAGCGAACGCACTGACTTGAACAAACATCGCTCAAGCAGACGAGCTACGTTCCTTCGAACACAGGTATCGTATACGCCTCCGAAATATTCGGAATCTTTACTGTTTGGTTGCTGTTTATGTCGGGATATATGACAATTCAGTTGTTTCGTGCTTCGCGTTCACGTCTAACTATCTAAACGTTTTCGTTGGGCAAAACCTAAACCATCTGAGCTCACTTGCCGCGACCATGGCATGAGATCTTATTTTGCTCGGTGAGCTCAAGGTCAGCATGCGCTCCTTTTATCTTGTTTATGCCCGGGGGAAATGAAATGCGCGAAAAAAATATCATGGTCGGTTTTGTTTTGTTTTTCTCCTTTCCATTTTTCTTTCCTTTCCTTCGAGAGGATGGGAGGATCGCACATCACCGCGGACGTGCATTGTATCTTCTTGATAGTATTCTTCGAAGTCGCGCATATGATGATATAACGTAAACGGCCCCACGTGCAAGCGTTTCTTGTGTAGTATCCGGGAAATGTCTGAAAAAGTGAGCACGTTAGTTCCGTTATAGGAATGTCAGAGAATTCGTTTGTTTTTTTATCTTTTTCTTTTCTCGTTTTCTTGTGTGCAGTGTCAATTGCCTCATAGCTGCAAGGTCTCCGAAGTAGGGCACAGTCTGCCCGGGTAAACGCTGCACTTTGCACAGAGGCTGTTATTGTGTCCTTAATAGTCCGGGGAAAAAAAAAAAATGATAGAAAGCAAGAAAGCCTTCTTTATTATTTTTTTTTTCACTCATCTGTCGCCTTTTTTTTCTTTCTTATTTCTTTCTCTTTTTCTTTTACATCGCACCTTTACCCTTCTTTCCCTCAGCATGAGTTAGACAAACAAATTTTGAGATAGTTGTTAGAAAAATAAGATTAATGAGACATTGAAAGAAAATTAATCAAAGAAATAAAATTAATTAGAATTAGATTAAAAAAGTGATTGGGGGAACAGGAGTGATTAGAAAAGTAAAAGGGGTTATCAAAGCACATAAATGAGACAATTGAAGTAAAAATAAAATGCAAGAAATATGCTACCTGCAAATCTACATTTGTGGGCAACACCCCTTGAGTTTTCTAACCAACGATATGCTTGCTGTAACACCAAAACGTTCCAATGTTTTATTCACGTCTAGCGGTAACTCCAAGGCTTTGTAACAATAACCTCTTTTGTGTGTGTTTTTGCTTTATTGATGCAAGACAACATGGTGTTTACGGACTTTACTAATCAAATGAGGGATCGGGGAGTTATCAAAAGACAACATGTAGCATGCGAGTTTGAGCCTTCATGGAATATATTACAGAGAATATTTGAATGATTATCCCTAGCGACCTCAAAGAGAGAATGAAAATATATCTTGTGATATGTTATTGAAACATATATAAACATATAATTAGAAAAGGTATATAATCTGAAAATATTGGCCAACACATATTTTTTGCTCGAAATCCCTATTTGGTACAATATCACTTGTACAATGTACCGAAGTTGCTTGTCATGGTGCACATTTCAATTCAAAAGTAATTGCATGTATTTACCAATTTGGGATTGTGGAAGACCCAGTAGTTCCTGTAAAATATGGTTTGTTTGTCAACACACAGTACATTAATTACCATGTAGATCTATTTATATGTGTATGGTCATATAACAAAAACATTCTTATAACAAAGCCATAAAAAAATGTATGTACAGTGAAACCTCACGATAAGGAAAGAGGGACATTTAAGACAAACAGACAAGACAGGCTTTTCCCAAGAGGGCACCGCCCTCTTGGGAAAAGACAGTCTTTCCCCAAGAGGGCACCGCCCGCACTCGGGGCTGCGTGTAACGGCGACGTGTCGAATGACACTCAGCAGACCCCCCTTCTGCTATGCACGCTTAGCTGCGAGCTGGCTCGCGCTTCTCTCACCCTCCATCCTCCCTCTCTATTTCCCCGACGCCCCCCGTCGAGCTTCAGGATGCGAAGTCAAGCCAGTAAACGTTTTGTTGAAGGTACGAAAGCCTGTCTTGTCTGTTTGTCTTAAATGTCCCTCTTTCCTTATCGTGAATTAATAACCAACACGCTCAACCATCTACAGTGAAACCTCGTTATAACAAAATGGGATATAACAAACTAATGAATATAACAAAACAATCATAATTCCCCTTGCTTGCTAATAGTGGGAAGAAATGGACATTGGCTGGGTAACAAACTAATGGTTATAACGAAATAATTACGACCTCTCCTTCAACTTTGTTATAACGAGGTTTTACTGTATTTAGTATCTTAGCTGAGGTGAGAGATTAATACAAACTGCATGAGCACTCCTAGCCAACATGTTTTACAAGTGCAGACGTCAAAAACAATCGATTAACTCGAGATACAGGTGCGGCTGATTAAATGAGTCCCAAGTCTCTCAGTGTAGCTGATTAGCTGATTGACCGAAAGCATTGGATGTGAGTTAAGGACCTCAATTATTTGATGAGTGGGCCCCAAGCATTTCTTGGCAAGCTTATCTGTAAAGAAGTATGAGTGACACACTCAAGGAAAGGTACAAGGGTTATCTGATTAGGAGTCTTGAGGCCTTGCTGACACAGTAACCTTGTTTTGGTGTCTCAGTCTCACCGACAGTCATCAAACAAGTGGCGTCTGGCTGTCGTGTCATTCCAATCGAGGGAATCCCTTTGTACCGCGTGCCTTGTCAGCCAGGCGGTCACCTCTCGATATCAGCCAGAGAGAGAAAAAAAAGGAAAAAAGATTAAAAGGGAGTCAAGTGTCTATGCCCTTGCCTGTCACACATCCGCGTTTCAGAAGGTCGTGGATTTTTCAAAGCTATCGGTATAGATATCCCTTCCCCATGACGCAAAGGGGCAAGGAACGAAGAAAAAAACGCTGTGCCTTTACAGTGCAGTAAACGCTTCGTCTGCGGCGGACGACGCTCAGCTGGCAAGTATTTACACCTGTCTGCTTCGTTGCCTTTCTGTGCTAGCGGCTGTTTGCACTGGGATACGGTCGAGCAGGCAAAGAGAGCAGGAAAGATAAATGACACTGTCGTTTTCGTCGATTGCATGTGTACTCGGAGATTAGCGGATTTGTTTGGATACGCTACTGTAGCTTCCTGATTATCCACTGCAGTTGATTTTCGGTTTGGCTGACAGCTGGATTTTAGGAAGTGGCTCTGTCGTTAATAAGAAATGTGTAGCTGCGTTTAGTAGCGATAGTCTGGTGCAAGCTGGATTTGTTAGAGTTATTTGTAGTTGGTAGTATGACTTCCGGGTTTTGTCACATCTGTATAGATGCCTTTTTATTTCAGCCAACCAACTGTCAAGCTGGTTTGTACTGCTGCTGCTAGCATGTGTAGAAATTCTTCTGACAGTGTGCTAGTCCCTCTCATAATTTGATAAAAAAGAATTTCCTTTTTTACCTTATTTTGTTGACAATGACCTACCTTGTTAAAACTCGCCAGATAAGGCACATTCACATGGTTGTGTTATTGTGAAAAAAATAAGAGTGGGGACAAAAAGTTAGGGCGCAAACAAGCTGGTGAAGGTTTAACATAATTTAAGACAAAACCCCGAGACTGGGAAAAAGACGAAGAACAATACAGCATGCGTGTTGTGCTGTCCTTTGTCCTTTTCCCCAGCCTTGAGGTTTTGTCTTAAATTATGTTAAAGAGTGGGGATTTTTAAAGCAGCCCCACAGGCGTTTCCACAAACCTTTCTGAGAGGTGTTTTTGTATTACTTTTGCTCCTCATTTTGACTTGTCAAAAATGTAAATTGTTTTTGGTGTGCGTTTTTCTTCATTCAAAAATTCTGGGAGGCTACTAAAGAACTGCATGTCAAGTACAAGTATGCCTGCATCATTTCGCTATCTGAAGCGTATGCATTCAGATCAAAACGATGCCAACTTGGTGTTTATGAAGCTGCAATGCCTGCACAGTCTGGGAAGTTTGACACGCACCTTGAAGTCTCATTGGTCGATGTTTTCATGTGATAATGTGAATAAATGCAGACAGGTTAGGGAACTTAATTATTCGTAATGAAGTTACACGTGTGGTAAACTCGTCTACATTATAGAACTTTGTATCGAGCCCCTGTAATTTTAGTTTGTGATGTTTCTGTCTAATAATTGGCTCAGAAATTTGTCCAAATCTGACTGTAATTGCTCTGAGAAGGGGTGGGTAGTTGGATAAAATGTCAAATGCAATATTGTAAATGAATTTCCACATGCATATACTGGCCTACAAAAGAAAGAAATAAGCATTCTAGTGTGCAGCTGCAGCAGAGCAAACCATGACGACATAGTATGCTTGACGAGCTTTTTTTATTAGCCGTTGTTGGGATTAATTTATCAAAACAATAAATAATAAAAGAGCAAAGGGCACATTTAAGGTGGTATGTATAATGTAATTAAACCTTGAGTCTGGAAAAGAAGTAAACTTAGACTTTAATTATAATTAAAATTATGATTGTATTTACATAGATTTATGTTGGAAGTAACTTGCCTCTTAATAAAGAAATCTTGAATTTCAATTGATTGTTTGGTTTTGGAACTCAGCTTCTCTCGAGGCTCAGTAGAGGAAGCATATGTAGTCATGCAACTGTATCATTACTTTTAAATTTTAAGTAATGAAAGTGCTGTGGTTGGGTCGATCATCTAAATCTTAAACTATTATTTTCTTGGGGCTTGATGAAAGAAACTACTGCATTATTTTCGTGTGCATACCTTGCACAACTGTTTATGAAAGAGGCCTCAAATCACCAAGCTGTGCAGGGTTACTGAGCATGACGCTTACTCCCAGAATCCTGACAGTTTTCGCTTTTATCTCCTTTCATAAATATCAGTAATAATAGCTCATGCATGCTCAGCAAGAATGGGAATGCCTATGGTTGTCCCTCACAAATGGACACTGGCCGTATATCTGGGGAAATATTGCTCAAGAGTCGTCCAGACGTTTTTATAACCTGTTAGTCTCTTTGCTCCAAAATCAACCCTCGGTTATCATCATCATTACCAGAATTATTCTAGAATGTTTAGGCATTAAGGGAGAAGCAACCAAAGATCACCTGGGGACCCATATGGGTTCAGTCTCCAACCCCGCCTGTCCCGATCTGGATGAGCACCTTGCCGACGTGCAGTCGTGTATCATGCTGCTGCATGATGTATGTTCCCATGCTAGCGGTGGTACTGCACTGGCTAAATTTCTCGTCTTTGGCGGAGACACAGGATGGTCATTGGGGCTGACTAGCTCCCAAATGTCTAAACATACACAACATAATTACAATTCACTGCAATAATACGGATGTGCTCGCTATGTTATATGTAGAGGGAGTCATGGTTCTCTGTGGTGTATCCGACTCGCAGCTCGGCAAGATGGGCGTGCTATTGCTGGCTCAGGCCAGCCGCCGAACATCGCTGCTCCATGCCTCGCTACGCCCACTCCTCGCGCAGAGTTCGTCCTACTCGTCCACGCCAAACATTGAGTACAAGCCCATCAAAAAGATCCTGGTGGCCAACAGAGGTGAGGTTGTTTTCTTTCGCAGCACTCGAATTGCCAGCATCCGATTGAGCATTGCACATCTTATGAAATGGGTTCTCGAGAACTCCGCAACCTGCCGTCACTTTGCGTCCGGCTTGTCGTCGGAGTTCCACTTTAATTTGCCCGGCAGCGTCTTGTACATCGTTGTCTCTATGCTTTTGAAATTAAGGAAAGCGTTGGTCCATTCTCTTTGCTTGGCAACATACATAAAAAAATAGAAAAAAACATTTGCACATCTTTTGTAACATTAAGGCTGGTTTGCACACAATTGTGACCGCTTACAACCAAGTGCCGTAGAACCTCTTGGAATCTCTTACGAGAGAACACAGTGGTGCCCTCTACGGGTGGCCATGGAATTCTCTGCATTTTCGTATAGTATTTCCTCACGCATTCTTTTTTTCCTGGCTAGAAAAAGTTTTGGCAATGTATAAGATGATCATTTCTCATAGATGGTATATGTACCTTTTATTTCACAAATACCTAAAAAAAAACTTCACTCTAGTTAATTGCTGTTCCAGGGTCGCCTCATAGATGGTACCAGCTTGCCAGTGTTCTCTCGTCGTGAGAGATCACACAAGAACTCGGTCATGAGCAAATGCATGTGTGTGAAAGAGCCTTTAGTGATCTGCTGAGGAGATAATGTTTTAGTCTTGATTACTCTTGTGATTGGTTGGGTCATAACTAAACCCTGTTCACCCCTAAACTGACAGTGCGGTGGGAGCTATGTGTTTGCTGGGCTGATGAACCCTTTCTCCTTCACCACCTGACCCCACTCTCTGCACGTCGGTGCTGGTGAGAGCGTGATTGTGCAAAAAACAGACATATGAGTAGTCCAGCGAACACAAAGCTTCCACTGCATTGTGCTTAGGGGTAAACAGAGCATTGCAAATGCTCAAGAATTTGGTGAAAGGCACATATGCACAACAGGTGGGCTTCTTTTGGGGTGGGTCATATTTTGGTGTGGGCAATCTTTTGGTGTGGGCCACCTTTTGGTGTGGGCCATCTTTTGGTGTGGGCCATTTTTTTTGGTGTGGGCCATCTTTTGGTGTGGGCCATCTTTTGGGGTGGGCCATCTTTTGGGGTGGGCCATCTTTTGGGGTGGGCCATCTTTTGGGTGGGCCATCTTTTCGGGTGGGCCATCTTTTGGGGTGGGCCATCTTTTGGGGTGGGCCATCTTTTGGGGTGGGCCATCTTTCGGGGTGGGCCATCTTTCGGGGTGGGCCATCTTTTGGGTGGGCTATCTTTTAGGTTGGTCATTTTTTGGGTGGGCTATCTTTCGGGACATTCCATACGTACGGGTCCTTGCAGTCTCCCAACAAGGCACTCCCTGACAATGACTGGATCCTTTCAGGGGAGATTGCCATCCGAGTGTTCCGGGCATGCTACGAGCTCAAGATCGGCTCAGTGGCCATCTACTCGGAGCAGGACAAAATGCACATGCATCGGCAGAAGGCAGACGAGGCCTACCTCATTGGCAAGGGCCTCTCCCCAGTGCAGGCTTACCTCAACATCCCCGAGATCGTCAGGATCGCTCAGGTGCTGTCCTTTGTGCCGCTCTTGTTTGCCGTCTTTCATTACCTCTCGCAAACTGTTATTTGTTGCAAAGGATTTGCAATTACCATTCTTAATGTCACATCTTTACTGTTTTTCATCCCAAGCAGACTGTCCTGCAGCAAGATCGTGGTGTCTTTGTGATGTGATCACCACCGTATGGGACCTACCCACAAAACATCACAATTATAATATATATTAACCACCACAATCAAGTATCAAATAGTTATGTCTCATTAATATGAACAGCTCCGTTTTTCTAAAAAATTTGCGATATGTGAGTCTTCCACAATAATGAGAAAAAACATTCTCATATATTTAACCAGTTCATCCCCTAAAGTTTGGTCTATGTAGTGAAGTATTCATATTAATGAGACGTGAATGTACAAGTTCGATGTTTACCGGAATTCGGCCTCCGAGAGCCTTGCGTATGACACATCCAATGGAAGCTTTTTTTGAGCTGAACTAGGTGCAGCCAATAGCAAACACCAGTAAAATTAAAGATGAAAATTAGTTTTCTTCTTTTTGGTTTGAAGCATGCTTACTACAAAGGAAATGTCCACTCAATATTTGGAAATGACCTTCAAAAAATGCTTCAGAACGGACGCTTGTTAGGTTCAAAAGCAAAATGCAAAAGGGCCATGTGATGAGGTAGGCTTCACCAGAGTGCTTGTAGAAGCGGCCAACACAGAGGAGCATCCCACTTAGCCAGGTGGGCTTTGACATGTCATATTTGTACGCTTAGCTTACATACATATCAAAAGTATCGCGGGCAGGCACTTGTGACGTGGGTGCCTGCTCAGTATTTCACAACAGTTTGAAGGACTGTGCTGTCCCTGGGAGCTTGGAGTTACTTAGAGTCTACTGCACATCTCAGCCTTGGGCCATTTTTAAAGCGATGGCTTGTATACAGAAATCCTGTATGGACCTTGCTTGCTTGTGTCGGTGTGCATCACAACTTATCAAGGCCACAGAGAATGTCTGCAACAGAGCACAGCTGTTGGTTTGACATCATAGTGTAGATGACCAGTTGGGGTAAGCAATGCGCTAGCATCCCAACCATTTCTGCTGCATATGAATGGGCTGCACTGTAGGGCAGGAGCTGCATATTTGAAGAATAATCTAGTAGGCATAGAGGCATTTCAGGGGAAAATTATGCAGTGCCCCCCCCATGAAAGAGGTGCATGGATGAAGAAGGGAAGTCCTTTATACAAGGTGTCCCCCAAAGAAAATGTACAGGTTGTTTTTTCCGGCCCCGCAAAAATAAACCATGCATTGCCGAACGCTCATTCTCCCGCTAAACGTAGCGCTAGCAGTCCGAACCAGATCCCAATGATTTAGAACTAACTGTTATCCCATACAAAAGTTACAAGTGATTTTCTGGAATTTTGAGTGCCAATGGAGGATTCGAATACATAGAGCTGAATGGTGCCAGTTACCGAAAAGGCCCCATTTTCTCACTGAAATTTTCAGGAAATCGCTTGTAACTTTTAATTGAGGTATGGTTAGTCCTGACACTTTGACATCTGGGTTTGGACCGCTAGCACTACATTTGGGTGGAAGATGAGCGTTTGGCAATGCATACTTTATTTTTGTATTAAAAAAAATGCTGTAAGTTTTTTTTTTTTTTTTTGAGAACACGTTGTACGTGCAAAGCTCATTCATCATTCGTCACATTTTGTGCCATTTCGAACCAAACGAGGTTTGTGAAAAACCTCTTCGAGTGCTGTTGCACCCCCATTTTATTTGACAGAATGTTTGAGCCAGGTGACGTTTTCCTTTTCGAAAAAAACCTGGCTGCGAGCCGCTCTCGGTTGACCCGGTTTTGGTCCCCTTTTCAACGCAGGAAAACCATGTGGACGCTATTCATCCTGGTTATGGATTTCTCTCGGAGAGGTCAGACTTTGCCCAGGCGTGCATAGATGGCGGGATTCGCTTCATTGGACCGACGCCCAAAGTGATGGCAATGATGGGCGACAAGATTGCGGCCAGGCAGTCCGCCATCTCTGCAGGTGAGTGGCGACGAGGCCGCAATCGATAGGCCGCCTTTGAGAAACGTGCAGACTCCACAGCAACCGTGGAGAGTTGTTGGGCCAGAGGAAGTGCTTTAAAATTTCCTAATATTAGAGTTTGAAAACAATGTCCTCGCTTTTGAGTGTATTAGCTATTGTACCGTATTTACTTGCATACTGGATGCACTTGCATAATGAACACACCCCCCACGAGCATCAATATTTGGACTTTTTTTTTTTCCTCGCGTAATGAACGCACCTTCAATTTTCGATTCCGTGAGTCTCGAACTGCATCCAACCTAGCTAGCGCTCGCCGGGCCAATTTTCTTTGGCCACCAAACGGCCAGGCCAAGTCAAGCCAAGCCAAACCAAACCAAACCAAGCCAAGCCACTCTCGTAATGGCTGCAAGTGCATAGTTACGGAAGTGATCAACTGTAGAACCGAGCGTTGCGCACATCTAAGAGAAATTGTGAAAGTGGTAAGGCATAAGAACGGTCGCGTCGCTTTTCGTGCTGAGTGGGCTTCGAGGGCGCCTTTCCTTCGCCAAAAGGCACACCGAAAGTGCCCTAAAAAAGGTTTGCAATTTATAGAGCATGGTTAATTTGGCGCACCCACGACCGGCCGTGGGTGCGCCTCCGTCAGTGAGGACGTGCCACAGTACCCTGCTCTGTCATATTGTCACGAATGGCACCTAAAATGACAGTTGCACAAAGTATGTAAATGTAAAAATTTTACCCCGTGCAATGAATGCACCCCCAAATATCTGTAAATTTTTCGGGAAGAAAAAGTGTGTTCATTCTGGTAGTAAATACGGCACATAGTTTTCGGGAAAACAAGTGTGTTAATTACGCAAGTAATTACAGTAGACTCTCATTAATCCAAACTTCAGGAAGTCACAAATTTTAGTTTGAATTACCAGAAGTTTAAATTATCAGAAATTCGTCTAAATATGATAGATACAAGACAACATTATGATTTGTTACATGTATAGATACACATACAAAGCAGATTTTTGCCAGTTTCCTCTACATAGGCCTAATTATAAGCAAGTACAGGCATAACACATTGGTAAAAGAACTGTGACGTTAAGTTTATTCATCCGACAAAAAAGTTGTTGATTGTGGACTGTTTAGTCAGCACATGAAATCTCAAAACAAATTTTTCAATACCAGCCAGCGCAAGTAGCTCTTTACGGGACTCTTCCTTTGCAGACAGAAACTTCCGGAGCTGAGCGATGTGCTCAAAGGCCTCTGCAGCTGTGACAGTTGATAATAGGTCATCTCTTTTTTCATGGTCATCTTCACTCTCACTGCTGCACTGTGCTGGCATTACTTCCTGTACTATGTCCTCTAGTGAGTCATCACAACAAACTCACACATCGTCGTCAAGACTAGCATATTCCACCAGCTCGGCGTTCACATTATGTGCTTCAAGACCAGAAAGCATGATGCCAGTGAGCTGTTCCTTATCCTCGATGTCGTTTTGGTCATCATTGCGAGTCTTGAAGCACATAATGTGAACGCCGTTTTCCACTAATGTGTACCCGCTTGAGCCCTATTGAGTGTGCTTCTTTCCAAGCACCAACGCACTGCAGAGAAGTAACGCTCGCGAAAGCGAGCTCTGCGGGTATCGCTTTTCTGCGATGCACCGGGGCTCGGAAAGAAGCGCACTCAACGGGGCCGTGAGAACAAAAACATATGAATTAAACGAAAACTCCGTTCGAATTAAGCAGCTTATAAATACGTAACAATATAGCGGGACAACCAAAATTTTCATATCTCTTTGAATTAACCGTAAGTACGAAATATCAGAGTTTGAATTATCGCGAGCCCACTTTAATAGAGGTTTCCCCCTGTAATTGTTGCACCCCCCAAAAATGGCCTCAGTTTTCGGGAAAAAGGGTGTGTTAATTATGCGAGTAAATATGGTATATAAATAGAATTCTAATAAATAAATAGCGTTATTTTACATCTTATACTTTGGAGAATGTTGCAGGTTGTTCTATCCAGCGCTTAATTTCGGTAGGAACTGTGAACTTGAATTCATATGGGGATTTCCCCCTCTACTTCCCGGGATGCACATCGCTTGGTAACAACATCACGGTTTCGTGTGGAGCCATGCTGACGTAAACATCTCGGGGGGGGGGGGGGGGGGGGGGGGGGGGGGGATGGGATGGGATGGGATGGGGGGATGGGGAGCTTTTGCTTGGGTTGCACAAGCCCTCCCCGCCTTGGCGTGGGATCTCTTTGCAATTGGCAGTATTTCGTTTGTGTGTCATACATTCTGATCTGCGGGGTACTGGCAGTGGCATCGGGATCGCCTATAACTTGTGGCTAGAGTTGTTGCGCATGTCGTCGGGCACATGAAGAAGTCTTTGATATTCATCAATGCCATCCTCAAGCCGCCCTTCATATGACTGGAATTTGATTCCACGTCCTTGCTGTTGCATCCACCCATTCAAGCAGCATCTTTCTTTCTTTTAGTAGGAGGCAGTTTATCGTCTTCTGCATCTTACACTAGCTGCCACCGTAATCGCTATCACCATTTCATGTGCGCCTCCACCCTTCTACTTGTCAGCGTGCACCGAGCCCTGTTGTCGAGAATGCAACTGCTAAATGCGTCTGATAACACTGACATCCCTCTCAGCTCCCCGTCGTTCGTCTGAATGCTTGAGTTGGGCAGGGTGTCCCGCTGGTTCTGCCGATCACTGACATCGCGCACGTCTCTCCCCGAAAAGCATCCCTCGTGTGGTTACCCCTTAAAGCGACAGCCAACATCTCCTTTTGACACACAACGTGTTTTATGATACGTTTTCTACGAGAAGTTTGTGATGAATGAGCGTCATAATAACCGTCACAGCTAGCGTCATGAATGAGCGACATGCTGGGAGCGTTACAGACATTAAGATTTTTTTTATAAAGATAACATGCCGTAAAATACCGAGCAAGCGCCCACTCAAACTTTGGAGACAGTCGCAAAAAAATGGTGGATGGGCGCTTATCCAGCCATCAATTTATATATAATTGTACTGTGCGTATTTTCTCAGATCTTACAAATTTGGTAATGGGCTTAATGTGGAATGGGCGGATGCGCGGTATTCTATGGTATAAAGTTTGATCACCGGCGGGTCTCGAACCTGGGTCTGTTTGGTGGCAGTCATATACCATAGCCACCAAGATATTAGCACAGTTGGTCCGGGGGGATAAGCGGTTTTTATCCTAACACAATTGTGCCGATGAGAGCGGCAGGTTTTTGGTGGAAATAATGACTAAAACAAACAAAAACACATGCAGTAATCTTTCGTTATAACGAAATTGCTTTTTTCAAATTATTGCTTTTATCGAAGTTCAATGTGGTCCCTACCGAAATGCACGCATTTTTAACTGGATTACCCGAAGTGTATCGGCACCAACCACGCTTATTAAAGTTGGGTAACTTGGTGGAAGTTTGGTCAAAGAAACAAGCGCGTCGGTTTGTTGTAACGGGAGCAATACTGGTAACGAGGAATGGACAAACAAAGCACCCTCTGTCCTTCCGTTTCTTGCCGTCTTTCCTACACTCGGCATCAACTTTCTAGCGCTATGCTGTGGAGGCTAGCGTAGCTTACACGGCACCATCTAATGCTACTTGCACACGAGACACAAGATGAAGCCAGATGCTCACGCAGCAGTGCAAGGCTGTAGCGCCGTGTGAACTAAGCTAGCCTTGACAGTTGACATAGCACAAAAGGTTGACGTTTAGTATTGTTCAGTTAGGAACAATGGCTGCAGGTGTTTCTTGCCCATAGGCCTCATACAGTAGACTCTCATTAATTGAAACTAGAAAGCCACAAATTTTGTTCGATATCAGAAATTCATCTAAACATGATACAAAATAAGATTATGATTTGCCATATGAATGGCTCCTCGTACAAAGCAGATATTTGATGATTTCCTCTGCCTAGGCCTACTGATCATAAGTGGGAACGCCACACATGAAACATTTTTTAAATAAATGACAAGTTTATTTATCCCTCAAAAATGTTGTTAATTTTGGACTGTTTAGACAGCACACGACAACTGAAAACAAAATGAAGTTTGTTCATCAGGCCGAGAAGTTGTCTAATGTGGACTATTAAGTAGGGGACGCATGAGTGATAAGAATGGGCATTGCGTGGCAGTTTTCATAGCAACTTGCCCGGATGCTGTGACATGGACCTATAGCATGCCGCCACGTCTCGGTGTCCGCACAAATTGCAACAGAAATTTTCACGTGGTGCTCGTTTTCATAGCTCATGTGTGCCCACCTGAGCTCCGTTGAGTACACTTCTCTTTGGGCACCGGTGCACTGCGAAGAAGCAGCACCCGCGGAACAAGCTCTGCGGGTATTGCCTCTCTGCAGCGTGTGGGTGCTCTGAAAGAAGCGTGCACAACGTGACCGCGAGAACAAAAATTATGAATTACATGGAAACGCCGTTCGAATTAAGCGGCTTATGAGTACATTAGAGACTTAGCGGGACAACCTAAATTTTGAACTTTGTTTGAATTAACCAGAAGTATGAAATATCAGAGTTTGAGTTGTTGCGAGCCTGCTGCACATGGTGCAATTTCCATCATAATTTGAACTGATCTCAAGTCCGATCGCTCACCTACGGGCAGATGTCCAGGTGGTTCCGGGGACGGACAAGCCCGTGGAGACGACGGAGGAGGCCGTGGCTTTCTGCGAGAAGCACGGGCTGCCGGTGATCTTCAAGGCGGCGTACGGCGGAGGAGGGAGAGGCATGCGGGTGGTCAAGGAAATGAGTGTGAGTGTCGGCAACATTGCCCTAGTTGGGGTCGCTGAAGGAGCTGTGCTTTAACAGCTGGTTTCCACACTCACGACTGCCTACAACCAGAGAGACTTGAACCCTTGTTTGTTAAGCCTTTTGTGACTGCTTACGACTGGCTGTGCTGATGCAAAGCCGGTCGTCAGCAGTCCTTGAGGGCTTTGGTATTGGATCAGCGTTGCCAGTGGTCACTTGCTTTCACTGACTAGCCCAACGAAGGGGAGACAGGGAAGACTTTGTGTCCCTCTGCTCGTTAAAATGGCTCGCAGCAAAGCTAAACATCTCCAATGTCTCCTAATACTGTGTATAAAATGCAAGAAGTTGGACTTTCAAATAATTTTTTGTCAGCTCTGCCTGTGGAAGATGTAGGCAACAAAATGGCGTCACTCGTAAGCTGCTTGTGTGGTTGCCAACAAACAGCATGGAAATGCAAATGAACGAATGACTGCTATTCGCTTCCTTATTCGTGAGTATGTTAGTCGTGCAGGTCATTGCATATCACCCAACTAGCCAAACATATCTTAGGTGTTCAGATTGCTCTTTTTTTTTCACAAACTTTTACACATTGTTTTATTTTACATGTGCCGTTTTAGTTTGAGTTGGAATTAAATTGGATTTGAATGCGCAGGAGGTTGAGGAGAACTTCCAGCGGGCATCCTCCGAAGCCCTGGCTGCTTTCGGCAACGGTGCCATGTTCATAGAGCGCTTCATTGTCCGGCCGAGGCACATAGAAGTGCAGCTTTTGGGTAAGCACTATCCTCGGACTGTCATGGTCTGTTTGCGTCCACGTTTGTTTCTGCATAGTGTTGTGGGCAGTGAGCCAGCACCACTGAACACTAAACTCCCAAAATTTTCTCTGAAAAATATTTTAAATGTGTAGCATTTATAGGGCCCAATCTTAGCACTTTTGTGTTCAAGTTTTGAATGGAGCCTTGCAGAAACAAGCGAATCTGAGCTGTCAATGAAACAATCTGCCTATTAAACAATCTCGATAAAACTATGTGTGTCGGTGAAACAATCTGTCAATGAAACGTCGTTCAGTGAACTGATTGCCACCAGAGCTCAAGTGCCAGATCATCTACAACTCGTTCGGTGCGATTCGTAATGCCTGTGACAGAAAGGTTTCAGGCGGACGTGAGAAAAGGCATTCAAAGGCTATGCATTTAGAATGCCCTTAGGAAGTTCCAAAAAGACAGGCAGATATATATATATTTTTTTCAATTTGTTGTGTTTGCTTGTGACTTGTTTTGATGTTTTGCTTTTTAAGGTGACAAGGCCGGGAACGTTGTTCACCTGTACGAGCGCGACTGCTCAGTCCAGCGGCGGCATCAGAAGGTTATTGAAGTCGCTCCTGCTGCAAATCTTGACCCAAAGGTGCAAAACTTTTGTACTGTATATTTGCCCCCATTTCTATGTTTGTAGAGTGCTCTTGCATCTCGATAGGCTGCCCATACTAGAATTGTACTGTAGGAATTGCGATTCTTCCAAAATTAACATGTATTGTTGACTATATATTTTTTTTTGCTTAATTGCCAGTTTGCTTTGGAATTTAGTGGAGTAGATCAATATTTATTTCACTAATCTTGGCCTCTTCTGAAGGGGCACTACTCAAAAAGAACAATTGATGAAAAACTTGCATAAATATGGAAACCATGTCTCACCTGATTAAACAAGTGAAAATGCAGCTGATGTGGCATAGCAAATAAGTAAGGTAAAAATTTTGAACACAAAATCATACTTTTCTAAAAAATTAACATAGACAGAGAAAAATGTAGCCTATATCTATGCTAGGCAGACAAAATTACAGCAGATGGAACATTTTATAAAAAATCAGATGAGAAATGACTACAACTACCATTAAATACCCAGCATGTACTCATGTCACATTAAGTGCACACCCTCTACTTTTTAATTTTTGGAAAAATAAGCAAAGAACTTATACTTTTAGGTCCACCTAGCCTACTGAAATTCCCTAAATATGCCGATGCAAAGCAGTGAAGTCTACCCTACTCAGTGCTTTTCAATATTTTTTTCTTGGACTTATCAAGTACCTATCCCCAAGTTTTTAAAGATTACAGCCGAATTTCGGGTGGACGCTTGCTCAGTTTTTGACAGTACTAGTCTACCATCCGGCACATTTGTAACTACCGTAAAATGCCAAGCATGCACCCATGTCACATTGAGTACTCAGTTGTTTGGAAAATAAGCAAAGGGCATATCAAAAGGCCATGTCAGACTTCTAAGTCCACCAAGCCAACTGATGAGGTTCCCCCACTTTGACTGCATTTCTGAGCCTGCCGGTGCAAGCTATTGAAGCTTATCCCCCACACACAGGTGCAAAGCGGAGAAGCTTTGCTCATGTGTGCCAGTTCAAAGTGGTGAAGCGCGACACATGTGCTCTAGTGCAGTGCGGTGAAGCGTGCCGGTGTGACGCTCGGTGAACTGACACTTGCACTCCTGTGCAAAGTTATGAAGTTTTGACGTTTGTGCACCGGTGCAAAGCGGTGAAGCTTGACGCACGTGCCCCAGTGTAAAGTGGTGAAGCTCGACATGTGAGCCAGTGCAGGGTGGTGAAACTTGGCACACATGTCGTGTGTACAAAGTAGTGAGGCCCAACCTGCATTGTTCCACCCTCTGCATTTTTGCTCGGACCTAACAGACACCCATCTTTCATTTCCTTAATGCGTTAGCATTTCTTTCTCTGGTGCATCCAGCTGTCTTTGGTTTGGACTGGCAGACTGGCATCGCGAGGCCACGGCATGGCTCCCGCCATGCTCTTTTGCTTCGTTTGTTTGCTTGTTACATACATTTTTCCTCTTACAAAAGAGGAAAAGAGTCTTCTCGTGTGCTTCCAATGACGCACCGCTGTTGGCACACGCTCACTCCTCTGACGATGGCACAGGAACTTGGGCACATAGTTTCGTTTCCCCAGTGTGCATGACATATGCTACAACATAAAACCGAGGAGCAGCAACGACGCCATTTGCATTAAACCGCCAACACCCGTAAGGAAAGATTGACTCTTCGAAGACAACAGCATGTGGACCGTAGGCAGTAATCGCGGGAAGCTGTGGGGGCTGCATCTGAAACTGCCGACGTCCGGGAGAACAGACTGGCTTTACAAAGACAACAGTATGCAGACTGTTGTGAGGTTGAAATTCCCATCTTTCGCCGAGTCAAAACCCCCGTGCAAAATGCTTACACATTTAATCGAGAATCGATGTAGCGACGGCAGAGATTTCAGCAGCATTTCTTTTTAGATAATCTTCAAATTTTGGGTTGGTGCTTGCTCGGTATTTTACAGTATTTTCGCCAGTCTTGAAGCACTTGTATGGGGTCTGTGCGCAAAACTGATCCAACTGGGCATTTCTTCCAGATACGCGAGGCAATGCTTACAGACGCAGTGCGTCTGCTGAGGCACGTGGGTTACGAGAATGCAGGCACGGTGGAGTTTCTGCTGGACGAGACGGGAAAGCACTTCTTCATCGAGGTGAATGCCAGGCTGCAGGTGGAGCACACTATCACCGAGGAGATCACGGGGTGAGTTGACAGGCCTGCACCCTTCTGCAGTGCATGCATTGAGAGGGTATGATACGAACACCACAACCACTTTCCTATTGCAGTCACCTGAACACGTGAATATTAGACAAATGAATATAATATACCGCATTATTCGAAACTAGTATAAAAAATCATACCCTCTCCACAAATAAAACTTAAAAATGTAGAGCCCTTTCATTTTACGTGAAGACAGAGGACCAGCAAAGCTGTTATCTTTACGACGTCTAGGACGATGGCCAGAGGAAGACATCTAGGACGACCTCAAGGAAGGCTCCTAGGACAACGTCTAGGACGACCTTAAGGACGACTTCTAGGACGACCTCGAGGACGAAGTCTACGATGACCTCAAGGACAACTTCTAGGATGACGCATAGAAGACGACTTCTCGGACAACCTCAAGGATGACGTCTAGGACGACCTCTAGGACGACGCCTAGCAGATGACCTCAGGGACGACGTCTAGGATGACCTCAAGGACGACGTCTAAAATGACGTTAAGGATGACTTCTAGGACGACCTTTAGGACAATGTTTAGAATGCCCCATAAGGACGAATTCTAGGACGTTGCCTAGAGATGTGGAAGGGCTCTACCCAGGGAAGTGGAGGGGCTCCACACTCTGGTGAAGGCCAGAGTGGAAAGGTTGCCGCCATATATAAGCAACGGCGGCAGCCAGACAACCAGCAATCCGGTTGTCTGGTTTCCACCGTCGCTCATAGATGGCGGTAGCTGTCTGGAATTTTGTGTTGACATTTGTTTGTTTGCATATACAATACTGGGGAAACTGGCCCTTAACAGCTCCGCTGTAAAATTGAGGTTTCCAAATTTATTTTAAATGAGTAGTAGGTAGGGTTTTTCCAGTGTTACACTTATTTTATACTAGTTTCGAATAATGTGCTATTTAAAATTTATATTTTTTGGAGTGTTCGCTAAATTATTTTATGACGTCACAGAGGAAGTATAAATGCCACTCACCTTTAGAGCACCTTCGGAATATACCGAAGAGGCAAGCCATTTTTAGTCCTGTAGAGTTAACTTCTCGCCGGGTACTGATGTACCGCAGAGAAGAGAAGCCTACAAAATGGGCACCCCGATCTTGCGAATTTTGCTTTCCCACAGCATAGCCACTGTCTTAGGGAAGAGGCATGCCTTTAGAGTAGAATGGTGAGTGTGGTGTATTTAGAAAAAATTGGTAGCAACCTTCATTTGCAGTTGTATAGTAATGATGAAATGTTCTATTTAGAGAGCGATTGTTTAAATTTGATTAGAAGGTTTTAGGCAGCTATTTGGAAATGAAGTACATATTGTTTATTAATCTGTTTCACATGTCGACAACACCCCACATGGTCACGTTACATGTCACATTGTGTGCTACTATGACGTCGACTCGCGTGGTCATGTGACTTATGTGACCACACTGCGCGGCATCGTCACACGACCTCTCGGTGTCAAGCTCTGGTGTCATGTGATATCATGTAACTAACACTTCTACTTGTCATTGGGACGTCACATGCTGAAGCAAGTGGAGCATTTCGTTTCAGCCGGGCGTCACGTTGGTTTAACAGCTTTAGCATAGGGCAAAAGGGGCACTAAACGACTCTTTGTGATAGTAGTCTATTTACGGTCATAACTCAATCATGGGCATTAAGCATCTTAAAAAAACAATCATCACATTCATGCCTGGCCGATTTCTTTATTAAAGTAAAAAATGAATTACCAGAACTGTCGCAAACAACAAAGGATGGCGTTGCACGAAGAGCAGGGCTCCACCCTTCCTTGTTCGATGGCGGCATCTGGTGTTAGTCTTTTGACGTCTTGTTGCTCATACTGCCGAGGGATGTTTCAGACAGTCCAAAAAAGCTTGATTTTTGCAGCGGAGCTGTTAAGGGCTAGGTTCCCCAGGATCGTGTTTAGTATGTTGACACAAACTTACCTGGACAGCTACTGCCATCTATAAGCGACGGCGGCAACCTGTCCAGCAATCATAGAAGAGTGGATAGTTGGGCGCGTTGTGAGAATTCATCGTAGGAAACAGTGCAAAAAACAGACGACGACAAAGAAGAAGCACATGTAACGAGCGCAGCACTTGTCACGTGTGTTTCTTCGTCCTTGTCTGTTTTGTTCGCTGTTTCCTACGCTCTTATCAGTTTCGGTTTAGACTTAGGATGGGTCGGCCGCGCGCCCTTCCGGGGAAAGAAGACTGGGAAGCGGCGACCTACGCAGCAGCGCGAATGGGGCGGCAACCGCCGCGAAGCTGCTGTTGCCTCGACTTTCACTGCGTCGAGCGCTTCTGATTCCCTTGCCAAAGAAGAGCTCATCGCTAGCCTGGAAAGCCTTCGCCGAGAACAGAACCAGCGATGTAAACGGCGGCAGCGGGCCAATGCCACAGACGACGATCGTGCCACGGAGGCCAAGCGCAAGCACGAGGCCCGGCGACGACTGCACTCCACGCTGGCTGAACAGTTCCCGGGCGCGACGGCGACATTCCGGAGGGAGTTCGTGGATTACCCGTTTGGCGTCACGTGTGCCATGTGCGACCGACTCTGCTTCGCCGGAGACGTATCCACGATCGGCGGCATGTCGGACGAGAAGAAACGGGAAACGGGCGCGTTAACGTTGCGGCAGTGTATCGAGTACAGCTCTGCTGATCCTCCTTCTTCACGAGAGTGGAAAGGCTGAACGTTTTTTTAAACACGGATTATAAAATGCAGGCACATTGTTTCATCTTATTACTTCAGAATCAACGTCTTTGTGGTTTAATGAATATAGACAAAATTAAGATCCGACAGTTACATATTCTTTTTATGACCACTTTAACGTCTACTTTCTCACACCGGTTTTCTGTCAGTGCTTATCATTTGCCACGCTCTGAGCCACCTTTACCTTCGTGCTTTGAATTGAGGTTGATGAGTGAATCAAAGGCTCCTGGTTCGTCCAATTGATGGGCGTTCTCTGGTCTTCCGGGTCGGTGCAGGGTGGACCTGGTGCAATCTCAGATCAGGATCGCTGAGGGAAGGACGCTCCCCGAGTTGGGCTTGGTGCAGAGCAACATAACGCCCAAGGGCTACGCCATCCAGTGCCGTGTCACTACTGAGGACCCCGCCAAGAACTTCCAGCCGGACACAGGCCGCATAGAGGTGGGAATTGTTTGTTGTGTTGCTATTGGGGAAACAACAAACTCTGAAGTGGCCTCTGAAGTTTAATTTCGGAGTTATCTATTGCGAAGCTGCCAAGCTGTGGTCTCAGTGGATCGTTCCTCGGCCTGCAGATCGGTTAGACATCTCCTGAGATGATCGTGCCCATGTGGCTGTGCAATATGATGGGAGAGAAGACAGGCACACGTGTGACTCATTTTTTTTCCCATATTTGTTTAGACCGAGTTTGTGCGTTGTGGCTTTGCGTCTATGTCACGAAGCCTCGATAGAGCTTTGATGGAGCTTTTCTCGAAAGTGAATGTCGTCCGATTGCTGCAGAACCAATTATTTATGACAGTTATCGCTCTGGGCATGTGTTGGACTTAAATATTAGCGTCAGCGTTCGGCAATATGCGACCACCAAAGTTAAATTTTGTAAGAGGTCGACTGAGTGTTGGTGGCTTTGGTTAGTTCTTGCTGCCGCTTTCTGTAATGACGTCTTTGTCTGAAAATATCTGCATCTCATGTAGAGCCCCACAGAAGGCAACGGTTGCAACAGTGTCAAGCCTATAGGCTAGTTCAGGTTTACTGTACCTAATTGAAATATTCCACAGCATTATAGGGCTTGATTCACATTGCCTCATTATGGTGCGTGCCTGTAGAGATGGGGTTATTCGGGTATTTTTGCCTTCTCTTTGCTGTGTTTTTTGCACAAATGTTGCGTGTTTTCCTGCAGGTGTTCCGGAGTGGAGAAGGTTTTGGCATCCGATTGGACAGTGCCTCGGCTTTTGCTGGTGCCATCATCTCTCCGTACTATGACTCCCTGCTGGTGAAGGTGATCTCGCATGCACAAGACATGAAGTCAGCTGCCAGCAAGATGGACCGTGCCCTACGAGAATTTAGGGTTCGGGGCGTCAAGGTTTGTATAGTTTTTTTTTCATTTCATTTGTGGCCTTCAGAAGTTCCTTCTTTAGCGATTGCACGGTGGTCAACAGTTCTTCAATCTTCCTTGTAGAGTCAGTCTCAATTATTTAGCTATGTGTTAAACTACTGTTGTGGTAACCTAACTTTTGTGTCTAGTCCTGAATGGCTGTGAAAAATAATGTCCCCTGAAGTGAACTTTCCAAAATAACTTTTTGTCTCGAAAAATACCTCTATTCTTTTAACGGGAGCTGAGAATTCCCTTCCCCCTATGGCATTGTTATGATAAAGTGCAGTTTAGGAGTGTACAGGCTTTGTCAGCAGTGATACATGCACAGACCAAGAGAGTGTTGGTCTCATTGTTCCACATCAATGTCCAGCTAAGAGAGACTAAAGTAATGCTGAAAATGGTAAAATACAGTCGAATCCCATTAATTCAAACTCGAGGGGGACCGAAAATTTGTTTGAATAAAGCAAAGTTTGAATTACCGGGAGTTTTTTTTCCCATAGAGACGCATACCGTAATATCCCGAGTCAACGCCCACCCCCCCCACCGCCTCAAATTCTCAAAAATTGTGGGGTGGGCCATGACTCGGGTACCGAGCTCAAAAAGTTTCGAAAAAGTTTAATAATGCGATTTATATTGTCTGTGTATAGCAAAGCTAGACAGGAGATTAACTGAAATTAAATCTTGGTTTGGTATCTTACTTGCAGCTCATTCTACTGTCGAGCAAAATCCACTGCTTCGCGGGTAGCTCGTTTCCGTTTCCTCCGAGCAAGCGCAATTTGAAGCCACGACTGCTGCAGCCTTCGGTCCAACGTGAACGGAAAAAAAAAAAAGAATCAGAGATTCATCGAAAAAAGAAAGAAAAAGGAAAGAAAAATCGCAAGAAGCCACAGTGACTGAGCAAAGGTGACGAAAGCCGAAAGGAAAGAGTGGTCCCCGCTTCCTTTCCAACTTCGGAACCAAGCAAACCGGCAGCCTTTAGCTGACGCTTAAAACAAACCCAGTACAAAAGCAAAAATAAGATGACAAAAGCGAAAACCATAAAAAGGCTCTCTCCGCGGGCACGACCGTTGCCGCGCAAAGCGCGCACACGCACAAACTCAATGACCTTTGAGCTTGTGTGTGCGCGCACGCGGCTCCGGGACAACTTTTTGTGGCAGTAGAACCTGAGCTGCGGGCGGCCAAGGCCAATTGGGCACCGACGCGGACCGCAGCCATTGGTTGTTCTCAGAACGCAGCCACCGGTTACGCTCTGCGCTGGCGCCCGATTGGCTTGTGGGGGGGGGTGATGCTTTGAGAAGGAAAATGACGCTTTGTTTCCAGGCTTATACTGCCGGACTTATCTTTTGGGCAAACACGGACTTTCAGTTAGGAACAAAAGGAAGCGGCTACTTCGCGCAGAGTGGTCGCGACGTTCTCAAAGAATGCCAAGTCAGCGGGAGTAGGTTTTGGACAAAGAAAATCAAATCCAAACGAGGCTTTTGTTCTGAACCACTTGTATTCGCAGTATTGAGTTAGTCATCCGATCCGTGTCCTGTTTAAGTTGCGGTTTGGCGGCCTGACTTATCTTTTCGGTGAAAACGGACTTTCAGTTATGAACAGAAAAAAGAACATAAAGCGGCATTCTGTTAACTCTTACTCTCCCTCCTACGATCTTTTTTGACCCTATGATCCGCGCTATATTGCAAACGGACGTTCTTGCCTTTTATATTTATTTCTTTTTCGGGAGGGGGGGGGGGGGGAGGGGGTGCGGGCAGGAGAGAAAGGATCGGAAACGTGTCTGCTTTAGTTTGCCAGATAAATAGAGGTTCGCTTTTTTTATCTTTATTGTGTTTCTTCTGCACACGCATCCTCCGATTTTGGAGTCGTGGAAATGCAGGAGGGCGCCCTTTCTTTTTTTTTTTTCTGTTTGCCATTTGTGGGGCTCGGAATTGACATTTTTCAGGTCTGGGCGATGACTCGGCGCTTTTTTTTACGAGATTGAGAGATCGAGTGCCCGGGTGGGCGTTGACTCGGTGCTTTTTACGAAATCAATATTTCGCTCAAAACGGGGGGGGGGGGGGGGGGGGGGGCGGGCGGCGATGACTTGGGGGTGGGCGATGACTCGGGATATTACGGTAGGATGGGACCTGCAGGTTAGTTTGAATTATCCGCAAGTTTGAATTATGAGAGTTTGAATTAAAGGCAGTCTACTGTACTCTATGGGTTAGGACAATACAAAGGATTCAGTTTGCACTATAAGAAAAGACTACACAAGGAGTGTCAACTCCTAGATCCCTTATTTAAAATGATTGAAATTTACAGTGTAAACTGCTAGTCATGATGAGCAGTACCACGAAATGTTTCAGCATTAAGGGGTATCATGCAAAGACTTTAAAATCTCAAGAAAGAATTACATTTTGAATGATGATGACAACTGCGCAGTGCACTGTCGTTCCGACAGTTGCTGCGTGCAAGACGCCGGGAAACATCGCTCCACGTGAAGCCCTCTCGAATGTATCATTCTTTTTCCACCCACAGACCAACATTCCGTTCCTGTTGAACGTCTTCCAAAACGAGCAGTTCCTCAACTCTAACGTGGACACCTACTTCATCGACGAGCACCCCGAACTGTTCCACTTCATGCCGTCGCAGAACAGGGCCCAGAAGCTGCTCTATTACCTGGGCAACGTGATGGTCAACGGGCCCATGACGCCCCTGGCGACGCCCCTCAAGCCGTCCGACCTCACCCCCGTCATCCCCATCGTCGAGCAAGGTATGGGGCCATAGACATGCCTCGTTGACGCGGCTTCTGTGTAGTTGTATCTGTTCTGTGTCTGGGACTACGGTGCATGGCATCCTCAAAAGTGGTCCCTCAATTTCTGCCCTACGAGGTCGTAGAAGTGTCACGGTGTTGCCTGCCACAATCCTGGCGGCGTTGCAGCAGCGGTGGTGGATGGGACAAGCACGTGTTCTGCTGCAGGTCGCTCTCCAGTTTCACAGTTCCATGGAAGCTTTGGCAGAGGGGTTAGGACGCCACGGCGATGGCAACACTCACATTCGCTCTTACTTTTTTCGCCAGGACTTCTATGCCCGACCTCCACAATTGCAACATCCGACAGGATGATAATCCGGTTTTTGTGACGTCTCTTTTTGCTAGGTTGGAGATGCCTTCCTGGTACTGTAGCCATCCGTTTTATGTAGCAATCTAGGAGAAAATGTTTGCCGGCTTCCCGTGCATTTCGGTAGGCTGGAAACGGTGGGGCGTGGACGCGGACGTTGTTGCTCAAAGTGTGCCCGTATTGGCGACACTTTGATATACTTACAGAACCTTCGAAATATCACTTGTAAGGTCTGTACCTCCACAGGGTGTGCGGGTCACTGTTAGAGGATAGAGCGCACGTTACCGTTCCAACAGCAAACACTCCCTGTCCTCCCTACTTGTGCACGTGCCCTTCCCCTTGCTTTTGCCATCCTCCACTTTTTTTTTTTAATGCGAAAGCATTAACTGGTTTTATGGAGCGAGCCGACGTCGTCAGCTTTGAAACCACGCCAAATGGCTCTTTCTGCACTGCTTCAATCCCATTTTTACACTGCTCCATTGGCTAGCGCACGTCGACAGCCAGCAGCACCATTTACACCGCTTCGATTCCATTGACTAGCGTGCGTCGACCAAGCTTCCATTCTCTGGACATGCAGTGCCATGGGTTGGCCGATCGTTGAAACTGTCACTGTGTGTCTGTTTCAACTATTTTGACGCTTGGCCACCTTATGGTGCAACCGGCCACCTTATGGCGCTGCGTGTCCGTCAGCGCTAGGAGTTGAGCTTCTGTTTTTTACGTGCCGCCGCATCGCTATTCGCCGAGATTCGGTCATGTGCGGAGCCGGATAAAAAGTTGTGCGGGAAAGCAGGCGTTGCCCGCGCCTCGGCGTACGTTCCCCTGCTTTGGAGCACGCTGCATGCCTCAAATGCGCGGTGCCGCTATTCGCCGAATTTAGTCACAAGAGGAGCTGGATCAACATGCCGTGTAGGAAATACGGCGCTATGGAGATGAACGCGCAACTCTGGCTCCCGTAGGGAGCCTACACAGGAACTCTAATCAGCGCCATTCAGCGTGCCAACACGCTTAGAGCAAGATTGATGTACATGCTTTCACATTCACAACTCATAAGAAGTGCTTAGGTGTAGCTCAATCTTTTTTTTTTCTTTACGTTTTTTTTTTATAACTGCTCTTTTGCTGTATCCCTGTATGTGCATATTCTGGCTTGGTGGTCTGCCAGCCCCGCAACGCAAGCTATGGGCTTGTCGCCGATGCAATCTGACCACGGGAGAAGCAACAGGTGGCCGTGCTTAATTCGCTATATCAAGTGTCCCCGCCACGGGAGTTCGATACAGGAAAACAACACTCCTATACTATTACATGTGATTTTCAAGGGGATGTTTAGACTGTTCAATATAAACAATAATTTGAAATACCCGGGTGTGATATAACCGGGCTCGAGTGTAGTTGTTTTTTTAGCTTTATTTTGCACAAAAATGCTGGCATCGCGCAATGTACAAAAAGAAATTAAGTTAACGAGCACACGGAGAACTTCAACTCGTCATGGCAAAACTAACATGCCTAACCTTTCGTCTGCTTCCGTTTTTCTTTCTGTCACTCTTTTTCTCTCGGGACCAGAATGTGGCAATTTGCCACATTCTGCTCCGTTTGTTTAGCGTCCTATACTGCCTATGCATCGAAATTAGTCCCGAAATAGCAACATCCACCACCGCTGTTGCGACGCCACCAGGATCGTGGCATATGCGACGACGTGAGACTTTTACGATGTCGTCGGGGGGAAAATTGAGGGACCGCTTTTTGGATTAGTTAAACGGTTCGAGATGCGTTTTCAGATGCCGTAGCGGAGGTAGAGGCGGCAGGAGCCCATTTTGTTGCGGGTCGCTCTGCAGCCAGCATGGAGGTAGACAGCTTCTGGAGGCGACATGAGGCCACCAGAGACGAAGCCAGAAGTGTGGAGAAACATGCCCCCAACGGTGACCAAAAGCAAGAGACACTCCAGAGCCCCGAGGGTGACCAAAACGGCTGTTGAGTCGGCTCTTCTTTTCGTCCGATAGCATCTCCTGTTTTTTGGTCGTCGTTGGGGGCATATTTCTCCACGCTTCTGGCTTTACCTCTGGTGGCCTCATGTTGCCTTCAAAAGCTTTCTACCTACATGGCAGCCAGACAACGGACGGGAACCAAAGGCGACGCGAGATGGGACGCTGTGACGTTGGTGACCCTCCTGTACGCTTGCACGTGTGTCCAGCATTTCTACGACCAAGTGTCGGGATCGAGCCATTGGGCAATATGTCGCGCCGGCTTTTGCGAATTAATCGGTTGCCATGCCCTTCGTGAACACTTTCTATGTACTGACGGGATGGGGTGGTAAACGTGCTACGGGCTTTATGTACTACAGTCGAAATGGTGCCCATGCTTTTGAGGAGTAAAAGAGCTGTTGCACCCATACTGTGCCTAGTGGACATTACCAATGAACATTATTATTAGTGTTGCTCAAATATTCAAATTTTCGAGTAGTATAGTTTCGAATAATATGCTATTCAATATTCGCTCTGAGGTGAACTGTGATATTCATGCTTTCTTACGTATTGATCGCAGCGGGTTAGCCCCATCGAGTGCGCTTCTCGATGAATACCAGTGCACTGCGGCAAAACAATACCCATGGAGATCGCAGGCTCCGCGGGTGTCACTTCGCCACGGTGCATGGGTGCTTGGTGAAAAGCGGACTCAACGAGGCTAACCCGCCGTGATTACGCAGGTGTTAGGCAGCAATGACTTAACAGCCTGCGTTCATCATTCATGCTTGTATTTTTTTTTTTGTCAGATTTAAAATGGAAGAAATAATGTTTGCATACAGCTGGGAAATTTATAAATCCCCTCGATTGAGATATCTGTGGCATATCTGTCGTTTAAATGCCCATACATATAGTTATATCACAATAAACTGCATAGAAGTGTACTAGTGGAAGGTTGGAAACAATCCTCACAAGTTCAGCTGAATTTTCGTTTAAGCATGGTGGACGGTAGTGAAAGACTAAGAAAAACTATTCAATATCTTGTTTGAGAAGGTTGGGCCAAAACCACTATTAGCTCGCCTGCATACTGGCTAGACATACATATATATGGCTAGACATACTCTTCGGAACTGTAAAAGGATGGCATTAAAAGAATAGAGGAAATCTGCAATAATTCAGTAACAAATAGCTGTGTAGTTTTAGAACTTAAATAGTGATGAGGTGACTGACTTTTTGATAATCTTTATATATTATTATGGATGTGAATTACACGTTTTTAGAAACAAATAATTTTTTCTGTCTTTGAACAAATTTCTTTTGTTTTGTTTTTTGTGAGAAAGATATAGCACTGCTTACTATACTTGAAACAAAGGTTTCTTTCACTGTTCTTGCAAAACCTTCCTCACTTTCATAAACTAGGTTAATGCAATAAACTTGGCTAACACATAAACATGTGTGCATATTTGTATGGGCCTAGAGTGCTTCATGATGTTTAATGGTGACTTGTGCTCAAAGCGAGTATCAAAGGGACTTAATAGCTCTAGTAAAGCTCATTATCAACCTATCACAGAGCATATCTTGCCGTCTCATGACACCAAGTTTTGACAGAGCAAAGCAAACAATTGCCAAGGTGCACGTAAGTTTGTAAAGACAAGTATAACAATTAAAAAAAAAAAATTCGGGGGTCTAGTTTAGATTGGTAAAAAGTGTGCGGCGGTAAACAGAAGTGGCGGCGTCGGGACTAAACAGATAGCTGCTAGACAAACGATTCAAGTGCATGTAACAAAGGGAAACAATAGGTGCACTCGCAAGAGATAGTTCGAACCCCCAGTGGAAAACCAGACCGAACCGCTCGACATTTAAGATAATGCACAAAAGGCCATGTTGCAGGCTTCACAGAGCAAACAGGAGGCCGATAGTGTGGAATCAGAAGTGCCGATGATTCGGTTTGTGTTCTCGACACTATCAGTGTTAAGAGCAGTATTGACTGTGCTCTTGGATACGTGCTGCCTCACGATTAAATATTGCATCACTTCGTACCTCATTTCAGATAGTGGTGACATGATTGAAGTGACGACATCACTCTTCCAAATGTTATTGTGGGCAGGGCATGATGCGCGAAGATATGTGAAAATTATTTAATTAATATCTAAAAAAAAAAATATATACCTTTTTGCAAATTCTTTAAATTGGCCTGGTTTCTAATAGTAATTGCTGTCAATACTGTGATTCTAACATGACCCCTAAAACCAACAATTGGAAAGTTTATTCACAAATTCTATTTAATTCGTCAATTTACCGTGATGATCATCCCCTCATCTAATGTCCACCGAGTCAGATAAATCGGCAAAAACAGAACTCGCCTAACTCTCACCCCCTTTTTTTAAATTTCTATGAATTAATATTAAAGACCCTATATATATGTTTAGTGATAGCAGGCAATGTTGTTTGGCTTTTGATTTCGTGAAGTGGTCTTGAGTTTTAGTATTGATTTAGTGAAGTGTTCATTCATCATCTGTATTATAGGTAGCAGCTACCTTGGTGGAGGAAAAACAAATAAGTAAATAAGCTACGGTACTTCACAAAAGATATTCATACTTGTTTGCATCACAAATGCTTATGGCACTCTATCTTGTTTTTGCCAACAGGAGGCAAGGTTCTGAACAAACTCTAAATACTGTAAACAATGGGTTTTTTTTGCGGGCCCAATGTTTCGCGATTTAGGTTAAAGCTGAAGTTTCTGAATATTTTGCGGGTTCTAATTTTTGCGATAGGGTGGAATCTCAAAATAGATTCCAATGTGTTTACATTTTACAGGAATTGTTAGCGGGACCTATTTTTAGCGAATTGTAGGCGATTCTCGAAATTCGCAAAAATGAGGTCCTTGCGAAAATTAAGTTGTTTACAGTATATCTAAATTCTACCACAAAAGATTAAGAGAACAAAAATGACCCACAAGCCAAAAAGGTTTTCTGAGATCTGAGGTTAACCTAAAAATATGTTCTCAAATATAATCATGAAGAGGCAAAAAAAAAAAAAATAAAAGCAAAGCAAAATTTTAAGCTCAAATAACAATCTCGTCTGCCTTCCAGTTAGGTCATGGATGAATGTTGGTAAGGATTTTTGTTTACAGCTTTTCTTTCTTGTGTCCATTTCTTTTTCTCGTGCAGGGAAAATTCTGCATTAAATATTTTTATTATTTCTTTTTAAGACATTTACAGCGGAGCTGTTAAGGGCTAGTTTCCCCAGGATCGTGTTTGGTACCAAAGAAATGTCGACTCAACGCTCTGGTTGCCGCCGTCGCTCATAGATGGCAGTAGCTGTCCAGAGTGTTGCGTTTGCCGGCTGTCTGCTTGCTGCCATCGCTCATAGATCGCGGCAACCTTTCCAGCTTCGGCAACCAGACAACTGGTTGCTGTCGTCGCTCGTAGAAGCAGGCAACATTTCTTCGGAAGAAGAGCGGGAACGAAACGAGCGGCGATGTGCGCAGCGGCCTGAATGATTCCACAACCGCTGCGAGGCCGCTATCGCTTAAGGTTCCACCGCGTCGAGCGCTTCAGATTGCCTTGCAAAAGAAGAGCAAATCGCTTGCCTGGAAAGCCACCGCTGAGAATAGAAGCTAGAGCTCCGCTGCTCTTCCTTCTTCACCAGATTGGAAAGGCTGAAAGTTTTTTTTTTGTTAGTATTAAAACAAAAAGCTCGAGGTACACCTAAGCACTTTTTATGAGTTGTGAAGGCGGAAGCACGCACACCGCTCTGCGCTCCCCTCTTTAATCTGCGGTGTACAATGTGCTGACCTTGGGAGTGGAATGGTGGAGCACACATCTCGGACTTGGTCAATCAGTCTGTCAACATGCCCTTGAGTCTGCATGCCACAGCTTTACTGCCAGAATGGAAATGAAGCAAGAGGAAAACAGTGGCGAGGGAATGGGGTCTTCTCCGCTGTCAGCCTAGTATGTTTTCACATTGCCCGATTCTGCTGTTGCAGTACTTATTACTGGCGCTACTAGGGATGCACTTAAGACTGACATTTCGCTTTATAGCTTTCTCAAACTTTACAATCTTATGGAATTCCTTTCTCATAATAATTAGCCGATGAACCCTGTCAGCCTTGATGCAATAAAGCAATTATAAATTTTGTAAACAATGATATGGGGAGTGTTTGACATTGCGCAGGGCTCAGATCTTTTGAGATTTAAGCTGGAAGAACATTTCACATAAGGGCAATGGGCAGCTAATAAATTTGGAAGGGAAACCCTGGGTCCTTAGGAGCCCACTTAGAAAACTCTGGCTTTACATTTACTGCTTGTGTCGTCGGATGGAACAAATCTTCTGAAAGTGTTTATTATTTTTCGGTTTCGAGTAGGTAGATACTTGCCTGGTATAGTATGGTAAGTATGGACTCATCGTCAAATGAAATTGGGCTTATACGTAGTGTCGTTTCGTTGCTTTGTGTTTGCCCTGTGTTGGTGTGACCGACGGTGGTGTTTCTTGCCCATGTTGTCTGCTGGCTTACCCGTGTACTTCTGCCCTTTTTTCCTCCTCCGCAAAGGCGAGGATGCAGTCACCTGGAGGCCCGGTAAATTGTATTTTTACTTTGCTCCGCATGTGCCCGATATACCCTTGGAGCACTCGGGCATGCAAGGGTCGCATGGTAGTGCTGAACTTGCCCCATACAGGTTTCGGGGTAGGCGAATTCTCATGAGTAAAAGTAACCGTGCGATTTTCAGTTACTCTTAAAGCCAAGACAAACAAATTTTACTTCTATGCTTGCACAACTTGTGTCATGCTCATCTCAACACAAAAAGGAAAGTGAGCCAAGTTACTTCTATGTTTGCACAACTTGTGTCATGCTCATCTTAATGCAAAAAAGAAAGTGAGCCAAGTTAAAATTTAAGTGTGCCTTGATCATATCTGATACTCAGAGATGCGCAAAATGTGTTGGAAATGAGCTGAGCACTTGCTGTGTGTTTGTGATGTCACATGACATCGTGACATCATATGATACAGTGACGTTACGTGCGACCTGAACTTGACATCAAGTCGCATGACGTCGTGAGGTCGCCTGACCTGTGTGTCAGTCAAGTGTATTGCTCCTTTGATGAAACTTCACTTAAAAAATTGTGTTAGAAGGCAGAATGACCATAAATGCAGTCTCGCTGTGTTCAAAGATGGCTAGAAACAGCAGTGATCATTTTAGCTGCCGTGTCACGATTAAAATTATGGAGTGAAGACTGGTAGCGCTGCCAAAGTTGTGACTAGGGTTGTGCGAATATTCAAAATTTCAAATGGTAGTTTTGAATAATAGACTGTTCGATATTCACTTCGAGAAGAACTGCACTATTCGCGTTTTTCGAAGTGTTGATTGTGGGGGGTTAGCCCTGTTGAGTGCGCTTCTTTCCGAGCACCGGTGCACAGCGGAGAAGCAATGCTTGCGGAAGGAAGCTTCGCGGGTGTTACTTCTCTGTATTACATCGATGCTCGGTAACAAGCGCACTCAATGGGGTAACTCGCCGCGATAAACATTTGCAAAAGTATGAATATCCCAATTGCGTGCTTGGAAGAAAAGCATACTTTCAAAGCGGGATGATGCACGCGTGCCGGCTGTATTTGGGAATAAATGGAAACTTTGTGAATGTGAATATCTACATTGTAGTAAAAGTTCCAAAATTAAACTGACTGTTATGCAAGTGTATACTATGTTAGGCAGAAATGCCCTTACAACCTACGTTCAACATGTGCAATTATTTCTTTTTTAACTCGAGATTAAAGAGGGAATATTTTATATAGCAAGATTCATAAATTCACTCAATTGGTTATAGTTGGCCATCTCTATAGGATTCATTTTATGTCAAATCCGTCGTTTACTTGCCATCCCAAGACATCAGACCGTATGAAGACACAGTTAAAAAATATAGATAAACTTAGCTTATAAATGAACACGTGGAACGACCTTCACAAGTTTAGCTTGGTTTTCGTCTAAGCATTACGCAATGGTAGTGAAGGGTGTAAAAAAACTATTCGATGTTCAAATCGAAAATATTCAGCCAAAACTAGTATTTGCTTCGAATTCGCTTCAAACTCAAAATACACTATTCGCACAAGACTAGTTGTGACATATTTTTGCAGCCTGTCAGGGTTAGTAGCACATTTTTGCAACCTTGGTTCTTGCAGAATAATAATTTTTGAAGAGGAATGAGGCATATCTGATCTGATGTCTGGTGGGAAGCATTTATCATCTATTTTTATTGGGCCAATAAACTTAAGTTTATTACCTATATTATTTTGTCACAACAAGCTCAAACAGTGACTTCTGAAGCAACATCCTGTGCTTCTAGTAAGATATATCTGTTTAGTTTTTGTACACTTTTCGTTTTCATGGAAAAAGTTTTAGAACTGAACTGTCTTGGGCTTGAGCTTGTGTAAAAATTAAATTTGTTTTGCATGACATCGCATAGATTTAGTTCTTGTACATTGGTGGCTTTGGGTTCACTTTTATGATAAAACTATATACAAGGACATTGGGAACATATTAGTCTAATTGAAACACTTTTTAATTTAGATATTTTGCTTCCTTGACTGCTCACCAATTGAATCTTTTATTAGGTGATTGAGTGCTAATTTTATCAGTTATGCACTCTGGCTTGCATGCTTGCATGCAGTTATTCGTATGCACTCTGGCTTGTGTGCAGTTATTCATATCTAGCTGGTAGTGTTAACTAGCTATTCTCTAGTTAACTGCCTCGACTACCTGCTTTATTGATTTATAACCTTATGAATAAACACCGGTTTCACTCATTCATCAACCATTTATCAAATGGCAACTTCATTCACTAGTATTTTTATTGATTAGTTGAGGGATTTCCTTGTTAATTTATATGCCAATGGATTGTACCATTAACTGTTTTCTTTTATTAACTTGTTAGTTTGTTTATTTAATAATAGTATGGATCGACTTCCGGTCGTTTTTTTTTTAATTTTTTTTATCTGTCGGTTTATGTGCCAGTCTATTGAATTGTTAAGTGTTTTACGTATAAGTAAGGATGCATGCATTTTCGATATACACCGATAAACCCTGGTTATTAACCCCCTTTGGTTCATTGGTTAACCAGCTCATTGACTCGTTGACTGGTGCACCCCTAGGTTCCAAGCCCCCGCCAGGGTTGAGGGACGTGCTGCTGAAGCTGGGACCCGAGGGATTTGCCAAGGCCGTGCGCAGGCACGACGGCCTCTTGCTCATGGACACCACGTTCCGGGACGCCCACCAGTCGCTGCTGGCGACGCGCGTGCGAACCATCGACCTACTGAACATCAGCCCCTTCGTGGCGCAGAGCTTCAGCAAGCTGTACAGCCTGGAAAACTGGGGAGGTGGGTGGTGCCGACATGACTTTGCTCATCGGCTGTGCTGTCAAAAAAAGAAAAAAAGCGAAAGTTTGTAACTTATTTTTTTTTTAGTTTGAGAAAGGTTATGGAAAGAGGGTGTTTACAGAGAAAGGGAAAACAAGCTTTTTCTCTGCATATCTCTAGGGGTTTAGTTTTTCTTCTGGAGAATTGTACAAATGCTGATAGAAAAGGAGGGTTGCCAGGAAAAGCTGCTTCCAAGAGGTGCATTTTTCTCGCCTCATTGAACAACCTATAGTTCTGAATCTATCAACGTTGGGTTCAAAATGCAGAAATTGGGATTTCAGAACCGTTAAAGGGGTGAGGACACGAAAATTAAATGGGTAGATTTATTCTTGAAATGGAATGCTCAAAGGTCACTTAGTATATATGCCAAGTTTTGCGATTTTTAGAGCTCTAGTAATTGCAATAATCAATTCACTAATGTTGGATCCTTTTTGTCTGCAAACCGAGCAACACCGCATGCTCAAGTTAGTTGCATCATGGTGCCCATAAACCATGTGATCATCATATTTAGTTGAACGCTCTCTCATTCTAGGCTCCCCAATGCTCGATCGCACATGCTCTCATGCTACTCGGGTACTCCAATGTATACTCTTGCTCTCGTCCCCTTACTGTTTGATCTCTCATCCTGCGTGCATGTGCTCGATCGTCGTGGGCGACGGCGAGTTAGTCCGTGACAATCTCATCGTCGCTAGAGCTGGGTGCAAGCTGGTCGAAGTCAAAGTGACCAGCTTCCACCATTTTTTGGTGTGTATATAACATCACTCATTGCTACTACGATTAGTGTCGAAGACTACCACGAATTGAGCTATGCCGTAGACATCATCATCTGGAAACCGCGTGCTCGAAACGCAGAAGTTAAATGTGGAAGCTGAGGGGCGAGTCGCCGAGAGAGTGAGGTCTGTCAGCACTCGCAATTAAGGGGACGCCATCTGTTTGTTGGGTGACATCGCGGACCCAACAGACAATCGGTTTATCCTCAAAACTATCGCACCATTCTCAAAACAGATTTAAAAGATATAGGAGCGTACAGTGGGTCCAAGCAGCATAGTTATCTCATTTTATTTCTGGCATGTCCTAATCCCTTTAACAGGGAAGACTCTGGTCTTTAACTTTTTTTGTAATTTCTCATTCAGTGTACGTCAAGTTCTCACTCCTATTATATTTTGTTGTGCTAAGCACAAACATAAGCTCATTATTTTCCTTTCAGTTATAGCTTCCAAAAAAGCCTCGACTTTTATCACATTTACAGTAAAACCTCGTTATAACAAAATGGGATATAACAAACTAATGGATATAACAAAGCAATCATAATTCCCCTTGCTTGCTAATAGGGAAGAAATGGACATTGGCTATAACAAACTAACGGTTATAACGAAATAATTACGATCGCTCCTTCAACTTTGTTATAACGAGGTTTTACTGTAGTTCCTGCCCGACTTTTCTAAAATGCTACCCTCAAAAACTATAGTGCAAAGTAGTATGGCTGCAGATTCTACAGAGTAGATGTTGCAACAAAATCATTCTTATCATTTTAGCTTCATTTTAAAAAGATGTGATCACAACTTGAAATTATTTTGGAAGTTATTAGAGATGATTAATAAAAACCTTTGCCAATTAGAAAATTTTGTAGTTAAAATTTTTCTGGAATATAGGTTTTATTTCACTCTCTGCTTTATGAGGTATCCAAATCTAAAAAGGGTATTCAGATCCAAGTTCTAGATTCAAAAATACCGTGGGGCTTCTTGTTACAACGAAAAAATAAACCCCGAGAAAAAAGGAAAAGCTTTTCAAAACATGCTTGTAAAGAGCCTAAGTATGAAACAATGTAACTGAGTATAATTCTGAACCATGTTGTAAATAACCTATAAACAAAAAAAGGTATTCTTAAAATACTTTTTTTGTATATTATTTTTGCCTTTTAAGTCCAGGGTCTCCTCTTAACCCTTGTGTGATTGCAAGCGGTAAAAATGGCACTGCCCACGCTCGTACGTCACACGTTGCGAACGGACAAAGTGTCTGTCACGGCGAAATTAATCGCAGAAAAGCTTGCCTATATTGCTGCATGCGCGGCGGAGTTGGGGGCACGTGCGGCTCCCACACAGAAGCATGGGGTTCAAACCCTGCGAACCTAGTTTTAAATGCACAGCAGGGGAAGCTGTTAGCGCTTTCCTGTTCAAGTCTGGGATGTAGTGTCGATAGAGAGCATGCAGCATGGTCATGTGGAGCGTGTAATTGCCGACTGCTCTTGGAGTGGGGACTTTTGTCGGTGCGCTCGGGCGGCAGCAATATGGACTGCAACGCGCTATGAAAGCTCTTGCTGGTGGGCTCTGTGTGCCCCTAAAGCGGCACAGGAGCGACAACGGCAGGCACAGCAAGGCGAGGATGGGAGAGAAAGAGACGTAAGGGCATGAGGGCAGTGCCATGCATAGTGGTTACAGGATGACAGTTGCTTTTCACGGCGGCCGACGGGCGGTTCAAGTGCCATTTTACGGGCAATCCGCTCGGTGCGGTGTGTAATGTGCGCGACAGACCGGTTTCGGGCAGATTTAAGCAGACGAAATGCTATGCGTCTAAAACACTTAAATATGTCAGCATTTGTTGCCCCAATGCACGCAGCCGTCTTTGGTTCATACTTGATTGCTTTTGTGAGGCTGCTGTGCAGTTCCCGCCTTACCCTTTTTCTCCATTCATTCGCTCGTTACGTCCATTTTTCCTCTTGCATAAGAAAAGAGTCTTCTCGCGTACTTCCAACGACGCGCCGCTGTTGACCCACGCTCCTCTTACGACGGCACCAGGGCATAGACATATGGTTTTGTTCCCCCAGTATGTACAACATACGCGACAACATGAAATTGAGGCACAGCGATGGCGGTGTTTGTGCGAAACCGCCAACGTTCGGGGACAAAGATTGGCTCTTCGAAGGCAATTAACAGTGTGCGGACCGTAGGCGATTGAGGGAAGCTGCGGTAGCCACATCCGAGACCACCGACGCCGAAGAGAACAGACTGGCTCTTCGAAGACAACAGTATGCAACTGTTGAGATTGTTGGAATTAGCACTGGGTCGAAACCCCTGTGCTAAATGATAACGCGTTTCACCGAGAATCGGTTTAACAAGAACTGTAACTTTGGCGTTTTTTTCTTTTTTTTTCCTTTTATCGTGTGTTGTCTTTTTTGGAAAATCTCAGTTTACTGTTGGCAGTTATCCTGTGTTCTTGTTTAGAACTCTCCTGAACATGGGGTGTGTCAAAAAGCAGCACTAACGTACGCATTGCAACGAATCCGTCCTATGCCAGCGCTCAGTCCTGTTATGCAAGCGTCTACGCTCACGACACTAGTTATTGTATTCTATTTTGGCGCAAGTTTCCCCACATTAAGCCTTTAGTTGTCCCAGGTTGCTCGTCACCTGTCATTCATGACGATGTACCTATGCCAAGCGTTGCTCGATCTTGAACAACATTTGTTTTATCTTATTGCCACAAGGGTAATGCTTATTTGGAATAGCAAAGAATGTTCTAATGCATCTTTCAGTTTGTGCTTGAAACCGTTCAGTGCAGGTTCACTAACTTCTGAGAGTGCCATGTTAACAGCTGCGGCTTTTGTCCCACGACAGGAGCTACCTTCGATGTGGCCATGCGCTTCCTGCACGAGTGTCCCTGGGAACGACTGGAGCAGATGCGTGCAAGGATCCCCAACATTCCTTTCCAGATGCTACTTCGGGGCGCCAACGCAGTCGGCTACACCTCTTATCCCGACAACGTTGTCTACAAGTGAGTGTGCGCGTACCAAGGAGAAACCATCATAGACTTTTTCTTTACATCTTTTGGGCTCGGGATTCTCAACCTTTTCTGTTTCGAGAAACCCCTCTCTGCCTCCAATGGCAGCCAAGGAGCCCTTTTTGGTCTTGGCATTGGTACAACAAAGCGGTGCAAAACTCCAGGCTCGCAGCTTCTAAAAGAGTAAATAAAGATGAAAAATATTGTAATTAAGCGCAGGGATCAGCAAGGAAGTGCGGGAAATTCCCGAGGGTGCTCTGCGAGCCCCTGAGTTTCGAAGAACTCGGTTTGAGAACCCATAAGCTTTAGACCATCTATGCGAGTTTTTAACGCCAATTTTCACTTTTAGGTTTTTCAGAAATTGCAATGCTTAGCTGTTCTACATGTTGTGTGAGAGAGCATATCTACGGGTCTTTCCAGATAAAAAAAAACAGCGTAGGCTTTTCTCGAGTTTGTACAACAGTTCAGAACCTTTCCTCAAAAAGATTTTTATCATGCAATTTCTTCACGACTATGTACCTGCCCTATCCGCTGCAGCAGCTCAAATTTTTTTCATGTTTGTTTCACGCCTCAGGTTCTGTCAGCTGGCGAAAGACTGCGGCATGGACATCTTCAGGGTCTTTGACTCGCTCAACTACCTTCCAAACCTCGTGCTAGGAATGGAGGCAGCCGGCAAAGCAGGTTGGTTGCCCTCGCCAATGTCGCCTTTCTTGACATCGTAAAAATTTTTGTAGTCGGGTGAGCTGGGATGAAAGGCCCGTTCACACACTTGCGTTTGCTTACGACCAAGTTCTCGTGATCTCCTATGACGAGGCGGCCCTGGAACTGCATTTCACTAGAGGGAAGGTTTTGCGGTATTTGTGATATCAAATATATTACAAGCCATCTACGAGAAGTTATCGTTTATAACGTTGCCAAAGGTTTTTCGAGCGAGTGCTGAAAGAACGATGCACGAGAAAAGGAAAAGGAAATATACAGAAATTCCACATATTTCACAGCGGCCCGTTAGATGGCGCAAGTGTTTTCTCGTCTCGAGAAACCCGAAGAGGTTTTAAGTCGCTTGGTCGTAGGAGATCACGAGTGTGTGAAGCAGCTCTAAGTGAGCAGAGTGTAACTGAGATTTCGGTTGCACGTCAAAAGATTTCCACGAGGTTGAAACCAAACCTCAGTCCTCTACCAGGGCATGCCAGATGCCCTTCGTTGGTCTGGCATGTAGATACTCAGGTTTGCCATTGGGCACTTCTGTCCTATGGGACTGCCCTCATAAGCGTTGCTTTGCCACGGCGCACCCGTGTCGTGGGGGAAAGGCTCCCGGCTGCACCACAACCAGAGTGTCAAACCGGAACCAAACCGTTAATTTTAACCAAGCCGGAACTCAGCCGAACCGAAATCTTCGCTGCCATCTTGGAACTGAACTGGAAAAAAATAAAACAGTAACCAGCTCAAAACGGTTCATGGTAATTTTATTTTTTTATTTTTTGTTAATGTCACAAAATGAATATTTGAGAATAAAAATATTGGCAGAGCTTTGTATACATACAGTTGAATCTCGTTTATTCAAACTCTCTTAATTCAAACTTGCAGATAGTTCAAACTAACATGCAGGTCCCATCCTATGCATCTCTATGGGAGGAAACTCCCGGTAATTCAAACTCTACTTTATTCGAACAAATGTTCGGTCCCCCTCGATTTTGAATTAATGAGATGCGACTGTTTAAAGAATTGCAATGTATGAGAAATTGTGGGTTTTCGTGACACTTTTGTATTGGCAACGTGATTAATCATGTGTCACGTGGGCTTGGGAGGACATAGTGTCAAGACATGCTGTGAAGTAATGTCGCATCACGTGGCCCCGTGACGTCGCGTGACGTCATGACTTACTGCGTCAAGTCGATTTAAATTGACAACATCACAGGATTCATTAGCGTCGTTGACACCGTGACGTCACATGACATCATCACTTTGCATTTTAAGTCATGTGACACGGTGACATATTCGACTGTCGTGAGCTCGGGTCGAGTGCTCGGATTTATGATCAGCATCGCCAAGCATTCGGCTGATGGCTCATCATCAATCAAAGATGAGAATAGCCTAACTCCAACAATGTCTGAAGCTCAGACCATGCTCTATGCTTTGCCAACCCTACTGCATGATCATGATGAACACTGACAGTACATTCACTGACCAATCTTTCGGGCTTCGCAGGGACTGAAAAAACATCAGAATAATGTAATAGTCCGAAAAGTTGGCAGATTAAAAAACCCGCCTTTATTGAGTCTAAGCTTGCTTAAAAAAGCCGTCAATAGTGTCTTGCTTCAGGTTACGCCTGCGCGCCTTGCTTCAAGTTATGCCTCCGTTTGCGTTCGGCAACTTTCTGTTAGCTTGAGAACCGTTGCCTATTTTTCTAGCGTTATGCCTGAGTACTTTCCGCGCTTCTTAGCGACACTTCGCCGCGGCAGAACAGATGGGGCTGTGACGTCTGAGTCAGCGTAGCCCGAAAAACATGATTCACCGAGATGAGATGAGAGGCACAAGTCCACGGCTGCAGAATGGCAAATGAACAAAGCCAAATGGTAGCAATGATGATAATGGCGTGCAGCTAGGAAAAAAAAGCCGTAGCATAGCATCACCTAGCTTATAACCTAGTTTATAAGTATTCACAAGCATTGCCTAGCTTATAACCTAGTTTATAAGTATTCACAGGTGCAGAAAAAAAAGAGGAATGGAAGATTGCTTATAATAAGTGACACAGACATAATTGTTGAATTAACACCCCCAAATGAGAAGAGAGTCCCTCGGTAATAAAAAATATTATTTGAAAAAGCATGGATAAACAAGAAAAAAAGAAGGGGGGGGGGGGGGGGGGGAAGGTACTTTTAGGAACATACCGTGTTGTAAATGTTCCTCTGCCCCGCATCTTTGGCACATTTGTTAAGGTGAGGAAATGAAAAATATATGATCTTCAATCGGTACCGCCTGTATAGGCACACCCGATTTAAAGCCAATTTAAAATCAAGGAATTGGATCCTTGGATTAAGTGGAAGTCTCACCAAAAAGGCAATTGAAAACTTAACTAAGAAAGAACTGGGCCTCGCCAAAAGAGCGATCCAGAAAGGACCGACAGGGAGAAAGGACCCCTGCAGGGCCCGACACCAGCCCAACCCCGCGAAGGGGCACAAAAGGGCGACACCAGTGGGTCGACGACGGTCAAGGGCATCAAGCGCCAGACAACCGCTGATGTAGTGATATTTTCTTTTCTCCGCCTCCCAAGGACCCACGTAGCATCCAATGTCGTGCGAACATTCCCTGGGTGTTCTGAATGTTGAAGGAACGTTAAAACACCATTCGGAACGTTCTGGGAACGTTCGTGTGCAAACATTCCTTACATGGTAAGCTGCTCAACATTCTAGAAACGTTTGTTGGCGAACATTCGTATGCACAATGTTCTCGGAACATTCCCCTTTGAACATTCATATGTGCAACATTCTTGGAATGTTCGCAAGTGAAGCCAGCTTTACGGAGCTTTCAAGCAACCTGTGTTTCGAAACACCATCCACTATATGCCACCTGGTACCAAAAATATGCAAATTAAGTGGAGGTTTTGGAAACTTAGCATAAGGTATCAGTTTTATGTTATACGAGTCTACCGAGGAATGTGAGATAAGGTGTAGGAGAAAAGCAATGGTCTTCAAAATTTGATAATGAGCTTGGCACTCACTGCGTATGTAGAGGGGCATTTTTGAATAGACCCGATTTTTAGCATCTCGGATTCAATACCTTGAAGAAGGTAGATATATATATATATGTCCCGCTTGAGTGTGGGATGCCGTAGGTATCTGTTCTTATGCTCGGAGTGAGTAATCGGTCATGTATGCAGCACGTTTTGATAAGCAGGAGTAAACTGCCGTTATAGCTCTGGCTAATGCGCTGGGAAAGTGGCTAGATTGTGCTAGGCCTGGAAAAAAATATGTTTCGATTAAAAAGTATCGATCGCTCTGTGAAGACATTTACTATATCAATAATTGTAGCACGGTTCAGTGGGGCTGTAAGCTAAGCAACCGATAATTGTGGAATCTTTGTAAGCATTCCTCAGAGAATGTTGCAGATGTTCTTTGGATGTTTTGGGAACGTTCTTAAAACCTTGTTAAAATGGTGATTAAATGTTCTGTCGTGCTCAGGACGTTCAAAAATATCCTCTAGAAAACATTCCCCGAATGTAGCGGTAAGTGCCTGCGCCACATTCTGACAAAGTCTATAGAATGTTCTTAAGTAAATATGCAACATTCAGAGAATGTTGCAGAAGTTCTTTGGATGTACTGAGAATGTTCTTAGAACCTTGTTAGGGTGTTTCAATGTTGATTAAATGACCTGGTAATGTTCTATGTTGTTCTCAGAACGTTCTAAGAATATCCCTTTTAAGACATTTCCCGAATGTAGCGATAAGTGCCTGCGCCACATTCTGACAACGTTGGTAGAATGTTCTTACGTAAATCTTCAACATTCCAAGAATGTTGTGTATGTTATTTTGAACACTCCCGGAATGTTCTCAGAACGTTCTCGTGCTACGTGGGGAGGAACACCTATCAGGAACCCCCCCCCCAGTAGAGGAGGTCATCTTCGGCACAGACCAGAAAGCGTGGCCCCAGAAACGACTTTGTTTGCAAAAACACTTGCTGGAAAGCATGTTTTCATAGTGGTGGATGCTTGCGCCATTCCTTAGGACGCTGCACCAAGCAAGAATAATTTGTGTCTCTGAGATACATGGCTTGCACTAAGCATGAACCTTCTGCAGCATGTATTTTTCACCACCGGATTAGTTTTTTTCGGCAAGAACAAACCAGAATGGCCACCAGCGTATAGTGCGACGACGTCACCTGCAAACCATGTTAAACAGTTCAGTTTTCTGGTGAAATGCGATGTTTGCAACACTAGCAAAAGTAGACTTTAAAATTGTAAAATTGTGCAGCATACAGTCTCGTGATGATATACGGCAGCTTAATAATATGTTAGAGTGCATGACTTATACAGCACAGTGTTGTAAAGTGAGGGCCCAAAACAAGTGCACATCAAACTGATCATAGTATTTGCCTCCCGAGGCGGTATTTTACAAAGTTTCTCGAGTTTGTGCAGGCTTGTGCCCAAACGTGATTGACATTGGGATTATAAGAAACTGCGTCTCTCCTTCACACTATTCATGTGTGATTAGGAATATCATTACATTTCTATGTATTTTTCTTTTTTTTCTCTCAGTAAGGCATTGTGTATTGCACAGTACGCAGTGCTATACATAGAATACATAGTGCAGCAGCGAGAAACTAGAGGCCGGCAATGGCGGACGAGTCATGTCACCTGTGCAAAGTTGCCTGAAAGTGTCTGTAAGCAAACGTTTACCTGGGTACGCGCTAGTTTAGGCCAGATGCGATTGAGCACGAAGGTGCATTAAATTAGAGTGAACAATTTCTATCACTTTTTTCTGTATGATTCTTTGCCTGCATCATGGTGCTGAGTGTAAACAACGTTGGTTAGGAAAACATGCGTTGTGATTGCCGCTCAGTGTTTCTATAAAAGGTTGACCGAAAGAGCTTGTTTTTAAATTTCTGACATTTTTAAAAAAAATTATTGCATTCATAATATTATCACAATCATATATATTGTGAAACATATTTCGTAAACTATATTTCATGATATATATGGCGACGAGGTGCCCAGTTCATAATTTTGTGCAGTGTAATGAATTTCTTAGTTCAAGAGCACAACTACGATTCATCTTTTAATACTGCACCACAAAGTTCTACCAATCACGGGTATTTTAGGCGGCCTACCACACTTTGTGCCACCCTTTCAATTCTGGTAAAATGTATGTGACTGAGGTAAACAAATGGACGTTGAGTTGTATAAATGCAACGTTTTGTATGTTAATATAGTATTTTTTTTACTGTTGTGCAGGAATTAAATAACGGAAATAGTGCCCATTGCAAAACAATGCAGGGAATATGCTCTCAATTTAGCGACTCAAACTGATTTGAACCGGTCTGAACTGTTACTTTTCCTCTCAGAACTGAACCAGAACAGAACCGAAAGCCATGAACCCAAACCTGAACCAACTCTATCAACATTTTGGTTTGACCCTGGCCACACATTTCTTTGCACAAATATCTAAAATATTGACTTTGATGATGTACTATTGATTCAAAGATAGAGTTGAGTACACCTATATGTAAACTAATAGCTCGCATTTACAGGAAATTTTTTTCCAAGCACGGTTTGTTTGTGTTGAACGCAGGTACCGTATTATTAATGAATAATAGGCTAAGGTTGCGACCGATCAAAGTGGGCTAACGGATTTGTGTCCAGGGTCATGGTGGTTGAACGGTTTAGATTTTGTCTTATAAAGCGGCGACATTTAATTTATTTGTTTTTTTATTTGACCCGTGGATGCAGTATTGATGTGGGAGTCCACCTGGTTTTCGGAGGCTGCCGCATACGTTTTGCCGGCGTAAAAAGCTTTGTGCCGCAAACGGGGGTTGGAATCTATTATGGTGCGACAGTTAACGTCATTAACCCTCCATGCCACACATTGAAGGTGCGCTTTGTTTCAGGGGGCGTTGTTGAGGCCGCCATTTCCTACACGGGCGACGTCTCCAACCCGGAGCGGACCAAGTACAATCTGGAATACTACCTCAAGCTGTCCGACGAACTGGTGAAGGCAGGAACCCACGTCCTTTGCATCAAGGTACCACTGCAGTGTCTCCTTGGCAGACCTCTTTTCCTTCAAATGATGCAATACGCGACGCGATGAACAGGGCAGAAAAGGCGGAAAAGGGTAGGTCTTGCAACTTGCATCTAACGTGGCATCATGTCTGCATTATATTGAGCAGGGACTCTGTAGTGGGCACTTGGCGAGAAAGTTGGCAAGATTTCTGACCGCCGCAATTGGCCAGCGCCAGGGTGCTGCAGTGCTGGCCAATCACGACGGTTCGAAATCTCGCAGACTTCCTTGCTGAGCCCCAGGACTGCTGGTGCCTCAAGCAGCGTACATCGGCACTCACTACATACGCTGTGGTGTCTTTATTCTTCAATACTTTTTATATTGCGAGTGACGCCTAAAGGCTGGTTCATACACTTGCGACCAGTCGCTACCTTGTGTCTTAAAACCCTTTAAAAGCTCCTGCGACACATCCTCTTTTCTTTTTTTAACTTGAAAACATTTTGGCAATGTTATAAACAACGATTTCTCATAGATAGTATGTACATTTGATCTCGCAAACACCGTAAAACCTTCGCTCCAGTGAAATGTAGTTCCAGGGTCTCTGCATTGATGGTGCCAGCATGTTCTCATCATAAGAAATGACAAGAACTCGGTCGTAAGCAAGCACAAGTGCGTGAACGGGCCTTAAGCTGGCTTCACATCGGCATTACATTGGGTGGGACTACCGAAGCCTCAGGCATCCGATCAGTGCTGCAGCTCCTGCAACATTCTTACATTCATTGCATGCAGCCTGTATCGGTACTCATTACATACATGGTGGCACCTTTATACTTTGGATACTTTTCATGTTGCAACACCTGACATGGCTTTACATTGGCTTTATACCGGGCAGGACATGGCGGGGCTGCTGAAGCCGCAGGCCGCGCGGCTATTGATCACTGCGCTGAGGGACCGCCACCCAGATCTTCCGATCCACATCCACACCCACGACACGGCTGGTGCCGGCGTGGCGTCGATGCTGGCGTGCGCAGAATCCGGGGCCGATGTTGTCGACGTCGCGGTGGACTCCATGTCGGGCATGACATCTCAGCCGAGCATGGGGGCCATCGTGGCTTGCCTGCAGGGCTCCAAACACAAAACAAGTAAAGCCTTCCACTCCCCTTTTCTTTTATTGTTGCGTTACTATGACGGGGCATTTATGCGTGCCTACTTTTTATGGAGACGCGACCCACAAAGGTCGGGCCATAGAGAAAATTAATGTAACTCAAGATTCATTGTATTTTTTTCCTCTCACAAAAAAGAATTGGTGTTGGAATGTCAAATGCTTTGTGGCCACGCAAGCTCATACGTAGTGACTGAAACAACACTTCTCTAAGCTGCTCCTGTAGTTAGGGTGACCACCCGTCCCGCAACTCGCGGGACTGTCCCGCATTGAGGCCTCGTGTCCCGCGTCCCGCGAGAAATTCCCAAATCTTCAAAATGTCCCGCATTTCACATTGTCGTAAAATTCGCTCTGCAAGTCATTGAGCTGCCCAAATAACAGGGCACGGGGAAGCGCGGGGGTCACTGGGAATTGTATGAATCGCAATGGTACGCCGATTTCTATCCAAGCATAGCAGGAAGCGCCCGTCGTTCTTGCAGGAGAACCGACGCGCATGCGCCGTTGTGCCTCTCCCCTTGGTGGCAAAATATTGTGAGAGAAAAAATTTCTCGCCAACATTTTAAATATGAAGTGCGGTAATTATTTTCATATCGTTGTGTGAATACAAAAGTGTTGCTAAATGTGTGTGTGTGTGTTTTTGAAGGCAAAAAGGCTGCAACTCACAGCGTTTGAAAAAGAAAATAATGTCAAAAATGTGCGTAGGACCATGCTGAATACCCGAAAAAGATTTACTGCTTCTTAATTTCATGTGATGCATTGAGTTCTGCTGCTGTTGATTTTTATACTTTCAACTTTGACACATTTAATAACATAAAGATATATCCCTAAGAGTGAAAATCATTTTAGATTAATTATTGCAATGCGATTTGCGGGTTTATAAACAGCACAAGATAATAAATGTGTCAACAGAGAATCTCCCCGCCCCCCCGGCCCCGTGTGTCCCGCATTTCGCTAGCAGAAAGGTGGTCACCCTACCTGTAGTGCAGGCGTAGAGCGTCGGACTACTGAGTGAAAGTTTGTTGGTTTGATTCCCAGCAAGGGTTGAGGTGATCTTTGAAAAGACACCCTGGTATTATGTTTTTCGTTGCAGTCTTTTTTGACTCTAGATATAGAAGCCAACCTTAAAACTAGTTTTGTGTGAACATTCTAATTTTTGAATAGTAGTTTCGAATAATACGGCTATTCAATATTTGCTTCGAGGTAAACTACAATTGCAGGTATTGCTTCCCCACAGAGCACCTGTGCACAGTGGGGAAGCAATACCTGCGGAGCTCCCGGGCTCTGAGAGTATTGCTTCCCTGCAGTGCACAGGTGCTCAGTGAAAAGCACCTGTATTGTTTTCTAGATTTTTTAAACACCGAAATATAGTCCACTTCTATTAGAATACACAGAAAGAATAAAACACGTAAAGGACGAACGAACGCAGACACACACAGTTCTTTAAAAAAAACTGTGTGTGCCTGTGTTCGTCCTTTACGTGTTTTATTCTTTCTGTGTATTCTGTAGTTTTGAACACGTTCTGCTACGTGCACTTCTAGTAATAGTAGTGTTGGGATCAGTGATGGCCTCGGCGTAAATGCGGCTAGTTAGCTATGGTGGGATATAAGCAAACGTTGCTGACTGGGAAGTACAGTCATCTTTGCTTCATTGCCCCTCATTCCCATAAGAAGCTTGGAAGGGACACATTCTAAAAATAGCAATTTTTTTAACTTTTCTTAATTGTACACCCAAAGTTAGCCCGCTTCATATTTTTACCCGATTTGCTCCTGATATTAGGTGGGCTATCTCTTGAGATTTTATGGTACATTACGCAATGATGTCATGACAGCCTCTGTTTATCATTCATGCTTTTTTTTTTTTTTTAAATTAGAAATTTGGAAAACATGCATATAGCAAGCAGATTTATAAAACCACTTGATGGGATAGCTGCGACAAATTTGTCTTTTATGAGCCGCAGTTACATAAATATAGTTATATTAAACTTACCGTATTTGCACGAATATAACGCGACCATGAATATAACGCGAGGGCAACTTTTGATGCCCTCAAAAAGAAAAAAAAATTTTTTACTATTATAACGCGAATCGAGGCCGCGTCAATTTCTCAAACTCGGGGGCATAGCAGATGTGAAAAGTCAATGGAAATAGAAGAAATATCAGTTTATGTTTTGACAGCACTCATCCTCACTGCTCAGATCCTTCCGTTTACAATCCACTTGGCAACTATGCAGATAAGCAGCAGCACGGCACCTGCTTGTCTGGTAGTTCCTTTTCCTTCCCTGTGAGCTCCTCGGCAGCCCACAATCCAAACAAGGCAGGAAGCAGAAGCACCAACACACAAACACCAGATCACTCAGGAGCAGAAACTAAACAATGCGCAGGCAGAAAAAAGACTGCTGAATCCGATACACGATCACACTTCTTGTTGGGGCCCCTCTGCATAAACAAATGCCTCCTGCTGCACGATTGCGTAAACGCGGTTGGTGGTCTTGGCTTGGCTTGTGTTGACTTGACTTGGCCCGGCTTGGCTTGGCTCGAATTGGCCAGTGCCCGCATTCCCGCATGCCATGCGCGTGCGCCGAGTTTCTGCGGTGTGCGCGCGTTGTACAAACACAAAAGCGATAAAAATGTTTTTTTTTATGTTTTCTATTCGCCCCTTCACATGGCCCAATAGCTAATAAATTCCCTTCCACACCCCCATTTTTTTCCCACCGGATATTTTACATTGAGCCGGAAGGATGGCTTTCTCCTCTGGCTTTCTCCAGACTCGCGCGCCTCGTGGCTGAACTCGATTCCGAATATAACGCGAGGTGCGTTTTGCAGCACGTAATTTCGAAAAAATACTCTCGTTATATTCGTGCAAATACGGTAACTGAGCTCACAAGGGGACAAGGTGAAAGGTTGGGAGCAACCTTCACGACCTCAGCTAAATTTTTGTTTAAGCATGGTGTACGGTAGTCAAAGATTTGAAGAAACTATTTGGTATTTTTAGAAAATATGCGGCCTAAACTACTACCGTATTTTCCGGACTTAAGTCGCACTTTTGTATAAGTCGCACATCCGTATATTGAGCCATTTTCGTAGAAGAGGTGGTATAGAGGCTTCGCACTTTCGCAGCAAAAGGACGTAAAACACACAAAATGAGAAGGTAGTCAGCTTTTCTTGAGTGAGCACATGCCGAGCGAATGAAAGCTTAACGTGCCAGGCACTCGTTAACCATGCTTTGGACCACTGGGCCTAGCGTAGGCCAAGTACCGGAGACGATGCGAGCATCGATACGCAGACAGATATATAAATCTTGACATACTACTTTCGGTACCTCTAAAAGATTGGCTAACCACAATCTTAACCTTTACATGTAGCAACAGGGCTGGATCATGGCAGAAAACTAGGAAAGATGCGGGAAAATATTTTGCAATGCATGTATACCAGCCCACTTAGCTTTCAGTGTTACTGAACTGAATCAAGAGAATACAGAATCATGGCTGAATTAGGCAACGTCGATCACTTGCTGTAATAGCTTTACCCTCACTGTCTCGCCTATCCACATTGAGCCACTTTGGAGAAATTGTAAAATTTCTCGTTTTCGTCTGTGAAATGTTTAGAAGAGTGCGGCGAGAGTAGTGCCTCTTGGGAGGGGCAGCACCACCTATGGCTACGTAGTTCCGGTGCTTTACAAAAGAGAGCGTGCAGTGCATAAATAATGGCGTAGCACCGGGAGTAAAAAAATGCAAGTTCCATCCCTGTATAAGACGCACCAAGAAAAATTTTTGAAAAAACTGCAACTTGTACATTGGAAAAAACAATATTTGCTTTGAACTAAAAATCCACTATTTGCACTTGCTTACCTAAAATGCGGTTGGCTTTAAAATTGGTCCGAGTGTAAAGAAGCACAGTTACCAGGTGTCAAAATATCTTTCAGCAAACGTTTTCTCAATATTTGTGGGCATCCAAGTCAGATCAGGATATGGACTGGTCATCAGGATCAACCCCCAAGATTATGGGTTGGGCGAATATTCGGTTATTACGAATAGCCAATCGAATTTTGTTCTATTCGGCATTCTCTTCGAATCAAATTTAAGTATTCGACAATATAGAATTATTCGACCATTCTAAATACAGTCAAACCCGAATATATCGAACCCGTTTACATTGAATAATTCCTTATATCGAACAATAATATATAGCAGAAACTATGGTTGCATCGAACAAAAATAGCAGCCGCTACCGATATATCGAACTGCCAAGAGCGCCGTTTTGCTCTGCAAGCTGGCTTCCCCCCAATGCGGGCGGCCGCATTGGGGGGAAAGCCAGCTTGCAGAGCAAAACGGCTTTTTTTTTTCGGGTGGCCGCGTCGACCACCCGGAAGAAAAGAAAATATATCTTTTGCGGAGAGTGGGTGCTCCGTGCTCCCTCCTCCCTGCTTTGTCCGCAAAAGAGAATATCATTGGGGAATTGTCGTAGACCGTTTCCGCTGCCCGCTAAGCACCCGGATAGCGCTCCGTAATCCGCCTCAAGATCTTGAACTATGCAGATAAGGCTGGCGGCGTCTATGCACAGTTGCGGCGTTTTCCTGATGAATACCGTAGTGGAGGAGAAAAACGGTCTACTACAATTTGCTATTTTTCTTCCAAATTGATGCGGCTGTCCAGAGAAAAAAACCAAAAAAACCGCATGCTTTGTTAGTTGGTTCTCCGAACGCAGCCACCTGTTTTAGGGGAAAGCAACTTGCAGACCAAAACGGCGCCCTGCAGGAGAAGGTGCTTCCGTTGGATGTGCTCCGTGCTCTCGACGTAGTTCGGCGCTAATGCGCGAATATAGAAGGCAGCGGCCTCAGCATTTTGGAGTCCGTCGATAGCGTACAAAAATATTGTTATCGCGGATGCAATGAAGAAAAAGCAGCAGAAGATGTAAGACTACTTCATTCTGTAATACTTGAGCAGAAAATGGATTTTTGAGAGTCAAATTCATTAAAACATTTATATTGAATTACCCGCTATATTGAACTGGTAGACGTTTTTTTGAGAGTTCGATATAAACGGGTTTCACTTACTCTGGCTTGGATTTACGGCCAGGTGGCGCAGGCTTCCGACCGTTTCGACCCTTTTGTGCTACCGAACTTAATACACTTGAAATTAACAATTGCAGTACAGTTGAACCTCGATGTAACGAAGTCGGTAAAATTCGCAATTTACTTCGTTACATTGAAATTTCGCTAAATCGAAATTTGGCTTTAGCATGCGAAAAAAAAAATTCCGAAACATTTTACGGGTATGAAAACTCACCGAAAATGACATTTATTTAGGGGCAAAGTAGTCCGCGAGTTTTGCTTGCGCCTTGTCCGACAGTAGCAGCGGCGTCGGCGGCGTCATACGGCGTTCGAGCGCCCAGAGCGCTTGCACGGCATCTTGCTGCCCATGCGACGCCGGGTACCTCCTCAGTACGTCCATTGCGTTGAGCACTTCCCGAGTGCTCGTGATCTCGGCAGTTTCTTCCGGATGGCGTCCAAAACGTTTGCTTTCTCATCCAAAGAAAGAACTTTACGTTTCCCTATGGCAGCAAGCACGTAAGTGAACCGCCCGGTTAAAAAATAAAGCTGTTTAGTTTAGGCGGTGCCAATGTTTCCAACCTACACAGCACTCTTGACCGCAAAAAATAAAGCTGTTTAGTTTAGGCGGTGCCAATGTTTCCAACCTACACAGCACTCTTGACCGCACAGTTTACTTGCCCCCTTGCGCCCACAGTGTGCTTGCGCCTTTGCTTTACATCACGCTCGCAAGACGATAATCGGTCTTTTCGGTCTTCTCCTAGATGGCACTGCCCGTGCGGTCGCACGGTCGCGCCATCACGTCGCTCCCCCGCTGAAGTTGGCTCCCGCGGTACAGTGGACTATGATGATCAGTGAATGTCAGTGGTGATGCTGTTATGCCGTGTTAACTTTTTGCTCGGCATTTTCTGGCCAGCCTCGCGGAATCCGCTTTGCCGCATGCCTCGCCGGCGCTACCGGCGCCGCATCCTCGGGCAGCCTAGGAACGTTGGAAGGCCTGTCCCCGTGAAGTAACCTATCAAGCGCTCGCGTTTGCGCATAATTTTTTTTTTTTTAACCACAATTTTTTTGCGAAGTTGTTTTTTAGAGTTGATTTGTTTATTTCCTTCTATGGCAATGGCGCTTCGTTATATTGAAATAGCAGCAAAATAGACTTCGTTATATAGGGACTAAAAATACATGGGGTCTATGGGCAAGAAATTATGAAAAATAAAATACTTCGTTAAATCGAGGATTTCGTTACATTGAAGTTCGTTATATCGAGGTTCGACTGTATATCTAATACCAAATAAGGGCAAATATAAAACTATAGTTTAAACATATCTTCTGGTATTTTTTGCTTGTACTATTCGAACTATTCAATTCGAAATTATTCGACCAAAATCACTGTTCGCTGCGAATTCGATTCGGATTCAAAATCCTCTGTTCGCCCATGCCTACCCAAGATACATCTTTTTTATATTAATCTTATTACAATGAGAAAATATGACGTCACGTTCCGGGAAGGAGGGGCTTCAGCAGTACTTTGAAAATGATTTCTACAGCCTCCGTGCACTAAATTAATAAAATTAAAACCACTATTATTGGTTGTCTATGAATTGCGATAGTATTCGTCTTAGCACAACCTCAAGGACGACATCTAAGACAACGTCCTAGAGGACGACATCAAAAACTATATTTACGACTACCTCTAGGGCTGTCTCAAGGATGACCTTTAGGACTGTCTTTAGGACGACTTCTAGAACGACTTCCAGAGCGATCTTAAGGACAGCGTCGAGGATGACGTCTAGGACGACCCCTAGGATGACAATAAGGTCGTCAAGTCCTTGGAAAAGGGTGCGAATATGAAGGAATGTGAGCTAAAATGGTCTACTGCACGTACCTACTGCGCATTAGGAGGCCAGAAAGTCCAAGAAAAATATGTAGGGGGAGGGGGGGGGGTAGTTAAAGAATGCTGTTGCATTTAAAAAGGTTTTACAGATGTTAATTTGCAAAAATAAGAATTGTGGAACCCTATTGGGGAGTCATCTTATGGCTTGTGACATAACTGTTGCATAAACAATTGAGAAAGGTGGCGGGCTGTACCGTGCCTTCTAATTAACTTTGAGCCAGACATTGCCACTGTGTCACAATCTAGCATTGCCGTGCATTCTCGGCGTCTACAATCATCTGGCCGACGGTCGCATTTCTCTTCTTGCCTGGTCCGAAGGGCTTTCGCTCGAGAGCATCAGCCAGTACTCTGCGTACTGGGAACAGGCACGGACGCTGTACGCCCCGTTCGAGTGCGCCGTGACCATGAAGAGCGGCAACGCCGACGTCTACGAGAATGAGATTCCCGGAGGGCAGTACACCAACCTCCAGTTCCAGGCCTTCAGCTTGGGGCTTGGCGAACAGTTCGAGAGCATCAAGAAGGCTTATCGGGATGCGAACCGGCTCCTTGGCGACATCATCAAGGTATCTGACCCACAAAATAAGTTTGTCTTGTCTCTCTTCGTGTACGCTTACAAATGCTCAGGGCATAATGCGAAAGTCCATTGGCCCCATGTTCCTAAAAAAGAAATGGCAGAAAAATATTTTTACAAAATTTAGTGGTTCATTTTAGGAAGGTAGTCGCAGAAACAAGTCATTGTGAATTGTATATGATCTGACAATTGATTTGGGGACTAAGTGAGGAAGAGGAGAATGCATTGCAACAAAGCGTTGAATTGAATGGCCGTATATGGCTTCACTACCCAATGCTGCAATGTTGTTAATCATTAAGTGACCAAATTGGGCTCCTAACCGAATTATTTTGTCGTAGTGAAATATTAAACGACCGAGTTAGGCGTCTCTGCGTGGTCGAGTACCGAGGTGAAGCACCAAACGACCCTTCAGGTTTGACCTCCTTGCTTCGTTGCAACACAGTGAAGCTCCTCCGCCGAATTCAAAAAAAGGCTGTCCTTTTTAATGCTGGCTGCATTCTAACGGAAGTGAAGTCGGGATTTGTGTCGCGTTGCCATACCAGTGCCGTGCCGTCATCAGCTAAATTTAGTGGGCTAACTTGCTAAATTCGGTTGACCACTACTATGGGTCATGTGTCCATGTGGTGCATGTCGGGCCATGCCAGGTGCGTGGTGTCGAGAAACGTCACGTCACACGACACAACTGATCACGGGACGTCATGTCACATGAACACATCACGTGACGTGTTCGCGTGGACACTGCGATGTTCGTCGCATCGATGTACGTGGTCACATGGCATCACGCTGCACCACGGCTTATCACCCAGCCTTGGCTCAATAACATTGTCAACACTGTAATGTCACGAGACTACCGCAACTTCACACTGCGAGTCACGTGACCCGATTTGCGTACCGTGTATTCTGGTCTATAATTTGCACCACTGTATAAGTTGCACCCCCCTGTAACCGGATATTTTTAAAGTCTCACTTCACGTTTCTGACTGTCCTTTGACCACCAGAAGAGCAGATCATCGGGGAGGTGCCTCGCCGCCATTCCTCTTTTGTCGTAGAAGTGGAAACGGCCTACATTTTGCACAGTTAAAATCCAGACTCATAAAGAAAAAAGTATATAACTTGCATTCTCGTGTAACATACATTTGTAGAGATAAATTGTTGGCGATCAGTGGGATTCATCGGATGGAAATGCACTATACTCCTGTTCCCCCTTCAACCGAAACAAGAAGCTCCACCTTTAGCCCAAGCCTTCTGCCCTTGCTGACACAAGTGTGAACGCTCAAGCACGTGCAACCAAAGCATTGTGGAAGCCAGTGAGCTCATGCTGAAGGCGGAGCTTCTAGTCTCAGCTTAAGGGTGAACGGAGTATAGCATTAGCTCTTTCTCTCAACCTTTTCACTCCTTTCCATTCGTGTATGACCCCTTTTCATTCGTTTATCGCCACATCCATATCATCTGTGGAGGGAACTGCATCCATCGTTTCAACTACACACACACACACATCACGGCCCACTCATCGCTACTATGGGAATCCAAAGGAAAGAACATCCGGCAACGGCAGAGCGGCAATTGAGCACTCCTACATTCCACTGCACTGTGGGCCTCCCCTGTGGCTCCGCGCTAGCAGGGCGACGCTCTTTTGATGAAAATGAGAATGCTTGTTTTGACGAAAACCCGACTGTGTCTTTCAGTTTGTCAGCGCCAAGGTGGAGAGGGAGAGGGTGACGCATGTGATGTCAGCGTTTCGGACCGATGGGAGCGTTGCGGGCGTCACCCTCTCTCCCTGGTGCTGACAAACTGACAGACTGAAAAAATAGGGCACATATCCTTAATGCATTCTGCGTATGGGGTGTTTGGGCAATAAATCAAAGGGGTGCCTAATCCTTTTTTTCTTTTTTAGGTGACTCCCTCGTCTAAGGTGGTGGGAGACCTGGCCCAGTTCATGGTCCAGAACAAGCTGACGAGCCAGGACGTCTTGGAAAAGGCAGAAGAGCTTAGCTTTCCCAGCTCAGTGGTGGAGTTCATGCAGGGGTACATCGGCGAGCCGTACGGAGGATTTCCAGAGCCCCTGCGCAGCAAGGTGGGGTTCGACTATCCAGTTTATTGGGCCTATGGATTTGGGTCGGTAATCCGCCGGAGAAAATGTGCACCTACTTCCAAACAAAAATTATTTTAGCCCATTGTTTTTTTTCTTTTTTACTTTGGGTAAAATGGCCTCTAGGTTCGTATTCCAACCAATTTCTTAAATCTCGTGTTACCTTAGAAAGGAAGCCATAGACACCACTCCTTTTCTTACCGGTTTTTACATGATTAAAGGGTTGCTGAACCAAAATTTGAATTTTGCAAAAGATGGCCACAGAAGCATTGAATGGGATGCTACGAACTCCAAAACATCATTCATACATAGATATCTCAAACGGATGGCCTTATTTTTGGAAAAGAAAGGTGCGAGGAATGTGACGTCACGATTGTCCTCGAACAGTTGATTGAGGAAAAGCGGCCTCGCTTCTCTCCTCCTTGCTTCGGTTCACCTGCTCAACAGGACGAAGTGAAGAGGAAAGGGAATGAGAATCCCGACGTCACACGTCTCGTCAGCCTCAGTGGCTGTGTTCAGTCGCACACTTTTTTCTAAAAAATATGGCCACCTGTTAGAGATATCGCTGTATGAGTGATGTTTTTTGGTTTTACAGTGTCTTGCCCATTGCTCCAGCCTTGTTTTGCGGGCCCCGAATTTCGGTTCAGCATCTTCTTAAATTAAATTTTGCTTGACTTCCACTAGACACAGGCAGGGTACAAAACAAAGTACCTTAATCGCTGCGATCGTCGCAGCACTGTAATGCTAGTGTGATTGCACTGTAATGGCACTTCAATGGCATCATCACAGCACTGTAATGACATCATAACAGCACCATAATGGCATTGTAAATGCAGCGGAGTGGCGTCATAATAGCAGACAGCGCCCTCATGGCACTGTAATGGCGCCCGAAACGTGCCATGCATACATAAGCTGCTTAACGACGTCAAGACGGCATAGTGACTCGCCGAAGGCCAACTCTGGCTCCGACTTCCGACGCAGATCCTGAAAGACACGGTGCGTATCGAGGGGAGGCCGGGCCAGACGCTGCCGTCGCTCGACCTGGACGCTCTGAGGGTGAAGCTGACGGAGCAGTATGGCCCGCGCATCAAGGACGTGGACGTGATGAGCGCGGCCATGTACCCCAAGGTGTGCGACGAGTTCCTCACCTTCCGCGACACCTTTGGCCCGGTCCACCTTCTCGACACCCGTGTCTTCCTCGTGGGACCCCGGGTCGGCGACCATTTCGAGGCAAGTGTGGGGCACTCTTCTCGTTTTCGGAACAATTTTATGGGCCAGAATACCCGAAAAAGGTGTAATAAACACCACAAGCTGCTGCTACGTTTGTTAACGTAGCAGCTTGGGCGAGTCGGTTGCTCATATTAACACACACTACAGTGCAGTATTGCAAACATACACTCATTCCTTACAAACGAAAAGAAAGCAAAATTCAAACGAACTGCGCTGACTGACAACTCGTTTTTATATACTTTGTTTTCTTCTACCTCTTGCACTACCGAATTTCCCGAATCATGCACACCAATCTTCTAGATGCCTAACAATTTTTTCTCTTTTTCTGTCAGGTTTAAAGATGGTGTACTGATACAGTTTTCATAATTCCTGGCGATGTGTTCGGCTTTAATAATTTCTCTAGTTAATTGGTTACTGTTCCTACCTAAAATTTTACAAGATGGCAGGTGAACCTCGCACCCACAATCACGGCAGTGTATGCCCAGACGGCCAGAGTTATGAAACTGTATCAGTTATCATAATATAAAACTATTATGAAAACTGTATCAATATCCTTCGTATCCTTCCTTCGTCTAGCCTTCGATCTGATAAAACCTACTGGACGGAGCGCGCGCAACCCTGCTAGGAATCCTTCTACAAGCAACCATCCATCTCGCACGTGACATGTCACGCGCACCAATCGCCAGAGAGATCTGCGGTCACGTTGGGCACAATATTGTTTAAACTTTTTATGACTAGGCTTCACCAATATTGTCGCGAATGACAAGGTGAAACAAAGAATAACTGGGGAAACTGAAACGTTTAATGAGGCAAACTTGTGCCCCCCCCCCCCAAAAAAAAAGAACAGAGGAAAGCAGAGCGTCACGGACGTCAAAGTCGGCGTGACAGCAGAGTCGAACACTGGAGCAAAACTGACCCTGGCTTGCCACACAGAACCCCTTTTGTACACGTGTGGGCTTCTGGAACAATCGGCGTAGAAGGTTCGACATGTAGAACATTCTAAGCTCGAATTAGCAGCACGGTTCTTGAATTTACCAGAACATTACGTTAGTCAACAAAAATGCGTCTCCGCGGCCAGGAATCAAACCCTGGCTTCCTGCGTGAAAGGCACGCGCGATAACCGTTAGGCCCCGAGCGTGCTGCCTGCTTGGTCAGCTGCGCTCGCGGCAATATTGTGATGTGCCCCCTCCTAGTACTTATAACCTCCTTGGCTTTTAATGAGAAAAAAAGGCACGCGTGGCTGTAACTTTGGTTTTTTTGTGACGTTCAGGGTAGATAGATTATGTTTGCGCCATAAAATTGGATCTTTAGTGCCGCACATCCAACAGCAGCTGCTTTTTTTTTTTTTTTCTTCAGAACTTCTATACATTTTTGGCTTTCGTTCTGTATGAGATGCACATTTTGCACCAGGCGCATACACTGCACGTATAATAATAATAAGCACACTTCGAAAAATTCCTACAAAATAAAATCACTATTCAATATTTGATTCAATATAATGCTTTTTTTTCTTAATTCGATTTGGTTCGAAAACTACTATTTGGTATTCGCACACCCCTACTTGTTAGTGATTGGGCAGTGTATGTGTAACCCAACCCTACTCTGGTGGTGAATATGTTAAAACTTTTATATTGAAAAGCTTTCGAGTGAATAGGGGTTTGTGTTCTGCTTCGATCATGCCTGGATTGCAGATGTATAGGTTTGAGCTGCTTTTGAAAGCTACACTTTTGAAAGTGTAGCTTTGAAAGCTACAGATTAGTGTAGCTTTTGAAAGCTACACTAATGTGGTTTGTGCAGGTGACTTATACTGCCAGGGGACAATTTATAGGGGTATAAATTCTCAATATTGAAGATAAAGATGTTAGAAACTTGCCGAGCGTCGTCGGAAACCACTAAATAAGTAAATTTTCAAAATGTTTATGGTGCATGGGAAGCATGGTAGTCCACTAAAGCTACCACTTGTGCAAGGGGCACAATGCTGGCGGTGCAGAAACATGGATGACGAGAGACGACAAAACTGTGTTGGCATGTTTTCACACCCCCAGTTCCCCGCAAACAAGATTCCAAAACTTGCTTAGTCTCCCATAAGGTGCTACCGCTTTACATCTGCCTATCGAGCATTTCAAGCTGTAGTTGTGCAAACATAACTCCGCCTGGAAAAAGTGTGAAGTATGCTCGCAATCTTGCGATTACCATCACCCTCATGATAGTTTGTTTATTTTGGTCCCTGGCCTAAAGGACCCCTTGCCTGCAATAGATGCTGCTCGATGACCTTCGCCTATGTGATTGATCTCTCAACTCGCCCCTTTGCATGTTTGACCCTGGTGCTGACAGGTGACGATAGAAAAGGGCAAGACGCTGCACATCAAGACCCTGGCCGTGGCGGATGACGTCACTCCCGAGGGCGAAAGGGAGGTGTTCTTCGAGCTCAACGGACAGCTCAGGTCCGTCTTCGTCAAGGACCTGAACATGAGCGAGGTGAGCCACTCTTCGAGCGAGGCAACCGTTGCTGTAAATGCCGATCAAGATAAGTACTGAGCGAATGCGTGGCACTTATGGAGATCCGTTCTGTATACAAAACATTTAAGTTAACCAACATTTTAAAATATTGCGTCTCGAAGATTACTGTGTCAACCCCAACGTTGTCGCTTCCTAATAGAGTACATGCGTCGCACAGATGCTCCAAATATGTTTCATGCAACATTCGTAGGACCAAGTGGCTTTTACGGCATCTTTGTTTGTTTACAGAGCTCATTATAAAAGACTGTACAGGGATTGACTCCTGACAGAAGTTGGCAACAGTCTCAAGAAATTAGTGTGAATTCTTTCTCTGCAGTTCAGTTGGTCACTAGACCTTCTTTTGCATGACCTCATACCAGCGCGCAACTGGCACCCTCGACCCGGTGCATTTTAGGATTGCCCTCTGACACAGGGCATGCAATCGCCAAGAGAGATGGACGTCATGTGCGAGTCAGTTCCAAGCGTTTTTTTAACATGTTACAATTTCCAAAAATCTGGGGTTTTCTGGCCATCACTGCATCGTCGTCGGGTGCAAAAATAATTTTAATAAGCATAAGAACAATCGTCGGAAGTGTGCAGAGTGCACGAGAAGCTGAAGCGCAAATGTGTGCAATGTTATTGAGCTTTGCACATTCCCGAAGGAGCTTTATTTATGAAGTCAATCGAGCCTGAATCGCGAAGGCTTTGTGTCAGGCTCATCATCAAGTTTATGCCACGACCGCTTCGTCTATGGCAAGAGGACCAATTCCAACCCGGTACAGTGGCTCCAATTAAGTTACCACTGCAAGGTATACTACTACAGTCTTAAGTTCGTTATAACAGACCTTGGTTTTGACCAAGATTTTGGTCTGTTGAAAAAGAAGTATGTTGTTTGCAGACATGAGGTTGAGTCAATGGTATGTAGAGGAAAACCAACCGAACTTCACAAATTGGTATGTTATATCCAAATGTCTGTTGTAACCAGGTCTGTTGTAATGAGCTTAGACTGTATTACTCCAAGGCATGTGAAGTGTAAGAAAACGTCTACTACTAAATGCCGACAGCTTACCTGCAATACATTAAAGTGCTCATATATTCCTTCATTGTAAGAACCCAATCAAAACACACACACCCCACCTCCCCCCCCCCCCATCCACCCGTCTTCGTCCTCGCTTTTTTGAGGAGGCTAAGTGATGAACTTTCATTAGTCAGCTTGATTCAACCGGCCAAGTTCCAGCCAATTTATTGTAGCCCACCGTAGCCAAGTTTCCCCTATACCCACACCGTTACTTACCCAGATATAGGTGTGCTGCTGCAACAAGCCGGTATTTTAAGTTTTAAGCTGCTAGACGGACGCGAAGATGCCGCAATTCTCAAGGAGGCGGCGCTCTTGCAAAAAAGGTCTATAGAAACAGTCTAAAAAAAAATACTCGTGCTCTTTCTTGTACCTCCCATGCGATACCTTCCATTTCTAATGTTTTGTACTGTTGACAAACATAATCCCTGGTGAAGGGGAACAAGGGGGACAAAGGACAAACACAAATCTCCAAACACAGTTAGGTGACTGGTGCGTGACTGAAAAAAATCCGCCTGGTCCTGGTATTAAACCAGAGACCTCTTCAATTCTATTGGATTTTTCGGTTGCGTACCAGTCACTTAGCTGTGTTTGGAGATTTGTGTCTGTCCTTTGTTCCCCTTCTCCAGGGATTATTTTCGTCATTCTTGTCCAACTCGCTTGCAATTTGAAATTTAATTGCATTATAAATTTTTACCATCATTCTATTCATTTTCACAATCAATTACAAAACTGTAATGCTTGTCTAGCTGTTCCAGGAATTTTGATTGCAGTGTTTAATTTTATCATTCTGGATCAGTAATAAAGTTACATTGACATTTTATGTATGCCCGATTTGTCCAGCACGAAAATGACTACTGCTCCCACAATTTCCAGGCCCTAGCAGCGCTTCTCATAAAGCAGCTTGTTAGATCGACTAATTTATACAAAACTACCGAAGAGGCACTATCCAGGAATATATCTACCTTATGCTATACCTTCTCTCTCCTCCCCACTCTTCTAACCTGAAGATGCCTCTGCACTCTGTCTAAAAGTTGTCCCCCCAGAAAACTTGCAGGTTTCTTTTTGTCGCAAGAATAAACTATTCATCGCGAAACGCTCATTTTCCGCCTAAATGTAGCGCTAGAGGTTACAACCAGATGCAAAAGTTTTAGCTCGAACCAATATGTTATTCAAAAGTTATGAGTGACTTTCGGAAAATTTAAATGGGAAAATGATGGCTGATGGAGTTCTCGAATACACGGAGGAGCTCTATTGCACCAGAAACTAAAAACGGGCAAAAATGAGCCTCCTCTTCCCATTGAAGTTTTCAGAAAATCACTTGTAACTTTTTAATAAGATATATTGGTTTGTGCTAAAACTTTGGGGTGGTTCTGACCTCTAGCGCTACCTTTTACCAAGGAGTGAGTGTGTTCGGCGACGCATAGTTTATTTTTGCTGTGCTAAAGACTTTGTAAATTCTTTTTGGGGACTCCCTGTATTTATTATATCTGATTCAAGATGGCTACCATGGAACCTCAGTGGCATAGGGTCGCTAAGTAAGTGACTCTTCAAATTGAGGTTACTGAGGCCATCATTGTCGCACAGGATCAGTGTTGGCAGTTTCCGCCGACATTTACCGACATTCCTAATTACTAATGGTGTGCAAATACTACTTCAAGCTGAATAGTGCAGTGTCATCTCCAGGTTAGATGCTGCAAAGAGAGCCGGTATTTCGCGACGTTTTCCTTGCACAGTGAAGGCTAAAAACAATGCGGTGCTCTTCAATTCGGACAACTATTTGCACACCCATACTAAATAGTATTAACCAGCAAAAGTTGTCTGGCACAACAACGCTTCCTCACACAAGCAGACGAATGACTGCCATGGCAGCAATAGACAAATGTGTAACGGAGGGCTAATGTTTTGGGCAAGCCTCTGGAGGTGACACGTCGTCCGCAACAATGAAAGCGTTTGGATTCAAACTGCTTCAAGAGATTCTGATGCACACTGTCTTGCAGGACATCGTGGTGCAGCCCAAGGCAGACAAGAACAACCGAGGCAGCGTGGGGGCCCCCATGCCGGGTACGGTGATAGATGTCAAGGTCAAGGAAGGTCAAGAGGTCAAGAAAGGCGATGCCCTCGTGGTGCTGAGTGCCATGAAGATGGAGATGGTGGTGCAAGCGCCCGTCGCCGGCGTCGTCAAGAAGATCATAGTCACCAAGGACATGAAGCTGCAGGGAGACGACCTGCTTCTCGAGATCGAAGAAGCCGCATGAGTCACCAACTGGACTCGCACACCAGCTGCTGTCCCTGCCGCTCGCGTCAAGAGCGAGCGCATCTGGTTCTGCATTACTATGGCACCGGATTACCCTTTACTTCATCCTGAAGCGCCGAGACGCGTTGCCACGTTATGCCATGCAATTTGTTCGCCCTACACGCCGAGGGAAGCGACAGCGGCAAGCTTAGGGACATGCTAAAAGCTCCTTGAGAAAGGACGCCAATAGCGAACTCTGTCCTTATTGACTTTTGAGGCGTTTTCTATGCGCTACCTGCGTTAGAGAGCTTGTAGCATTCCGAAGTACAGAAGTGTTGATCTAGCAGCGTCACCTTCTAAATCCATGAACTCTATTGGGGAAGAACGGTGTATTCACCCATCTCGGCAGACAAGCGATTCGCTAGCTTTCCTCGCAGACGCGAAGCAAACATTTTGTATGTTTGTTAACTCGGCGTTTTGACGAACGTATGTTCTTGTGTTCCACAGGTTGGCAACACTGAACTGTCAGCAAAGCTGTGTTTGTATTGTATGTGTGTAAAGCCGGCCAGTGTACTCGGTTTCCCTTTGCAACAAGTCGCAGCGGACGCTACGAGCCACATCAGTCGGTCCAACGCTGTGAACGCGTCACGTGACACTGCATCCCGTGCATCACTGTGCCCTCTTCGAAGGTCACAGGAAGCTCGCACAACATTGAATAGGCTTTGATGGCTCGTAGCATCCTCCATGATCTACTCTAAGGTTAAACGGAGTATAGTTGGCCTGGTAGCGTTACACCCCTATGGGACGACAATACGTTAAATCCTTACCCACGGCCCAACTGCTTTGGCGTGCCCGTCACGTTTGTTCATTTTCTGTGCGGCTTCTGCCTAAACAATATCCTTCCTCTAGATCTTTTGCTGTAAAGAGAATGTTCTTGTAAGCTCGTTAGTGCGACAGTTTCTTTCACGAATCGAAGAAGAAAGTATACTCTTTTTCAAGAGCAGAGTGGCATTTTTTGTTTTTGTGTGGGCTGATGCTCGTTTTGAGCAATTAGCAACTGGTCTAGCATGCCTGTACTGCTTGCGATTCAAGGAGTCGACACATTTCATTTTAGCCTGGTTTTTGTTGGCATGCACATTTGTTATCTTAGTGTTTGAAGAATGTCTCAGCCATACAAAGTTTACGAGAGGTTTCAGGATGGCGTGGGCTAGTCAGGCTGCCTGTACACCGGTGTTTCCCCTCTTGCGAGAACGTTAGCATTAGTTGTACAGGCAGAAATGGTGGATTGAGAGAGGCTATGCGTGGATGGAGAGACGGATGGAAATGGAGCCACCAGACGAGCTATGCTTCGGGCATCAGCACTCCGTCCCCCGATTTGCTCGTGGGCACCGCCATCTTGGTTCTTGTGCTGAGTGGGCGCAACCGGCGGTAGTTACAATAGGTCTATAGCTCTCAAGTTTTGAGCAGCGCTCCAAGCGAGCAAATTAGAATATTTGGCTCGTGTTTCGAACATGCGTAAATATGCTTCCCCACTACAGTTTTTTATACTCCGTTTCATTCTTGCCAGCGTAGCAGAGGCTACAAGAGCGAGCTCCGAGCTTTCGGCATCCCTGCCAAGCACGTGCGCTCGTGCGGTGCGAGCATCGTTCAGGAGGACAGGCTTTTGCGAGTAGCTTCGGCTTTGCTATCACATAAAGTGAAACATACGTGGTCATGGAAGCTATGAAGAAAGCAAAGATAAAAGGAATGGTTAATGGGACAGTGCAGCCGCAAGCTGTTTATATATATATATATATATTTTTAGACGTTACTGCACATTTACAGATGCCGACATATGCTTGTATGTGAACGTGGCACTTGCAAAATCAAACGTTACAGCGCCACACGGGTGGTTCAGCCAGCATAACATGGTCGCGTCTTGCGCAAGTCTTCTGGACTTGCTCGCGCCTTCTGCCCCAGAGCAGCGGGTCTATTTGAAAATGTGACTTCCCGAGTTTTTGTACACAGTGCGAGAAAAGCTCGAATGGTAATGTCTTGCTCTGTCACAGACGGTCTTAAAACGTTTGGGAAGGACGGAAAACCGTACCCCGCAATTTCAGATGAAGCAGCTGGCAACAATGATTTTTAGCACCAAGATGGATCCAAATCCAAATTGATGGCCTAAGAGTCGCTGCTCTGAAGTGTACCTTGTTTGGTGGCTCCAGACGGATAAAGTCACACAATGCTATTTCCCCCTTTATAGCTGCGTGCAGCATTGTTCTGCCCTGCACATTTCACTTCCCATCAAACTGCACATGTTGGTGCACACTTATTTATCCACGGGGGAAGGGTCGACGGTGTATCCGTAATTTTGCATACTTTTTTTTTTAGAGTTCTGAACTTTACAATGTCATCTGTGTACTAACATATACTAGCCAAGACTTCACCCCAGGGATCCTAGATTTGTCAAACACAAAGTTGGGGCTGAAGTTTCTGGAGCACATCGACTGGCGGCGATGCGCGTTCGTCGCCGGAAATCAATCGACGCGCTCTGCGAAGTTTTGGCTTTGACGTTGTGCTCTATGAATCTAGAGCCCCAGCTCCCAAGCCAACTTCCTGGTGCTAAGTTTATACAGGTCCATACCGATTTTCCATGTGGAAATTTTTATGTGGTGCTCTCGTTTGGGATCTCCGTCGTGTACACTGGTATTTTATGTTTACACCAACTGCTGTGTTGTATACGTTTCAACGTGGCGCAGCGTACAGCGATACTGCCGTGACGCGCAAAAGTTTCTTTTTTTTATCTAGGCACATTCTCGTCTTTTTTGTTTTTAGTTTTTTACACGAGAAACTGCCTAAAAACTCTTTAAATAAAGCACAATTTAATGTTTTATTTTCACAAGGTTATAAATTTTATACATAGTTTTAAACCAGCCAGCTTATTGTGTCTTAGTGGGCAATGTCGTAGATTGCACCCGCTGTGCTAACTCTTTCCTCGGACACCTGTAAAATCCATAGTCGTGTCCATATATCCCAACACTTTTGTGCTTTGCCCAAAAACGTTTGGATGACCGAGTCAGGACTAGAATACCGGGCATGTTCCGTCCCTAACAAAAACGGTGCGGTGAATCCTAACTTTGAGTGTTGCATGTAGGTTGTGCGGCGAATGTGAAGCGCCCTGGATATAGCAGCTCCACAGCTGCTCTAACAGGCGAGGCATGATATTTCTGGTCTTTCACTGAAAGTCTTCCACGAGATATGCGACAGAGAGATAAGGAAAAGGTACCTCTGGCGGACAATGCTAGCTGAAGCGCCCAATCCGGCCTTTTTTTGCGTCTGCGGTCCCCGCAGTCTCTATTCTCTCTCAATTAGTCAAATAGTCCGAAATATGGAACCTTGACTTTGCATTCCATTCCTGGTCCACACCGTGGCTCCTCCAAATTCTTGCTGGTATGCCAAAGAAGCGCGAAAGTCTGTTTTGGCTTGCATTGTCCGCGATAGTACACATCGTATTAAAGCGCTTTATGTAGGCTGGTGATAGAAACAGATTTTATCTGTTAGTTTTGCAGTGTTACTGTTGAGCACGTATATATACTTAAATAAAGAAATTTTCGTGCTTGTCTCTCTTTATTTTTACAATAAAAAACATTTCTATGCATGCTTTGGTCTGTAGTAAAAATTATCTGGCTTGCACTAACGAAATACTGGGGGTCCTCTGGTGTGCAATGTAAATTTCACATGCACGGTGTCCCCTCTGCAATGAGCCTCGGCCAATATTGCAAAAATTTTGGCCATGATCGAACCTGCTGTCTGGAAATCCGTAGGACAGCACTTTGCATTGGAACCGTCTTAAGTGGCTACTTGAATCTGCAAATCAATGTTCCAGAAGTTATCATCTAAGAGGTAGTTAAGACCGAAGACAAAACAATCAAACAAAATGAGACTGTTTGCGTCCACTAATGAGAAAATGTGTACGCCTCCATTTGTAGACGAGTCTTCTAGAAGTTCTCGTCAAAAGCTTAAGACTTTGGGCAACAATCTTGCATCACAAAACCAATGAGGCTGTGTGATGAGGCGATGTTTTGGCATGTTTGCAACTTGGGAAAAATAAAATTCTATGTTCTTTAGTTTTTCCAAAATCCTGAGGATTGACAGTCGTGTGCTGTAGTGATGTGTGTCAGTAGTTGTGTATGTGGGTTTTGAATATTTCTAAACTGCACCATTTTTGCTGAGCTGTGGCTACAGGAACACAACATACCGAGTGCAGCGATGAAAAAAACAAAAAGCTGTTGCAATTTGTGTTCTTAGGAAACGCCCAAAAGGCTCATAATACAGTACTATCGTATCTCGTTTATATGGGCAGATCTTCAGAAATCGTCCACAATGTGAGTCGTCCATAAAAGTGAAACAAAAATGCATGCATTTACCCAGTTCGTCCGCAAAATCTTTGTCTACATAGCATAACCATATTAAAGAGTGTTAAAACAGTGAGCGACCAATAAAAGATGCACTACAAAATGCAAAGCATGTCTCGGCTATGTGAGGAGCCTTTTACTAACTTTTATAATGTTACCTCCAGGCTTCTACTCGGTAAAACATTTTTTCAAAACTGCAGCACTTGGGCTTTATGTCATAAATGCACACTTCAAGTAGATGAGGTACAGCAGCATTCACTAGGTGATACCTTTCAATAGAAAGTCCCATGGCATGAAAACAATAAAAGGAATGTAAAAACAGAAGAGGAAGCATCTAGTATTTACAGAATCGTGACGAGACTAGTAGTAGGGTTGAAGTGTGCATTCCTACGACAGTCGTAAAAATACGCGAGTGAGAGACCCAACTTTTCGTGCATCGTGCAGCAAAACGCGCATGAGGTGCAGTCACTGTGGAATGCTTCAGACATGTCCAAATAAAGAACTACATTCCTTCAATCCCCAAATACGGGGTGACATCAAGTAATAAAAGTCTAAAAGCCCTTCATCGCAAAATGCGTACAAAAAACAGCTCAGCGAAAATATTAAAAAAAATTCTCCAGATCAATGAGAGCATAGATGAAGAAGCAAGATGGCTGCTGCCTGTCCAGGCTATCTGTTAAATGCATCACTGCAGCGATGCTGCTAAAACAAGACGCTTCCTCACAAAGAGTGAGGGAATACTTCGTAAAATGCGTCGTTACCCTTCACGAGATTCTAATCTGTGCCCCTGCCCACTTTAAGAAACTTAAAAGACCTAAAAACCCAGTGGCCGACTACTTGAACTCGTAGCAGAAATCATAGTTAGGCGGATCCTTTGGAATGGGCGGTGGATTTTCCGGGATGTCCACACCTTCCGTATCCAGGAGCCTTAGCTTAATGTCCATGCTGAGCAACGTCTCGAGGTCCCCTTTCGTCTCCTTGCTGACCATCTTTTTGCCGAGCAAGGCATTGATGCCGTCCGTCCAGTAATCAAACACCTTCTCGTTGGAAGCCACGAAGTTTAGCGGCTCCTGGTCCGAATCCGGGATCAGGGAGAATGCTAAGGACGCCGTCGACTTGGCCTTTCGGGTGTCCTTCATGTATGGACACTCTCGTCCTGTCGCGAGACTTCTGATCTCTACGACGGGCAGCTTGTGTGGCAGATCTTCAAGCGAAGGCACCGCGCTTTCCTCGCAGTCGCCATAGTGGAAGACCTTGTGGCTCGGAGACAGTCTGCAGTACCAAAACTTGTCTTTGATGCGATGGCCCTTCGCCGAATATTTTGTGAAGAGTGTTCCCTCGCAGAGGAACTGGAGCCGTTGCTGCTGAATCAGCTCCATGATCTCGGGTGTAACCTGCTCCCTCAGCTCGATGATCGGCCGTGCCTGGCTTTCCCACTCCTCCCTCGTTGAGCGCTCCTGCTGCCAGAGGTTCATGATTTCCGCGTATGTGAGCGTTGCGAGCCGGCTGCGGAACTTGTCCAGCGTCAGTGGAGGGGGATCCGTGGCCAGCGCCCGGCTGATCTGTTCCTGGACCACGCTGAAGACTTTGACGAAGTCCTCGGTGGTCGCTCGCATTTCCTTCCACGTCTTGTTGAGGAGCATGATGCCGATGCAGAAGAACTCTTCGAACGGATGGTCATGCGTGAAGAACATAGGGTAGTACGTCTTGCCCTGTTCTGTGGGCGGCTCGCCGACCTTGAGGATCTCGGCTAGGAGCCGGGTGAGGCGGATGCTGCTGCGCCCGAATGGACACTCGTGCTCGTCTGCCCGGCACGAGTTCTCGAGGACAAACTTTGTGTAGCTTTCAGTGTGGTTGCGAGCGAAGTAGATCATGTTGTCCAGGGCCAACATGCCGGGAGGTTCGCCAAAGTCTTCGACGGGGTTGGTGTGGTTCTGGAAGCCAAGCTTCTTGTAATCCTTCGCGTATCCGCCGCCCTTACGACCCCTCGTTTCCGTCGTGGAGTTACCGTCCGTCTCCGAGTCAAACGCAGTCTTGCGGAGTTCCAGGATTCGTTCACGGGCTTCGGCGTCTGTCGGGTCGACTCCAATTCGGCGTTCCTCGAGGAGGTTTAACAGCAGCGTCTGTAGAACATACAGTTGGTGAGCCATTTCCGTGCCGACGTGCGGCTGCGAGCGCTGCAACACAGACACCATGATGACGTTGCGGATGTGGCGAGACGACAGAGTAGCTGCGAGCGTCTTTCGCTTGGTGAGGGACTCTGCTTTGAGGAAGAGGGCATTGATCAGAGCTACAGCGGACTGCTGGATCTCAGGGGTGCCGTTCTGCATGTGCATAATGAGGTTGGGAAGGGTCACTTCTTGGTCGACCATGGCGTAGCGGCCTGTACCATTTAGAACCAAAGACTCGAGGATGGACAAGGAGGCCTGCAGGGTACGGTCGTTTTGGCCCGAGTTCATGTTCACCTGCCAAACAAAAAAAAAAAGAAAATGTATTGTGGGATGTTACCTTCAAGCTGAGGTCGTACAGAAAGAAGAGTGGTTGTTTGGGCGAGTTGGTTTGCATAAGACACACAAAATGGTTTTTCAGACTTGTACGCTCAAAGGTGTTGCCCCTCAATGGGAGACTGCAAGTGCTGCAATTCTCAGTCCACTAGCGGTCTCACTCCGGAACAAAGGTTTCATACCCATAAGTTTTGAAAGTTATATGTGGCTTGTACGTGGCATCATCACATCATGCCTGTGGTCATGCCCACTTGCTCTTACCAAGAAAAACAAATTTAGTGGTACACAGTATATATGTGCTGTCACGTGATTCCCCTCCCCCCGGGGGAGGGAGGGGGGGGGGGGGGCACTGCACATGCGCAGTGAACCGTTTTATGACAACTTCCGCACATGCTCAGATTTACGCTTCGTCGTTTGCGAAACAAACACCCACCACGGCATGCAGCGAGGTAGCGAAGAGACACCCATAGGGTATTCGAGGATTACGTACCTGATTGGCGACTTTACCGACGAATCTCGGCTCGAGGATATCCCAGAACACTATGCCGTGGTCCATGAGCTCAACGAACGACTGCAGCGTCAGGGCAAGATGATCGCCGCTGTAAGTGCCACCTTCCACCATGCCGATCAGCAGCTGATGGCCCTGCTTGCTGATGAACTCCAGCGCGAATGTGTAATCGGAGGAGAGCTTCTGCAGCCTGTTCAGAGCGGCGAGCATGTCGCTCAGGTTATTCGAGCGCAACTTATCGAGGATCTCTTGCGCTGTCTTGGTCGGGCTGAGCGTGAGTCGGAGCACGTAACCGTTCTTGATCTCGTTCCTGTTCTTCTCGGTGATGTACGCGTTCACGTTGTCGGCGAACTGGAGCGAGTACTGTTCGGGTTCGGGCAGGTTCCAGTGGTTGCAGAGGTCTTGGATGATCGCCGTGAGCGGACGCTGTTGGTCGAACTCGATGAGCTGCGGCACTTGGTCCGCCATTTCGACGGCGATCTTGACAATGTGGGCATCTTTGATCGACGAGATGCCGCCCTGTTTTTGCCGAATTCCTTTCATCTTGGAACGGAGATCGGGCAGAGGCGGAATAGATGGAAGGGCGGAAGCTGACAGCCCGTCGTCGTTTTTGTCAACAATGGGGGGCGACTGGTTTGGATTGATACGGCTAGGTATTGGATTGAATATCTTGATCATTAAAATAACTTACTATAAAAAAGTCAAACAACTCTTCTAGGGTTTGTATTTCAGTGCTAAAATCATGACTAAAAAAAGGTTTGTTTGTTTATTTTAGCTAAAATAAAAATCATAAAACAGACTGTAGAGGGCGAAATTAAAAATTATTTGTATTGACTGTAGAGGGCGCAAGCCGCTATCTGATTCAATGGTTTTAGAGCTCGCTTTATTATTTCTTTATCTACTCCAATGGATATAAGATGATCTCTGCTGATTTTGGCGCTTCTTCAGCTCTGCCAGCTCTGCCTCATGCTGATTTTATTTCATTTCTAATTTGAGTCGTACAATTTCTTAACTTAGCCTGTGACTGCCCAACATTCGACTTTCTCTTTCTGTGTTTGTAAAGGTGCCAGCTGCTGGCGACAGTCGCCGTTTCGTCAGCGGCCGCGTTCTGCAAGTGTAGTTTTTGTGCTGGTGCTTTCACGGACATGCCGACGTGTTTTGCGCCCGGCTGTAGGAGCGGTTACTACAAGACACAGGAAAAACGGCACTTCTTCCGGCCGCCGAGGAATGACGACCTAAGAGCCGCCTGGGACCGCGCCATACCGCGCACGGACCGGCTGCTAACGCCGAGCTGCCGGTTGTGTGACCTACACTTTGACGACGCAGACATTGTGAAAGTGTTTAGGCACGTCATCCGCGGCGAGGTCGTCGAGATACCCAGATCCAATTGGTTGTTGGCGCCCAGTGCCGTGCCTTGCATCTTCTCCAACTCTCCGCGCTATCTTCTGAAACGGAAGGCCTACTACGAACGGAAGGTTCCAGACACGGTTCCAGGCAAGATACTCTGCGAAGATCAACAGAGACGCGCTCCCAATGTCGACGCACCGTCGCTGCGTAAAGAGCCTGTTCAGCAGACCAACGTTCCTGCGAGTCGTGAGGACCCCCAAGAAGTGGCTCCGAAACTCGGTAGGTTGCATAACCCCTGATAGGTCTTGAGTGCAGTGTAAGGAAAACAAAAAAATTGCGTGTTTTTTGTTAGAAAAACGTGAACGTTGCGACGCGCGCGTTCGTTTACAGTGAGGACATGAACCACGCAAACAGCACGGATTTCTTCCTCCCCACTTCGCTGTCGTTACCTGGGCAACCTGGGGGCTACGTTGGACATTTACATGTAGATCTTAAACGGTCACGGAAGTAACATAATAGCATCTGATTGGTGGAGACAATTGCCTCCACCAATCAGACGCCAATATGTCACTTCCGTGACCTTTTAAAACGTACCGTACACGTAAATGTCCAACCTAGCCTCCCAGGGGAGTTAGGTCTCCTTCCCTTTCACGGCAGCCAGCGGAACGTGTGAGTGGCTGTACAGGCCCATGTGATGGGCAGGGTGTAGCTTTTTCCCCCCAGCAAAGACATACCCCAAAGTGGACTGGAACCGAAAGAAAACCTTCACTTCCGGTACAGCAGATGCTGTGAACTGCAGACAATGTGTCCTGTTTGGACAGCCGTTTAGAAGTCGGAACATGTGTCTGCATGGCAGTCTAAACTTGTAGTACACAGTAGGGTGGGTGTGAGGATAAGGTAGAGCAGAGAGTGAATATAGGCAGGGGTGAGGTTGAGCATAGGTTGGGGAGGTTTCTGTCATATTGGTAAACATTTATCAGGAGGTTTCAAGTTATCAAAACCAACCTCCAGGTTGGGTGACATGTCCTCCATTCATGCTTGAGTGCAGTCTTTCAATTGCACTTCCAAACTGGGAAGGTATTCCAGTGTTCGGCGATCAATCAAACGTCCTTTGATTTATTGTGAAGATCCGCTTGCAGAAGCCGTGGGCGTACACTTTTTTTGCCGCCTCGGTAGCTCTGAGGCGAGAGCGCCGGCCTACGGACCCCCATGTGGTGAGTTCGAATCCCGGCCGAGTTGCCCGCAATCTGACGGAGGCTTATTGCGGAGAAGGCGCCGTGTGTAACCGAGATTTCGGTTGCACATCAAAAGATACCCAGATGGTCGAAATTAATCCTCAGTCCTCCGCTGGGGCGTGCCAGATGCCCGTCGTTGGTTTGGCAAGTAAAACTCCCAAATTTGACTTTGGGCGTACACTTTTCTTAAGATGCACTTGTTTCCTTTCAGCACCCTGGCTACGAAACAAAACATCAACTTGCTGCGTATTCAAATGCCCCAGTGGCACGACATTGCCACAAAACACTGAAGGGCGACACTATTTCGAACCACCCTTGGACGACCAACTTCTTCGGGAATGGGAACGAAGGCTGGGCCGGACGGACACGGGGCCCCTGACCAGAACCATGCTGGTGTGCGACTTGCATTTCGAGGACGGCGACATCATCAAGCGATTTGAATGCCGCGTCAATGGCGAGGCGTTCGTTTTGCAACGAGAGCAGTGGCGACTGAAGCCGACGGCAGTACCGTCTCGACTCTTGGGCAGAGCTTCAGATTGGGCGCGCGTCGTTACCCAGCTCGAACCTGTTCGGTTCGAGGACCTTGCTTCGAGTTTTGCGACGACAAAAACCACGAGTGGCTGGAAGACAGACGTGAGCGACGAACAAATCCTCCTCTACAAGCTCGCCGTCTCCGAAAAGCGCGTCGTGTCGGTTTCGCGGGCGGTCATCGTTTCGAAGGACCTAAGTGTGTGCGTCAACTCGAATGGTAGGTTGGTGCCCCCAGGACTGTTGGTGACGAGCATCGGGTCGCGCGAAGACGTCGACGGTCTTCTCGGTGTGGTCAGCAAATTACGTGACTGCGGCGGCTGTCCGGCCGACCAGTTTCCCGACGTGAAGACCGCGCTGTCAGCCGTGAAGGAAGGGGGGGTCTGGTACCGGAAGGAGTGTGCCGTCCTCACAGAGAAGTGCGAAGTGTGCCACGAGTGCGCAAAGCTGAAGAAGCTGATGCGGCAGCGGCAGAAGAAGCTGCCGTCCCCGCCGAAGAACAGAAAGGCCATCGTGAAAGGACTCAAAAAGAAGGCGGCGCGAGCTCGCCTGGCAACAGAGAGGATGAGGTTCAAGCTGCGGGACATGAAGAAGGAGATGGCGGTGTTCGCGAAGGCCCTCAAAGTGCTGCCCGAGGGCCAGCAGACGGCGTTCAAGGAGGCGTTGTGTCACTTTGGGGAAGTCTGCGCCGTTGAAGACGGCGAACAGGAGTACAAAGACGGTGAAGAGGAGGACGAGGACCTTCTCGTCACCGAAGACATGCAGTCCGACGGAACGTGTTCATCCGATTAGTGTTGTGGAGGCCTACGTGGACCGATTAGGCAGAGTAGCGAACACAGTTTGTGCAAGAATGGCAGTCGACAGTATGATTGATTTAATAAAAGTGTATACTGGTTGATGCATAGCTTACAAGAAGAATAGTGTTGCATGTTGTTCCACTTAGGTGCTGTACTGCTGTTGAAATTGGTCTGGAAATTTTATTGTTGGAAAGCTCAGCTTACGGACAAAGTGAACCACCACAGGTATTCTGTCGGCATCTCGGGGTGACCAGTTGGATTGGGTGACCAAAAACTTAGACAAGCGTTATAGCAGTTCTCTGTTGACAAGCGTTCAGCAGTGGCTGTCGCCATCCATGGAAGCCATCGAATGCAGTTAATTCCTACCTATTGCTACTATCTTTTACAGCAGATAGTTACTGGTGACAGCTCTAGACAAAACTGGATTGTGAATGCTCAAGCGCCACTTTTGGTTTCAGTGATTGAACTACTTGGACCTTTCAGCAAGTCCCATTCTTGCAGACCATCCAAACTCGTCGCATGTTTCAAGTTAACGATAGAGGGCGGAACTCGTCTTAAAAACGTCTCGTGTTTAGTTTTGCTGATATTTGTTTGTACGGTATTGCGTGCAGATACAAAAGATGCCACACCACTCTAGCCAACAAGAACCTTTTATTCTATTGCTTAAAGGCCACAGGCAAAATAAATGAGATTGCATGCATACTTAAACAAGAGTAAAATTTAAACACCATAATAAAAACAAGTAGGGAAATGTGTGCCTAGATATACCCGTCTGCATCATTTGTGGATCAAAATGGGCAAAAACCGCTTCGATGGGCGCTTTAATCTACAGTGAAACCACCAATGTTGAACGAACGAAAATTGGCAGCCATGCAAGGCATGCCATAGCTTCCGCAGCGGACACGCATTAGCACTCAATCTTGCGTTACAATGTTGAATACCAAACCAATGTTTTCAAGCTTGTTTCCATTTATAATAAAAATCTGGAAGCTTGAATGGTATTGTTGTTTTGAGTGACAGTCCCAAGAGAATACTGTTGTGCACCATTAAGAAATTTGTCACCGGCATAAACTGTAGACTGGAAAATGTAGATTTTGAAAAAGTATTTGATATCCTCGGTAGTGGGACTTGGCACGAGCCTTAACCAACAGAAACTTTAAAGTTTTGTCTGCAAGAACCACTAGCACTATTCCATAAGAGTGCTCTGGCTGTGACTACTCTTCAAGCATTAGACGCTACTAGCAATATTTTTCTTTCTCACCGCCAAGAGGCAAGATATCATTTTAGAGCGCAGCTCTTAGGCGCCCGTTTCCGGGTTCCGCGGCGTCGACATAGCCACGCTAAATTTAGCGGGAAAATTGACGTCGCGTGATCTCAACACCAATTCTATTCCCTGTTAAATTTGGTGCAAGTGACTTCAATACCAATTCAATTCCTTGGTGGGAATTGAATTGGTGTCGAGGTCACGTAACATCAATTTTACCGCTAAAGCTAACGGAGAAACTGAATGTGTTTATAGTTGACGTGACACCAATTCATATGACGTCATTTTCCCTGCTAAATTTAGCGGGGAAACTGAATTGGTGTTGAGGACACGTGGCATAAATTTTTCAGCTAAATTTAGGGGGAAAAGGGGAAAATGTGCAGGAGGAGGAAGGGCATACCCTCCTCCTCTAGAGCTGTGCTCTAATTTCATATTGCAGAGATTTGTAAACGTCTTTCATTTTTTACACTGAAATTTCACTGTCAGTGCAACTGCTTCTCCCTCGAGATAAAAGTGCAGCATGCTTTTTTCTAGACAATGACTTTTGCGGTCTATTCGAAGGTGGCTGTTTCTTGTCGGACACCTTATGTCTCCCAAGCTTGTGCGCTACTTGTGTATCGCGTGCAGCTATGTAATCTCGGAATGCCTAGACGTATTTGCATAGAAATGTACTGTGATGAAACCCGTGCCAACGGGTGTTTGAGGTAAAAGACTGCCCTTCGAGGTGGCAGCGAATAGAAAAACTATGGTGTGCGCTGGGTTCTAAGGAAACTTCTGCAGTGAAGAAACTAGTATATACTTGTTCTAACCAGTAATGTACCGGCTGCTTTGAAAGTAGTATGGGCAACAGACAACGATACTATGCAAAAATATTTACACATTTGTAGACGTAGACTGTCGTGACGACAAACGTACTTGCAAACTTTCAAAACAACGGACGTCAGCTTTCCTCGTTGAACTCTTTCCATCTCGTACTCTGTACAAAACAATATGGAATGTGATCTCGCGTTTGAACTTCTTTCAAAAGTGACGAGACCTGCTGCGAGTGATGCCCAAGATGCAGACGTGCTTTGTACAAAGTTGCCTGCCACATAAACGACACTGCAGTGACAACTGTCTGGAATAATAAATATGCGGTTGGGAAAAGCATGCAAAGGTGCTTCAACACTCGGAAAAAAACCGGGATAATTCGTGTCGCACAAACAAAACGCAGCACAACCATACAAAACGTGTCCCTCATGGGGACAAACTGCACGCTAATAAAGCGGCGCATCAAAAACACCTACCACAGTTGTGTCCAAGGACTGCAAGCTATGCAGTTGCTCGCATTCAGGGTCAACACCCACACCTGCTCGCAATAAACATTGCATCACAAATGCACGCACAACATGTCGCACGTGCGACACCTAAACTGCGACATGAGAAAGTCCTACGGGCAACATCGTACAACGAGCCATTCTTGCTAATGAAACAAACGACCGATAAACTTTGTTGTCGATCTTCGAAGTCACGTCCTGGTGCTGATCTCGATGCTTGCGGTTGAGGTTCTCGAGAGATTCAAAGTGGCACTTGTACATTCGCCCAGTGCGGTACGGTCGCCGAAACACGGTTGTGGAGTAAAGGTGTCACCGGAATTGCCGACACGATAGGTTCGACGGTGTCATGGCTCCTGTTCATGTTGTTTCTTGGTTGTTATCCAGATCTGAGAAGAATTGCCGAGTCACGATGGCTTCGGTGATGGTGGCAGGTTTGCCGCTTCTTGGTACGATGGAAGGTACTGCTGCAAAACATCAAAGAGATGGGAGACAATATTAGACCATCAATAACCTAATGTCAATTTTATGTAGTAGCCATATCTGTTTGTAAAGTTTTGGCATTGTGATTTATTATAGAGTTCTCAGATATGAATGCGATTCTCTATTGATTACAAATTAAGTCTTGCAGGACACAAGTGTCAGTCCTCCTAAAATATTAGCCTACATTTCAACAACCCTTCAATGTGCATCCTGGACAACCTGTGTCATGAGGCACATTTGAGATCCCAGATAGCCTACCCACTGCCAGGGCAAAATGTCCTTTTACAGTGGTGAAGAGAGGACCCAAATTGTAAACATGGCTGACCACTCTGAGAAGACTAACATCGCCACACTTTCCCCCGCACATTCAGAATACCAATGTTTTACCAGACCAAACCGGACTCGTGAAACTTTATGGTAGTCGTAGTACGATTTACATAAGGGTGTTTGTACCCATAGAGTTATTACAATAAATGCTAGAGGCTCAGCTGGCGCTAGTGTCTACGGGACTTTTGGTTGCAAATTGAAGCAGACAGCAAGCAGTCTACTTTTCCAGCCTTCCTGTGTATTCCTATAAGAAAACGTATGTGATATTTTTAGTTTCTTTAGTCGTAACGGGTACTATGTAGTTTTATTCACATTATAGAAGTGTAATTTATTAAGATTAATGAGTTTTTTTTTAAATTATTGAGCGATGTTTAAATTAGCAACAATTGAGTCCCGGGTCTGTTTTGTACAGCATATGTTAATACAAGCTATCAATCAACCAATACAAGCTATCAGTGATTCTTCATGCACAGTTTGTTTCTAATCCAGTACGTGTTCTTCGTTCCATAACTCCATGCTTCGTTCTTGTCGTCTGTTTTGATTGTTTGATTTAGCATATATTGGCATCCTTTTGGTGTTTTGTCAAGCTGATTCACTCTGTGTGCTTCATAGCATTGACTATATGCGTAACACATATTATGCATGTGTATTGGGGTATTTTAGCGCAGCGTTTGACGCCGTAAATTCTAAAGAAAAACGCTCCACCCGACACATGTTTTGTACATCCGATTGTAAAATGTTCCAAACTTTTTATTCTGTCGCACCACTAAGCAATATTTGCTCTTATAATCGAGCACGAAAAGAAAACGCATTTGTATTTTCCCATAGGAATGCATTACCGGAAGTCAAATTTAGACTGCATGCTGTCTGCTTCAAAATGCAACAGCACACTAGCGCCAGCTGAGCCTCTAGCGTTTATTGTAACAACTCTATGTTTGTACCCAAGTTTGACTATCTCTCTGAAAACTACGCTGTTGATAAAGTGAAATGCAGATTAGCTATTTCACAAAGGGTTCAACAAAAACACTGCAGGCATTACGGAAAAGTTTTGTGCATTCCTTTTAAAACACCTGAAAAAGTGCTGACTCATTGTGCAGTCTTACCACATTAAGAACAGTTTCCATGTAAGAAGGGGGCTTGTCTTGATGCTATAAAAAAAAAAGAGCAGACAGAACCATGTTAATTCTTGTGTGATAAATCACACTAGTGTGTGATCCAGGCTAGTAATCATTTATACTACTAATCCATAGAGAAAGGGAAAGGAGGAGTGAATGAATTGTACAGTAGCTACAAAATATGAGATGAGGCTAGCATTTCCCCAATACTTCCCGTATAAAACTAGTCCAATATGATCATTTAAAAGTACCCAACAGATAGTAGCAAACATTAGAGTGTTCAATTAGACCCTGCATTTATGAGACAGTTATTCCAGCCACTAACTGATATGGTTTAGCCATATGAAAAAGCTGCCCACTACCCCACAAATGTTGGTGATAAAATTCACACTAAAATAATTATTTTACTGAGGAGTAACCGATATCCGAAAAAAGTGGAATTAAGACATCCACCTTTTTTCATTGCACCGGTGAACACAAGCCGTTCCAGACTGCGTTGCAATGCCTTTCCCAAAATAATGCACCCCTTTTTGCAACTGTTGCACAAAATACACAATAGTGGGAGCCAAGGAGACAGAAGTGCTAAATGGAAGGAGTAAATTGGAAAGACGGTACTACAAGGTCATTTTCCTCTAACGACCCGTGAAGTCGAAAATAAAAAGTTAGTAAGCTTTTCACTCATTCTTCTAATGCAGAGGTCAAGTTCTGCCCCCCACAACTGGTTAAATTTACCATTACGCCAAATCACGGGGCACAAAAGACATGAGATTTCGATTGCACAGCTGCTTTGGCATGCAGAAACGTGATCAAGTATGACTAGGGCACCACAAACTGTCCTGACTTCGTCCCTCTCCCTTTCTCTCTCACAAAACAAACGCGAATCCGGCCCCGTGCAGGTCTCTGGTACGCAACATAAAAAAATCTGGCACCAAGGCCCTTTGTTATCAGGAGGCATTGATCGGATTACAACGAAACAGTTCTGTCCCCAGTCCAATTCCCAACAAAACCCAACCATTAAGCATGCAGCCTTGTGCTAAAGTAACACACGCTGCAATGCACCTCCAAAAAGGCCCCACATTGTTGTTTTTATTTAAATGCCAATTCATGTTATCTAGATGTAGCACTAAGTTAAAAACGGAAAAAAAGCTGTACACGGATGCGCTGAATCTCGCGAGAAATGGTTCAGTAAATGTTTTGTCAGGTTGCTGCACCTTAGCTGTAGTCAATGGCATGCTAAGAATGCGGAAGGCACTCCGCCTCAAGTGCAATCTTCCTGCCTTTGATAACACTTAGTCGCACAACGCACGTTGGAGGCGCAGCATTTTCTCAATTCTTAACCCGACACCGACTAAGTCTTTTGCTTTTTTTTGAGATATACTTAATGTGTCGTAACATCTGATGTGTGCCTCACCTGAGCTGCTTGTAAGGAAGCCTGGGATGCAGCGGGTCCTGAAAAAATTGCAAAAAAAAAGGTAGGTTTCTTTAAATCTGAGGAGAACTATATAAATGATTCAGGTTTTATGCCACAATGTGCCAAAGTAAAGTCAGCATTTGTATTACGGGATTTTCAAGATGCACAGACCCTTCAGTGACCTTTATTTTATTGTGACATATAGATACTGGTGAAACTATAGTGCATCCAGACATTTTGTAAAACAGCAGGGGTATATTGGTCGTGCCATTTTCTGTGATCGCTCCTACGACGGCACCAAAATCAAACGTCTTTCCTCTGCGATCAAAAACCCTAAAAATGTTGACCGGTTATCTGTTGCCAAACTTCTCATGAAGTTTGGCAAAACAGGTCTGCACCAGAGAAATGTGTTAGCACTTGGGGTGCAAAGAAGGCTCGCCACATACTAGCTGTTTGCCTGCTGCCATTCTCATAAAAGTTAAGCTGACTTATTTTCGACCAGAAACACGCTTGACCACAATTTATCCTGTCTTGATTAATCATGGGTTGTCACTCTTTTTCTGGATAGACGGGTCAAGGGTTGTTGCTACTTTTCCATATATAGAGTAATCAAGGATTGCTACCACTCTTCTATCTAGAGGGGTCGAAAGTTTTTGCTACTTCCCCATGCAGAGGGATCAGGGGTTGTTGCCTCTCCCACTACTTTTTCGTATAGAGGGATCAAGAGTTGTCACTACTCTTCTATCTAGGTGTGTTGAAAGTTGTCACTACTTTTTCATGTAGAGGGATAAAGAGTTGTTACTATTCTACATAGAGGGGTCAAGGGTTGTCACTATCTTTCCATATGAAGGCCTTAATTGTCGAAAGTTTGCAGTGCTGCCCGGCAAACCGCTTGTCGGGGAAGACACAGATTCCACATAGATTTGCCGAAAACACAAATGCGAGGGGAAAGGGTCGTACCGAGAATGCCGGCGTTGACCGGATGATTCGTAATAGCCCCGCTCTCAGCTTGCAGGATGCCCGGAATGTTGACGGTGTCCCTCATGCAGCAGGGGAAGTAGAAGAACAGGCTTCTGTAAGGACAACAAACAAAAACTTTCAGCCTTTCCTCTCTGGTGAAGAAGGAAGAGCAGCGGAGCTGTTGCTGCGTACGTTGCCGCTCCTTCCGCACCCGATCTTCTTTCCCAGAAGAAAGGGCACGCAACCGACACATCGTGAGTTCAAACCGAGACTGATAAGGGCGTAGGAACCAGCACGCAAAACAGACGAGGACGAAGAAAAAACACACAAGACGAGCGCTATCCAGGATGTTTAAATTTTTTTTTCCCTTTGCATAAGTTTTTTTTATGTTGTTAGCGACCCTAGACATACGTGACTATTGTCAAGCAAGTCGAAGATAAACCTCCACGAAGGTTCGGGACAGCACAGCCAATATTTCGCTAAGGTCTCTAGGCAAAGGACCGGCTGCCTTTCAGAGGCTTGCAAAAAATTCCTTCAAGAGTTCTTCCTACGTCAGCTTCGTCTACGTTGGTGCTTTGTTAATGTAGACGAAGGATGTGATAGATTAAACTATTGAAACATGACTAGAGTGCATGCAAGCTGGTGGAAGTTTAGCCTGATATAAATTAATCGGAAGCTGAGCTACAAGAAAAATAAAAAGTTTCAGAATGTAGAAGGGACATGGAAAAAAAAGGGGGCAGAGAATGTGCAGAAACCACCACTGCTTCTCTCTTGCTTGATCATAATGTAGAAACAGCACGAAAAAACACGGACGGTGTAGAAGAAACACGCAAACAGGACAAACAGTTGCGTGTTTTTTGAGCTGTTGATACATTATATTATACATTATGATCCATGAATTCCAATAGCCCAACTCTCGACATTTCCCCCTCGCTTAACGCCCCTTCTACTTTTTTTTAAACTTTTGGTGACCCGTCTACCCAAACCCCCGGGTTAAAGTCAGCAACGGTATGCCGTCTGGACCAACGTGTCTCTAACTACACCAAAGATGTTGAGAAGAAGCTACAAGGCTTTAGATTCGCTTTCTCTATTTCATTACAAGGTTTGACGTAAACATTGACACAAACTGAAGTCACAGGGAGAGCAAAGCAGGTTTTAAATAGCCGGTCGAGCCAGGACCTCATAACTTGACCAATGTTTCATGCGGTTCAGTTCAGAATTCGTGAAATCAATTTTGACTTTATCGACGCTGGCTCGGGAACGAATGCCGCTTGCATGGGCCTGCACCACAAGTGGTGACAAAAAGAATTTGACACGGCTGGGACACCATAATGCAGTGACCATGGCAAGCTGGCAGACATCACCATCCACAATGTCAAGTGAACAATAAAGAAGTTGTATTTTTCACCTAGAGTGTGCGAAGAAACAAAAGCGATAGCTGTTGCATGGTAGCACAATGCGGTTGGAATGGTGCTGCCACGAACCCGAGGACGAAGGTGCGACGTGGTGAATTCTCATGGCCGTAGCGGTTTGCTCTGAGGATGCCGTTGACGACTGCCAGCAGTGATCCGTGAAGTGGGCAAGCGTGGTGGAAGTTTCTAAAAACCATCTAACGTTACGCATAGCAGCAGGGTGCTGCCAAAGTGGAATTTTGCATAATGCGAGGAATGTTTGAAAATAACTCTTTTGAAGCAGACGACTGGGCTGGCCTCTTTGCTTTCCTTGCGAGGCACGGCCAATGGGACATCCGGACTTCCCTCTCCTCGCGGCAATAGGGGAAGGAAGAAGGGTTTCGTCCTTCTTTGTGCGTGCGGCTATGACGGGAGACAAAGCCGAAATCTTTGCAAAGTGTTGTCTGCCTTAAAACATTCCTGGTTCCTTGTCATGTGTCCCACAAGGGAACTGTGGTGATAGCCAAGTAACGTCACATGGCACCATAGCATCATGTGACACTAAACTCCTGCTAAATTAAACTAAGAAATTTCCCCACTAAATTTTTCGATAAAGTTTAGCAGAGAACTTTTCTCGCCGAATTTAGCAGCCCATGACGGTATGTAGATAAAACGTCCACAGGGCTGCTGCAAAACTTTCCCAATAACATCAACGTAAAATGCAATGAAGCCGACTGGACATAAAGAATGTCCAGTCGGCTTCATTTGGAGACGAAATTGAACTCGATTTGACTAACAATCTCCATATGACCGTGCTCTTTGACAACATGTGCCAAGCATCTCTAGCCAACTTTTCAACAGTCAATCTCGATAAAACAAAAATGCTGTCCATGCGTAGTAAATGCGAAATGCTCGTGGCAAAACGCGCCGAAATGAAGTTTGGCGTGGTGTCGTCACCATTATTGTTATTAAAAAAAATCACGCTTTTCTCATTTTTTTTTTTTTAGTTTTAATTACCTTTTGTTGACGAGGAACAGGAGGGCCACGACCAGGATGGCAACTATGATGAGGATGGTGAGGAGGTTGAATCTGGTGGGAGGGCTCACGTAGGAATCCACGTCATGCTTTGAGAACATGGCTGAAACACCAAAACGAGAAAGGGCGACGCCGTTGAAATTCGGAAGGCTTGCTCAGAATATCAGCAAGAGCAACCAACTTAAAAAAAAATAAAAAAAGGACTTAGCGCAGAATGTGTATAGGGCCGGGTTTCACGAGAAAAACGACACGTTACGCCCGACCAAGAAGCAGTGGCCTTGACGTCAGGCACCCTGAAGTCACATGACATTGTGACATCACATGGCATCGTGATGTCAAGTGATATTTAGGTTACGAGACTCATCTTGAGCATTGCAACGTGCTTCTATAATTGACGCTTCTGTTTCAGGGCAATGTCGCAAAATTTGGAATACAGTAACTTGAGCTACACACTCTCAGTATTCTAAAAATGCACAAATTGTCGGCGCGCGTGGCCGGCTTTGATTTAAAAAATTTGTTGGAAGCGAGACTTTGACGGGAAATGGCGAAGTAAAACGAGAGAGGGGGAGAAAGGGTCGCCGTACAGTGTTTGGTCCGCATCAACAGTCTGCTGGCCCATTGAAGAAGGCGCCCCCGCTAAGGTGGCCCGGACATTGTTAGGTTGCAAGAAATGTCCCTCGCAACCTCACAACTAAAGAAAGAGGTTAAAAAGGACAAAGGAATCAAGAAAGCAAGGAAAAAATAAAACTGTACAGCTACTTAATATTATGTTGTAGAGGCCACTCAACCGAGGTTTCGGAGCGCGATAAAGATTGCCAAATAACTTACAAAACCACCGAAAAAAAAAAAAAAATTTAAACAGATTGGTTGGGACACACATGTCAAAAATAAATATTTGGCGAAAATTTTAGAGCAATATTGACGGCACGAGATTTATTTCAAATTCTGCGTGCAAAGTCTATGATGTCACAAAATGGTCATACACTGTTTCCACCTCAACGTGATGGCCAAACTGATCCACCTGTCCCCCACGCGCCTTAAATGTCGAGATAAAAAGCAAGTGGAGAGGAGGTGACTATCGACTCATCGCGTTTCGCGCCATCAATATAGCTCTAAAAAAAGTTTTGCGCGTAAAATTTCTTTTTTGACACGCGTGTCCCAACTAGACTGTTTAAAAAAAAACATTTCCTTTCTTTTCAATGGCCCTTTAAATTATAAAAGGGTATGTACTTGCGGTAGTTGGCAATTCATTGTAGGGGATAAAAGTGCCCCCCCCCCCCCCAAAGAAAAGCGACGGAGAAGTGGAAGAATAAAAAAGGTGCCTTCGTAGCGTTCGTCATTCCTTTAACCGGTCTGTCGTTTTTTACCATTTCTGTGCTCGACAGTGATTTAAATTATTTTCCAGTCCTCTGCCATGGCATCTTAAAGGCCCTCGGATTGTGACGTAAATGCCCACAATTCAATTCCCATCGTGCCCAGGAAAGTCACCTACCTTGTCTCTCACACCGGTCTTCGTAGAAGACGTAGTCCTCCTCGCAAAGGCAAGTCCCATTGTAGCAAAAGGTCCGAGAAATGGTTGAGCACGGCCGCTGGTCAGAGCAGGATTCTCCAAACGTTAAGCCTGTAACCAAAAAACAATTTATATATTTTTTTGGAGGGAGGGGGGGAGGAGGGGGAGGGGGGTGAAGGCATTACAGAGATTGATTGATTGATGAACATTGTCCTTTATGATCCTAAAGGCTGGTTTAAACATTTGCGGTCGAGTGTGCTCGACTGCGCTGTATTCGCTTGTAACTGCTTAACACACCGGCGCACTAGAACCTTCTGTCGGTTTGCCCTTGAACAACTCCAGCATGCATATATTTTTAGATTTTTTTTTTTTTACGTATTATTCTTTTGTAATGGGTTTGAAGTTATTCCGACAATGTAATGAGAGACTACTCCTCACAGAGAGTGTGTATATTCGTTCTCAAAAATGCCGCAAAACGCCAGTCAAGATGTGCACAAGCCGGAAGTTTTCCAGGGATAGCTGATAGATGGCGCCAGTGTATTGTCCCGTAAGTGGTTACTTATACAAAGGTGCGACTTACAATATAGTAAATGAAATCATGAAGCTTTGCTTCCCAAATAAAGAAAGGAGGTTTTTTTTTTAAGTTTTATTTTACAATGCACACATCAGTGAAACACTGAAAAGGCAGACGTATGAAATCACTAAGAAACGTCGCCAAAAAAATTAGTATACTATAATCAATCACAAAATCGGCAGTGTCGGCAATCGCAACAGCGGCTGCGGGAAGGCAATTCCCGTCGATGGAAGATTCGGGCGAGGAAGGGGCATTAAAAGTGGACGTGCTACAATGGGAGATATTCTAGCTTTTAGTTGACGATAGATGCATGATGACCCGTAAAACGGTTCTGAAAACAGCGCCCGGAAAAACGGCACCATTTTAAAGAAATGGTGCAGCTGCAGGAAAAAAGCTTCAGTACGAAGCTTGATGTGCCCAGAGCTCTATCGGCAGTGGTACAAATGACTTCACAATTGTGCAGTTCAAGCAATACACAACACACACAAAAAACAGACTATTCCAGCAATTAAAACTAAGAACAAGAGGTAATTAAGTAAGTATGAAATCTACATTATATGTTCAAATAATCAAGAAAAAAAGAGTGCGACTGTTTAACAGAAATTAATTTAATGTTTGTATTCCTGTCTATACATCTGTCGAAAAACTTAAGAATTACCTCTATGCCTAACCATTTGTCGTCCACAATTTGATCTGCACTTAAGAACCTTCCAATATTCATTGTACAGGGTCAGGTAAATTGTATTCATTAGTGATAAAAAAATAAATCCTGAAAAACATGAAACCCTACTTATTACTTTTAAAATATTCCGAGCTGAAATTCAAAACTTTATATTCCAGCCACACTGGGTAGATTTTCAGACAAAAAGCTGCTTCACTAGGTCTAAGACTGTAAAGGCAGCAACTTTGATGAAAATTAAAAAAAAAACATTTTCTAGATTCTACAAGCTATGTTTTTGCAATGCAAAAAACAAGACAACTCAATAGAAGTCACTAAATATTATACAAATGATATGATCTGTTTAAGTATGCAACCTTTTCACAGAAGTTATACAAATTATTGCACTACAAAAACTAAACAATGTAAATAAAACATTCTGCATTGTCATGGCACGTGACAGAGAAAAAGAAAGTTAAGAAAGTCCTGTGCAACCAGCTCTCAGCCATTGGTTCACATGCAAATCAAGAACATAATTTCAATCACAATTTTTTTTTAATTATTATTCTCTTGTGCATTGTGATTTTATAAATATCTAGGCTTCAACAAGTTTTATCTTCTGAAAAGATCATACTCCAACCAGAGGCAATGCAAAAATAAAATAATGGACATACACACACACACACACTGTCTCAAGTGCATGTTAGTTTCCATTATTTTCTATTCTGTTATTTTCGCCACGTCTAAGATGCCTCTCCGCGTTTTTACTCTCCCTTAGTCAGCTTAAAAAACTGACAAAAAAGAGTAACAGTTTAACTAAGGACAATTTAAAAAACATTTATCGCTGTTTTTAACTTGACACAATGGAAGGTATTCCTCCAGAATGTATGGATGGCCATTTGCTTTTGAAATACAGCAAAAGAAAAGTGGTAGATGCCATTGGAGCCGAAACTACTGCCAGAGTCTGCTACTGCCCAGAACCCGAGAGACGGCCATACTCCGTGCACCCCTATCTGGCAGCGCGGTGAGGGCTACATTCTCGCCGGACCAATCCACCACCTTCTTCCCCCTCTGCGCCTAATTATGAGCCTCATCATGTGGCGAAAGACAGACGCGTGACTGGTCCTACGATGAGCCCGTAGCTTCCACCGCAGTGTCAGCTCAAGGGTGAACAGAGTGTAGATGCTTCAGACACGCACCAGATTAAGGCCGCAAAGTCACGGTTGAACACCCCCGCGAACGACTACGGGAAATTGATGCGCAATGCGCGCATTCCCCTGCGTGACTGGTGTGCGTGGTGCGATGTTGAAACTCGTACAAAGGGTTCGTTGACTGTTTAATTGATCTGCGGGCTAAGGAACCAACCATCTGCCATAATCAGAAGTTCATGGGCACCCAATTAAATTAATTTACTTTTATATATAAAAAAAAAACCTTGCTAAACTTTTTTTTTTTTTTTTTTAATTGCAATTTTTGTCAATGCATGGCAGAGACAGCTGATGGCTTATAAAACTATAATTGAACCTAAGTTAAAATATGCGGGTGTTGCATAGGATTCCCGAACCAAGTTGTCTTGTAATGTGCTTGAGGCTGTGCAAACAGAAAGCATTGCGGTTATAGTTTTAGGTCTTCAATTTCTTAATTAAATTATATGTCCATGACTAAGTGACACAACAAAAGTTAATATGACTCGTGGTAATTTGAGACTGTACCATTATTCGACAATTGACACAACAAGGCCCATGAGAAACAAACTCAATCTATCTATCACTGAACCATTGTGCGGAACTACCTTATTTGGGACAGACTACTTCCCTAGCGCTCTAAACAAATGGAACAAACTCCTTCAAGAGGTACAGAATCGAAACTTGAAATCAGCCATCGAGGCAGCGCGATGTGTCTCAGGATATTTGCGTATGACGTCACGCTCGCAACATCACAGGCCCACAAACGGTTAAGGGTACCGTAATTACAATCGTCGTCCCAAGGTGAAGGCAGCTTTATCGTCAACGCGTTACAATTCCGCAAAGTGGGAATACCCGAAATATGGTGTACTAGAACTTAGAGGTGTGCCAAGCGCCGCTCGTTCTTGGGCGCCTCCATCAGACACGCCGCGCCGTGACGCTGCTACTGAAGGGCCCGTCACGTCAGACATTCCAATGAAGCTCGGCCCCCAACTACCAAGTGGTAAGGGGAAATCCTTTTATTCGTACTAAAACTGCTTTTCTTGCATTTACAGACGAAAGACTGTTGTTTGTGAGCTGCAGCCATAAAAGAGACCATGTCTACGCAAAGAAATAGGTGCTAAACTTTTGCTTCCATGTCCCTTTAAGGGCACGAGGCAAGTCCTATACTCCCCACGCATTCTAGACCATGTTGAGGAACATTTTTCTCGCTAATTATTAGGAGTATTCCTATCATACATATATATATCTTTTTGTTCCAAATTTGTGCTTTTTCCACTTAAGTAGAATTAATAAAACCAGATAAAAATAAATTGTTTATCCATTCTTTTTCTAGTCTCAACGTTTTAGCTTTTTTAATGTATTATAATATGAGTAAACATTTTAGCTTTTTCTGTGTATTATAAAACGTGTAACACAAAAACCGTTGGGTGAAAATTTTTAATTCTAGTTCAATACTTTTTAACCCTTATGTAGGTGGTAGGAATAAAAAAATGAACCCTCTATATTGGCAGGTTAAGGAAATAATCGTGCCGATGCACAGAAAAACACTCTTTTGAGATAACTGAGTTTAAGGTAAAAAAACACGTGAACAACAAATTGTTATTGTCACCAACAACCTCAGTCATTTCTTTTTTAATAGTTGCCAGCTTGGTAGTCATGTCTTTGCTTTTTGGAGTGTCTCCATGCTTGCCGGGCCTCTTTTATGGCCTGTCGTGTAATTCACTGCGCTTTTAAACATAGTGTTGTTTTTTTTGTTTTGTCGGAATATTGTTGATAAACAGGAACCATATCTCAAAGAAGAGCCATGGTCACCCGCTACTTGCTTTCGGAAAAAGTGTTTCTCAACCCGAAATATGACTTTTTAAGAAAAACATAACAATAAAAAATGCGGGAAAAAAAATTAACTTTACAAATTAAAAAAAAAAAAAAAACTAGAAGCGCCTTTTCTTTCTAACTTTTCTTTTTTTATGTTGTGCTTTTAAAAGTGTTATTAATTCAGAATCACTGACCATTCTTAACACACACTTAAGCACTTTTTTTGTCGAGAATGGCAGTTGCCTGCGCTGCATTGCTACGATTTCACTGTTTTTTGTTGTATGTATTTCCTTCGTTAAAGTTTATACAGAGTGCTGGCAGTATAGGCAAATACATAAATATCTGTCAACAGCTTGTGTTGAAAAACCTTGGTTTCCAAGAGCCTCAGGGGTTTCCCAAATTTCCATATCTCGTCAGCTGTCCCTACCCCAAGTAAAGTGTTTACGCAATCTATAGTATGTATTTTTTTTTTCAGCAGGAATTACAGGTTTTAGCACAGCTGTATTGCATCAATGCCTAAGTAACACTTAAAATTAAAGAAAAAAAATTCGCCAAGATAATGTTTTTGACGGAGGTGGCCAGAGGTGCCAGAATGTGACGAGATAATTAGCAATTACCTCACATTCACCATTTCACCTTCTTACATATTTGTCTCAGCTGGCACATTCCAATGAGACCTGTAGCCCGTCTGCAAGCTGAGCCGTAAAAATTGACAAGCTTTCGAGAAGAACCTGTTTTTTCATTCAGCGGAAACTTTAGGCTTTATGGAGTGTGGCAGTTCAAAAGCAAAAGGTAAAGAAGTGCCAAAAGCAGCACAATTATGGGGTCTCCAAACTGTGGCGTGTCTATCCTGTAGGCACGTGACCTTGAGATATTGCACCACTGCGAGATAAGAATGCGATTAGCAATTTACATCTGTTCTCGCAGCCACTGCGAGGTCAGAAGGTGATTAGCACTTGCCACCTGCTCTCGCAACAGCCATTGGCGTCTATCCAAGTGAGAACTTCCTTTGCTTGTTTGCGTCTTTGTTTTGCGGTCTTAGGACATTGACAGCTTGGGTTAGTCACTGAAGAGCGTGAAGTAGAATTTAGGTAACTGTTAAGGGCTTATTTCGACGACAGCCTACAAGTCTATGGAGAGAATGTGCGAGGTGAGATGAACGCTTAAAATAGTAACTTACAGAATTCTAGGTAATCTGCTTGATACTGTAAACGACTTATTTTTCGCTTGCTCAATATTTTGCAATTTAGACCAATGCTGAAGTTTTGGAATATTTTGCAGGTTCTAATTTTCGCAACGCGGTGGGATCTCAATATAGATTCCATTGCGTTTACATTTTACCGGAATCGTTTGTGGGACCTATTTTTCGCGAATTGTAGGCGATTCACAGAATTCGCGAAAATTAAGTTGTTTATGTACAGTAATCGTCACATCACACTTGTGTCCCGATGTCCGTCACAACCGATAATGTTGTTCCAAAAAAATCAGTGTTTATGTGAAGTTTACAAAAAAATTGTTTTGATGGGGCTGAGACCCCACAATTTGATAGGTCATAAAAGAAAATAAGAAACAAAAAAAGCTTAGAACAAAAAAAATTGAAAAAAAAAAAAATGTGTTTCGTATTTGAACAAACATGTCGCAATAAATCAAAATGTTTAATTAAAAAAAAAAAAAAATTCATGCCTATGTACATAGTTGGTACCATCTGATGCACGAGAAACCAAGTGTTCTCCAATGTCATTATCCCTTCTTCTTTAATAAATAAGCATCTGTTGGAGATGTTGGCCCTGTATGTGCAGTGTCGATACTCCATTATCATTACTTCTAATTATTATCTTAGTAACGAAGAGACAAGATGCTTTAGCATTTGTCTTACATGCGTGATATGACTTTGTTCCAATCATAAAATTAAATACTGAAGCACACTTCCATGTTACTTTAATGGAGCAACCATACTTGGCCGTTTAGAAATTCGCCAACATCTGAACAAGTTCCCAAGAAAAACTGTTTCACACTTTTGATAGTTTTGTTTATACACTACACTGCAATACACACATAACATTATGGATAACTTCACTTTGCTTCCTTAGACTCCTTTCAATGGGTATGGCATAAGGAAACACATTTATTACACACTTATTGCAACACATCGCATGCATCGCAACGAATTCCCACACAGCCACCAACCATGTTTTGGGGGAGGATGAAGGGGAAGGGAACGGAAGGAGAGGCATACACCAAATACTTCACCAGGAGTGAACACTGGACACTCTGCATATAAATGCCCCGGAGGTGACAGGTTTACAATCGAGATGTCACGCCCATAGATGGCACTAGTGGATGCAACGATGACCTAGAGGCATTTAAGCCTTCGCATTCGGCAAAAAATATTAAGCGTAACCTTGTTTTATGTTTTACCATGCCAAATACAACAGATCGCTGACAGCACTGGCACACCGGCCAGACAGAAGGGTGTTCTCACGCTAGGTTTCCGTCGCGGAAGCTAGTGCCATCTCTCGAATTAGTGTCTCTAGTGACAAACGCGGAGCGCAAGTTTGTCCGCTTCTTTCACGGAGGTTGAGGTGACAATTGGAATGCCGACTTCTGATTTGTTCTGACTGAAGGATAGTGGGTAGACTTCAAAGCAAGCCTTTTTGAGGTCTACCCACTATCCTTCAATCAGAGCCCGGCATTTTAACGTCCCCACAACTCCTGCAAACAAACCAGACAAATTTGTGCTTCCCATAGTTTCGTCGTCCGCAAACGAGGAAAGCATCCAGCACTCCCCCTAATAAAGTAGCGTGTTTTCCGGCGCATAAGTCGTGTTTCTTTCCCCAAAATTCCTGTAGGCACGTGCGATTATGTAATCATAACACATGTATCTGGGCTTTTCAATGCAGCTTCCCTTTGCCGATCGTACACATATAAAGGTGCTACTTACACAAAGATGCGGCTCAATTTTTTGTTTACAAACGGCCACTTATGCGGAGAGCACGTCTTCTGCATTTTGCGCAGGACGCCAGAATGACGTTGAGCGGGCTCTGATTGAAAAGATAGTGAGTATACCAGAATGCTAGATGCCTTGAGGTCTACCCACTATTTTTTTTTTTTTTAATCAGCCAACAAGAGTTTGGCATTCTGACATCGTCACAACCCCTGCGCATGAAGCAGAGGAACTTGCGCTCTGCATAAGATGGCACGCAAGTTACACAAAGGTGCGACCTACAGACGGAAAAATATATGGTACTTGCATACACAGGGTTGTGCAGTCGAGGGAAAACAACTCACCGCCTACACACTGGAGTCGCCCGTTCCTGAGCCCGAAGCTGTGGCCGAAGCGACAAACACAAAAACCGTCCTGGCAGAAGCTTCCCTTGGCAAACCTGTAACAATTCCAGCCGGTCGAGCAGCTCTGATCACTGAGCTGGATGAAACCTGCACAAATTAACCGCCAGTAATCAGGAAACCGAAAGTCAGCCGAGGCAGACACTGATGGCAACAATAATAAAAGTGCCACATTCGATAAAGCTATAAGACACGCGACTGCAAACACGTCGCCAACCTGAAGTTGGATAGACGATTACAGTGCCTGGAATAGACCCTTTCCGAAATTGCGAAACGATAAGTAGATTATGCGCAGCCACCATCAGTTGGTCGCATTGCTTTTCGGCACAAAGCCCCGATTGGTTCCAAGTTTGCACCGAGCACCAATACAGCATTCGTGCAGAATGCGTTTCGATCCAAGTGCACTCTGAATTCCGACAAAGCACACGCGTCCAACGCGTGCTCACAGCACACGACCAACTAATGGCGGCTGCGCATAATCTATGCGTCATTTTGAAATTTTGAAAAGGGTCTATATGCTATCCGGTCGGTGCGTTTGGCCTCCTATTCCCACTCGTACGTCGCAAAAGCCGGAGTGGGATGCTGTCGGATGCCACGATACCTGCAGACAAGTGTACAAGTTTTGGGGAGAAAAAAAAAAGCATGAAGGAATGCGAGCTTTGTTGCCGTCGTGGCACCCCAACTCCGGTTATCGAAGCTTCTGTAGACTGTCAAGACGGAGAGCAACCAACGTCACCAGGGTCATGGCCGGTGACAATGTAACACTTCTATGGCATCATCGAGCGGAAATCGAGGGACCACTTTTTAGGGCGGAGTAAATGCATCGGTCGAAGACGCGTTCCAGACACCGCAGATGGCCACAAAAGTAGAAAAAAAACACGTAATTATGATGAACACAAATAGCGCAAAGGAATTAGGGGCATAGGCACAAATAGGGTGCGGGACTGGCGCTCTCCCGTGTTCATGTCCATCCTTCACATTGTTTTGTTCATGCTTTACGAACTAGCCTAACTTGATATTTTAACATGCAATTACTTGGTCTCTTTCACTCTCGGCTCAACTTGTTAATAACAAAGAAATTGTAACTTAATTATTAAGGGGGTGCATCGAAAAAATAAGTTTAGATGAGCCAACATGTGGTCTTCTGCGGGGGGGGAGGGGGCGGGGGGGGGGGGGGGGGGGGTTTATGGAGTGATAAGGGACATACAAAGGTCTTATATTTTAAATGGCAGCTCCGGTCGAAGCCGAAACCAAAATAAATGACTGCTATCGCTTTAGTGGCAAGGAACACGATCACAGCCGAAATATTATGTGTAATTGAAGCTGCATACTCCAATAAAACCGATTTTAAAGATGCAACCAGCTGCTCTTTAGCAGGCGGCAAGCGGGTTAGCTTTTAGTCAAGGAACACTGGGCGGCGCTCCTCATGACGTCACGTCACGGTGGTGCTGCGGTTGATTCCGCACGTTGTACCGCATACCGCAGCACCCCGGGGACGTCGTGCCGCAGCCGTAAGGCTGATGATCAGTATTGCCGCCCCTCTAGCGGATAGCTTTGATTTCGCCATAGGTGCCTGAAACCCAACTTTGAGCCGTGATATTTATAAAACTACACACAGTATCAGGGGGGGGGGAATAGACCTTGTCATTGAGGAACACTAGCTGTTTGAGCTGAAAACAGACTTAATCCCAATTTCGAAAATATTGATCAGAGTTGCCCTTTAAAAGAAAGAGTGATGTTATCCTACCACCTTATGGTTTATGACACTGAATAACACTTGATCTGTATGTTTGGCGTGCAGCTGAATATGTGTGAGAGCAGTGGTAACAATTGCGTAAGTGTACCAAGTGTGGAGTTCCCAGCAGCCAGCGAAAGGGATGAAAGCGTGATCCATAGGATTACTGAGGCCATGGCTGGGGTGACTATGGACGACCTACAACACAGAACATGAAGACCATTAAAACAATTAGCACCCTGCAAATTAGTACTTCAGAACATCCTCGTTACTAGATCAATATACTAAATTCAGTCTGCCATACATCAAAATATGTTTATCAAAGAGTACATAAACATGAAATATCAGTAAATATCAATATCTAGCCATATCTCAGTACATATATGTACACACACGGAGCAATCTGTCATACCTTTAAAAAGAATTATATCAATGATAATAATATCTATGTTAGTAGAACTCATTAGATAGATTACAAAATATCCATCTATCAATATGAGTACCTCGCTATGTCGTAACTGTTGGCATATTTGTTGACTTCCCCTCGTTCTGTGCTTTCTAGAATTGTCATCCGACGCTTCATTTTAATTGTCAATCACGAACAATCAAACGTCGTAAACAGGAAAAATTAGCACCCTGCAAATTAGTACTTCAGAACATCCTCGTTACTAGATCAATATACTAAATTCAGTCTGCCATACATCAAAATATGTTTATCAAAGAGTACATAAACATGAAATATCAGTAAATATCAATATCTAGCCATATCTCAGTACATATATGTACACACACGGAGCAATCTGTCATACCTTTAAAAAGAATTATATCAATGATAATAATATCTATGTTAGTAGAACTCATTAGATAGATTACAAAATATCCATCTATCAATATGAGTACCTCGCTATGTCGTAACTGTTGGCATATTTGTTGACTTCCCCTCGTTCTGTGCTTTCTAGAATTGTCATCCGACGCTTCATTTTAATTGTCAATCACGAACGATCAAACGTCGTAAACAGGAAAAGAAAAAAAAAAAAACTTTTTTTTGACAAATGAGTTGTGACGCCGCACCAACGTCCTTCGCACGTTCAACGCAGTTCCATCGCTGTAAAACAATACCTGTGCACATCCGTTTACACCCCGAAAAAAAAAAAAAAAAAAAAAAAAAAAAAAAAAAAAACCGAATACCGTACGACGAAAATTGTACAGAACACGAGACGAAACGTTTACCGCTGGTTTACCATCTGCAAGGGCTCCCTCCAACGCAACTTGTTTTGATCCGAAGGACAACGCAACATACGATGGGTGCGAAGATATATATCTGCGCGTTCCCTTTTTTAATTTTTTAATACAGTGCACACGAGATCTACGATCGCTAGTGAAAGTATGTTTATAAAATTGAGCGCGGCTTTTTTTTGACAGCGTGCGCGATGTAGACAAGTATGTGAAATTGCGCGCATAACATTGACGATATTGACAGTCTGCGCAAGTTCGCAAAAAACAAAACGATTCAAGGCCACCGAGGCGTCACATATTCCGACGGTAATCCGACACGGGATACGGCTGCTAGCGCATTCAACACGCACAACTTCCTCCTAGACACCGAACAGATCAAGATCGCGCGGTGACAATAGTAGAAAACACAGAAATCTTTGATTAACTGCTGCAGTACCCCTCACCATACCACATCTTCGCAAGGGGGAGATCTTTAGTAAAGAAATACTCGAGGAAATTTAGCGGAAGGACGAAAAGGTCCAGCGTGCTTACCGGCAGATGATGGACTCCGTCGCATTCACAGCCGCGTTGGCCGCATCTTTTCAGTGCGCAACGAGGTGCAATCGTTGCCATTTGTTTGTAAATGGCATGGCAACTGCTACGACGCGACTGCTACCGCTGCTACCTTCAGAAGCCAAGAAGCCAAGCCGGCCAAGCTTGGACCAAGCCGGCTAGCGGTCACGCGCGTCACACGCACGCACACACACACCACGCGAAGCACAAATGAGGTTGCTGTACGTCCGTGACGTAGGCCGGGACGTAGTTCCTGTTTTGATCGCAAAGTCTCAAACGGATGTAGACGATGTAGGTGGGTTTGTGACGTCATTGAACGTGTTCGGTTCTTTTGGAGCGTTTCTGTAGGATCGAAGCTGTCACGTGCTGCTATCTTATTCGTGTATTGTATTTATTATTATTTCCCCGCACCAGTTAAACTTTTAGACGTTGTAACAAACCACGTTGCACGAGCAAGAAACTATAAATATTTTGCTTTTTTTTATTTTGAAACTCCAATAAAAAACAATTGTGACGTCATAAAATTTGTTTTCGTCCGCAAAGAAGTCACTCTTGTCGAATACAAAACTTGAAGAAATGAATACGCTGTATTGACGTCACCGGCGTGCGCGTGTGCCGTGTGGTCTAGCAGACGACGTCTGTTTTTGATGAAAGTTTTGTTTTCGGGCAGACTGAACGCATCGAATATTTAGTATTATAAAATAATGCTACTTTTGTTTCGGCTATCAACTGGCTGGCATTCCTCTCCGAATCGTCTAGCAGGGTCGTTCGAGTCATTATACCGTCGCTGTTCGAGCATGTCTGCTTGGCGCAGTGCCTGTTGCATATCGTCAGTCACGCATCTTCGATTTGCAGGAAGTAAAACGCTTTGTTACAGCCTACTGAGCACACACGTTGCAGCACACAGAGCGAGCGCGAATAGAACTTGACGCCATGACACCACTGGCAGCCTTTGATACGAGGAAGAAACGAGCGAACTAACAAAAAAGAAAGAAACACACAAGAGGATGAAACAGGCGACACAGCTTTCACACAGACACAGACGATACGAAAGCTGTGTCGTCTGTTTTGTCCTCTTGTGTGTTTCTTTCGTTTTAAGTCAATATAGATCACCAAAACGCTCAAGTCTTGAATTAACAAAAAAGGATCGCGCATACTTTCTAGTCGAGTCTGCTGACGAACGATATCTAATTACACACAACAAGGAGGTTATAATTTAAACGTCCTTGACACAGTAATACTGTCGAAAAAGAAGAAGATGATTATGGTGATAATAATAATAATAATAATAATAATAATAATAATAATAATAATAATATCAAATTTATTCATCTCTGGAGGATTGCAACAGCAAGGCCATTGGCCCATACTTGAAACCTGTGATGCCGCAATACCACAAAAAAAAAAAAAAAAATCTATAAAATAAGAGCTCTCAACGCTTTTTAAGCGATTACAGGGAGAATTGATATAACTGTATTTTCGCAACAATTAAATTGTAGTTATAAAATGAGTTACTAAAATGAGCTACTTAAAAAAAAAGTCGTAAAATGTAAGGGCACGGGGTGACTTATTGTATTGAACATCAGCTATTAAACAACGACTGTTCGCATTTTCCTTGGCCACTTCAGTAATGACAACTGGCAATTTAGAAAAAAACAAAAAAAAAAAAAAGAAAAAGAAAAAAAAACAAGCGTGATTCAGCGTTAGGATAATGAGGGCTAGGTTGCGTATACACGCGAATACCGCGCGGTAAAAATTTAATTATGCATGCAAGGCGGATTCCTTGGGACATGGGATATGAAATATACATGTACACATGCTTCATGGATTGTGTACATTCCATGGGGACTAGCCTAGACTTCAAGATATCCAGGAAACATTTAGAACCGGTACTGAGACTAACAGCTCGTTGGTCGGATGCCTTAGTTTTAGTTGTTTAGATTTCATTATATAGATGCGTACACGAAGAAGGCAAAACAGAGATGAAACGTGTCCAAAAGCCGCGCTTGGAGATTTAGCGGCACGAATTGGTTGGCGCAAATGATTCACGCGACCTTGACAACCGAGCGAGCTTATGGCTTCAAGAGTTTCCAAATTTGGCGAACAAACTTTCGGTAATAAACTGATTTTTAATGTCTAATAGTCAGTGGTGCTTTGGAGCTGTAGTGTGCTCTAGAGTTGAGAAATTTAAAGCACATCTACCTAATTTAAAATAAAAAAATAAAAAATTCTAAGTCATTTACAGGAGTTCTCCCCTTTCCTTCGATCGTCTTGTCTTTACCCCTACCTGTCCCGCCTACGTCGCCGTCGTTCAAACATCCCACACATATCCAAAGCGCTTTTGACCATTTCGGCGAGCCGATAGAAACGAATCGTCCGAACGAGCGTTCTCCTCACACAGAGGCGCATAGATCAATAGCGAATTTCTAGCCGTCTTTGAACGATACAGTCATTAATCATGGTGAAACTCGTGAAGCTGTTCCCCAAATTCCACCTGCCAAGCTTCTCAAACTTTCGTGAGTGGTTTCGATTTCTTCCTGGTCGCTGCTTGCAGACAACCTTCGGTTGCGTCGTCTGCTCCAAAAAGAAACCTGTAAGCAAGTAGCACTACTGTTTCGTCTTTGCAATAACAAGCGTTGCGTAATTCAAGGATGCTTTTTTTTTTTTTTTTATTCAGGCAGGGGATTATTACTTATCTACACAGTCTTTCCAGCGCTCTCGTTCACGGACAACGAGAACGGGTTTCTTGCTTCTTTTTTTCCGCGTTATTTTGTTTTCTCTTTGCGTCCCAGATTTATGCATGCTTTCTGGGTCGGAGGGTTGGTTGTGCTCGCCGCCGCTAGCAGAAGCCAGAGCTTTCGGATCCGACTTTACCGACCGTCCAAGATGCGATAAAATTGTGAAAACAACGCCGTTTTCGCCCGGATTAATGAGGTGAGTGCAAGTCGGAAGCTCGTTCCATCTCTCTTCTGCCTCCCGTTCTTGTTAATTTCGTCGCTGGTCCCTTAAATCGATCGCCGAAAAGCGAGACGCCCGAGCGCTCGGCACGGCTAAGCCTAAACTCGCTCCGTTTGTATGGTTTGACGTTTTCTTGTATGTGCTTTACGTCGAACTTGTAGCGTTATCGAAATATTTCCTGTAATGATCCCGGCGAATGCGTAGTTTAATCAGTCCGGTTCGGCGCGGTGACCTTAGCGGCGAACGCAGGCTTCTGCGCCGTCAGCTGTTATTTTGGGGTTTGCGGCTCCCGTGCGTGAGTCACACGCTGGAAGTCTGTTTTCACCGCTACTACTGGGCGGTACTGCCTGCGGCGGGTGTCCCCAATTCTTCGCAACGAAGCGCTGCGAAATTGAATTAGGTCAAGTTTAAGAAAAGAAGGCAAAAAAAGAAAAAAAGGGGCAGCGTTCATTGTGTGCTCGCTCTTGGTAGCCTCGAAGGCGTGACACGGGTTGTATGACAAGCGATGCCACTACGCCCCCGCCCGCCCCAACATTTTTTCCTCATTTTATTTTGTTTTTGTTTTGCTGTAATCATAACGATGCATACTTTTCGCACTGAACATACTGTTAATGCTCGTAATTGGGTCTTATTGCGCAGCGCTCTGAGTTGGTTGCAGGGTGGACGAATTGTGCAAATGGGTTACCAGCTCAGTGTTATTCAACAACGTTTTCCGTTCTTTACTTTTGTTGCAACATGTTTTTAGTCATCCCGACTGACGTTCGAGTTGATCAACTGTTCAAGAGTCCGCATACTTAACAAGGGACAATCGAGGTTGCCACACCGTAGAAAACAAAAGGAACGCCCAAAGATGTTCCGGCGAAGTAGAAATGCCGCAAATAACGTCTTATCCTATATTGTTTATTCTGGCTGCGGCGAGGCCCGTGGTTTTAGTCTTATTGCTTACCGTCGCACGTGTTGTTTGGGGGGAAATCGTCAGGAGGGAAAGAGAGAAAGCAAAATGCAGCTGGCGTGTTTCAGAGGTTGATGCCTCGTGCTCTCTCATGCGTTCACCATGTTTTGACTAGGGCAGAATGTGTTCGGAAACAATCGACTGCTCTCTTTTAGTGCGATGCTCTTTTTCTTTTCTTTTATGTTTTCTGAAGGGGCAAACATTTACCATCCCGTTTCCTTGACGACCAAGACGAATGAGAGCACAGTGTGTAAGGATAATGATGAAAGTATTCCTTTTCGTCTGTTTTTTTTCTTTTTCATCATTACTAAGCTGCACAGTCTAGATAAACTAATCAGAAATTAATGCCTTGCTTTGTTTCCTTGCGTGACTCCAAATTAAGGCATTCAAACAACTGGTTCATCCTAAGTTAGCATGTATTGCAGAGAACAGACAGAAAAGAGGAGGAGCACTTGAAACCGTGGTTGAAATGACAGGCACTAATTTTCCTTTCGCCAAGAAAAAAAAAAAAAGCTTTTTTGTGTGCTTTTTGTGGTTCTGAAAGTTTAAAAACTCGACTGTATATTCAGGGTGAAAGTCGTTCCGTCTGAATGAACTCGTTCTGCAGCTTTTTCATTTTTTCATTTTTTATGTGACTCAATGCCAAAGCAATTTACTAGCTCTTGTAGGGCGTACGCTTTCCCGATAGTAGCTGAGAACTGGACACACTTCTTGGGTGGGCATTGTTGGGAGACAAGTTGCGCAAGACTTCCGACTTTGCAGGAAGGCCAACTTCTTTACATCCATCCTCTTCTGAAAAAAACAACAACAATGTCACCGTTCTTATACGAGTGCATATACACATGCTGTTAAAAGAATGCTTGAAGGAAGAATGGGAATGATGGAGATGCAACTTGCCTATTTCCCTGAACTAGCTAACATATGCATTGGTAACAGCTAGCTTGCAAAATCAGTGCTTCGCTGCTTTCAAGTGATTCGCTTTTTTACCTGTTGTATGTTTTTGCATTCATTGGGATTGTGTTATTAGAGTAAGTATAGAAGGTTATGCACCAAGGGTGAATTGAAAGAACAAAATCTGGGTGAAAAATGCAGCCAATGTCTCTGCTGCCGACCAGTCCTTCAGGTGTTTGAATGCTGCATAATTTATATTTATTTTGAGCAGGGCAGTATGCTTATAATGGGGTTTATTGTGTTTGGAGCCTCTTTCTAGCAGAAAAGAGCATTTAATTAATTGTGCTGGAGCATGCATTTACTGTTATCTGTTCTGTATGGGTGCAACTCTAGTGCATGAAATAAATGGCAACAGTATGTGTCACGAAATAAACAGCACTGCTCAAAAAATTAACAGAATTACAGCGGTATGCCGCAGAGCAAATCTATTCTTCGTACGGTTGTTCAGGTGAGATAGACTTAAGAAATGCCACTATATTACCATGTGCATCTCCGATGATTTCATCTGGGATAGGAGTAAAATAAAAATAAATGCTGGTTTCATGTGAGGCTTTCAGGGCCCAAAATTTCTTTTGCCAGTCTGTCAACATTACTTTGCATATTGGACCCCAGTAACCAGAAGTTCTATTTACAAATTATGAGCATGTGGTATCCCACAAGTTTATTATTTATATAGACTTGTCGTATCCCACAAGTTTGTCATTTTGGGGTATACTTCTAGTTTATGTAATTTGAGAGATGCAATCCTTAGGAAGTGTAAGGCAGGTAAACTTCTTGCTGTGTAGTTATCCACATAATCTCTTCAACCTTTTGTGGGAGCCTCAGATTTCTTGACTTCCCACGTGATAACTTGTATGGTTATTGATTGGCGAGAACAACCTGATTATGGGCTTTTTGCGGAGCTAGTTGGTACCTCTTGTTAAAATAAACAGGTGAAGTTTTTTTTTTTTTTGGTAATGTGGGCAGCAGTGTTTTTGATCGCTCCTTACCTGTGTGTTTCATAAAATTCAGCTGTCCATATTAACAACTGATATATTATTATGCACGCCAAGTACAGAGGTGAATATGAAGAGAAAGAATGACAAAAGGTTTACTAAGATCAGAGATTTATACCACAATTCTCATCAGAACACGCCCCTTATTTTTCTTTTTTTGGTAAATCCCAGTACTGCATTCACACTAGGCAATGCTGCATTTTGCTTATGTAATGTTGACCTGCTGAACTGTCTTCAGTTGCTAATGTAGTGATGAGGCTGCAATTCCGAGTTAATAATTGAACCTTATCCATCAGGTCATCTCCATTGCAAGTGAGACTAACGCTTGATTATTGAAACAAATTACTGTATTTTTGGGATTAATTAGCTTTTTCAGACTTTGACTGAAATGGTAGGCATGACAATGCTTCTTGGGTCGTCATCCATGTTATTTTTATATTGGACTCTGTAGAGGCATGGTAACATTTATAACTATGCTGTATCTTTTCTTCTTTTTATCATCATTTGCATTATTCTGTTGTAATAGGGTTCCGATTTGTTCGATAATAATAATATGTGATAAGCATAGCTCTTATATCGACTTTTGCACTTTTATGAAGAGAGTATGGTTCTGTTATCCAGTAATATGTCTGCTTTGACTTTAGGGATCATTTTGAAAATTCATTAACATTTTATTTGGCATATGATTAGGCAAATGATGAGTGCAAATTGAATTAATGGTGCAGATAAACAATTTCAGTACAGAGTGGTTAAAGGGCAACTCTGCTTCATTTTTGGTTTTGAAAAAACAATGCAGTCCTCTTCAGTATCGCCCAGGAAGACCACACGTGAAATGTTACGACGCAGCTCTGTCTAAATGTTTCTTAAACGGTCCGGCAAACTTTGCAACTCGTCAAATTGCCAAAATCGGCTGACTTGAGCGGGCGAATTCAGGCGCAACCAACAGCGCAGTCACGGCTACGGCATGGGCGGAGCCAACATTGAGCTGAACGTCATTATCATGGCCCCCTTTTGCTTGTTTTCACTTCTCCGGGCGAGCGTAGCGCATGACGTCAGCAACGTTGCCTCTCGGCGCTCAGCGGTGTCCACGTGATTGGTTTAACGCGCCTGCACAGCGCGTTTCTTGGGAGCCGTGTGGCCACCCGCCGTGGTCCCGCCGTTACCGCTGTCTTCCGCGTCACAATCGCCGTCGTCGTCTCACCGATTATGATTATTGTCTCTCGGAGTTTCGTCCACACTACGGACAGCACGTGCGCAGACTTATGCCGCAGTTGTGCAGACGTCGTCGAATGCCGTAGACACCAAAACGTGGCGAAGAGTGCGGTGCAAACGACACTTGCGCCTACCACACGCCTGCCCAAATCCCGCCCCAATCCCGCCCGTCGTTTGGCCGAGGATCACGTGACATCTCGTACCACGTGATGGCCATGTACTTGTCGACCCGAGGCCAATGTTGCTGGGCGGAGCCGAAGTTTCGGTTTCGATTTCCGCTCGTGTTTAAAATTAGATTTAAAAATATATATCCCATTTTTCTTGAAGCAAACGACATAGTGTGTTTTACTAGGGCTTTTTAATTCGAAATCAATCATTATCCCGAAATCTTCGGAATTGAGCGGAGTTGCCCTTTAAAGGGGTCATGAAACGCTTTTCCAACTTTTTCCTGTTTCGCTTTCCTCCTCAACTCATAAATTGCGCATTCCACCAAACAGTCCAAGAAGACGAAAAGAAGGGAGGCCCCTCTCGCTCGGAACCTGGTTTGTGTACCCGGAGAGAGCCATTGTCCCCCTAGAAGATTAGCCCGTCGCTCAAAATTCAGACAAAAGTTTCTTTCCCTACCCCGTTCACCCCTAAGGTGACAGTGCTGTGGAAGCTACATGCTCCTTCACGCTAGCCACACTTTTGCCACGTGAGCGTGGCAAATGTGGCTGCAGAGAATGAGCTAAGTTGATGAAACGGAGGCGGTTGATTGGTCCGGCAAGCGCGTAGCTTCCAGCACAATGTCAGCTTAGGGGTGAAGGGATTAAATGAGGTCCGGCTTCGTGTGACGTTAGTTTGGACCCGATGACGCGCTTTTGGGACCGCGGATGTATCACAGTGAAAAGGCAGAGAGGTTACGAAGGGGAGAAGGTACGAAATAGTCCGCTGTGTTTTCAAATTTTCGCACTGAAAGTCAGGCTTTTGACTTTCTACCTTTTTCCTTTTGGCCCACTGATTGATGTGCTATTAGTAAAATCCCAATCTAAAATGATTTATCCCAAGCCAAAAACTGTTTCATGGGCCCTTTAAAGGAAATTCTATTATTGCCCTTTAAAGGAAATTCTATTATTATCATGGTTACCAATATCATAGTGAGGCTATCAGCATTACAGTTTCCTTTCAGATTTCTTTCTCCCTGTATGTGTACCATTGTTTGATTGAGAGTCTTGCTCTATAAATCAAAAGCTTTCTAAACATTACATTAAAAAAAAAATTTAATGTTAAAAAAGATTTCAGTAGAGAAAATTTGCTGATAGGAGAAATGTAGTATAAGATTTTGGCCTGCATCAAACACAAGAGAAGTGTCACTTGGAGTGATAAATTCAGTAAAAACTTGTCCATCTCAACGAAGAGGTCATTTTTGCAGTTACCTGTTCAAAGTTTTTGACATGTGCCAAGAATGAAGGGATCACAAAGTGTTTTCAAAAGTATATATTTTATGCATTGTGATCAGATCATATTGAAGTTAAGTTATACCAGAAATTTTGTTTCTGCTGACTGACCTTGAGGACATAAAAGGACTGGCTCTTCCCCAATCTGACATACATTGAAGACGCAGTGGATAAAACTAAATGCAAGCTTCGTGACGCTAGGAAGTGTCGATTGCCTTAGCCCGTAATAAGCCTGCTGCCTGAGGACTTAATTCACTTCTCTGCCTGCAATGCAGTAGAAAGTGAGAATGCCCCCATTGGATGGTATACTCTTCAAAATTTTTCTGCTTGCCGCAAAAGCTGCTTCATCAACTACTTACTACGTAGCAAAATGAAAAACTAAAATGCCTTCCTACTGTGCTGTGTTAAACCTTTATTGTGAGCATAATGCAAGCAGGTAAGAATCATTTCATGATCCCTTTAGACACTGAACATTTCAGGGTCCTTTTAAAAAAAACCAAGATGCATTCCTACTATACTGCAAGACAAACTTTTACTGTAAGCATTAGCAGACCAGATATTCAATCAGTCGTCAATATTTTTTGCAAAGGAATGCTTTATCGTTCCTTTAGAAAGCAAACATTTCATGGTCTCTCTTACAAAAGTACTGTAAATCAAAGTTTTATTGTGAAAATAATAGGACGGTATGAGAATCATTTCATATCCCTTTTTAGTAAACAATCCGGCGTCGGGCGAGCCTAGTCTCAGTGTGTTGTTGGGCCAACATTGGCCCTGCCTTGCTCCAACTTGTCGGACCGACGAACGATGCAGGCGGCGGAGGCATGGAGCAGCGGTCGGAGTGCCAGTGGGTCCTGGCTTCTAAGGATGGCACGGAGCACGCGCTTCCTCCGGGGATGATCTTCATCGGCCGGCAGGAGTGTGACATCATCGTGGACGTGAGTGGTTTGATATGCCTGGCATCCCCTAGCATTCCACTTGGCAAGCAAGCAACCAACATTGCTCGTCAACATGAGAAAAGAAAGCGGCTCTTTGGCGACCTGAGAGGCATGACATTTATAGGGCCAGCCTTTAGCGTGGATTATGCAGCGCGGAGTGTGCACAGGCGCTGATTGCATGCTTCACTGTGAAGCTTACAATCGGTGCCTGTGCACGCTCCGCACCGCGTGATTACACATGAAGCCTTCGCATTTAGTCGGTGACTGCTACCATCCTTAGTCTGCGGTTGGCGGCAGCAAAACGGGCTCCATGTACTACTACGAAGTCGCTCGCTTTCGGGCTTTGCGTACTACCAAAACCCTGCAGGCATAACAACGGCAGGTTGAAGAGGGAAGAGCAAGGCACACAGAGAGGGGGGGGGGGGGGGGGGGGGGGGGCGGCGGGGGGGGGGGGGGCGGGTGGCAGGAGGGGGGGGAGGGGCAAACGACTGTGTCAGGCCCAGCGTCAACAGGAAGTCAGTTGCTATTTCACGGTGGCCGACTGCTGGTTAATGCGCCGGTTCATGGACAATCCTTTTACTAGTGCGGTTTGTGGCATGTGCAACAGACTGATTTCGTGTGGGATGTGAGCAAAGGTGTTCTAAATGCAGCGCATTACAGTGCCCTTGGGAAGTGCCAAAAAGACGGTTAATTTTTATCACCATCGGGGGATGCTCGAGCTTGTGATGGTTGACTAATGGGGTATATCCGGTTGTTCGGCGAGAAGTGTTTGTCGTTTGTTTGCATGGTGGAACTGGCTTGTAGGTAGAGCGATTTAACGAAATGGTGCCTATTGATTGGTGCTTTGCAAGTTTGTCTATGCTTTATGCAAGCTTTATCAATGCCTTGGCAGTGCTTAGCTTATGGTATCTCAAACTTGGTTCCTGGGAATCCTGGACTCTCCAGTAGCCTCTGGTTTCCTCGAGCCTACTTAAATTTCATTGCCCTGCCTTTATGTTAAGTGTTCTTCCAGTTTTAAATCCTGTTTTAGAAGATCATAGCTACTTTTATTTGCATAATTATGTGCCAAACACTTCCAAGTATGTTCATTATTGTGTATGAGGCCCGTAAACTTCTGTACCGCTTCAATGCATCAGTACCAAGACTTCAAACAGAGAGAGAGGTGTTCGTCCAGATCTAAGATTTTGAGAACCATCGCTTTAGCTGTGTGGCACGAACAAGGCACTCCATGGCTATTATAAAGATTTGGTGGGTTAATTTATCTCAACTTCTACAGAATACCTTTGTTTCAGTTGTAAATTCAATAGCTTCACTCCTTCCTTTTTTTTTATGTGAAAGCATTAATTGTTTCATAGAGCGAGCCAACATCATCAGCTTTAAAGCAGCGCCAAACGGCACCTTAATTCTTTCTACAAGTGAAGCCAGCTCTCGGCTATGAAACCACGCAAAAATCCTAGGCAAACGGCACCCAGTTTCCCAGTCCCAAAGGAGTGGAGCAAAGCTGATGGATTTCGGCTTCAATCCCATCGGCTGGCGCGCATCATTGAGGCTCCCATTGGCCGCTGCGCGTCAGTTTCAACGACCGCCACCCCATGGCGCTGCGTGTCCGTCAGTTCGCCGCTAACACGAAACGTCGAATGTCAGAGCGGCGATGAGAGGGTGTGCTCTGCCGTCGACGCAAATACGCTGCAGACGACATAAGGGAGCGGAAGAATGACGTACGTGCTTTCGCTTTCGCAACTGATAAGGTGTGCTTAAATGTACCTCGAGCCTTTTCTTTTTTTTACTTGGGGACTTTTTCATTTTCTGCCATGTTTGTTGATAGAGGTCTAGAAGTCGCACGTGGGCTTGCGTCAAGAAACTGTAAGCTTTGATTTTGTTCCAATTGAAGACTGCAGCACCGAATCTCTTGGTATGTCTATAGTTGGCGACAAGTTAAGGATGCTGGTACAAGCTTGCCCCTAGTGCAAACTCTGTCTTTAATAGCATTTTAGAGCTCGCATGACGAAAGCGTGATGGAAGGCAACGAGTTCAGCTAGGAATAGTTTCTACAGCATTGTACAGCCAGCATCATTCAGCTCGGTTAACCTCTTCATCTTTCCAATAAATACTCCTTTTTTTTTTTCCTTAACCTGTCCCTTGCTATAGGCATCTTGTGAAACCACCCCGGTTCGGGATTTAGAAACGTTTTGAAGTTTTCTAACCTCGCCAACGTTGGGACTCGCAAAGTGTGAGGTGCTCATGCAAAAGATAAAGACTATCCTATGGAGATAGAGCAAGGCTTTTTTACCTTTCTAACAAGGTTTGTTTTTTTTGTAACATTTTTTTTTTTTTTTTTTAGTTCTTGACAAGGTTGAGCATCTTCTGTCTGACCCTACAAACCTTGTGTGGGAAGCGGTGGTCCTCGCGAAACAAGAAAGCGGAAGTGGGCGTTGTGGACAGACGGCTTTTTTCTGTATCTTCTCTTTTTAATAGTTTGTCCCTGTTTGATCGCTCAATTTTCATCTTTATTTTCTCCCGTCACATTATCATGCGGGTGAGCTGGAGCGAGTTTTGGTGGAGGCCATTAGAACATTGGAAAGTCATTCGACTGTAACATTTTTGCTTGAAAGAAACTAGTTAATAAATAATTAAGTTGCACAGACTTGTTCTGATACATCGACAGATTTGAGGTGTAGCATATATTTCTGCTGGATAATAGAAAATTTCTTGAAAGCTTTTCCCTCTTTCTTGGGATAGTTGTTCAAATGCTCTCGTTTGTGAGCTAAAGCTGTTCAAATACAAAGTTTCTTTCAGTCTTGCCCTCTACACCAGACTCATTGAAATTGGCCTTTCATATTTGAGCTGTAGGCCTTGAGTTTTTTTATGAGCATTGACATTCTTTCGACCTAGCACTTTTGCCTTTTTGGGTGTGTAGGTATTAGTAATGCAAAACTATCGATAGTATTATCGATAAAATCAATAGTCACCAAAAATCTATCGATAGTAAAAAACTATCGATTGTAGTATTGATAGTCATCATCATCATCATCATTTATTTTCCTTGAGGGCCCGTGGGGCATTATACAAGGGGGTGGCAATAGAACAAAAACAAATAGAACAGTAAACACAATTATAACACTGTAAGCTAGCTAGGTACGTTAGATAAAAAGAGGGTAATGGCTTCAACAAATTTAGTAGTATCATTAATACAAACGATGTTATGAGGTAGTGAATTCCAATCCTCGATGGCCAATGGTAGTGTGGAAGTCTGGTGAGAAACAGTTGATGATCGAATTGGACGTAATTTACATAGGTGATCTAGACGCGGGAAAATACGATGGGGAGGTGATAGCAGTGATTCTTTAAGGTGGCTATTGTGATAGAAAATTCGATGGAGGAGAGAAAGGCGTGATACTCGGCGGCGAAGGGAAAGTGAATGAAGGTTAGCTGATTGGCGTAATCCTGATATGCTGGTATATGGTGAGTAGTTGTTATAAATAAAACGAAGGGCTCTGTTTTGGACGGATTCTAGATTATTTGCAAGGTAGGACTGCCATGGGGACCATATAGATGAGGCGTATTCTAATTTCGATCTTATAAGAGTAGTATACGCTAGTCGTTTTACGGAGGGTGTAGCAAGTTTAAGGTTACGGCGCAAGTATCCGAGAGAACGGTTAGTATCAGAAATAACAGAAGTTATGTGAGTAGTCCATGATAGGTCAGAGGTGAGATGAACACCCAGGTACTTATAAGATGAGCATGCTATTACTTGAGTGTTAGAGAGGTAATACGAAAATGGTGTGGCACGCGAACTGCGGGAAATTGATAGGGATCTACATTTATTGAAGTTTAATGTCATCTGCCATTTTTCGCACCAATGGATTACAGACTCTAGGTCTTCCTGGAGAGCATGATGATCATGGTTTGAAAGAATGGGTCGGTAAATGACACAATCGTCGGCGAACAGCCGCACAGAAGAAGCGATATTAAGGTGGAGATCATTAATATAGATTAGGAACAGAAGGGGGCCCAGTACGGTTCCCTGGGGGACACCTGACGTTACGGTAGAGGTGGGAGATTTTACGTTGTTAACGGAGGAATATTGCTTACGGTTAATTAGGAATTCAGAAATCCACTTAACAACAGAGGGATGAATATTAATATCGTTAAGCTTTGTTAAAAGACGTTGGTGGGGTACTTTATCAAATGCTTTGGAGAAGTCAATGAAAATGGCGTCGGTCTGAATATTCGAATCAAAGCTTGAGTAAATATCAGTAAGGAAGGCGGTTAGCTGGGTTTCACAAGAGTAAGATTTACGAATAGTCGACCATCGAAAAACTGTCGTTAGTACTATTGATAGTTGACTGTCGAAAAACTATTGATAGTCGACTATCGAAAAGCTATGGATAGTACTGTCCAATTGCAAATTTTGCTATCTGACACTGACTATTCACAATATTCAAAGTTTAAGAAGACATGCAGTGGGGAATTTTTTTTTATTTTTTTTTATAATTAAATGAAATTCTTACGGTTGCACGCTTACATAAAAAGTAGATCGTGCTCGATCTATCTTTTACAAATCTGGCGTTAGTTTTGATATATATCTTGTATTTTTTGTCTTCTGGACGCTATGCTTATGCAGAAAAAAAACTGTTCTTGCACACATGTGGGTCATGGCAACAAGCTTGGTAAAATAAGCTTATTCACTTCTTTTAAACCACTGAGTGCAATGAGCAACAAAAATAATGTTTGCGGGACCTATTTTCTTTTAAAATGCATAAAAATGTCATTTTCAAAGGGCCAACAAAAGTTTCTAGGAATTATTTGTAAATATAAAAAAATTATAGATTCGAATCAAAGCTTTATAGTTGCATTCTACATATTCTAAAGCATGTGCATGCTACATTTGGTCATGATAGGACAATATTAAACCAGAAATTCTTGTGCCTAAACTGTGAAGATGCCCCAAAATTGCAAAAAGAGGAAAACACCCTAGATATGTAACGTCAGTCTTTTGTTTCAAGAAGAATAATTTTTTTTGTTAATACCGTTTCCTGAGAAATGCACCTTTTTCTGCAGAAGTGGCACCCCGTATTGGAGGATTATCTTGGGTGGAATGAAAAAATCCCAGTAGGAAGGAGAAGGGACAAGTTTAACGATTTATCCCTGGAGAACAAGGGGGACAAAGGACAAACACCAACCTCCAAACACAGCTAAGGGACTGGTGCGTGACTGAAATAAAAACGCCTGGTCCTAGTGGGGACCTCCCTATTTCCAGCAGAGCGCTCTGCCCGCTGAGCTAACCAGGAGCTATGTGTCAGTAGAGCAAACGAGTTTTAACAGCTGCCACCAGTCTAACACTAAGAAGGGTGAACGACCTGCATTTTAAGGTTACAATCTTATTGCAATAAATGCAAAGGTGCAGGCGAGGTGGACAAGAATAACAATGATAATCCCTTGAGAAAGGGAACAACAGGGACAAAAGACAAACACAAATCTCCAAACAAAACTAGGTGACTTGTGCGCGACTGAAAAAAAAATTTGTCTGGTCCTGTTATCGAACCAGGGACATAAAAAAAAGTTTTGTTCTTTTTTGTTTTCTCTGCATCACTCTCTCCCCCCCCCTTTCCTCTTTGTCTCTCTTAACTTTATTTTTTTGGTTTGTCTGCGAGGCACAACAGCTCATCTACAGCTGTGTTTCTGACTCAGAACTAACCACATGCATTGCTTTATCTCCCCTGTGCTGGAATGTTTGCCTTGTTCCTCTGAAGCTTGTCTGTTTGCAAGTTTGGGGGAGGGGGAAGGCAGACCTTGCCCCTTCCGAGTTCCGATTGGTTTGCCGTTTATTTCTCGCAGTCTGCCAGCGTGGACAAAAGGCACGCGGTGATCTTCTTCAACCCCAGCGACAAACAGTTCCACGTGAAGGACCTCAACAGCGTAACTGGGGTGAGTTGAGCGCAGAAAGTCGTTGTTGAAGGAAGGGTTAATCTGAGCTGCAGTATTGTGTACCACGACGCCACTTTGAGCTGCAACCTGGTGTAAAGAATGCACAGGGTTTTAATATAACCGCCGAAAAATAATGGTAGCCATGTCTAAGTTTTATTTCGATGGATTACTAAAAAATGTTTTCGTTTTTGGTATACTGTTGTATTTTTTGTTTTGCCCAAATGTTGCACAGTGATCATTTTTGTTTCACTTTATTTAGAAAAGGGAATGTCAGTCATTCTTTTCGGTTGTTCTTTACGTGTAGTAGTGTTTTGTGTATTTCCTGCACTCTATTAGCTGCTCACTGTAAGGGTCAGTAAGAACTAGTAAAGCCACTTGCCACAGTTTTTTTTTGTCAGGCCTTTCTTTATATTGAATAGAAATATTATCATTGTATTATTAAGGTAGGTGCTGAAAACTTGATAGAACACTTAGCATTTGATATTGTATCGCTGATATCTCGCATGTAAATAAGACAAGTTGATATAAGTGAAGGCAGCAGTGAAGCTTCAGAATTTTGCAATTCTGCAGCTTTTTCTCCTGCCTCCATCGCCCATTTTGTATTATGGGAGTAAATAAAATGAATTGAATTGATTGCAAGGCTAGGCTGCTTCTTTGAGCGTGCGCAAACTAGAATGCTCAAGCACTTGATCGAAGGAGAGTACATTTATCACGCCTTGGTGATGTGCTCTCGCTTGCTTCTATTCGCGACTCCAGCGAAATGACGCCGCGTAGCGGCAGCGCCGAGAAGCTCGGGAGAGGAGGTCGTTTCGGCTCTGTCGTCTGCTATCGCTGGTTGGTTCTCGTAGGCAGCATAGAAACAAACATTGTTTCCAGTAGGGGAGAGTCGGGAGGAATGGGACGCTTTTCACAAATGCATTTTTAGTTTTGTTTATTTTGAACGCAAAAAAGATGGTTGATGGATTATAGTACAAGTCGAAACAAGCTGTGCAAATTCTGCGAAACACAGGTTACTGCCACTTCTAGAGCAACTGCAAAAAAATAGTTTCTAACAGCTAAAATCTGTCCCATTCCACCCGTCCCTTTGGGTGGAGTGGGACATCCTTTGGGAGGAATGGGACGCCAGTAAAATATAGGTCCCAACGTCTTCAGTGGACATTAAAAGCTGAAAGTTCCACATCAAACTTGAAGCAAGCTTGCGGGCGCTTCGTTCCCCCAATAGTTTTTGGCGCTGGCAGCTTCTTCACAATATCCGTTATTGGCACAGTCCCTATATCTTTCTGCGGAGGAAAGTAAAACTTTGAGCTCTCTTCTTTCTTTCGAAGGGACTGGACACTGACGTCAGTATTGTCACTACTTTCGACTCTACCCGTGTAATAAACGTCAGATTTTTTCTTACCAAATCTGACAAGGACAAAATCGCCTTTTGTCACTTGAAAAGTTTTGTTTGGGCAATCGGCCTCAGAAATGTCCCGCCTCTCATTATCGGAACCCGACATGTCACTGTCTGAATCATCAAATGCAACGGCAACAGTGTCGTCTTCCCTTGAAGAACTGAACTCCTTCTGAAGTCGCCGTTTCTTTTTTGGGCGGGTAGTGGCGACAGTCTTAGCTGTGATAAGCACTCTTTTTTTCAGACTCTGTCGTGCCAGCCTCTCTGCAGCTTCTTGTTCAATCGCATGCTTCTCGGGTGTATCCGTAAGGACTTTTGTCCTACCTTTCTTCCTTCCTTTTTTCCCTTGTCTTACGCGGTGCAGCCTTAGGGTAGGGCCTTAGGTCGCTCGGAACAATCCGGCTGGGAGATGCAGTTGACGTCGAGGCTGCGTTGGCGACAGTAGGTGGGAAGACATCTGTAGAGACGTTGCAAGCTGCATGGCCGTTTGTCTCAAAGTTCAAATCACTTTCCAGTCGGCTTGCGCTGTCCGTTTTCTCGGTGATGGTGGCCGTCTGTCGTGACACTTCTCCGCTTACGGACGTTAAGGGTCTGTCAGTGACTGATGACATCATGTAGTCATCCGAAGTGAAGGGCTCGCTATTGAAAGGCCAAATTCCAGTTTGCTGAAAGCCCGAGATTATGTTCTTTTGTGTCACCGTTAATACGTAGGCGGATCCAACTAGTTGTGCAACATTGTGGATGGAGATGGTCTTCCCGGGGTTATTTATGAGCCAATCATTGCAAGCAGCGTTGTACCGAGATTTAAATGGTCAGTACACGGACACATCAAGTGGCTGCAGGCGGTGGCTACAGTGTGGGGGAAAGGTCAGCAGGATGACTCCGCTCTCTTTGGCCTTGTTGATGGTGTTGATGCTCATATGGCTTTCATGATTGTCGAGTATCAAGAGAATTGGCTCCTCCTTCGAGCACTTCGTATGTCTCACAGTGTGCTCTAACGCCAGCAAAAACAGTTCGCTCGACATCCAGCCCGACTTGCTTGCCAAACCGAGGCTTCCTGACGGGGCGCCTTTCAGAAAAAAATCTTTAAACCTCACGCGTGGGAAAATGAACACTGGTGGCAGGGCGTTTCCGATGGCATTGACAGTGCACAAAACAGTCACCAGTTCGCCGCGTTCTGCGGATGTAACCTGACCGATTTGCTTTTCTCCACGTGCTGCTACCTTTGGTGGGTTGTTTGCAGTTGTGAAGCCCGTTTCATCACAATTGTAGATGCGGTCCGGAGTTAGCTTGTATCGGTCGTAGACACTTTTCAGGTTTGAAAGGAAAGCATCGACATTGTTCTTATTGAAGCTTGTTGCCCGACCCAGACTGGTCGCTTCTGGCGATCGAAGCGATAGCTCGGGATGGCGGTCCATAAAGCCCATAAACCAGTCTCTTCCAGCTACCTTCTTCTGTTCCCATGACGCCGGGCACTTCCTCTTTAAGGCTGTTGCAAACTCGTACGCTAGTGAACGAACTTGCATTTTCGTAAGCCCATAATGCATTTTGCTTGCTTTCAGCAAATATTCTTTCAAGAGTACTTCATCTTCTGTTGTGAAGACCATTCCGCGGACCAAATTGGACTTGAACATGATGCCACCTGTGTCACCGCATTCTCTGTACTTCTTCACTGCTCGGCCAAGCGATGATTTTGATATTTCAAAAGCTTCTGCTACGTCTCTTATACTTTTCTTTTCATCGCACACCAATCTCACAGCATCCAGGATCAAATTGTTCGATGTTTGAGCTCTGTCGGGATGCTTCCTCTTGTAAACCCGCGGCATCTTCCTAAAAATGGAAATGGATCAAAAATTGGCAAATTTAAATATTCACGCACACCAAGCACGCTTAACGTCCTTGCATGCACGTAGCAGCACTCATATTGCTGCCTATTATTCACGTGCTTATTCCGGGTTTCTCGCAAATGTGTACAGTAATCACACCTTTTTAGTGGAGAAACATTGCATTTTATGATGCCCCGTTGGTTTAGCGCGTCTTAACGTCAAGTGTCGCAGAAACAGCCTGTATGTTATTTAACATCACGGCACCAAGCATTTGTACACTTTAAATAACAAATAAAAAAATAACTGCTTTCGGATCTAAAGCGGCACAGCATTGTAGCTTATTCGCTAGACACAGCACCAGCCGTATGGTGGGGAGGAATGGGACACTGTCCCATTCCACCCGCGACTCAAATGTCCCATTCCTCCCCAGGTGGTTCGCCCAACAAAAACTACATTCAATGGCGAAAATTCTCTTGTTAGGGCTAAACTTGTTATTGCATGAAGCACGACCCTAACGCGTGTTTTTCGAAGAAAAATTGGTATCAGCATAGGCAGGGTGGTTTAAAAACTGAGAGAGGTGTAATTGAGTAAGCGGATACTTACTTTTGACACGTGAAAAACAAGAGTTGTAGTCAGAGAAAGCTCCGTCCGGTGAAGACGGCCACCATTACAGCCAGGCTATCGGTATGCTAGCGCCACCTTGTGAGCAGCCGATGAACGTGTTTGAACTAACTCTTGGAGAGATAAACGAGCTGTCCCATTCCTCCAACCGTCCCAAACCTCCCGACTCTCCCCTAATTATTTTTATGATTCAGCCGTTTCATTCTTATGCACTGCCTAGAAGGTTTCTAGCGTCGAAAAATCGCTTTGCTTTCAAATGTTACACTGATTTTACGCTGCAGCGCAGGAATTTGTGGTAGACCGCATACTGAACGACGAAAACGATCTCCTTTCGTCCGCCATTTTGCCTGAGCAGCTCGCCCCCTATAGTTTGCTGGAGTTGCGAATGCGCTGCTGCTCGCGTTTTTACACAACACTCTTTTTTGAGCTAAATTTTATGTCGGTGATTGGAAATGACGATTATACAAAAAAGGAGTCCAGTTATATATAGACAGAACCTCTGAAAGCCTGTGAATGGCATGGAGATAAATGGCGTAAGCTGTAAAGAAAGTGTGCGAGTCAACTTCCAACAAAGATTTTTCTAACTGCCCAACTTTTTGCTCTCATCTTTTCCAAACTGCCTTTTCACATTCCAGTGGAGTCAAGCTCTGTGATGAATAATTAATTTATAAGGCGCAAAACTTGCAGCTACATTTTCTGAAAAATGTCCTGGATAGGTCTATAACTCATTGGTCGCCATGCTTAACAGATAGGCAGCTATTATCTGTTGGCAGCCCACCAAAGATAATGAATATAAATAGTGGATAGCATGCAGTTAGTTGACTCGTACTTGACTTCATGCTTGGTTGGTCTGCCACCCCGGCTCCGAAGCACAGCGGGCAAAGCGCCAGCCTATGGATCCCCAGGTGTCAGGTTCGAATCCCGGCCAAGGTGCCCGCAATATGACTGAAGCACATTGCAGAGAAGGCGCCGTGTAACCGAGCTTTCGGTTGCACGTCAAAAGGTCCCCAGGTAGTCGAAATGAATCCTCAGCCCTCTGCTGTGGCGTGCTAGGTGCCCTTCGTTGCTTTTGAACGTAAGACCCCCAAATTTGACTTTTGATGCATGGCCGGTCGTCTCCGAAGCCACAACAAATGTAAAACGTCAATGCATATTAATGTTTTCAAATTTTTTTTTTTTTTTTAATTTTTGGTATATCGTAAAATTCTGTAAGGACGCCCTCCCCCAAGAGATTGCCCATCCCGTTTTTCTGGCTAAATATCTGTAACATAAAAATTGCAAAACATCGCCCACCCAAAAAATAGTCAGAGTGCAGGCGAGCTGGTGTAAGTTGAACATGATTGTAAACCTGAGACTGGGGCAGAAAAGAGAACACAATAGAGGGTAGAAAAAGAGGAGGCAACGTCTCATCTCAGCTGCAAAGTTTATTTCGTACACGCCTTATATACCACATCTCCAACGCCGTCTCTAAAAAAAAAAAAAAAAAAATCTGACAAGAGGACAATGACATTTGGGTAAACCTTCTCTTATCTCCCTTGTCCTCGGCTGTGAGACACACACACAAAGGGTCACATTCTAGCATAACCACCGCCACCCGGCGAACGTAGGTGAAATCACTACTGAACACAAAGAAAGGGTTTGACCTTGAAAGTTGCGTTTCCTCTAACAACCCGCTTAGTCCGAAGAAACAATACTATACACTGCTAACAGCCGGAACTGGCGCCATCTCCAAAACTGAGAACGACATTGCCCTCCTACCACGAACCACAAATGGCTAAACACTGCGACTTTCTCGAACAAGTCCAAGGATATATATATAAACAACGCTAATACTAAAAAAAAAAGAAAAAAAAAAAAATTAAAACGTTTATTTTTTTTTAAATTTGAGACGTTGTCTCCTTTTTAAAAAATTGAGACGTTGCCTCCTCTTTTTCTACCTTCTGTTGTGTTCTCTTTTCTGCCCCAGTCTCAGGTTTACAATCATGTTCATCGCCCACCCCCCGCTTTCCGTCGGACGTGAAGCTATGTCCGGCGGGAATTGCGCATCAACGGCGCGTTCTGCGGCACCAGTACGCCTGTATATTGCATCGTGAAATGCGAATCTGCTGCGTGCGCGATCTGCGGTATCCATTTCCTGGAGAGGCGAGGTCTCGGCAGGTTTCCGCTGGTCCTTCGCACCGTGAGACTCAAATCTGCCGCATCCGCAGCCTGCGGTATCCTTTCCCGTGACATAGGAGTTTTAGCAAATTCCCGCGTGTTTATCGCATCCTGAAACCCGATTTTGCCCTGTCCGCGATCTGCAGTATCAGTTCCCGCGTCATGTAGTCTATAGCTGGTGCACACGTGCTTATCATTAATTTTCGATAAGGTTTTGGTGTGTCATCTCCAAAGATAGCCCACCCCATGTTTTTCACCATTTATCTCTTCATTTTGGGTGGGAGTTCTTAGGGATTTTACTGTACTTTTGTAAATTTCCTGCTAAAAAGAATTTTTTTTTTTTTTTTTTTACACTTTTTGTATTTATTTTATTTTTTTCATATATTATACTGTCAGCCTGCGAGGGCTGTTGCAGGGATAGAAATCACAACGTAATAAACAACAAACAAACTCAACACTTGCCCAATAAAAACTTCAACATCGTGCCATGGATAATCAAAAGCATGAATCAAGTGGTAGAAAAATATTTTTAAAAAAGGTACCATATATTAGCCTTCATATGCACAAAAAGGAAATGCCACTGCCAAGTTGCAACATGTAGCGTAGCGTACGTCTCAAACAACCATACATATGTATCATGCATCCCAAACAATCACCCATATTTCATTAATCTCAAACAATATTTTTCATGCATTTGGAAAGCTAACTGAGGGAGTGTAGGTGTAGGACATGGCTTTATCTGGTAAAGCATTACACTCTTTGATTACTTTTAGGAAGAAACCGAATTTAAAACATTCATTACGAGCAGTTGAGTTTGAAATCTACATGCCATATTTATTCCAAACATAAACATGCTTGAGGATTCGCTTGCATGGATTGCGAAGTAGTCGAATTTGTTAACTTTAACATGATTATGGATAGTTTGGGAAATAAATTTTAACCTATCAAGTTTAGGTTTAGTTTCGAGTGAGGGAAGGTTGGCAAGTTTCCCCAGTTTAGCAGGAAACAACGTGGCAATATTTATTAAAAACAAAACATAACATCGCTGCCGTTTTTTTTTTTTTTTGTTCATGTTTAGGGTAGAGGGGTCTCGTATGATTTTGGCATATTCAATAATAGGTCAAACTAGGGTTTTATAAGCAAGTGTTATTATTTCAAGTGTTAAGCTAGCTATGTTAATTATTTTTTTCTTTTTGTGATTGTGTGCTGTGTTTTTTTTTTTTGATCCAAGATTGTCTATCGTCTTCCTTTTGCTCGCCTTTTTGCAAACTCTGCACACGAAGCTTTATCACAAAAGAGAACAAAGCTTTTGCCCCTAATAAAGTGTCTATTGTCGAGCCCTCCCCCACTGTAACGAAGGGCGATCTCTAAGATGGCTGACAACTCGATAAGGAAGCGTGTCACAAGGTCACGCAACCCCCCCTCCCTGCAAAATGAGAAGCTCGGCTCTACCGCACCACTTTAAACTACTGTACTTTATCAATAAAAAATGAAGTATGAAAAATAAATTTGGCAAATGTATATCAGTTTTTATTAGTTTAAACCAAAAACACCAAACCCAAGGTACATACTAAGTAAAAACTCATTATAATGGACCGTAATATTGATGAAGATTTTGGTGTGTTGTAAAAGGAGCATCTAGAATGGACAGAGTACTCTTACTACAGACTTGACTTTAAGGTGGATTATGACTGGAATCTGTTCTAACGAGTGACACTGATAGAAAGTGAATGGATATTAGAAAAGCATCAGTTTATTGAAACTTCTGAAGTTCGAAAGGTCGGGATTTTTTTATTAAGCTGTACTAGCGGTCGTCATCGCTGCACGCTTTGGGTGAGGCTTGCAAGGCACCGGGCGCGACGAGAGCAGTTCACAAAATGGATGCCGTCGCTACTGAACCAAAGCCACATACAGCCTAAGCTCGTAATAACAGACCTTGATTTTGACCAAGATTTCGGTCTGTTGTAAAAGGAGTATGTTGTATACAGATAGGAAGTTGAGTCGATGGTACATAGAGGAAAACCAACCGAACTTCACGATTCGGCCTGTTATATTCAAATATCTGTTGTAACCAGGTCAGTTGTAATGAGCTTAGACTGTAATGTCAGAAATAACGACTGCCATCAGAGTCCTCTATATTAGAATGGTGAACTACTTACAGACTCTCTAATGTAGTTCATTATATCCAAATGGACTGTATTTACTCGCCCTATGAACAGTTTTTTTCCCAAAAAATTGACACATATTTGGAGGGTGCGTTCATTATGCGAAGTAAAATTCGTGCATTTACACACTGTGCAAAAGTCTTTTTAGGTGCCAATATGACACGGCAGGGTACTGCGGCACATCTCCACTGACGGAGGCATACCCACAACTGGTCGTGGGCGTGCCACTGTAACCATGCTCTATAAATCGCAAAGCTTTCTTAGGGCCCTTTTAGCGTGCCTTTTGCCAAAGGAAAAGCGTCCTTCGAAGCTCGCTCGGCATGGAGAGCGACGCGACCGTTCTTAGGCCTAACCACTTTCACGATTTCACTGTCCCAAAGCGTACGACAGATGATGGCGTGTTTGTTGACATCGGTGCATTTGAAGGATGAAGCATGTCCAGGGTTGGGCAATTTCTCGACCCCAGCTTCGTTAGGTTTACGTACCACTCGGTTTTACTGTAGATCCCTTCCGAAACTACTCACTTGCAGCCATTTTGAGAGCGTGTTTTGCTACGCTTGGGGCCCTAGCGATGCTCCATACCACGTTCAAGAATCTCCTTTCTTGTTTACAAAAAAATTATCTATTTGAGGTACCTTTTTGCCTGCAAAGTTTTGAAATATTCCTGCATATTTCGCGACATTATTTTACCTTAATTTTTACAGCAAGTGATTTTTGTGGTCATGCAGGCAACTTTGGTTACATTTTACTATAAAAGCTGCATGAAATCGCATGTTCAAAGAGAAGAAAATGTTACGGGTCAGTTTATATATTTATTAACTAATTGAGACAACCGTAAGACGGTGCCATTTCGCTGCACCTAGAGGAGTTGTTCTGAAGCCTCTCCTTCCTACACCGTGGCTTTCTCACTTTTTCTTGAATTTTTTGGACCACAAGATGTTTTTTTTTAAATATTTAGTTCACTCTGAATTTTTTTTTTAATTCCCTCGTTAGCCCTTAAAGATTCCTGCAGTCTCATTAAAATTCTGCTTTCCCTTTTCACCAAAATTGAGAGCGAAAATTCCCTGAAAAAGTCAGAATTACCTGCATGGAACATCACTGTGCTTGGCTTGGCTTGACTTGGCATGGCCGCTCGGTGACAAAAGAAGATTGGCTTGGTGGGCCTGGTAACCAGCTGAGTTGGACGCAATTCGAGATTGTGGAGTCGAAAATTGGAGGCACATTTGTTACGCGAGAGAAAAAAAAAAGTCAAAAATGCCCGTTGGGGGGGGGGGGGGGGGGGGTGCGTTCATTTTGCGAGTATGTTCGTTATGCGAGTAAACACTGTATGTTATAATTGAATCTGTTATAAGCAGAGTTGGCTCAATGGCATAGATAGGAAGACTAATCAAACTTCACAAATTGGCATGTTGTAACCGAACGTCTGCTGTAACCAGATCTGTTGTAATGAGGTTATACTGTATTCCATTAAATGTTACGATACCTGCCTCCTACGCTTACGATGTGCGTTATCCAGCACTCATTTGGATTATTTGTCTGCCTCTCCTGTAGACTTACCTCAACGGGATCCGGATACCGGAGCAATCATACGTGAAGCTCAACCACATGGACTGCCTGAGGTTTGGCTACGATATCCTTTTTGGCTGCTCCCAGCGGGAGCGTTCGAAAACCTTGTTGCACCCAGATTCTCCGCTCCTGTCTTGGCCGACCGGGTGGCCACTCTGCTCAGTTCCGATTGGGACAATGAATGATCTTGGCTTGATAGATATTGATGATGAGACATGCCATAAAATCCCGTGAGTGCACCCTTCCCTGAAAGGTTGCCCACCCTGTTTTTCTGGTAAATATCCGTAAGTTAAAAATTTCGAAACGCCGCCCTTAATTCGCGTCGGACATCACGTAATCGCATCAACCCCACTGTTTGCGGCACCGATACATATGACAAGCGAGTTAGCAGCGGGTTCCCTTGTTTTTTCCGCGATTTGCGCGTGCGACATCGGTTCTCGACGGCATGCAAGTTTAGAGCCGGTTTCCGCGTGCTTGTTGCACTGCGAAACACGAATCTGCCGCATCCGCAGTGTGCTGTATGCTTTCCCGTGACACTGGTGTTTGTAGTGAATTCCCGCGTGTTTATCGCACTGTGTAACAGAATTTGCCGGCCGTGTCAGCGATATGCGGTATCAGTTCCAATGTCTAGTACTTGTGTGTTTCTCATTAATTTTTGATAAGGGTTTGTTGCCTAATCCCCAAAGATAGCCCACCTAATTTTTTTACCATTTTATCTCTTCATTTTGGGTGGGCGCCCTTACAGGATTTTACGCTACTACATTTATTTGGCGGAAAACGCGAAAATGTGTTCGCTCGATCTTCAGACATGATGACAAACTAAAACATCGGCTGGAGGAAACAACGTTAGCTCCCTGTTGTCCTTGAGGGGAAGTATTTACTCTGTATACCGTGAAACTCGTTTAGAACGAACCCACGTACAGCGAATTATTGTCGACATCGAACTCATGGAAAATTTAAATAAAAATGCATGTAAAAAGTACTTTTTATAGTGAACAATATATAGGCTATATCGAACTCCCCCCCCCCCCCCCCCCCCCCCTCAGGAAGGCTTCCAAAAAACGCGCCAGCAATCGTCTTCTATACTCCGTTTCACCTTCAGTCCGAGCGCAGCGGGCACTAGGAACCATCCCAGCCAATCCGTCGTGGAGAGAGCGTCATGTGACCTTGAGCTCCCTGCGTCGCTCTGCTCAACCGGCAGGTCACGTGATTTTCTCCCGGCGCTGGATCGGCTGGGATAGCTCGTGGCGTCCACTGCGCTCGGACTGAAGGTGGAACGGAGTATAGCCTGTGCCTTCCCCCCCCCCCCCCCCCCCCCTGCGCCCCCCTCCCCCCAAAAAAAAAAAATTAAGGAAGAAAGAAAAAATTCCAAAAAGCTCAAGCCACGAACAAAATTGACACAAAGAAACGATTTAGAAGGAGAGAAAGCTAAAAAAAAGACTCTCTGCACGCACGCACACAAAAAAAAAAAAAACTTAATCCCAAAGCGCTTGCTCACGAAGAGAAGTGATTCAGAAGGGGAGGTAAGCTAAAAAAAAGAAAAACTTGGCATGCATGAAAAAAAAAAAAAAAAAAAGCTTTCCAGCGTTTTGTTACAAGGTGGGAGCGAAGAGATGAGAAAAAAAGAGAAGCTCTCGCCTTACAGCGAACGCATCGTGGAAGTTCGTTGTAAATGGTTTTTGCTATATCGAACTACTTGCTATATCGAACTGATTGTAGCGCTTCCTGCTGTTCGTTATAAACGGGTTTGACTGTATACACCTGCAGTTCGGTTGTAGTGGTTCACTGGGTTGCCTAGAGGATAAGACATTTTTTTCTAATGTTTGGTCTTTTCGTAATCTTTAATACTAATGCTGTTCGGTAAAACCATGATACTTTGGCGAGTCTTTCCTGGAAAATCCACCTTTATTTACTCTGGGGCCTTTTCTGCTACGTGCGTCGCTGGTCGTTGTAGGTATGGCCGGAGACAGCAGGATACTCGCGAGGGTCTACATTGTTTTAAGGTCAAGCCGGTCAATTCATTTTTCACACTAATTAATAACGGCACGAGCATATGTTGCCCGTATATTGGTACAAGCACTTCCGTAGTATTAGCAGTTACAGGTTGCCACATATGTGGTACCTCCAGTCCTCCTTTCGCTAATCTTTGCCCGCGCGTCGACATCCTCGTACGCATCTCTGCCAGTGCTGCCGTCGGTGCCGGCCATCCGCACTGTCTCTCCCAATGCCGGAAAAGCTTCCAGGATTTCGAGGAGACCATGGACGTCTTCCTAGTTACCTGAGCAGGCTTGTAGCCGTACCCGATGAATTTCCCCTCCCTCGGCGCCCAGGGTGAGCCAGGAACATAGAAGGACTGTGGCACATCTCATGTGCTGACTAGTCTTGCCTAGAGCCGCCCAGTTAGCTACGCTTACGGTAACAGCACACGTCACATACCTTTTTTTTTAGCGGGCGGCGGCGTTTTGACGCTTAGCACAAAGCTGGTGCAGTCGGCTATCGTTGCCGTTCCGACAATGCGACTTCGTATAAGTAAAAACAATAATTTTCAGCATCAGGATGACCGAAGCGTCTTTGTTCCAAAGCGTCGCTTAATCGACGGCTCCATTCTTGCCCCACGGTCGAGTTTCCTTGACTGAGTGTCCCTGCCCACGTCACGAAGTGTTCTACGTCAAGAGAGGCTCGGAACGTGCTGCGTCGTCGTCACCTCTGGGCGTAGTCTCTCCCAAGAGAGCAGTCGGTGGTTTCGGCACCGGGGATCTCGTCATCAGCGAGGTGGGCCGCCTTCCTTTTTTTTGCCCGGCAACCGCGAGAGTCGACATTTCGTAGTGCTAGGGTCTTGAGTTGGACGCACATATCACGATGTGTCAGTGCAAACGAGCAGTCGCCAGGCTTTACGGTTTTTCTCTAAAACCGTAAAGCCGTTGTCGAAACAATGAGTGCAGTGGCAAGTGCTTGTTTGGGGTGCTAATGTAAGCGGTAAAATTCGATGCCCGCGAATAACCTTTTGACGTAAGATGAGACGAAATCCACTACATTGTGTTTGCCCTGACCTTGTCGCACAGTGTGCGTCTTGTTACGACGTAGAGCAAGTTTCAAGGGCATGGCAAAGAGAATTTTCCGTTTGCTTCGAGCAACCAGTATTTGTGGATGGTGTCTTTCCAGACAGCCTGATGAAGTAGCAGGTGTTTCACAGTGTCTGGAATGGATTGAGTAGGTCCAACATGTGTAATGTTGTTGGTAAGGCTCCCTAACAGTGGATGAAAACTGCCGTGACAGTGCAGTCGAAGTGTGATGGAAAGGGTGCTTGGGGTGAAATTCTGACAAATGCACAGCCATGAGTGTTTAGAATTGACTTGGTTTTTGCACGTAGTCAATTGTTTTGAACACATGAGATTGCCTCGGAGTCGATTACGAAAATGCTATAGCTGGCCTTTAACGGCTACGCATTTGCTCCCTGAGCTTCTGTTTGTGGTGGCTAGGTCTTTAGATTCGCAGTTCTGGTGTATACTTTTGCGAGTTGCATCAAAATGCGGGAGGAGTTGGTGCTTTCTTCCTTGCTTACAAGAAACCTGTGATGTTTATTAGTCTTCAAACTATTTGAATCGGCACTGCTTTTGTTGCAGTGTTTGAACTGCTTTTGTTGCAGTGTTGAAACCAAGTCTATTGGCCATATATTTACTTTTAAACCAGGGGAAAGTTTGCTTTGTTCTAGACAGTTGGGAATAAGTTTTACTGCCCAACAGTGAACCGGCGCATGCCGCTGGCATCACTTTTTCAGCATTGCCAATAGGAACTTTCCGTTTGAAGCGAATGGTGCAAAGCAAACTAAAAATAAGAAAAACAAAAAAAACTTGTGATTAAAAGAAAAAAAAAAAAAAAATTGGGGCCACAAGTTTACCAATTTTATTGGTATGTTGAGTGAGAGACTATACCCGAGACACAATCATTCCAGTATCTGTAAATGTTTTCCTCTATCTATTGTAGACCACATTATGTCTGGACTGAAAAACTTGGCTGTCTCTGTCATTTCGCAAATGCATTCTAAATGCATAGCATTTAGAGGGCCTCTTTATGAGGCTCCCTTCTGCGGACACAGTTCCCCTCAAGGGCACATTGCGGGGGTTTTGCGAGCATATAAAGCTTTCACAGTGTCGCATAGCCTCGATGATGTCGGTGTCACATGGTGTCACGTGGTATCATCGAGGCTACATGCCACGGTCCCAAATTTCCCGAGGCTGGCACCGCAAACGCTATGCATGTAAAACATACCTGGCCTCTTTCAGGACACCAACTGTCGCGAGAGGAGCGCACCGGTCTGCGACGCCGCCATGAGTCCGTCTCCGCCGCCCCGCCGCCGCTCCCCGAGTCCCTTGAGCCCAGTGCGGCTTTCTCAGTCCCCTCCGGAGAGCGTACCCCTGCGGCGGATCTCGCTGTCCTCCTCCCCTGCCACGCAGTCTTCCTCGACTGCGTCGACTGCGCGGTCACCTTCGACCGCATCTACGGTGACCTTGCAGTCCCCGAGCCCGTCCCGGCCGTCGGTGATTTCGCCTACCCTCGGCTCGGGGAATCGGCAGGACGCCGATTCGCTGGAGGACCTGAGCCGCACGGAGGAGGACTGTTCGTCAAGCACGGTCCGGGAGGTTGTGCCCGGCGGCCGGCCTCCCCCACACCCCACGACGCTGGCGTGGAAGCCGCTTCGTGCGAGGGCGGGCGTGGAGGACAGCGCTGCAAGCAACGAGTCACCGTCTCCCGGCGAGCTCCGGCCCGAAGGTGAGTAGACGTTATGCGGGACCCTTCGTTTTTGGCGCTCGCGACTGCTTATGACCTAGTGCCTTAAAACTAGTGATGAACCGAATCTGCCGAACTTCAAATTTGGCAAAAATTCGGCAAATGTCTGCGCACGCGCGAGAACGCGACGGAGCCTTGGATTGCAAATGGACGCCGTGCAGTCGTGCGGTTACCATCGTTCAGTGTAATACAATTAGCGGTTACGGCGCGGTGTGGGGTATACGCAACACGGTAGCTGTGCATTTGTGAGCGAGTGTGGTTCTCTTCAATATTTTCTGCCTCAAGAATAGAAGATCGACCAGTAATTTACGCAGCCCACTGCGCAAGTGACAAATGATGCGGTGCATTCTGAAACATTGAGACATTGGCCGACAATTACTTTAACGAAGTGTCTAGTGTTACGTCTGACCTAACCCCAAGTTACGTCCAAATCTCCGCCTTCCCCAGGTTCACGGGGGAGAGAGGAGGGCAGGGGCAGGGGGAGGGGGAGAGGGAGGGAGGGTTAGGTCTACGCTTTTCAGTGTTTTGTCCGGATGTAACGCTAGCCACAGCGTTACTTTAAAGCTCTCGTCGCAGTTATAACAATTCTGTTTTCGGCTCAGGAGTAGTGTGTTCCAAAACAAAATAATATTGCTTTTTCAATTAGTGTTATTTCACGATTTTCATGTATCTGCATAAAACTCAACACGGCACTATAATGCTCGACGTTGCACATCCGACATTCACTCTCCCTATCTTCCGAAACGTTTGTGTGTGTCCTAACACCAGAAACAGGCTTTTAAAGGTCGAAAATGAGATGTTGCGAATATGGGACGCACACTTTCATGCAAAGCTAACGTCAAGTGACTCAAAATCAAAGAACATGCATATTTACAATATTATTATTATCTTTTCCGGTGAAGGCTCAGCAACCGTTGCATTCGTTTTCGCGCACAAAACGGTGACTCGCAGAGAAAGCAAGAACGCAGCGTTATTGCCTTCATTTTAGCAATGCACACGCACATGCAGGCAAGGCATGCAGGCTTGCGCTGATGATGCTTCAAAACCGAAACTCTCGTAGCATGATTTGTGACTGCGCCACGCTCGCTTCTACCCAACCTCGTTGTCTTGCCACTTCTGCAAGGAGTCACAAAAATTGCCAGTAAACACACAAAAACGACAACGATACAATTATCTTGCAGAATATCACCTTATTTAGTAAACATGTTGCATTTAAGTAAAAAAAAAAAAAAAAAAAAAAAACATAAAATCTTTTTTTTTGCCAGAAAAAAACAAAATATCACCAAGTCTGGTTACAATGTATTTGTGCCGAATCTTTAGAAAAGTTCGGCTTTGCCAAATCCCAAGATTCAGCACCGAACTTTCGATTCGGCAAAAGTTTGGCCTATCACTAGTTAAAACCCCCAAAAACATTTCCATATCTTCTTGTTTTTCGTCCGTTTTTTTTTTTAAAAACTGTTGACAGTGTTGTATACAAACATTTCTAGTAGGTACTGTGGTATTCTCGCTCACCGCTTGTCCGGAGGAAGGGGCCAAGTCATGATGGAGACATGTTTATTCTTCGAGCCCGGTGTTCGGTGGCTTGCGCCGCCATGGCTGAACTGTCCTGCCCCCCCGTCACGCGCCTCGCGCACCGTGCTTTGGCCCCGCGCTCGTTTCTCGCGCGCCGTCCACATCGTCGCCGAAGTCCTCAGTGTCCAAAATCCCCACATCTTCCCCCCCCCTTCTGGATTGCTTATGTATCACAAAATCAGCAGGCAGTTCATTGCTCCAGACGTTTGCACCAACCCTACTTCGCGGGGCAGAACACCTTACAAATATGATTAACTTCATGTAGCCAATAGCCGGGTCCACATCTTAAAATTAAGAAAAAGTGAGAATAACAAAGTATCTGTCTGCTTTCCTGCCGGTCTCTCCCCAAACGAGCATCGTCAGTAGCGCCGCTTAACTTTAAAAAGTCTTCCAGCTCACACCCCGACTAGCTCGCGTGAAGAGAAAGAACGTACGTCAAAGCAGTCACTTTAGCTTTCCAATAAACACTGATATAAAATTAAGGGGAAACGAGAGAATAACAAACGGTTTGCCTGTTTTCTGATCAGTCTCCCTCCCGCCAACCGAGCCTCATCACTAGCGCCGCTTAACTTAAAAAAGTCTTCCAGCTTGCACTACGACTAGATCGGGGGGAAAGGGAGAACAAACGGAAACGCCAGCACTGTCGCTTTAAAATGTCGGACTCAGGGTTTGACATCTGAGACGATGGACCGTCCCGCCTCCGTCGCGGCGGCAGTTCAGCTACTACGCCGGGACCGGCCAGAGTTCCTTGCCCCAGCGGCCTTTGGCGCAGATCAGGCCGACAGGGTGAACACACCATGTCCTGCCCCGGTCGACGTGGAAGAAGACATACCCGTCGGAAGAGACCAGGCCCCTGGCCCTTCCGCCGAGATGGCGTAGCACAGTAGAAAGTGAACGTCCGCCCTGGCCATCATTTTGGAGACCGCGGCGCTCGCAGTCAGGGGTCCCTCGCGCAGCCGCCCGTGGACAGCTCGAAGATATTCGCTGCTCCTCTAGTGAAGTCTGGCAGGGCGTTCGACGGGCTGCACAACTGCGTGCTCTTCGTAGCAGCCCAGGTATCTGACGTATGCCTTTCCAGCAGGGTACTCTATAACTTTCCTTGGTCTGGGAGTGGCATCCAAGCAGGCGTGCGTCGCGGATGATGTTCTCGTCCATCGTGACTCTGTTCTACCGAGTCCCAGACAAGCGGCGAGCCCCACGTTGGTGCGCCATTTGTGGTATTCTCGCTCACCGCTTGTCCGGAGGAAGGGGCCAAGTCATGATGGAGACATGTTTATTCTTCGAGCCCGGTGTTCGGTGGCTTGCGCCGCCATGGCTGAACTGTCCTGCCCCCCCGTCACGCGCCTCGCACACCGTGCTTTGGCCCCGCGCTCGTTTCTCGCGCGCCGTCCACATCGTCGCCGAAGTCCTCAGTGTCCAAAATCCCCACAGTACATAGGTTTGATCTCGCAAATGGTGTGAAAATTTCACCCTGGTGAAATGCAGTACGAGAGTAGGCTCGTAGGTGGTGCCAGCACGGCGTTGCATTCTCTCGTAAAAGATCACAACAGTGATGGAAGTGCTGTGCCAAATTGCGCCACAAACGAAAGTCTGCTGTGCCTTGCGCGAAAGCGCCGTCTTCCTAAGGATTGCGCCACACCTGCGCCGAGAGGGGCTTAAAGAAACACTGACACCCCCCAAAATTTATTTTTTATCCAGGCGATTTATTGTGGTGTCGGATGACTACCCAATCAATATTTTGCTACTGCGTCACATATATTTTTAATAAAGTAAAGAAACACAACTGCTCGAAACCGGAACTGGACTGGGGAGGAAGAGCAAATGTAGAGGAGGAGAGAGTTGGTGGAAGTCACATGGCTGTGCAACTTTTTCTTTATAATCAACGTATTTGGAGCTTTTTGAAGTCACAAAAATGGGTATCATATTTCTTTTCTATTTTTAATATTGTGTGTGTGCCTTCGATGACCCACGACTTTGATTACATTTGGTGGTTGTGTCTAAACCATAGAAGACTGCACGTGACCACAGAGAAGAGAGTGAGTGCAACTCAAACTGGCCAGCTCTCGATCGGCGGTTTTCGGGCGCAAAGAAAATGAATTTCGAGCTGTGAATTTGTTTTCTGGGTAGTTGGGTTCTCACATGTCTCGTACAAATAAAAACCTGCCAGTGTCCCTTTAAGCGAAGCAAAAAATGAAATTATTTTATTGTTGTTCGACTTCAGTATTTGGAGAAATTTGAGGAAAGAAACATGGTACAATTGCGTATTTCACAGCGTCTCTACTCATTGGATAGTTTGTTTCATCTTCGGTCAGAGCACAGTCGAAGGCTCAAGCACATACAAACCTTGAGCACGCATACTCGATTGGTTTTATCGACGAAAGAACATGTGCTGGAAGGTGGACGAATGCCACCATGTCCTGCTTTGACGCTGTTCGTTCGATTCCATTGGCTTGTAGCATCGGCTCCACTTTCGATTAAGGTGAAACAAAGCATTGAGAGTGATCGTGAACCGGCACTGGCCGGTTGTTGCGCTGGGGGGCGATCGCCGGCACAGTCTAAATTTTCAGACGATGTCAGGAGCCTCAAGTTGCGAGAAAACATTGCTAAATAGTAGGATGGTGGCTACTGTGATAAACAGAACCAAGGTCTTGTACTCTGCTGACGAGGCTCCTTGATTATCGTGTCTGCCTCACGCCTCCGTGCTGCCTCCCACCGGCACGCGCGTGTCGATCTTCACCGCTTTGCACCGGAGTGCTAGGAGCAGCAGCTGACCTGGGTTACCAAGATGGGCTTGGAAATTACAGTAGGCCCATAGTAATTCAAACTGATATTTCATACTTCTTTTTAATTCAAACAAATTTCGAGATTTTGTAGTGCTGCCACGTTTTCAATGTACATAGAACCGCCTAAATTGAACGGCGTTTTCATCTAATTCATACTTTTTGTTCTCGTGGTCCCGTTAAGCGCACTTCCTATCGAGCGCGAGTGCACTGCGGAGAAGCAACACCCGCAGAGCTCGCTTCCGTGGGTGTTGCTTCTTTGCAGTGTCCCGGTGCTCGGTACGAATCGCGCTCAACAGGGCTCATAGTCTACAATATACTACTTGTTTTCTAGGTGAACAAGCTTGCTTTTGTTTCAGGTGGTCATAGGCTGTCTAAACAATACACAACACATTTGAGGGATGTTTAAACTTGTCTCATACATTTCAGCAATGTTTTGTGCAAAACATTGCTGAAATGTTTACCTGCTTATAATTAATAGGCCTGTGCAGAGTAAATCATTGGATATCTACTTTGTGTATGTAGCCATCCCTATAACAAATCGTAATTTATCGTGTCATATGTAGATGAATTTATGATAATTCAATCTTACGATAATTTAAACAAAATTCTTGGCTTCCTGGAGTTTGAATAATGAGTCTCCTCTAGTTAAA